CTCTTACACCCCTAAAGATTTTCAGAAGAATCTTTGATTCGCCACAAAGCTCTAAGGACATTCCCTACCTACATATTTCCATAACATACATGTTATGGGAGATATGAAAGGGGTGAAATCTCTCTCATTTTACAAATCAGTAGATGTGCACCCTAGAGATCATGAGACATGTCACACAATGACTGCGAGGTACTCATCCTTTGGTGTCACCTACAACGACATGTTCGGCCTCAATCTGTGAGGCCCTTAGGACCTAATGAGTCTAGGTCACATGTACACGTATAGAGATCTCTACTCGGGTCATCCTATGGAGATTGCTGCCAGTTGGACGTCTGAAGTTGAATATCGATGGAGCAACCCAAAGGAATCCTAGACCTGCAAGAGGAGGAGGCATCCTATGGGATCATATAGGGAGTATTCTCTTTACCTTCTCTTATTTTTATAACATTTAAACTAACATTGCAGTAGAGGCTATGGCGATACGTGACAGTTTGCTCCTCTATAAGGAACATAATCTTCATGATATCATCATAGAATCTGATTCATGAGTACTTGTTCAGATGTTACGTGTAAGTTCTTATTTCTATTGGTGGCTCCAGAGTACTTGGACTGACATCATACATTGTATAGTGAAGATCAACGTCATTAAACACCAGTTACGTGAAGAGAATTAGACAAAAGACACGCTCGCTACATATGCAGTATATACCCATCTGTGCTTTATATTTTCTTCTTGACAAGAAATGCCGGCCAAAGCTCAAGGTCAACATCATTTGGAGCAGATCAGCATGCCAGCACTTGGCAAACACGAATACCTATCACCCCCCGATAGTGACGACTTGCCTAGGCCAACCCTTAACCAGCACACAACCTAGCATACGCAACACCACCAAAATAAAGTTATTCTTACACTATGAATGGGAGGATTTCACAACAATTTTAATTGAGATGATCAACCTCAGTGGCGTCTACCATTTCACCTTTCATTTACCACTTTCTAAAGAGAGCTATCTCTTGTCTGCCCTAGATCTCACATATGAAGCTCAGGAATAAACATTTATCAACATCAATATAATCAAACCTTAAACAAAAAAAAAAAAAAAAAAAACCTAAACCTTAGAGGTCCCAAAGTGAGGGGGCTGCTAGGATTGATTCTGTGCTGCATTGGCTGGCGCCTAGTGTTGCTCGCTAGGGTGTGCCACCCCTCGGACTTGGCAGCGCTACTGGGCTTCAAAGGCCACCGTCGCCAGGGACCCTTCTAGGATTCTCCGATCGTGGAATGGCTCCTCGAACTGCTGCTCCACTTGGGCTGGCGTCGCATGCGACTCCGCCACCAGCCATGTCATCAACCTCACCCTCCTGGGGGTCTACTTTGACAGGGAGGCTTCGTGGCTGATACCTACATCGTCGGAGTCCTCTCCCCTTCCCTCGCCAGTCTCTCCTTCCTCTAGCTGCTTGATCTCAGCAACCTCAAGCAGCTCGGTGGCGTCATCTCGATGGAGCTTGGCCAGCTTTCTGGTCTCATCCACTTGTTCCTCTAGTCGAACAACCTCTTTGGCAGCAATCTTGCTAATATTAACCTTTAAATACCCTGCTCTATTTTCATGCACATGTGAACACTATTGATTTATTTTCTTATGGCTAACTTGTTTGATTTCTTGGAAGTCAAATAGTGTTATTATTTATGCATATTTTTTATTATGTGATGTGTAGGAATCAGGCGAATTAATTAAGTGATCAATTTGAGGGCTTGAAGGTTATCAGGCTAAAAGTAAAAGGTCATGTAGTGCATTGTGGGCCAAGAAAGGCCTGAAGGAGGAGAGTGGAGCATGCATAACTTGTTCCAGCCCAATATCTCAACTTTCTTCTTTAAGATGGCCCATGAACTCAAGATATCACAATTGCTTCAGCGAAGGAAGGAGAGGGTCATGGAAGGAAAATAGGAACGAGAGAGGGTTCTTTTGCAAAATGCACCCCTATGTATAAAACATCTTTTTTTCCCTTTCTTTTGGTGATATGCTGGAGATTTCCCTAATAGAGGCTGGTCACAGGAAAAGGCTCTCCCAAGTTCCAAGTTGATAAATCTGAATGGAGGTAATTTATTGTAGATTTTGTTCTTGATTCTAGAAATGTGTTCTTGCTAGAGAAAATCGTCTAGTCTAGGCAAAATATACAGACCTAAGGTACACACTTCATGTCACAAGGTTTGCATTTCGTCTCCTACTATCCAATAAAATGCATCTCCTCATCTACATTGTGATCTCTCAAGAAATCAAACCCTAGTTCCACCATCCCTTGTGAGGTCATGGAGATCTTGACCTTAGCAAGAAGATCAAGATCTCTTTGAATCTCTCATCCCTCATCACCTTCTTTTCTCTCAAATCATTCTTTTGAGTTCTAAGTAAGATTGTTTAAAACATTTCTCAATTCTCATTCCTCTATTATTTGTCCTCTAGTTCTATCTCTTCAGCCTTTAGCCATCTTTAGACTTAAACAATATTAAGAATATAAAATCCCAATTCCTTGATGATCGACCCCTTACTTGCCCTATCCTTATAATAGAATAGATAAGTAGAGGAAAAATAAATATAAATATTTTTTATAAACTCAAAATAGAACAAAGACTTCACAACCCTAAAATGAGTTTATCATGCAACATATAGAGGCTTAAGGTAAGTTTATCTAGGTTTGATGTGTTCCGCACATGACCAGTCACTTAAGTATTTGTATGTTTAAAATAGAGAGATTTACAATTTTGATTATGCATTATGAGTCTTTTGTGTGTGTTGTGTTTCACTTCTTTCTCATCGTCCACATCATTGAATTTATGTTTCCTCCTTTTCTGCTGGTGAAAATTCTTCTTACTTGTCGTCGCCTCTCCTTTGAGTTCATTTGATTTAAATTTATCAATTAAATAAAATAGTAACTAATTAGCACCTAATCCTCATTCCCTATGGAATGACTTCAAACTTACCATAGTACATACCTATTTTAGTATTTTAATTTGGTAAATTCATGATTCTTAATATTTTTGATCAATTAATTTTGGTACTTTTCAATGACCCTCAATTTTAATTTATTAACATGCCCCAACTGTACCTAACTTATCTCTGTCATGTGATAATAACTAAAGAACCCATCATATCCAAACTTTTATCCATCAGGTGATAGTCATCAAAGACACCTTATTGACCCATTTCATCAATTTCTAGACTTTACAAGAAGATTAAGAGACTGCTCATGTTGTGAATACTTAAGAAAAGTCTTTGAGGTTATAGATATCACACAAAAATCTTCTCAAATGTTCAAAATTCCAACAATCATCGCCCCAATGTTGAAACTTTAATTTTTTTATTTTAAACTTAATTATTATTTAGTGAGATTTTGTGTGATTTTAAATTTTGAAAAAAAAAATTGGTCAATTATGATTCTTTTAGATTTTATAGATAGGGGTACAAATGTTATCTTGACATCAATTCTGATTTTTTCCTTTCAAGAGAAATCTTAAAAAATTATTTGATATTCTCTTACATCATTGTGATAGAATTGAAATTTTTCTATTATTTTTAGAGCCTTTTATAGAATTATAATTGATATATTCATGTTAAAAGTTTTCTACATGACAAGAAGCAATTTTGTGGTGCCAAAGAAGGTGACCAAGGCCAATCTAGGGGCAAAAAATCAAGGTAGGTCAACCTTGACCTCATGAGAAAATTTTATTGTCATGTCAAATACTTGACAAACTAATTGACATATCTTTGAAAGGAGCTTCTTGTTTAGGAAAACTTTTAAAAAAAAATGTCTACTTGATGTTAGACACATTGTATGAGGATATATTTTTTTTTCACTTAAAAATATTATTTGATTATTTTCTCTCATTGTGGATTAAAGAAACTCTATTCTTAAGTATAGCCATAAGATTTAAACCAATAGCTACAAAACCATGTTACTTTTAAAAATCGTTTGGGTTTTATGTTAAATAAATATAAATTGGGGTAAATGTTAATTTTATATTGTCAAATTCAAGTTGAGTGTGAATCAAAGTATTCAAAAAATATTACTATAACTTTGACAATGTGTTAAGAAATTATAATATGATTTGCAGGCCCTCATATGTATCTAATTAGTTTCATTTAGAGAGTACACTCATTGTGTGAACAAGCTTTATAGTTCAAACATCAAGGACATTACATAAGGCTATAATGATAAAAAAAATTAAAAGTATAATTGAGCTACTAATCCATTTGTAATATCATTTACTACCCTTGAGCAATCTTTAAATAATTGAGATTTGTTTTCTATGAGATTTGTATGTTAACTTCCTTGTAAAATTTGAGTCCAACTACGATTGTATAAAACAAGAATAGCATGAGTAAAAGGTTAATACTACAAGATGGAACTAATATATTGAAGCAAACTAGCCATTAAGCAGCTTGGAACTAGTCATTTTGATGTTTAGCATTAATGTTTAAGTTGCAATAAAATGATTATGAGCGCTTAAATATGTCCATAAAGTAGTTTTTATACTCTTATTGTAGGTTGCACCAAACATCTGGGTATTCAAAGCAATCCGTTGCCTATAATGATTTTGTTCAAATCCGATTACGTTTTAGTTGTAAACAACGATGTCATGAGGATCCTCCGCCCACCCGTCAAACGCATATGGCGCTTCTTCTCCAACGTGCTCTTTCCATTCGCCCTAGAAAAATACGCTACCACTCGCCCTGTACCACACACTGTTATGGGGTGGGGAGAGGACTCGCACACTCCTGAAGCGTATATTCCTGGTTCGTTTCTTCTGGGCCGAGTGATGTCACTGTCGCGGGCCGACATGGCTGGTGGATACCGTTTTCCACGCATCACAAATCAGAGGATAGTAGTATGCCTCGTCGGCGTACTTGCTCCACAAATACGATCCACATGAGCTCTCTCTCTCTCTCTCTCTCTCTCTCTCTCTCTCTCTCTCTCCTTTTGCTATTGTCGAGCTGAACGCGAGGATGATGCCCGGGGCAAATGGTAAGAAGGCAAGAAGGCGATCCGATGCCGTGGTTCCGATCGTGGGAGAAAAGTTCTGCCGGGCCTCCGAGGAGAGGCAGCTGACGGTACAGAAGACGTCCCTCTTCTACCCAGGCGATGGATTCGCGGTCTATGAGCACCAACGATGGCGACACGTCGGGAGTCCAGACGGAGATCGAGATCTGAGCGAGGGGAAAGTAAGTGAGGGGGAGGAGACGGGGGAGCTTGTATTTCGGGTGGACTCTTACGGCTACGATTCTCACCACGTAATGGGGAGGCGAGCTCCGGCGAGAGACGAGGTCGTCCTTATGGGACCCTGCGGCGATTGTATTCTCACCGTTCGCAGGAAGGTGAGCTGGTTACCGACTCCTCCGTCTTCTTTTTTTCCGTTTCTACTATTTCGCTCTCTTAGATCTTCATCATCGGCAAGGCCGGCGGTTAGTGCTTGCGAGCACAGCTTTATATTATTCCGTCATTTAAAAAATTAATTTCAGATCGGGGAAGAATCTTAGATTTAAAATCTTTGGTTCGATGATGCAGTGGCCGAGCCTGCACCACAGGTGGGAAGGGTTCCTGGGGGAAAAGGTGGACGGGCAGAAACCCCTCTTCAGTGCCAGAAGGCACTCCATCGTCGGGAACTCCGCTGGGATCTTCGTGGAGGTCTACGGAATGGGAGGAACGGGACACCGCGAGTACCGAGTGGAAGGCTCCTTCTCCCAGAGGTGCTGCACAGTCTACTACGCCCACTCTGACGGAGTTAGCACGCTAAGGGAAGCTGAGGAAGGCAGCGCCGCGGTTGTGGCGGAGATCAGGAGGAAAGTGGTGTCTTCAGCTTCATCGGCGGCAGACGTGGTGTCCGACAACATGGTACTTGGTAAGGACGTGTTCTGCCTGCGGCTGGCTCCGGGGTTCGATGCCGCCTTCTCGATGGGACTGGTCCTCATGCTTGACCAGATTATGGGCGACAACGTCTGAGAGGGGAGAAACATGGGTCTTCTGGCTATGTCCCACATCCCACATGCCGCCCTTTTCTCTGATTCACTCGGCTACATCCTTTGTTTCATTAGGTGGTGGATGTCGCTTACTCCGTGCCTCCTTTCCCCGCGCCGCACCTCAGTGCTCGCCATGTTTTCGGAGACTTGTTTGAGGAGATAGTGTCTGGCAGAGAAGATCGGGATAGATAGTGTCGGGCTCCTCCACTGGAGATAGTGGCGACTTCTTCCAAAAACAATGTGAGATATAGGCAACCTGCCCGGTAAGAAGGTGGGTGAGCATCATGCAAAACCCACTATAGGAACGTATAGTTGCCCCTCACAGTGGTAGGTGTAGTCCCGACAGCAGTCCCATCTGCTTATCAAATCATGAAGGGGTCTCTTCACACCCACGACCAGGCCGCTCTGCTCATTCTGTTAGTCGGGACACCTTCCGATAGAAAGCGAAGAAATGGGCCACTCGCTATACAATCGGCAAGGAGAGACCGCGAGGGTCAGTTATCCATCGCCACCGCCTCCATCCGCCGTCGTCCATAACCGCTCGCCGAGTATCAGCCACCGCCAGCCACCACTGCTGTCCACCGCCTGCCAACCACCTATCACCATCCTCAGCCCACCGTCCGTCGTCTATCGTCCTCCATCCACCGTCCAGCTCTTTCGCCAACTACCACCTGCCGCTTCCCTCACCGCTAGCCGCCGCCATCTTCATTTCTCCGGCCACCATCCGTCGTCGTCGACCACCGTCCGTCCGCCATCGATCGCTGCCGCCGCCGCCGTTCCTTCCTCCCCTCCTCCGCCCCCTCCGCCGCCGCCCGACTCACCCTTTTCAGATGAGCTTCCGTTCTCGTCTTACAGGTTGGGGTTAAATCCCGTCGGTTCGTGAATCTGCGTCCGACCGGCCCGAACCTCCCGTCACCTTCCGGCCCAAGCCATATACGTCTACGATGACAAGATCCTCCGTCATTTTACATAGCATGAGGGCATTCATGCCTTGTCCAGGTCTCACCAAGTGTGAATCCTCTCTCATGGCTTTTATCCAAATGGTCAACCAAGTTACTCTTTGGGCCAAAGGAGCTAGGTGAAAATTTTCTCCAAGAATGACAAGCAGCCCAATCATTTATGTTTACACAAGCTTTATGGGATGACAATCATGAGCTTATTCCACTTCACCGTTGCTGAATCAACAACATACATTTATTTTTTTTAAGATAGAAATATGAAGATAATAGATTTGTCAAGTAAACAAAAGACAATGTTAAAATGCAAGATTATATACTCAACTGTTAATTCCATAATGACTAAGAGTTCATTTTATAATTACTATAAACCTAGAGAGGAGTAGAGTTTACTTTTCTTGTAGTTGATTGTTTTCCAAATATAACACATTTCTTTAAGTGTGAAAAGACATGATACAATACAAATAAATAATTTTAAAAAAAAAAGATAAATCATTCACATGGTGTACCAAAGTCAAACACATCAAATCGAGATTCAAATTTTCTCTCACATTTCTAACATACTCTTTGGAATATATTTGATTGTTTGAAATTCAATATTACTAGTCATACCAATCATATGGTCAAAAAGAAATAACGAACAAAAGACTTGGCAATTTAATTTATTGTATTTCATGAGAATAGTCAAGACAACAGAATTATGTCTTAATTCATGGCAAATAGGAAGATTGATGCAGCCCACTGGTGGAATAATTTAGGAGAATTGGAAAATCAAAAGGAGTGAAGACTGAATCGCAAACATAAGTTCACTCATGAACTAATGTGACATATAACAAAAAAGTATCTTAAAAGTGTTACTAACTAATTTTCTATTTTTAGTTTATGTTTTCACCTTTAGTTTGTTGATTTTGTTGAAATTAGTATTTATTCAAAACTAAGGTACCATCATAACACAATTGCCTTTTTAAGGGCATCCTAACAAACTTTCAGTCTATTTAAAGGTCCCACGTTATAGTTTTACACTCATTTACTATTCCATAAAATTTTTACTCTTATGATTATTCTCTCTTTGTTGATGGATTTTGGTACCTCCCTTATAGATTAAAGGGAATAAGACTAATCATGTAGTCTTAAGATCAACCCTTTGAGGATTCAAGAGTCAAAGCTTCTAAGTATTATTTCAAATTGAGGAATCATCATTCAAATCTAATTTATTGTAGATTTATGTGATTTCATTTCCACAGATCTTTGGCTACATTACATTATTAAGATAATGAGAGTAAGCATAACTAACATTACATTTAATACAATAAAGAATCATAGAATTATTATATATAATATCGTTTGTCCTAAATTTTATTAGAAGCATGTGGATGGATGATCTGTTGTACATGAAAATAACGATAGGTTAGTGTCATGAACCTTAGTCATGATTCTACGAACTTGCACAACCACCTATGCTATGTCATTTGCAACCCTCCATTATAGATTACTACCTTCTAATAGCTAGAGAGTGTGAGGATCTTCTTAGTGACGTAATATTTGTCTACAATTGACCTCCCTCACTCTACGTGTATGATGTGGCTTCTTTTCCTTTTGGTCCCCACCTATGTGGACGTGGTTCTTTTGTTTAGGAAGGGACAAATATGACGCCCATGTACCTGGCATAACCTCTCTCCGCTGTCATTTTGGGGCGCCCTCTTCTCCTTATTGCCCCCCATCTCCTATAGGTATGGATGGAGGGTGTGTTTATCAGTATATAATGAAGAAACTCATAGGACTTTCAACGGTTGTCCTTGTCCACGAGAGAGAGCATCTAATCGGGGAGGCTAACGCTTCAACACATCAGTTAGAGTCAAAAACTTCACCAAGTTCTTTCATGTAAACCTAGAAAAATAGAATTATAACAAGTTTCAGAAACATATATAATCATAAATTTTGAAATAATTGTAAAAAGGATAATAATAAATGAAGCATCTTAGAGAGACTTGACTTCCGTAGAAAGAGAACATGAATATTCATCTTTTAGAAAGTCTCATTCTAACAAATCCGACATTTAAAACGGTCAAATAATATAATTAGATAATTGATCCATCATAATCAACAATAGTCCCGATGAGAATGAACTCCACTTATGAGGTAATTTCAATGCTACCAACTTGAAGATTCATAATAGACAAAAATATCACGAAAAAAATAATGATTATCCTCACGTTATATGACATATTTTTACGTGAGATATTATAAATATGCATCATCGTCATATTTCCAACAAGATAAATCAAATAACTTGAAATAAGCATACTGTTTTAGTATTATGGGCGAGGACCAGGAGGCGGGTTCTTAGTGTATTCAGTCTTCAACAGCGCCGATCATAACCAATCACGATGACTAGAGTTGCCTTCAACCGCAACGCCAAGTGTGCCCACGACGCCGATACCCGTTGCTTCTTGCGATGACGGTGGCGCTCGAAGATTGCCAGACATAAGACGTTGCTGCGAGTGTCTATGCTTGTTCACGTATTTAGAACGCATAAAGGAAATTGAAGTACATGGGAATTAGTTCCGTCCAAACTGAAGATGGCACATTTCACGTACACGGCAAGAAGGGCCGATTGAGGGAGGCCGTCCTCCACACCGATTGCCGGGTTTGTGCCCTCCCGAGGTCGGTAGCTCTACGGGAGGGAGAAGCAAGAACACGAATCCAATGGCGGCCCCCGCTCCTGCTTACCCGACAACCTCTTCTTCCTCCGTTCATACCCTCCCCCCGCCGCCGCCGCTGCCGCTGCCACCTCCATCCCAGGCTCCCCCTCCACCCTCTTCATCGGGTCCGCCGCCGTTCGTTTCCCGCACGGAACTGCCGCACTACCGGCTCTACGATTTTGCTAAGACGGCCCTCATCAAGATATTCGTCTCACCATACGCGACGGTTGGCATCTATTCTGTGCACCCTCCTTTCTCTCTCTGTAAACCCTAACCGTGATGACGTTTTCTTCTCCTTCTTTCCCCATCAAAGGTGTGCGATCTCTATTGCGGCGGTGGCGCTGACACTGACAAGTGGGACGAAGCCCAAATAGGCCACTATATTGGCGTCGGTACGCTCCGCTGTGACACCCCCCACGCCCACCCCTACCAGCTTCACTTAATCCATCGCTTAATTCACCAGAGCTTGGTTTCAGATGCATCGTCATCCGGCATCAGTGATGCTCGAGAAACGTGGGAGAGTCAAAGAAAACCCTACACGGCAGAATTCCTGGACCTGGACCCCTCTTTTGTGAGTGCCGTCAGAGTGTCATTTAGCTATGGGTTCCGATGCTTATCAACACAAATGTCTTTTACAGGAAAACTTAGAGCTGCATTTGGAGGACAAGGGTATCCCAGTAGATATCGTCTGCTGTTTGCAACATTTGCAGGCGGGTTGGTTATTCATGATCGACAGACTCACGTTCATGTTTCGTGTTCGTCGTGATGCTGACTGGGATATTCGTGCAGCTTTGTTTTGAAAGCGAGGAGAGAGCGAGAAACCTTCTTCGAAATGTGTCGATTCTGCTTAAACCGGGAGGATATTTTTTTGGTATTACTCCTGATTCGTCAACCATATGGTGCGTATTGAGATTTCCTCTGTCAATTCTGCATTTTCAACATAATAAGATGCCCATGCGAAGCACTGTTAATTTGATAAATGCATTTAAATTTCGAGCATAATCATTTGCACAATGGCCGTTTTCGAGCGAAATAGCACCTCGTACAATGGGGAATGTTTTTTCCTTGTGATCGCTGCTATTATTATCATGTATCACATAGGCAAATTGGGACTAATTTCTTAGTTTCTTCCTCTTAATGCAATATGTTTTTTCCCTGCAGCTTGGTCAATGTTGGATCTCACCCACCAAATCATTGTGAAAGTTGATTCGTTCTCACCTCATCTAGATAACCATTCGTTCTCCATCATACAGACACCTCTGGAACGTTACTTGACTTCAGCACGGTTGGGATATAAAGCCCCAACCAGATGACATTCATTGAGGTGTAGAGTCATTGACCAGCAGGGCCACTATGCTATTGATGCTTAACTTTGCGATACATAGGCTCTTGCAGTGATATAATCGTGGAAGTAGGGTTTGGGCTTGCCCCATCTGTGAAATCAGATTAGATACACTATATCGATTAACACAAAAGATAATTAAGCCTGTGAGTACAGAGAGAATCTTGCAAACGGCAAAGGGTAGAACTGAAGACGCATACAACCAAGTATAACAAAAAAGGGAAGTATAATGTGGTTTCATGTGAGGGAAAGCAGATACATCTATTGCAACTATCGATGGAGAGTATCAAGAAGGAAAGGTCTCAAACCTTGCATACAATAGGCAGTCAAGGTTGTACCAGAAGCTCTTTATGAATAAGATGGTACCTTACCAAGTACCTTACCAAGTATATTCTCATTGCATCAGTAGGCACCAACAAATGAGAGCCAGAGTTAAAATGCCTTGCACGTTTTCCAGAAAACATTAGACTGTCTATTTGCACTCTTCCCAGTGTGAAAAATACACCAGGACTTGCATCTGGAGTGTAATCTATCAACAGGACCAAAAAGGAACCTAGAACTAGGTTACACTCACGAAGAAAACTATTGATAGCGGTGCACGCTGTGAGAAACAACATAGCTCAAATGTGGAAAACAGATAAATAAATAGAGAAGCATGTGATATCTCTAGTTCTGAAGCATGGGAAAAGTCTAAAGCACAGAGGAGAATGAATGAGTGATGCATGACGATCCTTTTAACATTTTTTTATCTAGAGTCTGAAGATGAAAAGACCTCATTCTCAAACGGCATTCCATTAAGGAGGTCGAACACTGAGCAATATCCTGCGGAACTGGAATAATTTCCATCGATGACTTCTGCAGCGAGAAGCATTGTTTGAGGGGACAAGGGCATATGGCATACTTTGGAAAAGGAGCAGATATTAATACCATTGACCTTATGAATACAATTTCTTGTAAACGTCAAGCATACAGAGCAGGGAACCACAATGGACTACCAATATCAATTGATAATGTAACGATGAAAATTTTGGAAATTGTTGTGGCCTGAGTATCAACATCACAAGTCTTAGGATAACTAGACAGTGTCTGCATCTCATCTTCTCATGTGTCACTCAACAATTAGCGTTAAACATAAAGCTGAGAGGTATCTATAAAAAGTGTCCATTGGTCCTGCTTGATGATTACATTTCTTTTCTAACGCGCGGAGACAGGACCTAATTTGCATCAATTGGATAATCACAATTATCTTACACACCATGTGTGCACACTTCTAACGCTTTGGAACTTCCTATCTCAATTTGCTTCGCTTTGATTCGAAAAATTGAGTAAGTGTGATGCTGAGAGAACTTATAACACGTTTTGATTGAGCCCATTATTGAGTCGACCCTATTCTGATCATTGTTTTGAACCATATTGTTCGATATTATCTTCATTCAGAGAACAAGTTCAATTGAGAACAATCAGTCGTTGTGATATTTCATTACAAGTTGTGAATCGATAGTCTTTCTTGACAATTTTCCTTTCTAGAGCACGTTTTTTGCAGATTTTATAACGTGCAGAACAGAATGTTGTACTATTTTGGGCATGTGTTCCATCACCCCAAGGCTTATGGTGCAAAAATGGATCATTAAAAAATCACATTATGGGTTGTTTCTCTTCTAGAGAAAAAAGCATTTGTTTCATGCAATTATGGTGATCATCCTGCTCTATGCGTCCAGCCTTCATCATTGCTTACACTTGAACATCCATATGGGCTTTTCATTAGATCAGATTAACAATTCCCTCTCAATGTTGATAGATTCTATCTAGTATTATATGGTTATCATTTTACACATTCGTACCGTAATGGTCATGGCTTTCGTTCTATCTTGTTTCTATTAGATCATTAATATTGCACCTTCAACCTCGAATTCGATTTCAGGACAAAGTACCAGAAAAATGTTGAAGCTTCACATGGTAAAGCAAGTAGTATGAAGCCGAATATTGTGCCAAACTGCATAAGATCAGAGAATTACATCATCACCTTTGAAACTGAAGAAGAGAAGTGTGCATAATTATTTGGGATCAGTTTTTTGACTTCTCCAGCTTATTATTTTTTATATGATTAAGTCATTGTATTTTTTTATCTAAAATTTACAGATTTCCATTATTTGGAAAGAAGTACCATGTGAAATTTGCCAATGATATCACTTCAGAGAGCCATTGTTTGGTCCATTTTCCAAGCTTGATCAGGTTGTACAATGCATTTCTCTTTCCATTTTCCAACCTTGATCAGTTCAAGGAAATCTGCATGCTTCCAATAAAATAAATGAAACCTCTTGATACGAAATCCAAATAAGAGAATCCTATCTTGTAAATTACAGAATCGTTCGTCTTGTGTTATACACCATTTTAAAGCATTGAATGCGAGATGAAAATTGTTGACAAGGAATCCCAATTTCAGGGGAATTTTATAAAATCGTTTTGGCTGACTTATGGTACTAACCCAAAATATGTCGTACAAGTAAAAACTGAGAGAAGTTAAATTAAAGAAAAAAATCAATTAAATTTATGAATAAATTAGAATGGAAATTATAGGCATATCTTTTTCATTGTTCTTTTTCTTTTCACCTGATTCCTACTCATATTTTCTTCTCTTATCTCTCTTTTTGTTGTCCTTTTTCCTTGTGATACTTTCTCCTCATCTCCTAGTTCATATTTCGTGCTCATTCTCATATTTGGTTTTCCTATAACTTTCAGACCGGCTTCAGACTTTTTTTTTTTATCACTATTAGCAATCAGGACACCTTAAAGTAATCTGGGTATTTATATCAATCATCATATACCTGTTCTGATCAGGCTGGCAAGAGAAGTTGGTCTGGAGTATGTTGAAATACAGAACTTAACTGAATTTTATGATGATAACAGGTATGTGTAATTTCCAAGGCATCATTTGGATAGAAATACATGCGTTTGCATTCCTGTTAGAATTTGTTTCATTGTGTCAACCTATACATGTTCGTGAGATATGTTGATAATGTTCTTTATTTAGTTTGTCAGAGATCCCTAGAGACAGTCCTTTATCACAGATTTTCTTATTGTTGCCCATGAATAGAAAAGCAATCATCAGATAAAAAAGTCCTATGCTGTACGTAGATATGATGAAACCATTACTTAAGTGTGCCTTTGGCAATTTTCATTTATGTTATACATTCGAGATTACCATCCCTGTGATTGGACCCCTAAAAGCTGCAGAACCATGCCAAAAAAGTCATTTTTGTTTAGGCACTAGCTTTATGAAATAGTAAAATATAGTTCGACCCACCATTTATAGGGGGTGCAAGTGCTATTTTGTAGGGTTAGAGACAAATTCATGCGATCTATTGTATGGCATCAAATGGGCGATATTTTGATAATATAACGGCATAGAGTCAAAACTACGGTCAGCTCAAAAATAGCATATTCCAGCACAGAATTCCTCGATACATTTTTCGTACTCATATACTGTGTGAGACCTATGTATGGTCAGGGTTATGGTGCCCAAAAAGGACTTCCAGTAGTACCATTGTCATGGCAAATGCTCTTGTCTCTCTCCACTTTGCAAATTAGTGCTTTTTCAGTCCTTGAATTTGGGTTATAAGATGCCTGAATACCACTGTAGTTAGATGTGACCTCACTGATCTTTCGCATATTGCCAAAAGAGCACAATTTGCAGGTATGCTCTTCAATTTTGGTGCAAATTTCGTGGATCCTCGTGGAAAGTTGCTTTCTCGATCTTTTGATATCTTAGGTGATGCTACCCTACCCTCTGGTGTTTCCTACAGAAGTGCTATGATGTCTGGTCCTTTTTCTCATCTCTGTACAAATTACATTTATGTGGCCACAGGTTTATACACCACCTTTGTCTTTCAGAAGCCAGATCCAAATCTCATCCTACCAATCTCGACCCCAATTTGCCAGGATGGGAACCCCACACAAGAAGAAGCAAGTTCCTCCTATTCTGGATGCCTAGTTCTCCTGCAAAATCCTCCGGCTGTGGCCCTAACCATCTCCTCGTGTATATTTTTTCCTCTGCAGCAAGAGTGGCCAACGAGCGGTTGGAGGCCACAGCCGCAAATGGATGAAGACAGAAATGGGCATGTGGACGCGAATATGACCACCGTAAACAGTGTTATTCCGGAAAGCGACAAAGGAATCCTTGGTCCTGGGCCAGCTGATCTTAGATTCACAGAACCTTTCTGAGAGTGTATTTTGTATGCTGCTGATGTCAAAATTCGAGCCTCTTCGGATTTGCTCACACTTCGGGGAAGCTGCGAAAGCTGTAGAAGGTGATCTGAGGGTCTTTACAGCTGGCTGTCCCCAGTAGCCCAGGGGACACCTTTGAGATTAAGCTTTCGTGCCCATCTGAGCCCGTGGTATCAGGGCTCGGTTCACTTAATTGTAAGCAGACGCAGAATCGGATTATTATATGTCCATTGACATATAACTAGAGATTCTGACGCGAATTGTTTTCACAGCGTCTTCAGTTGTATCGTACGATGGGACGGTAACCCAGATCCAGTAGCGAGGGGCGTTGGCCATGTAAATCAGATGACAGAATAGTTTTCTGTAAACATTCTGCCTTTTTAAATATTACGTCTGCATTGTGTCCGCAGAACGGAGTGTGTGATCCTGTTAAAAGTTTGAATGCATTGCATTCAAAGTCGAGTCGATCGTAAGAGACACTTTGGGTGGGGAGCTTTTATTTTCATGATTTCAGACAATGCTCTATACGTATTGCTTATTGTAACGGGACACGGATGAACATCTAGAACGTCACCGTAAGCGCAATCACTTCTCACCATCGATCAAGTCAAAGTCTGTATCCAAGTACATAAATGCACCGCTCTCTCTCTCTCTCCCCGTCCCTCCCTGCGCGAATTTTACCCATTAAGAAGATATCAGCAGTGCCCGACTCGCAGGATCTGGGATGTCAAGGCAGGCAATCATGAAGCAGCAGCAAAAACCATGAAATACGAGTGCTAGAGGCAAATTATTGTCAGCCATTCACATGGTCCAAGGACGGCCATGCATACCGGGTTTAGGCGATGAGTGCCCCAGTGTGCGCTCTCGTAAATATATAGAACAGCAAAGCCCAACGGGAACAGAAAGGGCAGGACATGGTACCTGAGAAGCAGAGCCTTCACAAAAACCGCGGGGGATCTTTTTAACGCAAAAATAAGTCTAATCTTCCAACTCGATAATCTTCACAACCGAGGCATCTCCAACCTTCTGACAGACAACCACGCGATCGTGTGACTTGATAACGCCGGAAGCCTTGCCATGATCCAGCGCAACCTTCAGCACCGACTCGTTGGTAGCGCTGGTAGACTCGGCCTGCAGAAAGAAATTAGTGAGACCATTGAAAAATCTGCACCCAGAGCGCCGTCTTAATTTCATTAGAACATATGAAGGGCATCACGATGAAGGCCGAAGGGAGATTTCACTAAAACAACGCAAACATAAAACAGCGCGCTTCTGAAGGCACGTCCAACTTCCCGTATAATCCCCCTAATACCAGTCACCCCACAACTTTTTCTGGTACGTTCTTTAAAACAAAATAAAATAAATCGCTGCTCCATAAATTGAAGTTAGTAAAGATCAGCATGGACTTTTTCTTCCTTTTTTTCTTGGAGCGGGGGAGGGAGAGAGAGTCTAAGAATAATCCATACGAGGAAAACTGGGAAAGCTAATGGAATTATTCACAACGAAGCTCCGGATAGGCAGAGGTTCTCATAAGGGGTAAAGTAGAAAAGACGTCAGAATTAATAATTTCCCCTCGTCATGTGGATAGACATTGGCAGAGCAGGTGGACAGGGCAGTCTGATCTTCGATGACAAGCAAGCTTGGGCAGCCCAAAAATGAAACTATTTCAGAACGACAGATCCTAATAACATAAAAATCATATCCAATCATTGGGATTACATGTAAACCACTTTCCATGGCAGAGATTAGGCATGTTAGACCCTCGTCCGCAATAAAGTGCTATATCAGAAGCAGTGTTAAAAACCAAGGTTCCTTAAAGGACATGCCTTTCAGGGCCTTTTCAGGAGAGTATTTTGCAACAGTAGAGAACTACTTACATTAGAGCTTGCGCTAAGGAGCATAACTAAGGAGCTACTATTGCATACAGTTAAGAAATATTCACAGAAAGGTTTCAACAGCAGCTTTCACATATTGTATTCAAACTCAGTCTTTTATTCGCCTAAGAGGGGCAAAGAGGAAAACTTGTGGGATTTCGTTTATAACACGAACAGAAATACATTCCTTTCAAAATGGTTCACTTCTCGGGACAACTTGCAAAAGTATATCTTTATTTTCATCATAGTTTCAGCTTCAAATGAAAACATCTACCCAGTAACAGCATCTTTAAAATAAACCTTAGCTTCCCAATCGAGTCATTGTCCACAATGACGAAATTTCTCAATGGACTAAGATGATAATTCTCAAAAATTACTCTACATCAAAGTTTTCATGAAGCATCAACAGATCCAAAACATACTGCCTCCTCAGATTATATATCTTTTTAAGGTGACCATCGGTTTCTCATATATAGCTTTTATTAAGAATAAATATTTTTCATTCGCAGAGTGTTCTTCCAGGACAAAGAGATAAGTCATTAGCTAGCATTAAGAAGGATAATTTTCTCAATCAGTGGATCGTGTAAAAGCGCATTTCCTCTGTTGTTTCGCTTATTTACACGCAAAAAAGAGCGTGCAAAGCACCCAATGTAATAAATTTCATACACCGTATCTTCTAATTCAATATCCCCAAACAAAGTTCATTATTTGTGCCTTAAACATAATTAAAAAGAAAGGAAAAAAACTTACAGGATGACGAGGATCGGCCAGCATAGGAAAAAGACCTCTTACTACAAGAGATTGCCTAGCCTGCACATTTGATAAATAAAAATGAGCAGTGGTTCATCAAAATGATTTCCAACTGTGAGGCAAATAATGAATTTTAGATAATCTATCAGCAGAAATCAACTCTCAGCAGATGAAGATATCCCCATCATTTTTCTGAACATATAAGAATTAACTACTCAAAAATAATGTACTAGATATTGAACATGAGATATGAAAACAAATTGAGGATAACAATGGAGCTTGATGAACATATGACTAACTTTACAGAAATGAAGTAGAAGAGAAAATAGACAAACTGATGATAGATATGACTGGCAGTAGTTCAATAAAGAATGTTAAAAAAATACAATATACTTTGGAATACAATCCTGAAAAAAAAATTATCACGCTAGATATGCCAAAACGAGAATATCTAGGAAATTTCTTTTCTTTTCTTTTCATGGAAGAAAACAATAGTAAAGCCATAAGATTTTGATGAAGTTCACGACAATCTCTAAACCTACATTTTTTGGGGCGCTGATAAAGGCTGGTCATAATAGATGATACGTAGCCATGAGGAGCGTGAAAACTAAAAGGTATTTATCCATCTATGTTCAAAGTCTAAGAAGAAGGAACTTCCTAGTTATAAATCCAGAAACATAGAACTGTGATTCAGTAACTATTCCAATTAAGCAAATATCACATAAAATAACATCACTGAACAGGTAACAATGAATGTAAATCAGAAATCGAGACTTTGGTAAACTACAATAAAATCTGGTGGACGTCAATAAAGGAAACAAGCTTACTTCAAATGCACCCGTAAAACTCCAACGAAGTTGGTTGGTCTTAAGCCTTGGAATTACAACTGATAACACGGGCATTGTTGGCCTGTATTTGGCAATTAATCTACACAAAACAAGTCGTTCTGAGCTTTAACGGATTTCAAAGATTTTATGTTCACCTCTGTGTTTTGCAAAATAAGAAGCTCCAGACGCCAATATTCACCAAAATTACCTTGCAGCCCTTCCAGATGATGTAAACACAATGATCACAGATGCTTTAACTTTAATTGCGGCACGCACCTGAAAGTTAGCAAACGAAAACAAAATTCTTGCACATATGATTTATAAACCTTACTAAAAGAGAACGATAATAATCAAATACGAAAAAAAGGGAAACATACTGAAACATCGGTAGAGAATGAAATAAAAAGAGTACCGCAGATGAAGCTATAGACTCCAGGTGACTCATAGGTTCTCCAACATATTTTACAGTCTTCTTGAAGTATAGGTCTTGATTGAAAACTTTCTCTGCCTAAAACCATCAAACAATTGATAAACAGTCCAATAAAGCAGATTGATGGGAAAACAATTTTCCATGGATATGAGCAATAAAAAAGAAGAACAAACGAAAGATGAAAGAGAGAAATATAGAGTACATGACAGTAAGGACGAGAAAGGAAAAGAAACAATAAAGAACAAGAGAAAGAAACAAAAAAATGGAAGAGGAAGGAACTAAAGCAAGAAAAAGGTAAGAAAAAATATATATATCAAAAAAAGCTCATAAAATCAATTCCCATATTTTTTTTAACAACGTCTAATTTCATCACTCAGTTACACAAAAACCAGACATTTACGTCCAATGTAAATTCTGAAAACGAGTTCTGGTTTCCCATGAATAATGCTAAAACTTTATAGAAGCATTGTGCATAGAAAATGAGCAAAATACCAGAGATTGTCAAATATGTGATGACGAAGAGAAAACTTACCTTTCACGATCAACGAAAAGAATAATTTAAGCACACAATGTCACATAAGGAAAGCTTTTAACCAGTGATGAGAATGAAAAAAAGACACACCTCAGCGCAAATTTTGCCTACTATTGAGATAGTTTCAACTGGGTATAGACCTCGAAGAGTCTCAGCACCTAAAAGAATGGCATCACTTCCTGAAGATAGTTGAAAAAATCTTGCGTCAAATAACTGGAATAGACTGACAAACAGTTTCCCAAAAAGAGTGCTCAAGTTTCAGAACAACCATCTAATACTGCATTAGCGACATCAGTGGCCTCAGCACGAGTTGGTCTCAGGTTATCTGTCATGCTGTCAACAACACGAGTAACAACTGCTGGTTTTCCAGCCATGTTACACTTGTATACAGCAGCCTTTTGAAACAGGAAGACCTGTCGATTGAGAGTCTTAGAAAATCCAAGCCATTCAAGCAATAAAAGAACTCCATTACACCTAGTAAGGGGACTTGCTTCGATGTAAATACAATAAATGAGAACTACCATGTTTCGTTCACCGCAGTGAACCTTTTTCTTTGACTAGCTATTCAGAGGGCTGATAGTAGTCACAGGTAAAGAAAGATTCTCAAGGGAATGGTAAATTATAAGTGCACATCATGAAACATGAAGTCAACATAGAATATCCCGATGTCCTAAACTCAGATACTAACCACTGCTGTTAGTATGATGAGGGTACATAAAAAACGAGTATTCCAGAGCTCAAAGATGTGTGACAAACAGTAAGGTTCCAAACCTTCTCAGGAGGGAGATCTATTCCCAAATTTCCACGTGAAAGAATTATGCCATCAGCTTCTTGTAGAATTTCATCAAAATGAGTCAAACCCTGCATGATTCAGCATGTCAGGAATACATTTAACAGTGAAAGAGCATATTTTAGGCGCCAACATGCCAGGAATACCTTGATAATTAAAATGAGAAAAATGACATGAGGAAGCTGAGATATGTTGGGCAGTCTACATAGACAACCCGAAAACTCACAGAAGTGAAAAAAATTATGATGACATAGTATGTGTAGAAACAATTCTAAAGATTAGAAATAAAGAAAATAGTTTCAAACCTAATTGATCCACAGTTGGCTGAGAATAGAGATAAATATCTTATATGCATATAAATACAAATATGGATTTGGAACATACATGCAAAAAATTTCAATCGCATTCCTTGTGACTCAAGAAAACATTATTTGATTGAGTCCATTTACCTCAGTGTTTTCAATCTTCGCAAATATTTGAGTCTGACCAAGATCACCCAACTTAGAGAGGAATTCGCGTGCCTGTATGACAAGAATAACAAAGGAATTAGACAAGTCAGTCTAAAGTCTATCAGGTAAATACCAGAAGGATAAATGCAATGCCTTGTAATTTATAATTCCATAACTGCATGATATATCAGTCAATAATTGATCAGACTCACATGCCGAACATCTTCTGCATGCCTGGTGTATGACAATGACAGGAAATCAATGTTGTTCCGGACGCCCCATTTACTGATGACCTGGCAGACGTTTATCAAAAGGGAAGATATCAAATGGCTTGCTGAAACAGCTATCATTAACCATAAGAGAGGATAGGTCATAACCAAATAAAAAATATGCAAGAAAAGAATAAATGATTATTTAAGTCAGTAAGACAAAACCTAAATTTGACCGTTGCATAGAAGTGCAAAAAGGCTGCCATCAATCAAAACCAAACGATTGCTTGCAGATGTCAAGTAAAGCAGCTTTAATGAGAACAAAAGTTCATCCACCACACTCACCAATTGGTAACCGCCAAGTTTATTACACACATTTGATCTTCATAGCTATATTACTAAGGATGAAATATTTGTAATCTGTAAGCTAGTAAAAACACCCTATACATCAATTGCATCCAACATTACAGTGTATGCCATACATGATTAAGAGAAAAGTATCTTAAAAATATGAAATGGAAAATCTCACAAAGAAAACTCTAGTTATCACAAAGATTGAAGATAGAACTGAGATGAAATATGGCAAAAACACCAGCCCCAAATGAAAAAATCTATAGTCCTAGTCTTCCATGAAATTTCTGAATTATATTTCAATTTTTTGGCAGAAAAATTTTGATTTCATAAACTTTAAGCGAACATTCAAGCCTGGCAGTTCATTTTGCCATTTTCTCTCATATTTGAGGGCTATAAAGAAGATGTTTATCATGACTACCGTACACACGGGTTACCACTGATTTCTATAGAAGATAATTTAGAATCTATAAATAGGCTTCCATAACATAATGAACAATTAAATCTTCACCAGGTTTAGGATTGGTTTATTCTTGTGAAAGTTACAACACATTTGGGGCTGGTTTACAACACTTTAAGGAATTGATTGAACCATGTGATTCTTTAAAATTATCACAACTGCTAACCATTTTTGCAAATCCAGTTTCGTGTAACGGTGAAATGAAAAGACAAACAACATAGGTATTCTAAAAAAAATTTGCAAGAATGTCAATTTGACGTCTGAATGCATCAACATCACAAGGATGATGCATTCCCGTGCGCATGCATTACCTTGTTTTTAAAACCTCCAATAGGAAAGAAATTATGAAAATGGAAAGTATTTGAAATGGAATCGCAAGAATCAGTTTTACTAAAATCCCCAAGCTCCCACCATGCCATTGACCAACAAAAGAAGGTAGCTTCAGAGTGCTAAACCCTCAAGAAACGGTTGTCTAACTAAATGATAGTACCAAGAAACTGAAGCATCAAAACCAATGTAACTGACTTTTAAAATCACATGGCAAGATGAAAGCAGAAACAGTATGAAAAAATGGCACATCAACTTCAGTTATACAAGATTCAAACAAGAACTCAAGAAACTCCGGTTGCATAACTCAGAACAGGCCATTTTATCATCCACTTTCATAAATTACAAAGAAGAGATTTAGAAATATAAATATCATATAAGATACTCCAGATGAAAAACTAAGAAACCCAAGAACAAGCAACAAACTTTTTTCACAGTATTAAGAAAAAAGAGAGCTGGGTTTCAGATATCATCCTCTTACCTCCTTGTCAGCATCAGTCAGCGTAGGCAAATCAATGCGAATTTGAGAGATGTGCAAAGTGAACAATGAACCAGCAAGTGTAGCACTATTTTTAATCGCACAAACAACGTCATCCCCCTTCAGCTCCGTCACCTGGAGTTTAATCCAATTGTGAAATACCAATAATAAACAAAGAAGGACAATATTACTATTAATCCAGACTTCAAGGGAGACGTAAAATCTTTCTCACGTCCAATTTAGTACGGGTCAGGTAATCAGCGGGGCTCCAAATTCCAAAAAAGAATGCATGGAAGACAAAAGATGCACATAAAATAAACAGTTGCTGCATGAATATCAGTTGGTGAACGAAAACAAAGGGACTAATTTGCAAAAGCAGAAAATTATCTCTAAGGGAGAACAAAACAGCTTAAAGATACGGAGCAAGGTCATACATCCTAGAAAAGGCCATTCATACCTCCAACCACACAGACGTAGTCTCGCTGCCAGTGAACAAGTACTGGCCAATAAAGATGGTATCCCCAACCTTCACCGCCTGCAGAGAATAAATAAAGCAAATCAACTTTAATCCAGGAAGAAGCCAGATAAATCCTGTCTCAATAGTAACAGAAAAGAAGGGGGGTGGGGGAGGACTGAATAATCTTGAGACTTCAGTGACTTGTTTACAAGGTTCTACTACGGGCAACCTATGCATGCTTGAGCAGTAAGAGGGACCATCTACTGGTTACAGGAAATCAAATAAATAAACGACGCATTTAGAACTATACTTGTTAACAGCAATGACAACGAAAATCAGAATCCACATCAGCAACGAGCTGGGTCAACCTTGTGGAATTCTACAGACCTGGCTTACAGAACCCAACTACATTCCAAATACCTAAATATCCATTTTTTGCGGGATTGGAAGACTTGTTCAAACAAGTTGGTCGACAGTAAAATTACAACGTCATCCCCGGCAGCACATAAACTACTATATAAAATTCCACCCACGCATACAAATAATAAAAAATTAAGAAGAAAAATGTACAAATGCCGCACCAAGCGAGTGACATGGATGAGCAAAGCTTACTTTTGCAAGTCCACTAAAATTTATTGGTAGCAGCTCCGATGAGGCCTCTACATCTTGATGAGGCGTCAAAACAACGTGTCCATTTTCCTCGAGTGAAATCGCATGCTCATTTTTATTGACGACCTGCAACTCAGGCCCAACCGTATCCAACATGACCTAAAAAAACAGAAAAAGAGATTTACATTGGTTTTAACGGATGACAAAAGAAGTATAGATAAACAAAAACTCATTCGCTTATGCCAAATGCATAATCTTTATTGATTACATTGATCTCTAAACTTTCTTGACTAAACATCATCTGACCTGAACCTCACTAAATCATCAGCGGAAATGATTGTTGCTTTATCACCAGGAAAATAAAAGTAAAACATATTATGCAAACCATTGTGATCAGAGAGCAGAGTTGCACACGTGAATTGATAGGCGATTGAGGGACTAGATATGAGAAGAAGGTTCCAAGAAGCATCATACCCTCACCGTTGAGCAGTCGAGAAAATACATCCGAGAGTTAATTTTGTACAGAAGGGCCGAAAAGAAAAAAGAAAAAAAAGAGAGGAAAGCTAAGTCCGGAACGCACCGCGCACAACTTCTTGGAGCTCTTGACGGCGATCTTGAGGTTCTCCAAGGTCTTCTGGTGATATTCGACATCCCCCCAGGAGAAGTCAAATCGTGCCACTGAAAAGAAATTCATAAATTGATCAGGCGGCCGCGTTCTTTACGTGCGGGAGGCAGAATCAGGCGGTTGAAAAGAGAAATAGAGCAAGCGGCAGCAGGTACCCGACATCCCAGCCTTGAGGCAGGCGGAGATCACCTCTACGCTTCGGGACTTTGGCCCGAGAGTCCCGACGATCTTGGTCATGGCCGGGAAGAAGGTCTGCAGAGAAAAGAATAAAGTATTAAAATTCGAAAGAAAGAAATATCGCAGCCGAAGACGGGCTCTGAGTTAGGGATCGTAGCCTCCTCCCCCCACACTCGGAATTGGGGTGGTTGGAGGACAATAAGAAGAGGAGAAAGGGGGGAGCATAGAGGATGAGGAGGAGGGGTCACAGAAGATCAGAAGCCAGAAAGGAGGACAAGGCCCCCTATTGTGAGAGCATCTCGAGCAAGAGGCAGATCTGGACACAGCGGCAGGGAAGAGGAAGAGTGGGACGCACAGGTTTGGACGGCTCGAGGATGGAGGCCATCCGAATGGGCTCCTCGAGGAGGAGATGAGTGGAATGCATTTCTTCCGGTGGATCGGGGCTCCGGTGGCTTCCTCAGGTGACGGCGGTGGCTGTGGCGATGCCGCGGGAAGGGAAGAGAGGGAAGGTGCGGGAAGAGCAGACGTCGACTACCACGCGCGACTGGGAAGGGAAGGGAATAGCAACGGTTCCTAGTATTAATGATCGATGACGATAAAATAAATAAATAAATGTTGTAACTCGTTCGTCCGGCGCACTCCCCATTTTCTCCTTCCACTTTTCGCCCGGCGAGGGCCAGTGTAGCGCAGTAGCGCACACAGTCGGCTCTGCGACTCACTCACTGATCGTCCGATCGCTGATGCCTGGCAGTCGTCCGCGCGTGCGATCAATGATCCCACTGGAGGCGTAGTTCTGCGTGGATATTCTCCAGCTCGGGGAATCTCCCTGGCCAGACTCAGAAAATATCTCCGTGTATATGAGTCGATCATTGCGGCCCAAGAGGCCAGTTACCGCCAGCGAAAGACGGTGGGCGCAGCGCCGGGTGGATCACCGGGAATTGAAGTCGTCGCGGCTCACCGGATGGACCCACCCAGAGAGAGAGGACGCGGAGGACCGGAAGGCGGGCGGCCTACACGTTCCTCTGGGCTGTCTCGTCGTAATCGCATAGCCGCTGGCCGAAAGGCTGGGCGGTCTCGCACGCGGCAGGCTCTCCGGGAGGATCCCCCATCAGAAACTTGGGCGCGGGCGCCGCGGCGGCTTCCTGTGGGCATCCAGGTGTGGCGGTTTACTTCTATCGCTGGCACGGCGGCGCGCGACGATGTTGCCCAGTCCACGTGCCAGAGGAGAAAAGTTAATGCTTGTTCCAGCTGTTGGAGCGAGCTGCTTCCAATTTATTTTATTCCACTTAAATGTTCTTCTGGAGCACGCCGCGAATGGTAAACCATGCGAGGGCTGCCGCGCTTCCCCGTCGGCGAGATCCCCCGATATCTCTCCCCTGAATAAACAAACAATCATCAGGGCGAAGAGCAGGATGAGAGACCCCTGCGAAGGGCAGAATTCTTTTTAAGAGGTCCGCACAAGCCCGCGGAGACACGGGGTATCGGCATTCGAATGCATGAAGAGACGGCCATGTGCAGCGGCGGACGGTCTGGTCCACGCTTTCGCGAACGGACTCGAGGGAGGAGGCGTAGGGATTATTGCGGGAGGGAGAGGAAGAGAGAGAGAGAGATAAAAGAAGGAAAAAAAAATCGAGAATCCCACAGAATCCCCTCCGGCGCACGCCATGCTGACGCATTTGTCTGACCGAAGATCCTTCAAATGACGGGGCGAGGATGAAGGGTAGTGGTGGGTTCAGCGTCAAAGACAAACCTCAATAGGCGCTCCCCGGCCCACGAAAAAAAACTAACAAAAGCTATCACGAATAACCAACCCAGAAGGACAAGCTCCCTCGCATCCGTCGCGGGCTCAGACAGACATCTAATCTACGGCAAGCCGCGCACTACATACCACCTGACCACCGCCCTCGCAAGGTAACGCCCCCCGCCCCCTTCGCAGGAGAAGAGAGGCATCATCAGTCGGGTCAGGAACCCAAGAAAATTGCCTGAGCCACCAGACGATCACCCTGTCCGGAACCATTTATTCCAGCAGATTATGACTTAAGTGGCAGGACACACTGGTTCCTCATTTCATCCGTGGAATGGAAGATGCAGTCCGGCAAATCCCACCTTTTCTAGTCATCATCTACTTCAACAGGAGACGACCAACCCCCAAGATGGTTCCACTCAAGTCGGGGTGAGAAGAGGATAGACCAGTGTATGTGCTGCCTCGATGGCAGGAGTACAAAGGTGGGTGGACACAGAATGCACTGGACTTCTCTGATGTAAACAATTCGGAATTTGTGTTGCTACAAAAGTCAAAATTACCTCCTCCCTTCCTCTCTCGCTTGTCCTTACCAGTAATCTTTGCAGGAGCATAAACCGTCCTTGAAATGATGAAACCTCTTGGCGTCCCGTATGATAAGTTCACGCCCCACGGCCTTTGACATGATCTTCATATAGCTATGGCAATCCCCGCAAATGCGAAGATTTTTTATTATTCTGATGGGTGACCGCGCAGAGCTGCTGATAAGGCCGTAAGCCGTCGCCAGCCTCTCACTGTGAGCAAGCAGTGCCTCCTCTTTCGATTCCTGCTCAATGTCGTGAAGCACGAATCTCGTGTCAGGGACGTACCCGGACTCCCTCAGCGTCGCTGCTAGCCCCTTTATAAGACCGTAAATCTTGTCTTTCTCCGGGTGGGACGTATCTCCCGCTCTGTACTCGTGCACTCTACTCCTTACCTCGAGAAGATTTGCTTTCCTTTGCTTCTCCTTCTCCATGTCCGAAGTTTTAACGGGCAGAAGACCGGTCTCTGATTCGCCAGTGAGCCTCGACGGATCCAAGAGCACAACTATTTCGGCACACTGATCCCCGAGCTCTACGTTCCCTTGAAGCCTAGAGCAGTTCATCAAGGCTTCCCATACAATCACACTAGGTTCCGTGGGCATCCCCCTCATAAACTCCAAGGCTTCATCCAAATAACCTGCTTCTCCATGCATGCGAACAATGCTGGAGTAGTGCTCCATGGTCGGGATGATTCCATAGACCTCCCTCATCGATTTAAAGTGTAGCATCCCTTCATCTACGGCACCCAAAGAGCTGCAAACATGAAAAAGTGCGACAAACATGTGACTGTCGGGAGTCAGCCCCTTTTGCACGAACCTGTTGAAGAGATCGATCGCATCCTCCCCGAGTCCATTGTCTGCGAGGCCAAGCATCATGGTTTCCCATGATGTGATGTTCCGCTCAGGCATTGTCTCAAACAACTTGCGCGCGTCGTCCATTAACTCGCACTTACAGTACACACTCAAAATTCTGTTGTAAATCCTTACTCCAAGGTAACCAATCATCTTCATGATATAATCATGAACAGCTTTCACTTCATCTACAGCTTTGGCGTTCCCGCAAGCGTCCAACAGCTTTAAGCATCGATCAAGATCCAAAACCTTTTCCTCTTTCTCCAACAAACCCAGAACTTGCACAGCTTCCTTCGCCTTACCTTCCGACAAGAAAGTATCCAACTCCTCAATGGTGCCCTTATGGCAGGTACCATCAGCAATTGCCTCGGTTTGCTCAGCGGTTCTGCTGTCATCTTTTCGTTGGACGCCTTGATGAATCTCCCCCAGGGTTCGTTCAGAAAAGCCATTCATACCCCGGTCTAATTGATTAATTCCATAAGGATTCCTTCGAAATTCACCGCAGTTGCCCAGGGCAGGCGGATCCGGACTGTTCCGGTAGATCTCGGGAGGGTTTCCTCTGTCGAACCCATTCAGATTCTGCTGCCAGTTCCTAGAGCCATCCGAGGTTTGGTTCACGGGGATGCCCCTCTGGAACTCACCGGAACTCCGCTGCGCCCCAAGGGCGAAACCGTACGGATGTTGGTTTGGCGCACATAATCCCTCAAGGCTGTGCTCGGAGCTCCGACCATCAAAGCTTCGATCCAACGGAGCCCGACCATGGAAACCATAAACATCCCGTTGCGAGCTCCGAAGCCCATCCTCGTTGAACCCGCTTTGATAGCGTTCATGCGGCGCCACCGATGGGTCGCTCCGGAAGCCGCTGTGGACGCATTCCGCACCTTGTGTATCCGGCTGGACATCCGCTCTCTCGGCAGCGCCAATCAAGTGCCGCACCGAAGTTGGGACTGTGACGCCGCCCACGAGATCCTGTTGTTGCGAGGAACCAAGATAAGGAGAAAAGACTCTTCCCCGGGAGGAGGAGGAGGAGGAGGAGAATGATGAAAGTAATCTGGCGAAGAGAAGGTCTGCCCTATTCCTGGACATTGTTGCCGGAGCACGGCGCACCAGAAACCCTAGTGCCATGAGAACCAGAGGCCCATCGCCCTTGCACGTTCTCATAGTAACAAGGGCTGCCAATGGCACGATTTTATTCGGACTTGTCGGCATGTTAAGTCCATATATCTAGTTTACAACCTCAAGTAAAGAGGTATTCTAAACTTCTAATACCTTCTTTCCAGACAGAACCTCCGCAAAGAAAAAAAATCAATAAATAGTAAAATATCAGTCAAGGCTACCTATAAAATCAGAGCTAATGTATGTGAAAGGAATTCTTATAGAACCATATTCTGGAATAATAAACCATCATCAAAAGTACATTTTAGGCTATTCCCCTACATTCTTTTGGTGTTTTCTTGGATTATTCTCGAAGTCACTACCTTTCGAAATAGCTTTAGGAAAACTGTGTATAAAACGCACAACATACATCAAACAAATAATCATATTAGTGTAAGATACGTTATGCAACTCATTGCTTACATCAACTTTGAAATTTGATGCAATGATAATAAAATGTATTAACCAAAAGGTGTATATACATCCTACACATCGATTATATTGGATATGATCAATGCCTTATGAATGTATTACCTTTGGTAAGCCATACCTTGCCACCTTGACATTCTAGGCATATCTTCATGTCTAAAATTTTGTTCTACCAATGTGCTGACTTTATTCTCAAAACTGTGGAGATATATTTTTCAAGTTTGTGATATCATGCATATACTAAATAATGGATTCACCAATGAAAATAGAAAAAATGATCAAATTTTCAGTCATGCCTCCCACGTATCTTTAGCTTTTCATTGCATCATTGAAGTACCCTCTTTCTAATATATCAATATATCCACTTTAATTGATACACAAATAAAATGTTCACATCAACCTGCTCAAAGTGTACACAGTCATTGTAACAAGATTAACTCCTATCAAATAGTACTTCACAATTAAAAGAAAATAAATATTTTAATCCATTATTTTTTTATATAAATTGCCCTTGGTGGCTAATTGAGATTAGAATTTTTCAATTATCTTAAATATCAAAATCCATTTTTTCTTGTATAGATGTTGGTAGCTTGTCTTGTTTCTACAATGCAATGTTGAAGTATTCTTCAAGTTTGATATGTGGCAAATAATTTATTGTTAGTTTTGTAGCATTCAATGATTGTTTCTATTCTCACATTTTAATCATTTCAATTATTTCAATGTATAGTCATCCTATTTGAAAGTAGAGAATATATTTTTTTGTCCAATTATAATCTTAATGCTTCATGATGGACAGAATGCTATGACCTATTGATGACTTTGTTTATCTCATTATACAGCTTTATATGAGTTAAGAATTCTTTTAATCATAATATCTTCTTTAGCCTTATATATCATAAAAGCTTCTTCAAGTATTACATCTCACCGACCTTATTCTTTTGAGTGTAAGAGTTTGTATTATAAATCATCTTTAATTAAACCTACAACGGGATTTTTTCTCTTCTACTTTTAGTACAGCTAACGCACATTATTTCCTTTTAAAGTGCAATTTAATCCAAGAAATATATAACCACTAGCATAGATGGTATCTACATTATTTTTGAGTTTTACAGCTCAAAATTATGTCTTCAAGCTAATAAAAACTCATAATATGAAGATGTTATTTCACATTATAAAATAGCATGATCCATCAAAGAAAATATGTAAGCATACTTAGTGTATTTTGCATGAAAAAAAATTATATTATTATTAATATATCATAAATTTTAAAAATATTACAAAATGGCAAAGTCAAAAAAACCAATAGTTTATATATCAAATTTATGTTGGTGAGTGGTTAAACAGGGCATATCTTGTTTATGAAAATGTTGGAAATAATACATTTATTACCACGTCTTCCTAATACTTCAACACCCACTTTGATTCATTTTTTGTGAAATATGTATACAAATGATTTTTGGGTTATAATTGGAACCTCTTTTTTCCCTAGATCCATCTCACATCAATTCCTCAAATCCATTTACCTATAAGTAGTCTAACCTTTGGGTTGTATATGAGTATTCACTCTCTATTTGAGGCAACAATTTACCTACTATCACGAGTTACCACTAAGGATCCCAACATTTTGATTCAACTTGTCTAAATTGTGGAGTAAATGAGCCTCTAAATGAGGTGTTTTGTTAGAAACTCTTTTATGAGCCTGACTTGTCAAATGAGTTCTAATTATCTTATATTTTTAACTGTAAGAAAAATTATAAACATCAGTAAATACTTGGATATTATTAACTGAAGAGATATATCTTTGGGCATTGGCTGGCTCTATGCTAGTCAAGAATCCCCAAGGGTTTGCAAGAATCCTTGATATACTTTCATTCCAACTTTAACCTTCCTTTATACTTCTATCAATATTGAATCAACCGAATACACTTCTAACAATTGTTTCACACTTGGAAGACCTTCATGATATCATTAGATCTTGTTTTTCAAATATAAGTGTAATTAATATTTTTCTCCATAGTGATTGTAACCCATCCTCATCGAGTAGCCAAATAAGGCTTAGCTAGTCATATTATTAAGTACTCAAGGTGAACAACCAAATCATGACAAGATTTTGTCTCTGACCTGTATTTGAATCGACATACATTTTCACAAGAAAATGTCCAAGGCTAATAATATTGGATGTCTCAACACAATAATTGAGAATGATAAAATGGCAATTGAAATATAATGAATTAAAAACTATGTTACTAAATGGATTAGCATTATTAATCCCACTATTTTCATCTATAAAAAATTAAGTATTTGAAAAGTTTGACTAAATGCATTAAGTAATATATATTTTCTTATAGTAAAATCTGATCATTGGTCATCAAATGCTAGATGAATAAAAGTTATCAATTTTAAATACTACTGTACCGAAGGGGCCTAAAGAATTTCCTAATTGGAGTTACAGGATCCACTTAAGTTGATTGTTTTGTCTTATATTTCAAACCACTGAATTGACCAATTCGAAAATAGTTGGATGATAACCAAATTTTTATCGATTGAGATTCCTTAATTATATTAAAAAACAGATCACACATTCCTTTATGTTTGGTAGGAGATTGAATTTTTACTTTAGAATATATATTTTTTAATATTGATGTAATATAATCTATTATGGTTAATCAATCCTGAACTTCTTGTATTATTTCTTGTTCCATCATACAAAATAAATGACTTAGCTAACTGATTTTTTTATAAAATCATGAATCAGATCATTTGTCTTTATTTCAATAAAAGAAGCATGAATAACTTCTATAGAACCATTTGTTCTAGGTCTCAATTCAATACTAAGTTTGAACTAATTTCATTCTTGTGTGATAAATTCCTCAAATTTGGCTGGCCATTTTCATGAAAGATGTAATTGACAACTCTAAGTTGGACAATATCTAATTCCTTGAAAAGATTGTGGAAAAAAAATGTAATTTTTTTGTATCATTTATTTTTCTTGAGCATCAACGAATTTTTTTTTCTTGGTTTCTGAATCATTTATTTTGTACTTATGCCAATAAAGATATTTTTTTAAAAATAAGGCTGCTTGGGGAGGAATTCCAATGAGACTTTATCCATTGAGGTTCTGAGTGGCCATCAAATATATTCTTTCAATCGTCAAATTCATTATGCGGGGGATCATTAGGAAGTAGACTGGATTTCATTTATCACGAATATTTCTATGGACTCCTCTACATCTGTAAAACTTATTTAATGATCCCTGATTCAACTTTGCAATTGACTTTGCAATTGACTCTACGTATGCCACTAAACTAGAGTCCATTATGCTGTAGAACTTTTGCACATTTAGCTTTGCAATTGAGAACTTCAGGGCACGTGAACTTGATGGAATCACACAAATATGACTTCGATCTCATATGCCATTTATGGAGTAAGAAAATGGCATAAATACTCACAACAAGATATCTAATGGCCCAGTGTGATTCATGAAAAAAATGGAAAACAGAGGATAATGCATACAGAAGTAAGAATAAATCATCTCACAAGATAGAGAACAGATGTTATAATTTATGTGCTTGGAAAAAAAAATATCTTCTTCCATTCGAAAGGGGAGACACAAAGACCAATTTTCAGTGCACTCGTCTTATCAACTGTCGTCGTAACAGTGCAGAGCCTTAGATCGACGCGAAGCCTTCCTCGTGTTCATATATTGATTGCATTGATGAAGGGGCGCATAGGATCTGTCAAAGAGCACTCCGATTACCAGAATCAGATTTTTCGGAACTGAGGTGACTATCTTAAGATCTCCGCGAGTCCTATCGAGGGGTAGTTTCGGGCGTCCCACCTTTCTTCGATCTTTGGGCCGGCCACACTGTAAAGCTGGGCAGTAGACAGTGGGAGGGGGAGGCGCCGATCTCATTCCTTCGCATAATCGTAATCATCTCCCTCGCCGTCGTCGTCGCCACCTGCCCACTCTTACCCTCGCCGAACTACCGCAGGCGTGGCATCCTCCTTCTAAATTACCCTCGCCGTTGGCCCGCACACTGTTTCTGCCGCCGATGGCAAGCCGCTCGCCGCAAGAGAACGACGAGGATCCTCGTGGCGGGGATTCACCGGAGATCAACTCGAGCAACGGCAGCTGCGAGAGCGGCGCGGCGCCCCTGACACGCTTATCGTGCACCAAATCCTTCGACGCTCTGTGGTTCTGCTATTGTAAGCTCCTCCGTTTCTTCCGAATACCCCCTCGATAAAACTTTTGACTTCTGTTCCACAATGTCTCCAGGGGAGTCTTTCCGCACCAAATCCTTCGAAAGCAATTTGCAAGAGATGATCTTACGCATTGACTGATTATGCCATTTCTTCCCATCACAATTCCATTTCACTGTAGACAATATGTCGCGAATTCCAGCATCTAAGATCCCGCCTGCGGTTTCTAAGAGGACTGGGGATGGAAATTTTTGTTCTTTCGCATTATTCAAATACGTGTAGGATTGATCTCTTTCCTGTGCAATCGTGTCTAATCAGCAAAACTTAGATCATTATCTATGAGCCATAAGGGATTCCTGCACCAAATATAGAAACAATTTCAGCCCACCAGGTTTTCTTTTGATGGCTAACGTTTAGACTTAGCCACCTGGTGTGATCTCAGGTTCGAGTGATTTGGGAGATAGGATCATGCTGCAGGTTGGCGACACAACAAGGAAAATGCAGAATATGTGGAACAACAGAAACTCTCGAGCATACTGAAAAATTCGACTATTTACCGTTTTTCAAGGATTTTACTTGCAAAATGAATCCAGGATATTGACTATGCACCATGATCAGCAAGTGCCAACAATGCTTATTGCTTTCCCGTGGCATAAATTTATAGTTATAGACAATGAAAAGCAGTAGGTTTGCCCAAATTCTGTTATTCTAGACCCTTCTAAACCTGGTGTTATAATGCTTTTGATGATGCTTTTGATGATGAATTTTCCGTAGAAAAAATATGACTGATTTATACAATATTATACCATTTTTTGTTATTTTTCTCCTGTTGCAAGGTTATTTTAGTGGTCAACTTCTCTTCCAACCGAAAGGTGCCTAGTGCTTGACGTTTCAAGATCTATTTACTTTCCAAACTTAAACAGTTCCTTTTTTATGTATTCACAGCTCCAGTCCACCAAATGCAACAATATTACAGGCGTGGAGAATTTGACAGTTGCTTTGAAAAATGGAACACTCTTTTTGATTGTTTGAAACTGAAGACAAAGAGATTATCTGAGGTTCAGGTTAGTCAATAACTAATTAGATATTTGATACTGTTCAAAATGGTTCTGCGTGCATGATGATTTATCTTTTTAGCATCTTCCGTACTTCTCTGATGTAGCCATTGTGCGGTATAATATGATAATTGCCTTCAGGATTATGTAAGAAACTTCTGGGAAGTTTGAAACTGAATGAAACTTTTAGATATCGCTAGGTTAGAGTTTTTGGTTCAGGAATCATCCCTGATATACAAGATTGTAATTCACGTGACCTACTTAAAGCATTATGGATCTTAAGATTGATTTTTTCGCTGGATCTTATTCACATGAGCCTCATTTCTTTGGATTATAATTCATATCCCTCTTTATGTATATACACACACTTACAACACAGATAGCTATATATATGTATTATATATCTATCCGTATTATATGTGATGCCTATGTATATATATACGTATGTATGCATATCAATTATATCCACGTTTCACATGACCCTACTTGTACTTTATTCTGGTATATGCATGTCAATGAAAATTCTTTTTTTGGTGATTGATATGTATGCATACATGCTTGAGCTAGCGCCTAACGAATTCCGCGACTTTTTTATCACAGCATGGCTGTTCCGATCTGGGTTTCCTGATAGTAATTAGCATTGTTCTGTAGAGACATAGGCTGACCCCTCTGTTTCTATATGTCAGTTCTAATAGTTACCGGCAACTGTATTAAATTCATAGTGATAAATTTTCCAGAAAATAATGCCGGATGAGCCTGAAAAGAAAATCGGCAGCATGCTTTTATAGCTTCAGGGATCTACATTAGATTATAGGTGAAAGAAATATGGTTACGTGGTGTGTAGGCATGAAGTTAAAAGCCCCACAGAAGACTTTGCGAAAAAGAAATTAGCGTACGGCATTTGAAAGTGTTTTTGCCTCACTCTCCTTTGTAGTTAACATTAAATTGCTGAATAGTGACATAGAAATTATTTAAATTGGTGATTTTGCTAGGGCTTGGCGAAGGAAATAATATTAGTAGACAATGAATCAGGTGGTCTACTGGACGTAAGAAAAAGCCAGGGTCTTGCTTTATTGGTCCCAGATGCATTTGACTGCCAGATTATTATTTGAGGTTTACAATCCTGAATGTTTTGAAATGAGAAAATGGAGATCACGGACTGCTTCTAAATCTCATGTGGTTGGTAATTTTCTTTTGTGGTAAAAGTTTGCTGCTAAGTATTATTTCAAAGGACTAGCACCTTCTAATTACATGGAGGATGCTTCTGGGAAGAAGAATTCCTTGGTAGAAAATATTTTCTGATCCATGGTACTCAACCTTACTACTTGCCCCCGATTCCAAACCTTGGATGAATTACGATTTAAACTACTCAATCCTGATATTGTCAATGTTGAGTGCGAGAGTTTATCTCTGCTTTCAACGAGGAGATTGCAGAGCCCATCCCTTAACTTGGTGATGGTTAGCTTTGAGGCGAACACTCATTCCCTTGGAGATCCTTCCATGGGATCTGATGAACCAACAGAGTAAGGACTGGACACTTTAGGGCCTGATGTATCCAGTGACAAAGGGGATGCCTGGACTGGATCATTCTTTGGAGTGCCCCCTTGGATTATTTTTCCTAAAAGATGGGTGGAATTGGGTCAATGGCAGATAGGAAAATTTAGAAGACAAAAAAGAAAGTCAGATTTGGATGTGTCATTGCATCAGGTTATTTTAGCTGGAAAAGTTAAAGGTTGCTCATGATTCAGACAGATGCCAAACATATTGCCATCTATGATGAAGTCCCGATGCTCTCATAGTTGCCTTAGCTTGTATTCTATTGGGCACTTGAGAACCTTTGATAAATTGTCACGTACATTGGTGTACAGGGCTGGCTTTCTTCCAGTAGGTGTAGAGACGTACCATTGTTGTTGGTGTATTCAATTCGGGCTTTGGTTCTCTTCTCTAAGGCCGAAAGTTTGTCGATATCATCTGGAGTTCTTGATTCCATGAGTTGACACTGCGGATTTGCTGTGGCACGTGTGCCCTTAGTTTCCGGCTGTATTTCCTGCTGTGGGCTAAGAGAATCTTGGGCCTGGGGCTTGCCCCTCCTTTGACAGGAAATTCTGGAGGCGCGAGAGAGCTCCAAGCCGCATATCTGGTCTTTTCGGACGGTAGAGGAGGCCTCCGCACACTGGAAGAAGACGTTTGGCTCCACGACAGCAGATCACGTCCCCACACCCGGTTCTTCTTGATTTCAGCGGAAACGCTGGCGCTTGAAGCAGCGTTTCTGCGGCGAATTATTTCGGTGTCGGAATTCGAGCATCTCGCACCAACCCATGTGCGCCAAGGCATTCGCTCCCCCGAACTTGTTTAGCAAAGTCAAAGCTGGACCCGAGGTGCGAGCGCCGGGGATGTGTTATACCCATGCAGCTCTCCTCGCGGATGGCCGATGAAGCACAGTGAAATTCCGAGGCAAATGTGTTTCTCGACGTTATTGTTGCTGGGATCTTCATTTTTTTCTGTTTAGCGCTCGGGTGCCCCTTGTGATTGATTACACGTGCTGATGCAAGCGAGGGTACTACTCCGGATGAGAGAAGCGTGGTAGTCGGCGTTCGAATTCATCGAGCACAATTTGGCCGAGCGGCTTAGAACAGATGCCATCAACTGCGGTGGATGGAACCAGCATGACGGCACGCAATCCACGACTCAAACCTCGGCGAACAGACGATAGTCCTCGGCGTCGAGGGCTATTTGCCTGACAGCCGCCACCGAGGCCACGACCGCCACGAGAGAGAACACCGAGGCGATGGCGGTGTTCACCCAGAAGGTGGCGCCCCTCTTCGGCGGCCTGAAAGTGAGGTTGTACATGACAGAGGGGATGACAAAGTCGAGAGGGAGGAATCCGAACGCTCCGATGACACCGTTGATGTCTCCAAAGAAGGGCAGCATTGCCGCAATGGTCGTGGCGATCGCGACAGAGATCGACCGTGAGATCAACCTCGGCACCACGTTGCGCGTGGAGTACTGATTCCTCTCCGGATCAGATAACACACCTTCCAGCACCTCATTCGTCGGTTGCAAGTAAACCTGCATCAGCCGATGCGAGTCGTGGAATGCCCATCGAGGGAGAGAGAGAGAGAGAGAGAGAGAGAGAGAGAGAGAGAGAGAGGATTTACCACTGCAACAGCCGAGAGTTGGAGGAGTGTGAAGGCGTTGGCCATAAGAAGCAACCACCTCGGCACCAAAGTAGTCCTGCCATCGTCGGGGAGGAAGTTGCTGAGGATGCTGCCCTCGGACTGCTTCCCAAAGGCCCAGTAGCCTGAGGTGGCGACACTGAAGAAGGTGGTGACGACGATCGAGTAGCAGAGGCACAGGCCTTTGAACATCTTCCCGGTGACAGGAGGAGCCACCGTTGCCTATCGCATGCAGGGAGGAGTTAAGGACAGGGGAAAGAAAAATAAAAGAAAGAAACGGAAGATCGATCGAAATACAGGGAAATAGATATGGCCGGGGGGGGGGGGGGGGGGAAAGGGGGGGGCGTTGAATTAACCTGTATCTCCGGGATGATGCCATTGCCGTAGGAGGTGGCGATGACGGCAACCGCATTGAAAGCTCTGAACAGGCGGGCTTCGCCGTTGCCCGGTCGGGAGTAGTCCTTCGCCGGTGCGTGGGACGAATAACCTGAATCCAATAAAGGACAAGAGAGAGTTTTCTTTATCATACGAGGCAGGCATCTCTCCTCCAACAGAGTGGACGCGCATTGGCGATTCTTCACCTGCGTAGATTGAGCCCGCGGTGGCGCAGGCACTGTAGGCAAGGCAGAGGACGAGAGAGATGAGATTGATGTGCCGAAGGGAGTGGAAGGAGGGCATCTGCGCTAGCACCAGCATGACGATCCCGAAGATCGCCACGGACTCGTAGAGCTTCATCGTCGAGCCCCCGCCGTTCCCGTCCGACCGGGCCATCAAGTAGATGGACTGCGTGCAGAGGGAGAGGATGGATGAGGTGGCGACCGGGAAGAAGTCAATAGTCTCAAATTTGGCAAGCGTAAACTGTAGTTAGGTTCATCCTTTTATTCCTCTCCCGAGAGAAGCGAACCTGGAGGCTTTGTCCGCCGAGGAGGATGTTGGCGATGACGGCGCCGTAGCAGACGAGGAACTGGATGGGGCCGATGTAGTACTTGCTCGCCCTGGGCCCTGCAATGCATGTGAGAAGAGCTGATTTAGGCAGGGCCTTTCGCGCAGATATAGATGCAGCCCATTTCTCCGCCTCGCCCCACCCCGCCAAAGGAGAACCTGCGAATGGGGTGCCAACATAGCGCGATCCACGGGAACAATCCTCTCCATCTCGTGGACCACACTTTGGGACACGTCGTCCGTCGGTAAACATGGGAATCTGACGGGCCGAGACTCTTCGTGTTGACGAACTCATAGATCGTGGGTGAGATGCGAATCCACCTGTACGTACCGAGGACGTCGTGCGCCAAGTCCCTGAAGCGGAGGTGGCGGCGGCCGTGCCGGGAGTGGTGCTCCAGTACCAGGGTGAGCAAGGTGTAGGAGTAGAAGGTCACGGTTGCCCCCACCGTCAGGCAGACGACGCCAGCCACCCAACCCAGCGAGCCGAAGGCGAAGGGCAAGCTAAGGAGCGCCGGCGCCACGATGGACGTCGTCAGGTGGTATCCGCTGTGCAGCCATGTCCCTGCGCGAGTGAGAGAGAAGCTGTCAATTTGGTAGAAACAATTTAATCGGGACGCGAGAGTTCAGTGGGGTGAGCGGAAACTTTGTATCTTTAACGGCAACTACAGACGACGGATCTTCCCGCAGAACCTCATTTCTCATCCCAGGGGGACTTGCTCTCTCTGGGGCTTGACATCTCGTCGCAGCTCCGAAGGAGGTGGAGGAAGAGAGTCGAGGGAGTCGGCCTCACCTTCAGATCGCAGGACAAAGAGGGCTCCAGCGTCTAGCTTCTGAGGCTGCGGGTCCTGCTTCTTGGTACCTTCAACTCCCTCCTCCATATCGATGGATTCAGAGACAAGGGTTCCCATTTGTCCCCGAGAGATCGGTTGGATATATCGTTCAACCGGGTCTTTAAGTTTCCTCTGCTGTCGGAGGGAGGCGAAGGTCTGGGGCTGGACCTCTCGAAGTTCCTTTCTCCGCCAAGCAATAAGGCGGTGACTGATCTCCCGGCGATTTTTTCATAGTGCGGACGACCCGGAAGAGAGAGGGAGGTGGAGTATTAATTAGCGAAGTGCCTCGGCTGGCCAAGATACGGACGGAGGATACCCATGGCGCGACTGTGTGAGTTGGATTCTGTCGTCGTCAATCACCTACTCAGTGCGCTTCGCATTCCCTAGATCTAACCCCGCCAGACGGACGGAGGGACGGTCAAAAGAAACGGAGGGTCCACCGGTAAGGACGAGGCCCCGCCGCCTCGACAATCCTAATCCGGCATCATCGTCTTCGTCCCAATCCTAAGTAGCTGGCGCCGAGGATGAATATGCGGCAGCGGATGACGCCGGGAGGGCCGTATTATTATCGATGAGTACCCGGCCGGACGATGGTGGTGCGTCGAGTATGTGAGAATCATGCGGAAAGACGCTTTCCATGATGCATCAGGCAAGAATTAAATGGCGTTCTTAAGGCAGGTTCTACTTGGATGGTTGACCATCCACCTCCGATACATCGGAGGATACAGAAGACGACCAGAATGGTACTCATTCTCCCTGCGTCGCTGTCCTCTCCCGATTCCGGAATCCAGATGTTCCTGAATGGTTGCTCGCGCCTCGCCAAATGTGGCTACTTTTCCTAAGTTACTAATGTATCTGAATCTCGCGCGAACTCGTATCTTGTAAGGGTCCGACGAACTTGACGTAGCAGTCTCACAGAAAAGCGATGGATATACGAGAAGAACAGCATGCCCTTTTGAATGACGACTCTGCATTTTATTACTAAAGAATCCGAATCTCAGTCTTGAAGATGGAAGCAGACCGAACGGGCTCTATGTATACAACGAAGCCACCATTACGGTCCGCGAGTAATGATGCATCATCTGGATCAGAGAGAGAGAGAGAGAGAGATAAGGAGGCATGCGTGGAACTATATTATTGCGTGGAACGGGTGCATCATCTCCTCCTCCGAGGGAGGTATGTAAAGACTCATTCTGTGAAGACTGTCTGCCTATCATTTTCACTCACTTCCCCAAACAAAGACTCGATGGCGCATCTATGCCACACGCTAATGACCTTCCTCGGAGGTTCCTACTCCAGAGACCATCCATATTATCAACGAGAACCAAACGGAGTCCTCATCTATAAACAATTGCGAACGGCTCCATCTCTGAGAGGCGGCGTCGCGCCTCTACCATGATGAGAGAATACAATGAACGAAGTACAGCTTTTCGACGGATTCAACCACCACCAACGTAGTCACCGAACCCCTGTCCTGGACATAAACCGCCTCATTGACGTCGTTGAAAGTGTGGATCGAGCATCGTCACTGTCGCGTTGGTGCGGTTTCAAATCGACGAACCCAGATCGTGCAATACTCCGCAAAGCAACACAGACGTAGCACAGGTCATCGTCATCAAAAGATGACCGAATAATAATTTCACGAGATTGTCGCCGAATAACAATTGCGTGGCTAGGGGGGGGACGGATGCAAGCTGCAGACGCACGGAATAGGGGAAGGACGACGATCGTGGCACGGCGGCAATGGGACCACCGAGCTTCGCCGCCCTGGTGAGCGACGTGGCGGTGTAGGTGAGATAAGACGCAAGGTGGAGGCGGGGAAGATGAGCAACCGTTGACTTCATTCCCCTGGGCGCAGTGCCCATGGAGTGACATCGACACGCCCCGGTCAACGGCTAGAGTTTCGACGACATTAACAACAACAAAAAGGATGCTATAAAATCCCCAAGACTACCATAAAACATTGAGAAGATGACGAGAGCCACACTTACGGACCGAAGAGCCGTCGAGATCGAAATCCTTCAAGACAGAGAAACGACGTTAGCGAGAGAGAGAGAGAGAGAGAGAGAGAGAGAGAGAGAGAGAGAGCGTGATTGATGCAGCGGTAAACAGATGCGATTACCTTAGCTTATGGAGCCCCGCTGCCATTCTAGCAATTGAGACCGATGTCCTCTAACTAGGAGAGTATGATTTCATTCTTCCAGTTATCTGATAAATGAACAAGATCAAGGGTCCTTTTATATGTTTCCTAAAACTGAAGAAAAAAAACGGAAAATTAGAAAAGAAAGGTGATCAGGATCTATTCCGAAAGAGACGCGATGAGTTTGATGTGGATAAGGATGGGAATTAGACGCGAAAAATTCTGCGTGGAAATTGAAAGATGTGGATGGACTTTTCTCACTCGGGGCGCTGCTGGATTTATGATCGTCTAATGCAAATAACATGATATAAGAATTGCGAACGCTGACGTTTTGGTGCTTGATGGAAGGACGAAGAACTGTTATCCTCATCGATGCGCATATCATCCTCGCGAATCCCTGGTGCAACCTCTCATATGCGGGCAAGATAGCACGCCGAGATATCCCCAGAGGGCCTATACCCCAGTCTTTCGGTAGGGTTCAAACACTGCGTTCTGTAGCTCCAGCATCTAAGGTGAGGCACGCCTTAAGCTTCAAGTGATCTTAGGCTGTAGGCCCGGGTGGGGTTATTCACGCGTCAAGAAAAAGTCCTGGACGGCATATTCTCCTCGACTGATTTTTCTGCCCCCGAACCAACACAGTAAATTTACCGTGCACTCTTAGCCCGTGAATTTTCTCAGATGTTTTTTGTTTTTATTTGTACTCCCTGAAATTGAAATTTTCTGTATACTCCCTCCGAAGCTTAGAGTGCCTGTAGGTCTCATCCACGGCTTCGTAAAGATGCACTGCACTTGGCCACCTACCCGTGAAAGGGAAAAAGAGGGAACTTTTGGGGGAGATGGCTCCCCCCAACGCTGGTCAGTTGAAACCAGGAACGCTGTGAGGGACCGAACCCCTGGCACATTGCCGATCTTCAGAAGGGCTCCCCATTAACTCCTTACCAAAACAGAATGCATGAGCGCGGTTGCACTGGACCACCCACCCCGTTATGATGCTTTGGCGCGTGTCTGCCTGTAAAGTTGAACGGTTTACTCGGGACGAAGGCAGGGGAATGAATGGATGGCCCCGCAAACTTATGAGAGAAGAGTACATTTGTCCTCTCTCGGTACTGATTCCGCACAATATTTATTGGCTTCCAATATGTTGATTACGTGAGCTTGTCTCCTCGGACAGATTTCGCGTACATACAGTAATCGCGATTTTCCCCCATCATTAGGGCACCTCACGTGGCACCATCAATCAGCACGCTCGTTTACCAGGCTGGACTCGCCGTTTCTGCCAGACAGGAGGTGGTGGACGGCGGGGAACTGAGTCAGTGGATCGCGCTGCCGCAGCCCACAGCTGTAGCGATTGGAGAGAGACTCTTGGAGTTTCTTCTGCAGCACATCAAAGGGCCTGACGAGTGACGAGGAAGAACTTCGAGAAAGATGGGAGCCGGATTGATCTTCAATGAATCTGCATTCGTCCCGTCATGGAGCGGTGTAAGTGCCGTGCTTGGGCCCCCCAAGGAGCTGCTCTTCCTCGGCATCTCCGGCTTACACACTTCTTCTCCACGTGATTTTTCCAGCTACCCACAGGTAGTTGGCGTGACATTTCTTCTCAATTTCGTTGTTCTATCAGGTGGCGGTCCTGCTCGCGTACCTTGGTTACCTCGCTATTGCTGGATCCTTTCTCCCAGGGAAGTTAGTCGCAGGTGCAGCCCTATCTGATGGCACCCGGATCAACTATCGCTGCAACGGTCAGTTTCTTCCGGATCTCGCATCATCTATTCCTTGCTCACTAGCCCTTGCCCGCCTCACCCCTTACCCGAGTAACCATTCATCTTCGCAGTATGTTTCGATCCTCGCAAATGGCGCAATGTGTGCATTAGGGGGGGCACTTTAAAACTTACATATCGCCTGCCCCATGACTTCGAAAGGAGCTACTTCTTGTTAATGTTAATTTTGACGAGCTTTCGGATTATAAACCTCTCCCGTTGTACTGGCTTCAGTCAATGCTTTCTCAAGGCTTGCAGGAGAACTTGCTTTAGTTTCTACAGTTTGTGTGGATATAAGTACCTTGTGCCAGCTTTCTGTTGTCTTGAAGAATATCGCTTCAGAATCTTCTGATGTGCATCTGCATCTGCTTCTGTTTGATGTGCATGTCCAAGGATACCTGTGGGAAGGAGCGTGAGCATGGGAATGCCATTTTGTTATTGAAGTTCTCTTTCCATTCTTCCTGGGTTCTTTCGATCCGTGATAGCCAACCATTGCGCTAATCTACACAACAATTCATCCCTTTTGCCCTCTTTAGTTCCTTTGCCTGGCCACTCCGACCTCCCCTTTTCCCTTATAAGATATACTATTGCCTATCAAAAGGTCCCAAATTATCGAGTCAGGCTCTGACAATTGAATGGCATCATTTAAACAATCGCCATTTCTCATCATTTTTTCTTTATTTTCCGTTCATTGCAACATCTTTTTTGCAGACATTATGATACACATTCGTATTGTCCACATAATAATGCCATGACAGAGCACCCAATTATTTACTACCTTCAGTTGCCTTTTGAAGAGTCATTTGACATTATTCTCTTCGTCGCACAACTCTGGTTTTGCACATATGCCTACTTCTTTGACTCTTGTGGTTGACCTTTGTATCATTTATTTCTTATTGACTTCCCAGGTCTCCTCTCATTGTTCTTGCTCATCATTCTTCTGGGAACTGGAGTCAGCTTGAAGTTAATGTCACCTACGGTATTCCTGAACCATATTTTCCATTATCTCTGTATGTCTCAGGTTTTCAGTTGCATGCGTGTAGTGTTCCTTGAGTAAATATTCTATTTTGATAGAGAAAAATGCCATGGATACTCTCTTCTGCCTTCTTTTTAGATAGAAAACTAGTGCAAAAAGAAAGAAATTCGTGACCGGTTTCAATATGACACTGCCTGCCTTGCAAGGTTTTCCAAGAATTTCTGGTTTGTGTAGATTTGTTTCATAATTCCTAGATCTGATCAATGAAGTACTTATTTTGGGCGCCTGTGATTGTGTTGGATAATTCATTTGGAATTTGAAGATGGTACCATTGGTGATTGCAGGTTATTGCAGATAGAGGAATTGAGTTGCTCTCTATAACTCTCGGATTCAGCCTTCTGGTAAGATTTACAAAGTTTTTTGTTACCTAAACTGACACTTAGTGTCAGTTTACACAGTTATTTTTTTTAACAGTTTAAATTTGATAAATTTACGCAGTTATTTTTTTTTTACTAAAAAAAAATCGTCGCTTCCAACAAAGTGTGAGGACCCTTCATGCACGCCTACTTTCCTAAGAGGTTCCAACACATCATTTTCCAGTAAACTTATTGACATTTTAAATTCTCTAACTAGCCTGTTTATCATGAAGTGGTTCTTGTTTGATGGAATTTGTTTTTCTTGGAAAGTGGGAGGGAAATTATGGAAAGGCATTCTACTTTTGATGATACTTAACCCATTTTGTTGTTATAGTCGTGTATTTCCCCCATGCAACGTGATAAATCTTCTGTTGATAATGCCAACCTCATTTACTCACTGATGACATGAATATCAACCTTTGCAAGAGTTGTCCTAGGAGGTTAGGTGCATCAACGTATCTGTTGGTTGATACAGAGGTATCGTGCTGATTTATAGTTGTAAATGAGTTATGCATCCAACTACCTTCTGACCCTGGACATGTGGTACATCCTGGGGATGATTTACTGAAAATTGATGACCTTTACGCCCTACTTCCGAAGGGTCTACTAGAAAAAAGTTTCAAAATGCTTCCTATAGTTTATAAAAAATCTCCAACTGCATTATTGCCACTAATGTGCAGCACCAGAGATACACGTCAAAGGTGAATGATAAAACATATTGCAATGACCGACCATAGTAAAGCTTATTTTTTTGATAAAAATGTATTTATATTTGTTTATTGATGACACATGTTTCTTAGAATTTCCTTCTCACTCAACTGAATTCGTGAAATGAAATCTTCCTAGTCACCTCTTTCCCTTCTTATTTCTTTCATTACAGAAGCCTGAGTGCTGTATCCTTTCTTGATGTATTGATAGGTGGCTTTGATACTTTATGTCACTGGTTGCAAATCTCGGCACCAAGGGTCTTCTTTAAAGCCACATGTTACTGGGAACTTCATCCACGACTGGTATTTTTTAGAAGTTTTCCTTTTAATTTAAATTTTAAATTTTAAATATAAAATTGTATTGAAATATATAAACATACGAGGAAGCTAACCAAAACATCAAATTGTATATTTTTAAAAATATGTAATGACATTGACTACCCGTATTTTGCTAATGAGATACGAGTTATTCTTTAAATTAGGATTGTTTTTCTAGGGACTCCCTTTATATTTAAATACTATCTTGAGTGCGATGAAACTCATCAAATATTTTTAATTTATCAAAGCATAGAAGCAACTGTTAATGAGCAGTTGTTCTTTAATTTTTTAAATTCCTTTATAGAACCAATGGGCAGGTCAAATTCAGAATTGTTTTTTGGAAGAATAATTTGCCTTCATTTAGCTCAGACCGTGTTACAAGGCAGGGGAAGGTATCACATGAAGATTGGATTCTACTTAAAATGATATTTAGAAATTTTCTTCTCTGTCTGAGAATGGTGCACAATGTGAAAACAAACGGACATGTGACGGAACCATTGTCATTCTTAAGCTTTTGAAATTGTGAAAAATCTGGTTGTCGTTGATAGTAGGGAATGGAAATGCTCATTTCTGTGATTTTGCAAAATCTGTTCCGTCTTTTTATGGCATTGTGTCTCTTGTGCCACTTTTTTCTCCCTTGAAAAGGATAACCTTGCATGTCTTCCGGCTGATGATTATATTGTTTGATAATTGGATGGGAAACATGATTAAACCATACCTTCAAGAGTATTTGCATTCTTTGAGACGTAGGGCAGAGATAAATAAGAAACAACAAATACGGTGCCTATGTTTTTTCTTGACATGTGTTGGTTTTGGGAACATATTTTGACAGATCAGCTGTATTTTTACGTTTTTTGTTTCTAAAATGTTTAATCTTTTTTTCCTCTAATAGGTGGTTTGGAGTACAGTTGAATCCTCATATTTTGGGAGTTGATCTCAAGTAAGTAAACCTACATCAAGTGTCTTTGCAAAAATTGTATTCGATTTGGATGTTTAAGCAAGTGTCTTCTCTGTACCTTTGTGCAATATCTACCTCAAACATGGCCAGAAGTACTTTTTGTTAAACATGGTTGAAATTCTGACGTGTTTTTTTACCCTCTTTCCCAAGCAGCATTCCAAGTGTGCATGTTTGGTACCGACACACATTGCCAGAATTGCAGAAATGTTCATTGACCTCATTCATTTCACCTCATCTGCAGGTTTTTCTTTGTTAGAGCTGGTATGATTGGATGGTTACTGATCAATCTTTCTATTTTCTCGAAAAGCCTCCAAAATGGGGACGCAAATCTTTCAATGGTCCTTTATCAGCTCTTTTGTGCGGTAAGATGCAAATTTGCTGAATTCTTGATATGGAGAATGGTGTCTTTAGTCTACTAAAATCGTTTTTCCCCCCCTCTTTCTCTCTCTCTCTCTCTCTCTCTCTGTGTAGATATACACTGTTGACTACTTTGTTTATGAAGAATACATGACCTCCACGTAAGTTGTTTTTTTCTGTTGAATTTGCTTATCTTACCATCAAAAGAAAGTTATTTGAATCTTATAGATTTTTGCATTTATTTGTTAACTTAACTTGTTAGTAAACATAATTTTTTTGTGTTGTACACAATCATGGAAGTTTGCTTTAGGAAAATGATTGATTCTACTATACTTTTCAGAATTTTTTTGTCAGCGTTAGACATTAACTTGCGGAACATAAAACTTGTTCTTCGACTTTATCATTCTGCCTGTGTAAATGGACAAAGTGGTGATCGAAAGAGAAATTATGCAGTTTTTTTACGGTCATCCATCACCTGAACTGCGACTGCTAGAAAAAGAAGTCTCACAATTCCTAGTTATTTTATGATGACCATCATTGTCTTTTTTAAAGGAGTTGGCTCTTGTGCCTTTTAAAATATATTCGAATGCAATGGAAATGAATTATGTCAGTCTGATTGATTCTGGTTCATTTTCTAAAGTAATACTCAACCTTGCGTCAAGCATCCTTAGAGTTTCCTTCTCATGCCAAAGATTGAAGTTGCCAACAAGCATGAGTAGATTCATCCACAAAGATAATTAGCATGTAATCTATTGAAAATGGATGTATATTTGCCAACTTGTTGAAATTTTAATATAATATAATTCTTAAATTGGTAAATTGGTACAACTATTTCCAGTTTGGTGTTACGAAACTGACTAAAAAGCATTTAACTTCGCTAGATGCGAAAAATTCTGTAAAAATTTGGGTGCATGTCGTTTGAATAAACATATGTGTTTTCAGTCCCAAAACGGCCGTTCATTTATTTTTCATTATTGAAATCATCATAAGGTGTATGAAACGAGCGTTCACATCTATACACAATCAAAAGGTAGTGGGAGGTCTTTGGTGAGGGTTGAATAGTTTAGGAAGAAATTAGGACACTGTGCAAGTGTCCACCTAACTGAACTGATAGTTGTCAGCTAAATAGCCGGAGGATGCAATTTTTTCTTCTGAACGAAAGCATTGCAAAGCTTTGACTGACATGCTATTGATATTTATCCATTCTGTACAGCTTCACTGCTACTTTGAAGTCTCTGTCTTTTTGTAACCCTGTGTTGGCCTACAGATTATAACTGTGCACTGCCGGGTTATTCTAATCTGCACGTTGATTTCTTCCTTCTGTCTTCAGATTTATTTTTTCCCAGTGGTTTTGTGGCAATGTTCAGTGAGTTAGGTATCTCGTTCTCTAGTATGATGTCCATCTAATGCAACTATATTATTGACCTACAGATGGGATATTATAGCAGAACGGCTCGGCTTCATGTTGGTGTTTGGGGATCTAGTTTGGGTTCCTTTTACTTTTAGCATCCAGGTATGAGGAGATAAACTGAGATGGTCTATCTATACTCGGATTTTGGTTTTCGAATTGAAGTGCATTCAAGAAGCAGACGTTGCCTGAAACAATGGCCTGTTTTTTTGGTTTTTTGTTACATGGATGAAGTTATTTTATTTGATCTGTGCAATGGTGAGTTTTTTTTTTAGTTGCTTAAGGATTAAAATGTATGTGACGTTTAATTTTTAATCTGTAAGATTTCGGTCATCTACTCCCATATGTTTACTGTTTAGATTTTCTGTGAGGATGTTGTTAAGATAACTAAAAGTTCAGATAACTCATTTGTGTTACAGATTAATCAGTTTGGTTATCATTTTCCCACCACCACAGCTTGAATTGAACATGCTAGTAATTTTGTATTAGATTTTACACCAGTATTTTTTTTTCATTTTTTTCAAAACAAAACATGCAGACGAACTATTTGACAAGGATGAATCAATGGCTCATTCTGTAACGGGACGCTTTGTTTTGATACGCTCTAATGCTCTTTTTGACTGCGCCTCAATGTCTTTATTGTATAAAAAAATTACTAATTAAATCAGTTTCTTTTAGTCTCAAAAGCATTAGCCCTCCGTAGGGCTGAAGTAGAATTTTTGTGTGACTAATCGTTTCATTTCGGTTTAGGGCTGGTGGCTTTTGGATAATCAAGTTAAGACAACCAAAGCAGCCGCTATTGCAAACTGCTTAGTTTTTCTGATCGGGTTGGTCATTTCTTGTTTTTTTTTTCTTTCGTTCTTTTTTTTGTGTCACTTGTTCTTAAAGGTTTGTGAACGTGATATATCCCAAGTGCCAAAATGGGATTCTACTCGGATTATTAGAGCTTATTTGTGCGTGATGTGTACTATTTACCATCCAGCTATCGCGTATTTAGAGGAGCAAACATGCAAAAGCACGTTTTTAAAAAGAACCCTGCTGCACCCATATGGGGTAAGCCTCCAAAGGTTATTGGCGGGAAACTCTTGGCTTCAGGCTACTGGTGAGCATTCTTGATTGATCGTTCCTTCCGAAATATTGTGCGCCTCGACATCGGATTTTCGTGCAGAGCCTCCTGTCTTTTTATGGAATCTTGGAAGGTAGATTAGCTGGCTGAGAAATTTAGTATAGGGACGTGACCTGCTTTGTTCTTTCTTGAAGCTGAGCACCCCATGTACCGATCTCAGAACGAAAATAATCTTCTGTCTACGTATATGTGGCAGGGGAATGTCGAGGCACTGCAATTATCTTGGAGATCTACTCATTGCGCTGTCATTCAGTCTGCCATGCGGAGCAACGTAAGCTTCCCATCCATCCGGTGCTAATTATCAGCGCGCGCCCATCGATTCCTAAGATCGGTCGTCTCTCCTGTTTTGCAGTTCGGTCGTACCGTACTTCTATCCCTTCTATCTTCTCGTGCTGCTTGTGTGGAGGGAGCGAAGGGACGAGGCAAGATGCTCGCAGAAGTACAAGGAGACATGGGCAGAATACTGCAGGCTCGTCCCATGGAGGATTTTGCCGTACGTCTACTAGTAGAAGACGGGGATTGTTTGGGCTGTTGATGGGCCGCTTCTAGGCCGTATTTCTGCCTGGAGTGGATGGAAGATGGAACCATAGACACACCCTCCACTGAGGACTGTTGCATTCGCCTCTGCGGGCGTCCTGCTTTATTCTCTTGCCGAGGAAATCCTCCTACTTTCCAAGGGGGGATGAAAAATGAAGGTTTATTTCCACTCCCACGCACACCACGCGACGCCCTGGTGTGTTCTGGCATTGGCAACCTCTGTATCCAGTGATGCAGACTGGAGACCTTTCATACGCCCCCCAATCCATTCCTCACCCGCCGCGCTTCGGGCCTTCCCCAGCTTGTTTCGCATCGCATCTCGCATCGGTTAATCTTCATCAGACTGACCTTTCCAGCCCACGAGAGATTGATTACACGGTCCTCCAGCTCCCGTGGCAAGTGGGCGTGGGAGAAGACGAGCATTCCAACGTTCAAGGTTCATCGGAGTCGGCAAAAAGAGAGAAGGCGTGGAAACAATCCGCACTCCTCCACCAGGGAGTTCCCGTCCTTTGACCAGACTGGCCGCGATCGGGGGTGGCAATGCAGAGTCCGTACAAGGGGGGGGGTTCCGACAGTCTAGTCTCTTGTTGTCGATCGGCGCTGACCAGGAGGCCCCGAGGTGTTACGGTCTCAGCACACACGGGGACCCCGCCGCGGGGCGAGAATCCCGCGGCCCCCGCAGCAAGCGCCCTCCGTTTGATCCCCCTAAAAAGAGGGCGGGCTGGCTGGCTGGCTGGCTGGCTGGTTGGCTCTCCCTTAAACGCGGGCTAAAAAGGCAAACATGGCTCAGAGGGCTGTGCAGAAGCATCCTCTCACATGGAAGTCATCCTAACCCCCTTCCTCTGTTTCAGGAGCATCTGACTGGGGACATGTCCGGATGCGAGCCGTCGACCACAGCGCAGTTGACCAGAGCACCAGCCCCTGCGACGGCTCGACCTGCATCGTGAAAAAGCCTGCCAAGTTCCCCTCTCGACGGGTTCAGCTTCCGTCCGATTCCTGCGAGAAACAAATTTCACAAATAAATTAATATTTCACTGAGTTAGTCAGCCAGTCAGTCAGTCAGTCACACCGTGCGACAACCCTTCTTAAAATCCCTCCCAGGCCGGCAACTGCTCCGCGGTCTTCATCATGGCTTAGGCGAAGAAACTTCACGGCCATGCCTTGTCTAGCCTCACACAGACAGATGCCCCTGCTGACCAACTAGGTTGAACAAGAACCGTTGACGACCCTGGGTCCATCCTTGCTCCATGAGTAGCACAGTGGGAGGGAAGCAAGAAACAGCGTGCGCATGCATACACTCGACTATGGATGAAAACTCAAATCAGAACTATAGACCAGAATCACATCTTTCTAGAGTAACCCACGGGTTGGGTTGGGTTGGGCGGGGCCTTTCCCTCAGCAATTGCAAGAGACGGAAAACATTGCCAAAAATAACTAGGAACTCTGCTCTACAGATCAGGAGTCATACCATTTTAACAATAGCCGCTTCGAATCCATCGTTCGCATTCCTCGATTTACATTGGGCGTGCACGACTAGACCCTGCGGCGTACTTTCCACGTCGGAGCCCTCCATGGCCTCTTCTCTACCTGGTGGGCTCATATATACGGTTCCTTTGTACATCCATTCATCTCTTTCCTCACAATAGACGTCTTCAAACGGTTCCCCACAGAGCGCACAAATGCACTGGCCTTCATCAGCAGGAACCACTGGCTCACTGTTATCAGACTTTGGCATCACAATCTCAAGAGATGTGTTCACTGATTCATCTCTCGTCTCCAAATGCCCAGTGACCAAGTCGCCTAAGTTTGGATACCACTTCAGAGAAGCTTGATCAGAATCACCCACATTAGACTTGGAAGCATGCCAGTTGAAATACCTTTGGATCTCATCTTGACTTTTGAATCTTCCCTCACATGTGACGTCTTGATGCTTCAAATCATACAGGCGATTAATCACTTCCAGGTGATACTCACGGATAACTTCCGGTCTAAATTTTAGGCCTATCAGGCCTTCTTCATCTGCTGATGACTTTTTTGACAAGACAGAACCCTTTGGGGAAGAGGATTCTAACCTAGAGAGCTCATTTGGTGAGGATGTTGGAGGAACAGCACAGGAATCCAAAGTCGTTGCAAGCGGCATAGAAGTGCTGGCGGGAAGAGCTGAACTTCCATCAGTAAGTGGGGTAGACATCTCTGTGATGCTTGAAACTGACTCTTTGCTTGAAGATATCAAACCTTTTTCAACCAACGAACTCAACAGGCTAGAGAGTGGATTTGGGACTGTGCTGGCTGCGTTCATCACCTGTGGTGCAGTACCCATTAAGGATGATGGAAGAGGCCCGGGAGGCAATGGAGGGATTCCACGTTCTAAAGTGTGTGATACAGGAGGCTGCGCATGACCTTTACTAACTGAGGCAATTGCAGATGAAAGTTCAACTGAAGATGCCGTTGTTGACAAAGCTTGGGCAGGATGTGTTCCACCTGGTAGAGGAGGCTGACTGATCAAGCTCTCAAGACTACTTGATGGAGTGATTGAAATAAGTCCACTTTTAGCAATAGCAGCCAACAATTTACTTGTGCTTGAATGGTCCAGTGTACCTCCACTGGAGTTGGCTGTAGAGTTACTCATGAGATTCGATCCATTGTCCAGAGAACCGAGACTCAGAGATGGATGAAGGGATTCCTCTGATTGAGTGGACGAATGAGGCTGCCTCTGCATCTGCTGAAATGAGGGATCAGATTCCGGGGTCTCAGAGAGAAGGAGATGATGTTGGTGCAGAGAAGGAGGCTTTGAGGACTTTTTTATGGTCTGCGAGATTTTGGGTAATAACTGCTGTGAGTTGGGTAAAGTGTTAGACCGTGGAATAGCATTTTGAAGACCGGTAGAAGGAAAAGAATCATGACTGATGGCTGAGGATACCCCCAGGTTTAATTGCCCAGACGATTGCACAGGCTTTTCAGGTCCCAAGGGACCATGATCAGCCGAGTTCTTTGATTTCTGAGGCAGAAGAGCAGAAGATGCAGGTGCATCAGCAAATTGTGGTGATTTCAGGGAGTGATGATGTTGTTTATTGATCATTCCACTGAGTGACGAGACTGCATTCGCCAAAGGACCTAAGTTGGAGGAAGTATCCGCTCTGGTTGGGCCCATGTGATGCCCTCCAATCTTGGGGAACGATAAATCCTTTTCTGTTGACAACTCACTGTTACCAGGAATAGAGTAACTATCCTCTTGCCCTGTAATTCTTGAGGTTGCATTATTTGAACCGACCAGAGAGACATTCATCTCGTGCGACGACCATAGTCCTGGAGCTCGGTGTCCAAAAGTTGTTCCTCTTGAAACAGAATCTGCAGAATGTTCCCTGTTACTCCTTTGCCGAGATTGTTGAAAAGAAGCTGTCGGAGGGTTTTCCGCAAGTTCCTGAGTAAATGGAAATAAGCATTGGTCAACTGAATAAGCAAATCACATGAGATGATCTTTCTTGCTGTCACGCAGTATTTCTACATACAGAGGACTTAATGACAAAAAAAAAACACACGAACACATACGTAGGATGACACGCAGTTAAATCTCTCGAGAACACACCTTTGATTGTATAAGTCTGTCTTCCTTTCCGGATGGCTTGCCCAGCCGAGACACAGAGTCTAGTTTGTTCCACGGACCTTGCAGATGATCAACATCTGGAGTAATCCTTCTGCCTCTTTGCAACCCAGTGGGGTTCTCTGAATCATCACAACTCCATGAATTGTTGGAAACTTCGGAATCCATCAATCTAGAATTCACCAAATCCCACGTATACTCTTCTTCTTCAGAATTCTTCCAGTTCTGAGATGCCATCACGCTGCCCATATTTGTGGTGATTTCTTTGTTTGTTGATGGTTGAATAACTGTCTGCCCAGATCTTGATATTCGGTGGTTTTCACCAGCACGATCTACTTCAGAACTAGTTCTTTCACCAAGCATAGTTTCATGATTACCCTTTCTGATGCTGGACCACGGTTTGTCACTCACTTCTCGCTCTGCAAACCTCCCACTAGCTCTTTGAACCCCGGAATCAGAATGCCGAGAGTAGTCTGAAACAAATTCACGGTCTCCATAACCTTGACCTGAATTTTTCTCAATGGCAGGTTCATTTGAAAGTTCTCTCTGTGGTCGTTGAATTGCCTACAATATATTTTTCATCTGATGTTTCAAAATACATAAAAACTTTAAAAAGTACAGCGTAAATATATTAAGACCTATTTGTTTCCTCCAGAAAATATGGAACTATTTGAATCAGAAAAAGAAGGGGAAGAAACATTAATATGCACCTTTATTGATGGATCTACCCACTGCCTTGAACTACCAAACGTAGACACTCTATCAGCTCTCTCCACAGCCTCCATTGTGCTACCCGCCTTACCAACATTATCACCGTTGGCTGCTTTCACCTTAATGATCGCAAATGTGAAGAACATTTAGCTAAGTGAAGCACATTCACAAGTTGAGAATCACAGACATTGACGATTTAGTTTAAAAGCATATGAACCTCTCAGTCAATCAAACGAAACCACCTGTAAATCGCGACTTTAAAATAGCGACTTAGTGGGAAACTTTTACAACACCTGTCAACCCTACATCATCAAAATAGTAGTGTGTGGCCTATTGAAGATTATCATTATCAGGGAAGAAGAATTGTCGCCAGTACTAGTAAAGACGATCATTTTGAACGACTTACAGGTAATTAACCTTCACGAAACCCTCAAATATTATACATCTATGACGGCATTTCTTAACATTGAGAACGGATGGAGCAATTCATAACATCCCGAAGCATAACAATTAATCCAACTCAAGCAAGATTCTATAAGGTCGAAATATGAGTAAAGAGCAAGAACATGCCCGTACTGAGAGGGCTCCAATAGGTGCCAAGGGAAATGAGAACCAATCAATCAATACTCCGTATTTTCATAAATAATATCTGGCAGCCATGAGCATATTAAAAATTCGAGAAAAAAAACATAAAAACTTTCATTAGTCATTGATAATGGCACGACTGTCAAAAATGTACAAAATTAAATGACAGATAGTCAATAAATTACCTAAACGCTAAGTCAATAAACACAGACATCAATAGATGGTTGATCAGCAAAATTACAGGAAACTTAAACCAAATGTTCTAGTTATGGCACACGGAAGAATGTTAACCCGCCTTATGTCCCTATGTACAACCTATATATCGTTTAGCCCTGACTCTCAATGATCAATGACTCTCAACATCTATGGAGACGTAGTAGTATCTTTCTTTCCATCACAAATGACACACTTCGTCTGCTCCCAGACAAAATGACAGGAAAACAGCAGCGAAAATCCTCTTGAGTAAGAAACCTTAGTAGAAGGATTCAACAAATGTTTCATTGAGACAATCATGATTGATTGCCTTTTTAAGAAAACAATCAGCTATCAACGCAAGGCAAGATTAGCCATTTGGCATCCAACTCTTCCTTGAAGGAATATTTTCCTAAAATGTACATTTCATTAAAAAAACGTACTTTTCAATATAGTGTACCAGAAACGCCCGATTGGGTATTCCAGATCGACAACGTGGGGGAGAAAGTTGAAACATGTCAATGCTCGTATATACCCGAAAAAATAAATAATATATTCAGTGTAGTAGCTTACTCGGCTTGGTTGCTGAAGTTGTTGTCTTGCCTCTAAATATTTTGGATTTACATGAATGCTATGGGGTGGGCGCTGTGCCTGGGAGTCAGGCCTCGAACCTGTGCCTCCAGAAGATGAACCATTGACAATAGGAGGAAAACCAAGCTCTTTTTCAATGATCATAAGTGGAGCTGGAGGGAAGACACCTTTCCATGTTCCAAAGAGATGTCTCATCCCTTGATGTATTGAAGAATCAACCTGTTTATAGGCTTTGCAGAAGACCTGAAAGAGTACAACTATCAATAGCACATAAAAGGAAGCAAGATAAACAAGAATGCATTCAAAACTGAAAGAGCAATATGAAAGATGAGTGCATAGTGCATTCAAAACTGAGAGACGAAACAATAAGCTTAGACGTTTTCTGACCAAAAAAATGACTACTTTGTATAATATGACTGATGAAGAATCCAACCTCAGGTAGTCTGGCCGCAAAATATTTAATATAGTCTCTTCCAATATTCTTTACAATGCTATCAAGAAGATAGAGCGAGGGTAGCTTTTGGTCACTAGGCACCTGCAAGTTAAAGACGTCAGATTACACTCTATGGATGCCTAGGGTAAAAGGAGAGAGGACGAGAAATGAATTGATAAGATTAGACAAGAGAGAAAGAGATTTCATAAGCAATTGTTGAACATTGCTCCTGCAAACTGAACAAGTGAGAAATATATAAGTCACTAAACGAAGATGGCCAACACATTCCAATAAATGGTTTCAACAAATATTAAATCTGAAGAAAAGTCCTTGTTTCGATACCAAAACAATAACGGCTGACAATGCATATGAAGATGTTCTCATTAATTACATGACGAAAACTCGTGTCACTTTGTTCCTCACCAGAAAAAACAAAAAATCGTTTCATTGATGCTTAGCAAGTCTATTTTTTCTCTAGTCCTCAAGAGAGGAAAGACAGATAACAGTCCATTGATCCCTTTAATATTTTCAGAGAGTCATACGCTTCATAGTTCCTCAGCTTTCTTTCTAGGTAAAACCCCCGTACAGATGTAAAGTGACATTATGCTACCCATCACAAAATAGATGTAAAGTGGATATAGTCGCCAACTTCAGTCTTACCCTACAGCGACCTCACGAGCAATTATTTTCCCTTTCCCCATGCTTCCTAACAGGCATGCACTAAATGAATAATGCTCATAGACGATCAGCGGGATTCTAACGAGAGATGAAGAAATTTTTCTCTGCATGGTTCATTGGATGAAAGCCAGGAGATATTTAATATTCTGTATCAAATATGGACGGTCCGCTGTAATCTACAAGGCAATAGATGATCAATCCTATCACAAAAGTAATTTTTGTTTAAGCAGATAAAAGCTAAAAAGAGGGGGGGGAAATCCATGGCCGTAAAAATGATTTCAGCCAATCTGACTGTCCTATCCAAATTAAAAGATAACGTTGCAAGCATTAGGGATTGTTCCATCAGTACTCGGAACTAGAGAAAATACAAGGAATATTGAATTGTTGTTTCAAATAGGTCACCCAATAAGCTTGATCCCTATTCTTTTTTCAGTGCATTCAAGTATTTTATCGTTATCATGTTAATTAAATAGCTTGTAACTGCAGCTTTCTCCCTTGTTCAGTAATTGATAGTTACATTTCATAAACATATATTAATGGTTCGCCAGTGATTAGGGAAATCAGCATCTAACATCACGGTATAGATGTCAAGTCAAAACCATAAGACGAGAATCATTTCACCATGAACCTTTGTTGTGTAAATAAAAAAAAGATGGTCTGAGTACTTCTTGACTATTTGACTCAGTCAGAAAAGGCCCAACCATATGAATGATCCCATAGATGCTGCATTTCATTAGTATCTATTAGTTTCCTTTCACAATAACTTGGGTAAAGAGGAGGTCCTTGGACATTCTATTCACCCATATTTTGCTCCAGATATACAATTTTAAGTGACTAATGTATGTTTGACTGTCACAAGAGCATAGTCAAATAAACCTACTTTATTGCATTATTTTTTCCTGTAGTTTCCTATCCATCCTAGCCACTGGATGTTATTTTCCGTCCATCCAATTCATGGTTTACTGTTCCTAAAAGAATATTCTTCAAACCAATACATCTACTGAACCTCTAAACTGAAATAGTATGCAAGGAAAACATCATTATTATCAAATATTTTCCAACATTATAATAAAGAATTAAAACATCTGGCAGATGACGTTTAAAACGTGATACAGGCTCCTTCTGTGACAAAGTTTGTACATTCCTAAACCAACTAATCAATTTCTCATTATCACGGTAACCAGTAAGTTTACATAGCTCCCAATCATCCAAGCATACAATCAAACGTAGAACATGAGATGAACAAACTCCATAAGATCACCATTCCAGCAACCATTAAATTTTAGTAAATCAATATAATCTTTTCCTTTTTGAACATCCACTGAACAGTTACGAAGGCCATTCTTCAAATCGGCCTTTCAAGAAGGCATAGATGCTCGAGCAGGAATGAATAGCAGTTATGGGGACGTCAAGAAAATCATTCACAAAAAAAAAAAAAACCATTCCATTCCATTTCATGTCTTCGAAGATGAGACAACCACTTTTCACAATCTATCTCAGGCATTGGCATACTACTTACCAAATGTCACTCCATACGCACTTTCTCAGGTGTTGATAGAATGAATAACAGGATCCTTGATGCACAACAATTGTCAAAATTTCGGGATCCACCCAAGTAGAAGGAAAAAAAGTAAAAAATACTCGATTCATTCACTAATCGCGATTTCCAGCGTACAGGAGGACTTTGTTTCATATCTTTTTCGCTCGCTTCACCAACTAAAGTGGTTGGTTTAGTGAGTTTCTGGCATAAATACTTCTCATAAGCAGAGAGAACGAGGAAAACAAGAGAGGACAAGGGGAGCGAGACCTGAGTCGATCGATTATCATCCAGAATACGCTTAAGAGATAAACAACTGGGGAATCAGTTTCACCTCGAGAATATTGGCGCAGATGACGGCGGCAATCGCTTTGGCTGCGTGTAAGCTCTCCCCGGCGATAATCGTCAGGTTTGTGATGATGGGCTTCGAATTGAAGGTAAGCTCGGCCAGGGCCGACTTGTACTGCGCGGCCAACTCCTGCATCTGCTGCTGCTGCTGATAGGAAGGGCCCCGGAAGGCGGCCGCGGGCTGATCTTCAACCCTGGAATCTCTCTCGCGCTCGTTCGCCCTCAACCTGGACGCCCCCGGGTTGGGCACCCCACCCGCCAAGGGCGCCGCAGCCCTCGGGAGGAAGGGTCGATCTCGATCGGGACCGGCGCCCTTACCAGCGAGGACACCGCGGGGATCCCTCTCTGCCAACTCCCCCAGGCGGGGCTTCTTGAGGAGACCCGGCTCCTTCGATCTGTCGAGGGATCTGCGCGAGCTCTCCATCTCCATCCCGTCGCAGATGCGGAATCAAAGCCACCACGAGAGACGCCCAAACCGCTGCTCTAACATGGAGCCGGAACGAGCAGCGGATGGAAGCGGCGGCGGCGGCGGCGGGGGAAGAGGATCCGCGAGGGAGCGAGGGAGGGCGAGGCGAGGGGACAGGGGGGCACGGGAGGTAATTAAACGGGCCGCAGGGGGGCTGTTTTTTTTCTTAAATGGCGGACGCTGACGGCGGGGTGCTTTGGGTAAAATCGTTATCAGGAACACAGCCACACACCTAGTATCCAATATGACTAAAATACCCTCAACCCCCATCTTCCTCAACCTACGAACGTACAAGGGACCGTATGGACACTAACGTGTAGCCGGGCTGGCTCATGTGGGCTGGCCATCGACGTTGGCCCATCAGAGCTCTCCCCCGATGGGCCTCACCCCGGCGCAACTGAGGCGATCGGCCCATCTAACTAAGGCAAGAATATGACCCACATCCCTATGTTTGAGACCCGGGGGCGTCACCAGAGCGCCCATTGTGAGGCGGAGTCCAGGTGGCCGTCCACGTGGTCCAAGTCGAAGGCCCAGAAGAGGGTGGTCGGGGAGAGGAGCACCCCCTCCGCCATGCTGACCAGCAGCCCCGGCAGGTCGAACAGCGCATCCTCGTCTAGGAACGCCGTTGCGAGCGGCGCCGGAGCTTCAACCGGCATCGGCGGTGGCGGCGACGAGAAGGAAGGGGCGGAGAGGGGGGCCGGGGGGGAGACGGGGTGGCGGAACATCGCCGCTGCCTCGACGACGGCGCTTCTGATGTCGTCGGCGGCGGGGGACTGGGCGCGCGGGAGCAGCCACTCGGAGTCGGGGAAGTTGAGGACGGCAGAGCGCCCGCGCAGAGCGAGCGCGGCGACGTCGTGGGCGCGAGCGGCCATCTCAGGCGTGGGGAAGGTGCCGAGCCAGTGGCGCTTCTCGTTGCGCGGCTCCCTCACCTCGCAAACCCACTTGCCGCCGTTGCGCTCCCTCACCCCGCGGTACACCGGATGGCGCGTCTCCCTGAACTTCTTCCTCCCCGCCCGCCGCTTCTCCGTTCTGCCCGACGACGACGACGGCGACGACGATGAAGCAGAGATGTGCGGAGGAGGCGCCGCATCGGAGGAGAAGGAGGATGACGACGACGAATCAGAGGGCGAGCACCCCGAGTCCATGTAGCCTACTGGCGGTCACGTCTTCCTCGACGGACTGTTAAAAAGGGGGAGACAGCGGTGTGTGTGTGGTGTGTATGTATTGTATGTTACACCGTCCCGAGAAGACCAGTGAAGAAGGAGGGCCGAGGCACGAGAGAGAGAGAGAGCGACGGAATCACAGAGAGGAAAGGAGAGCGAGTGTAGTATATACCTGGGGGGGGTGCAGTCGTAAGGTGGAATATAAGGGAGGAGGACAGAGCCGGACGTCGAGCTCTACGACGAGAGCGACGCGATGTGCGGAAACTTGCCACACGTGTGTGAAATGTGTATGAGCACAAACCCGGAACCACATCTGACGGCGATTCGAAAAACGGCAGAAAAAGGTCCACGTTTCGAAATATTTCCCTCGCCACATTTAAAACGTGCAACCTCTCGAATTAAAGATGCTTTACCGTCTTGACGGAATCAACGACTGCAAGCAAGTAGGGATGGACGGAGAGCAATCGGGTTGACCTCGTCTCATTTCCTGATTCCCTTCGCGTGCAAATTCATTCCGACAATACTCTCCCTTTCCCTGAGACGAGTCAAGGCCGATTGCTTCAGTTTTCATTTGACCGCAGCGGGCTGGGTTATTCTATTCGACTGTTTGACGGAGGAAGTCGCTCGTGACCTCACCCGTGTCTGCCCGGGATAAGCTCGGCTGATCCGAGCGCACCCACCAAACGAGAGAGATGCTCTTCTGGAGACTCTGGTTGGCTGGCAGCGGCGCGTGGAGTCTCAGATCTCACTCGCTAGAACGAACCGAGAATAAACTGACAACCCGGCAGAAGACCACTGTTGCCGTTCCCAGCCGGGTCGGCTTCTCAGGTGTCTCGGACTTTCAATGTCTTCCCTCGGGCCCAACTCCGGGGGAGGAGAGGAGGTCAACGGACGGCGCGGCCGGTGTGAGGATATCCCGGGGGTGAAGGTGGGGAGGGGACTCGAGATAGACGCTCAGGGAGACGAGCTTATAAACAAGTGGGATTACAGGGGCCCACCGCCATCATCTCTGATCGAGCTCCCGTCCCCGCAAGGGGTGGTGGGAGGGACAAGGGGGAAGGGGGGGAAGCAAGCAAAGGCTCACTTCTTCTCGCCCTTCCGCTCAAGCAGCAGAGAGGGCTGGTTACTTGTCATGGGCTAGAAGAGTTCAAACTCCACCCTCTCTCCGTGGGTTCTGAACTCCAGGCACCCGCCTTCCTTCTTCCCGCGGCTGCTGACTGCTGCTGGGGCCGGGGGTACTGGGGCTGGCGGTGGCCGGGTTTCAGGGGGGGCGGCGCATCTGATCAGAGCCCAGTTGAGACCCTGGAAGAAAGGATGCTGCTTGATCTCGGCGGCGCCCCTGAGCGAGCCCAGCCTGTCCTCCGGCTCCTTGACGAGGAGCCCCCGGATCAGGGCCCGAGCCTGGAGGCTCACGCCCGGGCTCGCGGGGAACGTGAGGCTCTGGGTCACCACGTTGGCGAGGGTCTCCTCGTTCCCCGCCCCTTTGAAGGGGGTCCTCCCGAACAGCAGCTCGTACAGGAAGATCCCCAACGTCCACCAGTCCACCGAGCTTCCGTGGCCGTCGCCCTTGATGATCTCCGGCGCCAGGTACTCGTGCGTCCCCACGAACGAGTTCGACCGCGCCTCGGTCGGCTCCGCCACCAGCTGCGGCAGCGCCGCCGGCCCGCCGGCGAGCTCCACCTTCTTCTTGCCCCCCGGCGTGGAGGCGGCGGCGGAGGGCCCGAAGCAGGAGACCTGGACCCACGAAGGGTGGAGACAGCGGGGGTCGACGCAGCTCGAGGATTCAGCACAAGTGCCCGATGCCCTCCTTCCCGAATCTCCTACGCCCAGCGACGACGACGACCGGAGGAGGGTCGGGCTCACCGAGCACCGAAGGGACAGGTCAAAGTCCGAGAGCATGATGTGGCCGTCTTCTCGCACCAGAATGTTCTCCGGCTTCAGATCGCGGTACACCACTCCGAGCATGTGGAGGTACTCCAGGGCGAGGAGGACTTCTGCCACATAAAACCTGCACCGGCCACGGCAACGGCATGCATCATAACCCATGAACGTATTGTTCCAGTAAAGTATCTACTACTAAACTACGCCTGCATGCTGAATGGCATGTTCCCCCCAAGGTCCTCCCCGAGATAACTTACTGCACAAGCCTGAGCCGGAGCATCACAAAGTCAAATGAAAAAGTGCACCCTCTATGTTACGTGATTTACCACCCGTTCCGGGCTCTCCCTATCCTTGTAATTCCTACCATGCAGTCTAGCCTACACGAAGCCTGACTTTAATGCACATTTGACACGGAGACTAATTGCATGCTCACACAGTGAAAGATAGAAAATCCCGACTTGGTTTTGACCGGAGGGAAAACAGATTCACTGATTTGCGCCGGAAGAAAATCCGGTTTCCATTTAAGATCTCTACCGACAGCTCCCCTCTAGATGAACCGTAAGAGAAAACACCGACTGAAACAATCACAAGAATACCTTCAACACCTTGAGTAAAAAAAAAAGAAACTACCAATTTCAGATTTCCCACTAAACAAATTAGGATCTGCGGGCAAGAACAGGAGAGCGATTGAGATCCTAACTCCATACGACAACGGGAGGGGGAGAGAGAGAGAGAGAGAAGGCCACTGACAGTGCATGAGATCAAATGCTTCTATTTCGGAATCCAAAATGCTAAACAAGAGATCCAGTTTACACAGGTAAAAGCTACGTACCTGGCTGCTGGCTCAGAAAAGCTCCGGCCAGGCTGCCTCTGTCGAAGGACATGCAAATCACCACCTGGGCAATATTCCATGACCAAGCATGAAAGATTATCCGTGGTAAAGTAGGTGTACAATGTTGGAAGAAATGGATGATCCAGAATCTGCAGGATCTCTCTTTCAGTCTGTGCTCTTGACATCTTCTTTCTGCTCAACAAGAAATCATTATCCATAACTTTCAAGGCAAATAAGCATTCGGTGCCGATTAGTTCAGCAAGATACACGGTTCCAATATCTCCACAACCAAGCCTCTTGAGAAGGATAAAATTGTCCAATCCTATGCTCCCTTGGTGCATCTCAGTTTCCCGGATGGCAATCCATCTGAAGTCTTTTGACATATGAGGTCTACAGCCACGGCCACTAGAGGTGCTTTGGCTGCTTTCATCACTTACACTTGTGCTACTGCTGTGATCACCCATGCTACTTTTTGAACTCTGTGAGCTTTCTCCTTTTTCCTTTGATCTTGCACCTTCACTCACTTCCCCTCTTAGAACCCCATCACCATTCCCACTGTCAACAGTACAGTCATATTTCGTCGCATTACAGATATTTCTTTTCGGAGTAACGGGGTTATTTTGTTTTCTATGACTCGCTGCAGCCAAAGAGGGCTCCTTTTGGCATCCCAGTTTAGTATTATTAGAGCGAAATGTATCACCTTCGCTGCAGGCAACAGAGTGACCAGATGCAGGAGTCGAATCATTCCCTTTGAAAAAGATCTTGTTCTTCAGTGCTGGTCTAGCCGGGCACGGACTGGAACATGATTTAGTCGTCTGATTCCCAAGTTTTGGGGTGGAATCACGCGCCTGAGTTTTTGACTTTCCCTTAACTCCAACCGATGATTTAATTCCAAAATCCGTCAAAGGAGAAGCAATCACATCCTTCACTCTTGGCTTCATCACCTTCTTTGCAGCTCGTGGTGATGTATGCGAATGGATACCAGTTTCAGTGGATCTTTCTACTTTGCAAGCTTCAGCAGATCCAGACGTTCTCCCACAAAACTCTGGATCAATCTTCTGTGGCACAATCGAAATCTCAAACAAACTGCCTTTCTCTTTATCTACTGATTCGTTGGACTGAACGACAACAGATGCATATAGCCTTTTAATATTTCCAGCTTCAGAGACGTCAGAGATGCCAACTGGCTTTGACAGCCTCTTCATAGCAGCCATTTCTGATGCCTGAGAGATGCACAACTTTCTCAGCGCCTGCTTTAAAGTAACAGATTCTGATATTCCAATGCCTGATGATTGAGGGAAACCACCAACTCTAATTGGCTTCTTTAGGGTATTTCTTTGCTGCAGGTCGACGCCTACCTGACAGAAGGGGCTTTTAGGCCTAGGGGTTGTACCCAAATCAACTGCTTCAGCCAGCGGTCCACGTCCATATCCATCACCATGACCATATATTTTTTCGAACCTGGCATCTACTCTCACCTTACAGTTAATTGGCTTAAGCCCCTTAAAATGATGTGCATAATTTACTTCATCCTCTGTCATTATCTCACAAGCTCCACCAGACGAAGACATTTTCTTCAGCTCGTTCACTTGCTTCCTCAGTACCTCAAAGATTACAACAAAACCCAAACGACTGTGCTTCCTCACTCTAATTTAATTCTTTTCCAGGTATCTGATCGAAAGAAAAGATGGATCACGAAATATTCACAAGAACTTAAATACCAGTTTCTTTCAAAATCCTGATTCGAGCACTAGAAAAATCTCTCTTTTCATTTTCCGAAGTGATTTCAGAGGTTCCAATAGATAACTTTCATTTATCCCGCCATTCCACACACTTCCTCGGTAAAACCTAAGACTACACCAAAACACAGGAACTATAGTAGCATCCTCTAACCGTGAGAGACATCTTGCGGAAATAAAACACAGATCCTGTAACATAAGATCTTATAACCGTGAGTCAATGTATCAGCTCCCGCAGCATGTTTGTAGATGGATTCTCTTTCCGATTCTTCCCCAGACAGAATAAACCATCCGAAATCTGCACGAATAAATAATTCCACATCATAAAAAGATCCGGAAAAAAAGCATGGAGAATTCGAAAATTTCCGACATATTACCCAAAAAAGATTTAAGAAGCAACTAACACAATCGAGACTCAACACATAGCAACAAAAGAGAGGTGATCATAAATTTCCACAGTTTATCAAGGAAAAAAAAATCAATTAATCAAGCAGTAGGTGCAGAAGTCTAATTAAAGAACTAAACAGAAGATACATAGGATAACAGAAAAAGGAAGTGAAAGACCAGAGAGTACTTGTAGACTCCAATGCCAAATGATTGCAGGAAACCACCAAGACGTTGATTATAGGCAACTCTTGTGGTTTACTTGAACCAGCTTTGGGAACCTGGTGGACGATGATAATACTGGATACTTTCAGCATTTGGTTGAATTATCTTGATAAACGAACCATGGAGTGATCATCACCAGCATGATTCCCCACCAAAACAAATGTAGAGAGAAAATCCAAGATGGAACAGCACCCTAAGGAATTGATTATTATCTAATCCGAGGCCGTGGTGGTATTTTCTATGTCTCCACGACTGGAGTACTGGAACAGTGCCCTGAGGAATTGATTATAGACATGGCAAATTCCTTAGTTAAGTTCAGATAGGTATATGAAGTCCAATGGGGCTACGTGGAAGAATAGGAAAACTGGCATCGGGTTTATGGTAAATACAATTATTCATGGGAATTCACATCGGGTTGGAAAACTAAGATTTCTACATCTGCAACGATGAATCATCTTATACATTCAGAAACAAAATCTCTGATTTTTTAAGAAGAATATTTAAACATGAAAATATCCATAAAACTACTAGATATCAAAGTTCACACAAAACCGACCAGTTCATTTACCATAGGGACCACACGCTTTCGAACATTACACAAACGAAATGAAGCAACTTCAGAAAAACATGGACATGGCGGATCCACGGATCGTGGCATTACACTCGCTCGTCTACTATTTTCCCCACTAACTAATCCTCTCCATAGGCGTCCAGAGGAATGCCATCCTACTACCTCAAAAAACAGAGGGCTACAACTCGGAAAGCTACGGAAAAGGAGGACTAGGTATACCACAACATGAACTCTTAGGAGCATCAATCCCCGGAAGCATGATCTACACGGGGCTAGACGATACAAAATAAATACGAAAACAAAATAAGACAGCACATTGCCCTCCAATGATCCAACTAAAGTCATCCGACTACCTAGCGCACAAGCACCCACCCAGAGGGGAAAGCTGAGGCATTCAACTCACCTCAAAGTGGTCACCAACTCCGATCCTAGGCCCAGTCGGATGCGTCAGTTCGGAGACCGCTCCGTCCCGGCCCAAGCAGTTAACGACTCACCTCCCAATGGAGTGATAGGAGACGGGAACCGAGAATCAATACAGGGAAGATCTCCATTCCCCCGGCAGCTGCGAGAGAGAGAGAGAGGACCTTAGGGTTGTTGACGGTGGCCGGTGGCGAGAGAGACGGGGAGAGAAGCCCTCACTTTCACAGCGAACAAAGTAGAGAAAATGTCGAAAATAGGGGAAATATAATAAAGAGATATTCCGTCCCCCTCGTCGCGTCCTCCCACCCCTGCACGAGGAGCCAGAAGAGCCTTCATAAGTAGGCCTAGTATATATCCATTATTACATTCATGCCACTGATTTAATCGCCCCGCGCTCCGCACCGTTGTCACTGAGAGGGGAGCTGGCGAGAAGTGATCCGCACCGTTGGTCCGCCCCGGCATTAACGCGCACATCGCGCACCACGTTTCCGCGACCGGTGGCCGCCGCGCCGCCGGAGCACGTCGAGGGAGCCGCGGTGATGACATCACCGACTTATGGAAGAGCACATGCCCCGGCCACGTCACTGTCCGCCGTGCCGACATGTACAGCGATCTTTGCGCCGCCCGAATTTGGCGGAGCATTGGATTCCCCCGCCGTCGAGTGGCCGTCGACGTAAATCCCCGCAAGGTGAGGGGCCTTTCTCGTCGTTTGTAATCGCCGACGACGCTGACAACTAAAATATATATCCGGGTGAAGGAACTTCTCCGCTGTGGTGGTCACGTTGGCCAAAGCACCGATACTAATAAGATATCGAGCGGGCCGTCGCCGCCGCCTGCGGGAGGCAGGCATCCCCCACATGCCCTGTCCTCCGACGAGGACGAACGGTGGGGCCCGCTATCCTCCGGGCAGGAGCGAGAGAAGCCATGTGATCGATAGGCCTGCTCCATCTCTTGTTTCAGCTGTGCTTTGCGCAGGTGGTCGAGGGGTTGGGGTGCCGCCGTGGTTGAAGGGAACTTCTTCCTACCGGCATGCTCCGACGCCGGAACAGGAAAGACCGAACTGGGCTAGGTGACGTCATACAACTTCCTAAAAGAATGGCCTTCCATATAAAATCTGGGCTACACCAGTCAGCAAGTAGACGGCATCCATCAATCGCACGAGAGCAATACTCTCTCCGGCGCGTCCTGCCGTCGATGAGATTCCGGCGTTAAAAGACCCACAGAAGCTCTCGGTTCAAAAACCAGGCATCTCTTCTTCTTCCTCTGCTTCGAGAGGAACTCGGCTACGTCGAGCAGAAGCATCCCCCAAGGAATGGCATTATCCAGCCGTGGCATCGCGTTAGGAGTCATCAGAACGGGGCTTGTGCTTTCTCTTCTTGCTGGCACTCTTCACCTTTGACGCAATCTTCGGAGACGGGTCTTTCTGTCTCACACGAGACACCCCATTACTCTCCTCGTCAAGAGTGGTCTCAACCACAGCCTCGCCCGTCAGACCGTCGTCTTCAATCTCCCTCTTTCTGGTTTTGGCTCGCTTGGCCTTCTTCCCCTTGGAAAGTTTCCTGCTCACACCAGCAGCTGGCTCATCATCCTCGCATTCTCTGGCTCGGGCTTCCTCGAGATTATCGATCTCGGAATCATATCGCTCGTCGGCAGCGCCAGTCGCAACTTCTGTTGACAGAACAGATACGAGCAAGAGAGACCAACGTCAGGGTAGGATGGAAGCAGAGCCAGCGAGGAACGTGACATTTACCCAGTTACTCATGGATACGAGATACAAATGTGATGAAAGAGGGTAGGGAAGATCAACCTTCGTCGGAAAAGCTTGAATCGAACGCCACATTTGTGAGATGCTGCTTGAGAAAGACCTGCCCCAACAGTAACCAGAGAATCAGTATGAAATTTAGCTACGCCACATCCGTGAGCATTAGGAAGAATAAATCCGATTCATCAAACTTAAAAAGGCACGCGGAATGGATCATCATAGTCCCAACAAATGGAGAACCACGTTGTTCATCCCAACTTAAAAAGGCGCGTTGCACTCTTTGATGAGAGTGCAAAGGAAAGAACTCCAGTTAATATTTATGGTCATTCTGGCCGCCAGCTCCGAAAAAAACCTCACACTGGACGGATTCAGGGGATGAACGGTTGACCCCTGAATGAGTAACTAGTCTGAAAATGCTAGATGCATAGTTATTCTAACATAATGCTGAGCATATTTCCCCAGGATCATAAAGTAAAAAGACAGAATATTCTAGTTCAAACAAAAAAGGCACCATTTCATCAAAGAGTTCATTATTATGATAGACGCGATCCCAATTTCTTCCACCAGCTTGACTACAATGAGAAATGCATAAATAGTCGTCCATCCTTCTAGCACTTTTAGGATCTCTAGAGTTGTATACAATTCAGGATTCTTAGGATCTCTAGATTTGGTAGCTACTTCGCCTTGCTTTCTCTCGCCGCTATTGATGATTTCTTCCATATACAATGAATTCTGAGGAAAATGCCACCTACACAGCTACGTAAGAGACAACTACTGTCCACCTCACTTTTTCCTGGCATTTGACCCCCCATTAATTCAATTATGCTGTACAGCAATGAATGATAAGTAGCCTATTTTTTCACATGGCACTGTAATCTATTGGTGACAGAGTGGCGCATTTTTCTGGTAGAACCAAATTAAAATATTATAGAATGGAACATGATTTCAAGCTGCGAATAGATGCACACCGCTGAAAGAGGCTGCCTCGACCTTGTATCCCACAACCGCAAATAGCCATCAAGTCCTGAAGGATACCCGATAAAAGTAAGGAAGAAGTATATGGGGGTAAGTGTATGATGAAGTACAGATGCCTTGAAAAGAAATTACACGGGCAAAAAACTAAATGAAAATAGTCATATGGGAATAACAAAATGAGGCAACCAGTTCCTATGAGATTAAAAATAGTCACTAAAATAAAATGGAAGAATTCAGCTAAGAAAGCACAACTCGTTTAGGAAAGAGGTATAGACAATATATGCAATGGCCGCTATAATCCTTGAAGGCTCACAACTGGCCGCATTCCATTCGAATCTCACAAGACTTTGTAGAAATAAGCCATGGCGGTCACAAATATGGAAAGATGTGAATATGTTTACTGCCATTCACATTTGAAGCTAGCAGGCGGAAGCATTAATCTCCACTGACACTCAACTTTTCAATGGATGCCATGAGATGCACAGAATATGAACTAAAGTCGTATGCAGTCTATCAAGCGTCCTTCACGAAGAAAGACAAAGTAAACTATTCAAAAAGATTAAGGAATGCCCACATACAATTACAACATCCAAATAGATAGCCAAATTCTAATCATAAAAATTATTAATTATGATTGTCTGCTGTGTCACTAGATCTCATTGCGTTTAAAAAATATACAAAAAATGAAAGGAATAAAAACACCATGGAAGCGCATAGTTATAGACTTAACTCACCACATGATGCAATCACTTGCAGATCAGGATGCCTTGCAATGGACCTAATGCTTCCACAACACTTACCAATAAAGCAACCCAACAACCTTCCTGAGATGATGGAAAAACAAAATCAAGATAGTGGTTAAGTTTACTTTAAAGACCAGATATCATCACAAACCTGTCCGCATGTCAAATGATGCCAGATCACCAGATCCAGTTCCTACGTAGACAGTATTGCCATCCACATCCTCGGCAACTGACTTAATTGAAGACTCGCGAAAATCTACTGAAAAAACGGGCCTTCTTTGCGCAGAAATATCATAAAGTCGAACCTATCACGGCAGTAGAAATTATAAATAAATGTATCACGGAACTATAAATATTTTTTTCATAAAAAAATCAAATATGAAGGTAACAAACCTATTTAAAAAATTATCAAAACGATATGGCCTTTAACAAAACAGATAAATTTTGAAGAAACTGCATTCCACTAAACTTTCAATATACCTGATGACTGTTAGTCCCCGCAACAATTTTCCTACGGTCATGTTTGCTGAGGAACGATGCAGCAGTGAACCAAGTAGGAGTGAATATACCAAGGTTGTTTGCAGGAGGCTTTGAACACATCAATTTTACCAATGAGTATGCCGTTACATGAGATTGAAAAAATAGGAAATACAAAACCTTACAGGTTTTGCGGTCCAGATCTTCTGGCACTTGTCAAGGTCCCACACATTCACTTCAACGCCCTTCCTGAATTTGACAGGGAAAAATAGTTGACTCTTCAGTTTGGACGGACATAATGATCCACAGACGTTAATACGACCAGATAACCAGGGCATGACATTGCCTTACTAACTTTGTGCTTAGGGCAACCGTGAGATACCATGTAAACTTCATCTCGACATAAACTTATTTAATGGCCTTCATGAACAGTTGAGAAAAACTGATAAACTAAAATAAAAATTTCTGCTGAACTATCGATAGTCACCGGAAACAATGGTCTTTTATAGAGAAACTCTTTAACCCTTCATTGACGCTATATGATGATAATATATTGCACGCTTTCATAATCATGTTCACTCCAACAGCACAGCAACATCGTGCAATATGGTATAGTCATACTAATCTTTTAACCAAAAGAATACATGAGATCAAGCCAATATCTTGCTAAAAATGAAAAGAAATTAAACAGCTTATTTCTAAATTTGGGAACTTACCCAGCAAATAAGGCATGACCGTCATTTCCATCCAGTGAAGAACATAAAATTTTACCAGCGGAGCACACATCCCATAAGTTTGGGGAATCAACGAATGAGAAATCCTCCAGGGCCTCACTAAGTTTGAAGGACCTTAGGCAGGCTTTTCTATTTTCCGTACAGACGAGTAGCGTGCTTAACCTGAATGAAATACGAAAGTCAATAAATTATCCATGTGAAGGTGCAGCAACCGCATTACAGCTAATTTGTTCAAGGTTGAATCACATCTGCCAAATGAACTGACGAACATGTAAGTACGATAAAGGACACAAGAAGAAACAAATAAATTGATATGGTGGATTAGCATTTGATTTTAATTAACGCATAACCTGTATATTACCGGTGCTTCTGCCTAATATCATAGAGATGGATAGCCCCACCACTTAATTCAGCACCATTGTCATTACATGGCATTACTATACAAGAATATCAAACCGTGCTCATTTCTCCTGGAAGTAACAAGACAATACCTATCAATGGTCTTTGCAGGGGAAACCAATTTGTGAAACCAATGCACAAAAATTAGTATCGTAGATACACATCCAGATCAATCAGATGACAGGAGGCAGTACGCCAGTGTATCACAACACAACCCGTCATATGGCCAAGGACTTTTTTTTCCATTTGCCTTTGCTTCATCATTCGGAAAGTGCGGTAAAAAACGTAAGTAAGTCAATAGTCAGATAGAAGACTGTAGAATATATTAAACCAAGTTTCCAACTGAATTATATATCAACATATACTACTCAGTATATGAATATAGGCTGCAACCAAAAAGAAATCAACCATACCTAGATGACTGCTCCGGATTCTTTCCCTTAAACAAATGCAACCCAACAACAGCGTCATCTTTATCAATTTTTCCTTCTAAGCCGACTTCGTGTAATAAAAATGATGTAAGAGTATCACCATTCAAGGGATTGCGCAACTCCACCTGAGGTTCACGGAGTGTGATCAGCTATGACCAAGAAGGAAAATGATTTAACGAATTAAAGAAAAGGAACTTGTTCTATCCGATGTATGATAGGACTCACACTGCCATTTTTTCGAGCAATTGCCAAAAGCTGCAAAAAGAGGGAGAGAAAGTGTGATTAACATTTATACGATGATAGAGTTCTGTTTGGAGTGAATCCCGAGAAAAGGTCATAACTAAACACCATCAAGAGAGATCTTGCCCCAGCCAAAACAAAACAAAAAAAAATAAATCTTTGTCCTTTAATCATATACCACTAGCATACTCGTGGACTAAAAAATCCATAGAGACCATTAAAAAGTATCCATTCATATAACCACAGAACAACACAAAATGATGCGTCAATAGTTAACATGACTGAGGAAACTCGTGTGGTCCTTTGTAAACCCTGACAGAAAAGGAAGAACGTGACCTAACTTCTCCCATGTGACCGTCGGAGTCGGATGAAGCATTTTTAATGTGCATCTCATAAAATAAAATTTAGCTAAAGTAAGTTTTTGTGAAAACGTTTGCTCTTGGGGAATTCGTCGCTATATACACGCTTACCATAACCTGTAATAACCTCACATAGACCAGATGTAACCATAGCGTGTTGATTTATAAGCAATGTCAGACAATGTTTAGCTTAATCAGTCGTACCATATGAATGTTCAGAGAAGATGTAGAGCACAAGACTCCCAGCGCCCAACAGGTGAAATAGCAATAGATGTAAACTTTGTGTAAATCCAACTCTAATTATGAATACCGCGCCAATGAACTCCAGTTTTCAAAAATCCTTGACAATCCGCCCGGCTGTTTGATGGGTAGTTCGATGTGGCAACGAAAAATTACGTCTCCGGGGATATCACAGTTATCAGGAATCAAGGCAGCATACCGTGTTAACTCTATCGTCAGCGAAAGATGCCGCGACAATGCCACGTGAAGCGTCAGCTGAGCCCCAAGTTTCGACCACTTTGGGTATTCCAGTCTTCCCACGAGATTCAGTAACTGCAGCGGGAACAAACATGCAAATTAAGTGATAAGAAAGCACGGAGAATCGGAGGGGAGATCCCACCTTTAACGAGACCAAGCACGTCCGTAGTAATGACTCTCAGAGGTGGGCAACCGGGGCTCTCGAGCTTGCTCGTCCGAGGCATCCTCCCCGGATTCCCCTCCCCCGTCCCGCTCCGGCGACCGAGATATGATCACACTCCGCTATAGTTATCCAGAGCGAGAACCAGCGGACCGGGGGGCGGCGGCGGTTGGGGACAAGGCGAGGAGCAGCGAACTGATTGCGGCAGCAGGGCTTTGCTAGGGCTTTGACGAGGACTCGTTGGGGAGGACGATGACGTCGTGAAACCACCGCAGTGCTCGGCCCAGCACCCGATGTGCCAGGTTATTGGGCTGGCATCCTCTTTTTACATGGAAAATGGGTTGAGGCCCATGAAGGAGGAGACCCAATGGTCCAGTTAAGAGACCATCACTGCCACCGATCCAGTCCGCGATACTGCACTCTCAGATGTATTTAAAAAAGGAGGTAATTTTAACCTCGAAATGTGTGATGTGACTGATAGTGATATTAAATAGCAGGATAATTAATGGTATTGTCATTAATGAATCCCGAAAATCATAATACATAATACATATCATACAAAAGGTATGTACTGACCAAATATATCCCAATTTACTTGTAAAAAACTATGATAGAGTAAATTTATTTCAATTTTTTCAAGAAAAAGCATTCCAAAAAATATTGTAACATGTGATACCACTCCAAGGTGATTTCATAAAACCTCAGTTGCACTTGTTAAATAGCTGAGGGATGTCTATATATGTCCCTATAAAGCCATATTATTAAATAGTCCAAAACTCACTTTAGATTTAACCAAGGAGAAAATGATGATAAGTTACATCCATGGCACCTCAAGGCAACTCCTCACAATTTATATAGAAAAAATTATGTGAACAATTCAAACAACACCAAAACAATTAATTTCCAAAAAATGTTTCCATATGAGATCAACATACCACACCATGTTTCATCGATTCCCACAATATAGATGTCCTATTGAGTTTTAAAAGGTCCACATAATCCCTAATATCTACGTTGGAATGAAGATGAGAAGATGGCGTCCAAACCAAGCACACATGATACTAATCACTATACTTTTTTTTATTACTATTGAACAACTATGTTCAAATACTTCTGTTGACACCAGAAGAGAAAATCCTGGAATCCATAATCCTTCTCTAAGGAACAAAGAGAGATAGATAATAGGTCCTAGTAAACCGAGAGTATGATACAATCATCAAACACTCTCCCTCAAGCTAGAGTATATAAGTCAAATATGCCCAGCTTGGTACACCTGGCGGTCGTACGAGATGCTGTCTTGACTCTTACGTGAACATGTCCGCGATGTCCCCAAGAGCGACAGTCGCTGGGAGGGGACGTCCCAAGAGCTGCGGGGGGCGCCGAGACGCAGACGCGCGAGGCGTCGGGAGGCGGCATGGGGCACCGGAGACGACGCGCGGGGAGTCAGGAGTCGGCGCGGGGCGCCGGGAGGTGACGCGCGAGGCGTGGGGAGGCGACGCGGGGGGCGTCGGGAGGCGGCGCAGGGCGCTAGGAGGCGATGCGCGAGGCGTCAGGAGGCGACACGCGAGGCGTCGGGAGGCAGCGCATGAGGCGTCGGGAGGCGGCGCGGGGAGCCGGGCGGCGACGCACGAGGCGTGGGGAGGCGACGTGCGAGGCGTCGGGAGGCAGCGCGGGGCACCGGGAGGTGACGCACGAGGCGCCGGGAGGTGGTGCGGAGTGCCGGGAGGCGACGCGGGAGGCATCGGGAGGCAACGCTCGGGGAGTCGGGAGTCGACGCACGGGGCGCCAGGAGGCGATGCTCGGGGCGTCGGGAGGCGACGCACGGGGCGTCAGGAGACGGCGCGGGGCGCCGGGAGTCGACGCTCGGGGCGTCGGGAGCCGACGCACGGGGCGCCGGGAGCCGACACTCGGGGCGTCGGGAGGCTACGCACGGAGCGCTGCGAGTCGACATGCGGGGTGTCGGGAGTTGACGCACGGAGCGTCAGGAGGCGACGCTCGGGGAGTCGGGAGGCCAGCGCCGCCGAGGGCACCACCGGAGGAGGGCGGCGCGCCGAAGAGGGAGGCGGCGGCGGCATGGCGGCCTGGAGAGGTGGAAGCGGAGGCGAGGAGGGCGGCGCCAAAAGGAGAAGGAGAGCGAGGACAGAGACGATGACTCCGGAAGAGTGAAGAGCGGCGACGGTGAAGAGCCGCCTGAGGTGGGAAGAGGCCGGCGAGGAGCAGAGCAATGCGCCGGAGACAGGCGGCGCACTGGAGAGGAGGACGACGACGAGGGATACCTAATGTTCTGATATCATATTTAATACCATATTGACACGGGAGGGAGGGAAAAACATTGGAATTCATAATCATTCTCTAAAGAAGAAGAGAGATAGATAATGGGCTTTAGTAGGCAGAGAGTTCGATACCACTATCGAACAACTTCAATACATAACTAATCCACCTCCCCCCTCCATCTAAGTGAATGATGATGTCAAAAAAAATAAATCTATCATCTATAATATTAATATTAATTATAAAATACTTAATCATCAAAAAAAATATTTAATGATTTATGTTTTTAATTATGCAATAACATTTTGAAGGACAATCATGTTAGTGTATACTCTAGATTTGTTCATTGGTCCACATATGATTTGTTGCTACACTAGACACATCCATGTATACTTTACAGGTATAACTTTCAAAGCCTACTACAATGTATGATCTAATGTTTTAAAGAGCAATCATGACGTATGATGTAAAGATCTCTCATGTGCATGCAATGTTCAGCCAAAGGAAAATTTAGTTGTGCAATAATGTAATATTTTTATCTATATCTAGCATAAATGTCAACCGAACAACATTAACAAATGACGTCTTTAAATATATACTTTTATGTGTATACTTTTACTACACACACAATTTACAACAACATAAGTATTAAAAAAATCTCAACTTTTTTTTTCACACATGAATAGTATCAACTTGTCATTGTACAAGAAATTTAAAGTGAATAACTTGCAATCTAAACATTGGATCTAAACTTATTGTTGACACTACTGAGGTTGTTGGTCTCAGAAGAAGGTGTCACTAACAAGAGAGATGTTGGCTATTAACTCTACATTTTTGGTATTTAAATTATTTTATTTATGTATGTTCATGTATTAATTTTTAAAAATAAATGCAGAAATATAATGCTAAATTAGGAACACAAAAGTTAAAGGAGTTATCATGTTTTCCTTTAATATATAAAATAAATAAATGATCTATATTCATTATTTATATTTGTTTATTATCATAATGGGCCACTAGACAACCATCCACTACAGCCCATGGCAATACTTGGATTGAGGACTTGTTGAAGGGCTTATTTACATTAAATTAATATACCCTTTGTCTGCAACATCTTTACATATGGAACTAAATAAGTATCACATGTTTTAGGTCTACTAGAGAGCGGCTATTTGATCCAAAGGTGCCTTGAGTGCCACTTGACCAAGAACATAAGTGAACCAGTGCACAACAGTTTGATCCAATGACACTCAAAGTGCCACACTACCTAGAGCTTAAATGAGCTCACAACTATCTTTGAGATATAAATGATATTATCAATTAATTTTTGGTAAAACAAATATTATCAATTATCAACACAAACGACATTGAAACCCAAAGATAGTTGTGAATACGACATCCATTCTTTCCTCCCTACGTATGATCAAAGCCTTTGACAATCAATGAGCTCATTCCTTCCTCTGACACACTCAAGGCCTTTGATGAGTGGTCAGCTCATCATCTTCCATCCCGGATGATAGTGACAATGTAGTACTTATGGAAGAAATTTTTATAATTTCTAATATGGTGTGGTGTGTTCAGACAATTCAAAGCTTTCGCACAGCATCTCTTGTTGCTTAGGAGGCAATCCATCAAAGGGGTAGTGTTTGTTTTTCAACAATCTATTTCCATTTTTATGTGAATTGTATATTTTTTTATAGAAACTTGAAGAACTTATATGAAATTAAATGAATGAGCTTCTTTTCTTTCCTAAATCCTTTGTAGCTCCTCTAAGATAATTGTAGGACATTTCCAACCTGTTATCCATTAGTTTTTGTGGTCGATTTTTGAAAAATCATATTGTCGATGCTTTGTGAACTTAGTTAAACTAATTGATATATTTCTCTAATTTTTAATACATAATAGTAGGATTAAGAGCTGATTATTTAGTGCTTAATCTTTCAAAACGGTTGAGAGACATTCACACATGATCTCACATCTTTTGTGTGAACTCTTAGATCAGAATTCATCTAAAAAATATGATCAAATCAAGTTATGAGCAAAACTAAGTCATTATAAAATGAGTTGACCAATGTTTCTCTCTCCTCATCATTCTTCTAAATTCTCTATTTCTATCTCGTTATCTCTTTCTCTCTCTTTCTAACTGAAATTTCCTCTAAATTCATCTACACACTCTCTCTCTCTCTCTTGCATTACATTCTCTATATTCCTTCATCTTAAATATCTCATTTTATAAAGCTCTTAGTATTTTAATAATTTCTCTTTTTATTAATTTGTCATAAAACACTAATTTTTTTCCATTAAAGCTAAAATAATTCTCATGATAGATTATTCCTTCTCCATGTCTTTGACTTGGAACTTAACAGTATATTAAAAAATCAATTAAAGTTGTAATTATGAAATTTATTAGAAGAGGGTATTTAATCTCAACTACAAATACTCAACATTGGCTTGTGAGGGAGGAGAGAGAAAGTTAAAAGTGGAATCTTGATTCAACTAATAAGGAAAGAAATTATAGTTTGGTAATAGTCCGAACCTAGGGGGTTAGATCTGGTTAGTTGATTTCATTTATATCAAAACCAGATCGAACTCACTTGTCAACTGAACGTACATAATTGTAAAAAGTAAAAAGGTATAGTTGTAATATCTCGTTCTTCAACACTTATTTCCAAAACCTTTTTATCAACATCAAAATTTATATTACATTTGACTTTTATATTTTATTTGATAAGTTCCATCATCAGCCATGGTGTATGCATATGTTAGGTTATGATAAACTATTTACCCTCATAAGGAGTATCATAAAAACTGTCAATATTATTGCTTCCAACTAATAATGACGTCCTTAGCATCCTTTTTCAACAAGAAAACAATATAATTTACAATCCACTATATAAATCCATGGTATCACATTTTATCTATCAATAATCATATTTTGTCATCTAACAACCTTTGCATTTATGTTATTGGTCTTTCAAATAGTATTTATTATCACATTTTCAAAATCCACGTTGTTGCTACCTGAATGTTGTGAACCTCAAATTTAGATGATATATTATTGTAATTAACCTAATGATAATTTAATAATATATATTTCAAATTCATGTGACCACATTGAAATCAAAGCCAACAATATAGTTTTAAGATATTAGCTTTATGTTCCTTGCTGATCTTAACTAGGTTTACATCGTATCCAACAAATTATTCGGACATGTATTACAGTTAAATGAATTGGCAGCCTTCGAAGCTTAGCTAGTGACCTGGAAATTATAAAACGGTGGAAATCGACGTTGTCGAGTAATCAATGGTGGAACTTGAGGTGGTTGAGGCTTTGGCATGCACAACAAGCTCATCTTATGCAAGCAATTGAGGAGATGTCTTCTGACCGACCTACCACGCAGGCAGTCATTCTTGCCCATGTTCCCCTAAACCACAAGTCTCGCTGGTTTCCTCGGTCAGCGCTTCATAAACCCCATCATCAACGGGGCCTGTCTTGGTTGAACCGGCGTCGCTGCTAAGAAACAGGTATTAGTGTTGATCAAGACCATACTTGGGTGAGAGTGATGAACCAGAGATACTTTTCGGGTGGATCAGAGAAAGGGCGTACTACACCGAGTAGATGACCAGCCCAACGGCTTCGACTCCGAATGCGAGATAGTAAAGCCAGTCAACCTGCAGTTTATGGCGGATGAAATGGACCATTAGTAGCAGGGAGAGGAGCTATGGATCAAGAAGCATGGCCTCGGAGGGGAGGAGATTCAGACCTTCTGATGGTAGTAGAGTATGCGGATGATTATCGCCCACATGTCCGAGGTGAGAAGGGATAGACTGAACAAGGTCACGCCGCTCAACTGCGACCAAGCTTTTGAGCCCTCGACAAGGACGATTTACAGTCGGAAAATGTCCAAAGGGAACAACGCTATCTGTAGATCACATGACCTTGATAACAAACATCATCACTCTGTAGAACAGAACTGACGAAATAGCAAACACAGCGAACAGCGCTATCTGGAGAAGAAAGAGTATCGGTCGGATGGTTTCAATGCGATCCAATTAAAAGCTTCCTTTGACTAGTTTTGCAGAAATTTTAGAGCATTCCTTCCGTCCTGAACAAATCGAAACAGATGGACCTATTCCGCTCCTTCACGGCATTCCTGGGTAGGAAACAAAGAGGAAGGATAGAAGAGATTCGTCAGCTATTTACCATAGTTGCAGACCACTTGACCGCCTCTAGATCCTTCCTCTCGAACACAGATCTGCGAGAGGGTCATGGAATATAGCACAGTCGATTGCCCGCCGCAGCACTGTGTTGATGAATACAGTTCCCGATCACAGTTTTAGCGGAATTATGTCTCTTGGCCCGATGATTTAATAGCTCAAGTATAGAGATCGAGCATGCCGTGGGAAGGACAGAGGAACCGGGCAGCTTGAGCATGCCTCTTCGGTGTTCGCTCAGAAAATTCAAAAGGATACATCTCGCCAACGCTGACGAGCGTGCCGAACAGACCGAGCATCGCCAGGACTTCCACCCGGTCTTTTTTCTTCACACAAAATTCCTGCATTTGTTTTTGGCAAAGAAGAGGGGAGCACGATTGGGAGTCAGTAACTAACTACCCACGCCTCGGTCAATCAGTCCTTGCCTAAACATCAGCAATATTTTTAGGAGGAAGAAAGATCGGAATAATGTTAAGTATGATATCTGTTGAAGTCCGAGTAACAGTCTTGATATCGAGAAAGAACAGAAGAAACGGAACCCAGACAAGGAAAGTCGTCTCTTTGACCTCTCCAACATTGCTGAATGCGTAAAAAAACGTCCCCGCGATGACCAGCATGTCGCCCAAGAGGGGTTTCTTCCCACCTGAGACAGACAAACAGACAGACACAGGGTCAACGACGAAGATTGTGCATGTCAAAAGAGAAAAAAAAAGCTGTTGTGACCCATGACAGGGAAGGAAGTCTGGGAGCCCCCGCGACGCTTCTGGACGCGGGTTGTGATTCTATTACAAGCATAAAATTCACTGCCCTGTCCATCATCCGAGCCACTTCGATCAAATAATCCATGTTTGATCCTTCTTCCCAAATAAAACCAAAAAAAAAAAGATGAAGAAGAGAAAAGAGAAGAGCTCACTCACCACCAGTGGAGTCCCACGCATCCGAGAGAAGCACCAGTCCCAGGCCCGCTACGCAGGTGGCCGCCCCCAGAAACTGAGCAATGGAGTATCGCGTTCCCAGAGCAAACCAGGTGAGGATGATGATCCATGGTATGGTCCAGTAATCCAGGAGCGTCGCACTGGTAATCGAAGTGTACTGGTAGGCCTTCACACCTACGCGTCAGGGAGAGTGAGAGACTGCGCGATAAATAAGCAAGCGGATGAAAACTCATCGAAGCAGTGGGAATCGAGAAGGACTGCAATCCCCCGTCGATTGGGAAGACTTTTCAAAAAATGGGGTTGGTCTCGCAGCGGTTGATGCCACCGATAGTTCAAATGGATCATCTGATTGTTGTATGGTCCGCAATCGGAGCCCTCCCTCAGTTTCCCGCCAAAGGCGAGAGACCAGATCGGAAGTAGATAGCCAAGAGGACCGAGCTTTCTCGTTTATGGGGCAAAAATTGCTGCTCTGAGAAAGAGCAGGACTCGCAGGGTGTGTTGTGCGCCGTCGACAGCACAAAGGAGAAGAAGTTTCTTGATGGGTAGAGAATCACCGAGGTAGTTCCCTTGGACGTCGACGATCGCCAAGGCCAGGTACCAGTACCAAGGAACCTGCGAAAAAAGTTCCGAGCGGTGAGAGAGCTGTCAAATGCCAAATCCGATGCGGCCTCGCGCGTCCGATCTCGATCCGTAGATCACACACAGTCATCGATCTCGTCGTTTGAACGGATATATGTACATTCGTAACGAACGATCTATACCCGCGACGGAATGAAAAACTCTCTCTGGAAAAGGGGTAGAATCCGGTGTCGGTCATACCAGTAGCTTTTGGCGACGGAACAAGAAGACGGCGCCGTACACCAGAGTTAAGGAGACGTAGGTGAAGAAGGACTGGGTGAGCGGCGTGTCAACGCCTGCGAGAAGGAGATCAAATCTCAGACTTGATTCTCAGAAGAAGAAGAAGAAGAAGAAGAAGCGGGAGGGTGGAGGCTCATCGCGTTTGGCGATTAGGGAGGAAGTGAAGCTCGTGACCGCCATGAGAAGGGAAAGGAGCTGCCCCACGAAGAGTACGAGCGCGGTTCTCCATACCTCCTTCCTGGCATCGGCCATCGACAAGATGGGGAGGGAGGAAAGGCGAAGGAGGCTGTAGAAGCCGTTGGGGACGGAGAGAGAAAGTGACGGAGTGCGTTCTTAATATCGGTACCAACGGCCGCATCTTATTAGCGCCGCCGAAGCCGTCGTCTTTCGCCTCTCTGACGCCTCCGGCGGGTAGGTGGTTAGTTGGGGGTGAGGAGACACACCTGATTCGCGTGTTGGATCTTGTGTGGGGAGGTGTAAGCCACCTGCTGGGGCTTAAGGAACTCTCTCATCATTACTTGATGATGAGGAAGCCCTTCATTATTACCTAATGATGAGGATTGCCCTCCCCCTACGACGGCTGGGATCTCGCGCGTCTCCGATGGCCAGGAGCTTAGTGGGCCCGGCCCGTTTAAACAGCTGGACGACGTTCTTCCTCTTCATCTTTAGGAGGAGGTGTGGTCCGTCCCATTTTACGGTGGTCCGCCGCCCCACCTGCTGCTCGCGAGAAGATGTAGTGCACGAGACTACCAGAGCCCAACAGGTGAAATAGCAATAGATGTAAAGATTGTGTAAATCCAACTCTAATCATGAACTTCAGTTTTCGAAAAATTCTGGACAATCTGCCCGGCTGTTTGACGGGTAGTTCGGTGTTGCAACGAAAATTGACGTCTCCGGGAATATCACAGTAATCAAGAATGAAGGCAGCATACTGGGTTAACTCTATCGTCATTGAAACATGCCGCAACAATGCCACGTGAAACGTCAGCTGAGCCCCAAGCTCATCCGAGGCATCCTCCCCGGAATTTCCTCCCCCGTCCTGCCGTGGCGACCGAGATATGATGATAGGGCCCCTAACTCTAGGGAAGCATTTCCGCAAGTATGAGTGATGAGGGACAACCCGCTGAGTTGGGCTCAAGGCGGTGGCGGCACGGGCGGCAATGGTGGCACGGGCGGCGATGGTGGCAGCGATGGGTGATGGGTGGCTGGCAGACGGCGGCGAAACAGATGTGCAGTGGCAATGGATGGGCGACGGCGGTGCTGGCGACGGGGAACGGCATAACGGCGGCGGCGGAAGGAGAAGGTGATGACGGAGGCGGCTGGAAGGTGGGACAACGGCGCCGGAACATTGTATTCAGTTTGGTGGCTGCATATACCTATTGCGGATGGTGAACTTGTTCAAAGCTCTGTAGTCCACACACAACTTGAGGCTTCCATCCTTCTTCTTCTTGAATAACACTAGTGCACAGAATGGTGACTTAGACGGTTGTTCCTTCTTCTGATAAGCCTTGAATCTGTGTGTGCAATTCTGTAAGGTGATGTGGTGGCATCTTGTATGGTGCCTGCGTTGGGGGGTTGGCCCCTAGGACCAGTTCTATGGCATGGTCTACACCTCTTCTTGGAGGTAGTTTGGCCGGTAGCTTTTCTGGCAGCCTCAATGGCTAAGATGAAATGTGGTTTTCTGCCCCTTTGGATTGCTACTCTTTTAAGAAAAACTCCTATAGTCACTTTTGTCAGAAAGTACATGTCCAATAATGTACCGAATGAGATAAAAGACATCACAATGTAATCTAGGTGACCCTCTCACCTTCTCACCTTTGTGCATACTCTCTTTGTGACTCCCACAAATGGTCACGTAGAGGAAGCTGCAGCCTTGAATCTTGCCTTGGTGGGTTACTTTGAGGTCGATTCTCTAAACTTCTCCTAGAGAAATGAAGTTACTTGTTGCACCACTATCCACCATTTCTACGATTATTTTTTCATCAACTTGGGCCTTGACATACACTAATCTCTTTCTTGATTACCCTTGTGTCGATTGTAAACAGTTAATGATTTCAAAAGAGTTGATACCTTCCTTAACTTTCTCCTCATCGTTGTTCAGTTGAATGATGTTCAACTATGGCCTCTTGTTGAAGCTTGGGTAGTCACACTTCTTATATAGTCCCCCACAAATGAAACAGCTCGTTCCGTACAATTTCTCATTGTCCTTGGACGAAATTGAGTTAGGTAATGTGTGAGTCCTCCTCTCCATCCCTATCGCTCATTTTTGTGACCATATTGCCCCTCACAGCCCTTTCGTGTAGCTTTTGAGGTGGGTTAACTATGTTGGTAGTCCTCGAGGCTCTCGATGATCCTACACGTTTCCTCCAAGGTGGCGGCATGGTACTTAAGACATTATCTCCTTACTCACGGTTATAGCTCGACTAGCAAAAATTATATTATGAGTTCTTCGAGGCTCATTGGGATGTTGAGCATCGATGTCAAGAATCTTTGCACATACTCATGTGGAGTCACTTTGTTTCAGTGTTGTCAACTCAAACACCACTTTAAACAGCCAAATCAAGGGTTTGAAATATCACATGAGGGAGGTTTTGAAGTCCTCCTATGTCTTTTGCATGTCCTCTCCCTTCGTCCTCCACTATATGGCTACTGAGTCTTCGAAGAATCGTGTGGTGATCCCAAGACATTCAACATCGGTGTAGTCATGGTCCCTGAGGTAGTTGCCTACCTCTCACAAGAAGCCATCCACCTTGGTCGTATACCTCTAGCCCAAGAACGACCCAAGGGAAGGCCAATTCATTCCCGTCCCCCCATCTAGTGGTTAATCCCCCATTGGTGGAGTCGCTCGCTGAAGGTTATGAAGTTTTTCTCTATTGCGGGAGGCTCTTCCCCACTAATATTGCTCGTAGATTCTCTTTGAAACTCCTCCACCTTATTTGTTGATTAGATGTGCTCTTTCAGTTTCTTTTGCCTCTTGTTTGAGCACTCTTCTCATTGGGCTTTCATTTCATGAAGCTTGAACATGTTTCATTCGAGCGTCCTTTCGACCGCCTAGAAGGACTCTCGTGTGGACTGTAGTTCCTACTCCAATCATGCAATACGTAGCCCTTCTCTCCTTTCTCTTATGGCTCTAATACCACTGTTACACGTTGGGTGAAATGTGGCACTAGCTAGCTAAGATATGCTCTCCAATTAGTCATCTAAATATTCAATAAAGCTCACAAATGGTCTCCCTCCCATCTGCTCCCCCCTTCCTCGGTTATGAAGGGGGAGAGAAATGGACTAACCGTTATAGGGGGTTTGGAGTAGCCGTTACGCCTGAGTTTTAGTTAGTCGTTGAGGCGTAATGGTCGTCTCGCTTGCTAGCTGTTGGGGTGCCTCGTGTGCCCTGCTGACCGTTCCGCTTGCTCGGGCGTCATCCCACCCGTCGGCATCCATTGTGTCCCTTGGGACTACGTTCCCGCCGTTGCACAGGTGTATTAGTCTTCCTGCCTCCCGTAGGGGTTCCGTGTGTATGGGGACCCATTTTGTCTTGGGTCCTGTGATGCCTTGCCACTATGCCGCACAAGTTCGTCATGCCACGTGCACCGCCGTGCCACATGCACCCATTGTGCCATGTGCGCCCATTGTGCCTGCTCTGCCAAACACCCCCCCCCATGCTTGCTGTGTCGAGTGTGCCCACCGTGCCGTGCGTACCCGCCATGCCGCGTACGTCCACTGTGCCACACGTGAGCCTGCCCTATCACGGGTGCATGTTTCCCCTTGCGGGTCTACTATGTTGTTGCTTCCTCCGTGACACCATGTACTTGAAGTGCTTCCCTCGATGGTGGATCAGCAGCACTTTGGGACACGGATGAAGAAATTCATGAAGGAGAAGACAGACACAGGTTCACACCTACTTTATACTCGTAGCTGAGCAAGTGTTCTAGGATCGTGCGATAAAAAAAAACATATGAACTAATATCTATTTCAATTATTTTTTATAATATCAATATATGATCATTGTCTATGTTATAGAATTCTTTGTATAAATAGTGAAGATGTAGAAACTGAAGTATGAATCATTTTTAATACTATAGGTACCTTTGAACTAACATTTACTCATGTAATAATGGATATAATATGAATTTGAGTTATTCTCATTAAAAATCACAAACTTCAAGTTTAAAAAAATATGTGCAAAGTTAGGTTGCATTTTTTGCATATGTAGTCCACACACATGTTTGAGGTTTCCACTATGTCTTGGCAGGACATAGGTAAGACAGTATGTCTCAGCCAAGCAAGACAACAAGATAGAACTCTTACATTCAACACAGTTGGCGTACAACCTTCAATGAAGTAGTGTCACGGGTTACTCCCCCTTCAAGCTAGCCACAAGACGCCAACTATTGATACCCCCGAGAGGTGTTATGTAGTCACTAGACTAGTAGTGGAACACATGGACATGTTGGAGACAAAAAATGACAATCTCCAATAAGCAATGAATAAAATGAAAAAGTAGGTAGACAAATATCAACGAAAAGTTGAGTTTCGGTAAGGTGACAAGGTGCTACTTCGAATGAACCCCAAAATTCACTGATGTATGAGAGACACTGTCAAGAGCTGAAGCTTACTTCGACGGTTTGAAGACCCCTTCACAATCTTGGAGTGAATCGGCTCAATGACATATAGAGTATAGTTGCCCTCGAGGTTGCCCATTCACCCAGTCTTTCATGTATTATTATTGAAGAGATACAAGGCCGATCAAAAGAACCTAGAAAGGAACAAAGTCATATCACAACCTCCATTAGTCAGAACAACCTTCTCAAGGAAAATCGACGATATCCTAACTCACAAGTTCATTGACGGAGGTGGCCACCATAACGTGCACAAGCACTTAGACATCTTCATATGATGGGAAGGAGACCCACGTGAAGCAGCAACGTGACACCACGAGAAGGACCTATGGTAATTCGAGGAACAACTTGTCAAGTACCTTGCAACTCACTTGATGAGGATGTCAGATTCTTCAAGGTGGGGAGAATGTTATGGAGGAAGTAGCAACATAGCAGACCCGCAAGGGGCCACAAGCACCCGCGATAGGGCAGGCTCACGGGGTAGGACAAGCACATGGGGCACAGCAGGCACGCGCGGCACGGTGGACGTGCTCGGCACGACTGGTGTGCTCTACAAAGCAGGCACGACAAACACATATGGCACGGCGGGCACACATGGCATGACGGACTTGTGAGGCATGGTGGCAATGTATCACAGGACCTAAGACAAAATGAGTCTTCAGACACACAAAACACCGCAGGAGGCGAGAAGACTAATACACCCACGCAATAACGGGAATGTAGTCTCGGGGGACGCAGTGAACGCCGACGGGCGAGATGACACCGGAGTAGGTAGAACGGTCGGCAGGGCACTCGAGGCGCCCCCAATGGCTAGCAAGCGAATCTGCTTTCCTCCCCTTTCATAATCAAGGAAAGGGGGAGAACATACAGGGGGAAGACCCTTTGTGAGCTTTATTGAATATTCAGAGGACTAACACAGACCTCAGTGGCGTAGTCCCAGGTGTTTGTTCCACTTGTTCTTTTCTCATATCCTCTCAAGTAGACCTCCCCCAGTCCAGAGATCAGGTGGGATGTTAGGTTTGAGGCTATCGTATTGTCGTCCCAACTTTTGTGTGTGTTTCTTCTAGGTGGATAGGGGTTTCGACGTGGCTAACCCCGAGTGATGGGCGGGTTTCCCCAGTTGTACTGTGATTTCATGCCGCCTTATGTTGATTTCGATGTGTGGGCCGGTTATTCGTCTCATATTCCCTCACTCTCTTGGATTAGTTAACAGCAAAAATGTGAGTTTCTTGGGGCCGAGGTATGATCGAGTACGTCGGCATGCCCGACAGACTATCTAGACGGGTATTACAGTTGGATGAACTGGCAGCCTCCGAAGCTTAGCCAGTAGTAGTACCTCAAAAGTATAAAATGGTGGAAATCTGCATTGCTGGTGAGGAATGAATGAACCGGCGGCACTGACATGCGCACAGCGAGCTCATCTTAAGCAAGCAGATGAGGAGACACCTCCTGACCTATCTAAGGCGCAGGCGGGCATTCTTGCCCACGTTCCCCAGAACCTAAAGTTTCGCTGGTATCTTCGGTCAGTGCTTCATAGCCCGCGTCATCCACGAGGTCTGTCTTGGTTGAACTGGCGTCGCTGCTCAGAAGCAAGTAGTCATATTAGTGTTGAGCAAAACTGTACTTGGGCGAGAGTGACGAACCAGAGATTTTTCGGGGTGATCAGAGAAAGGACGTACTACACCGAGTAGGTGACCAGCCCAATGGCTTCGACTCCGAATGCGAGATAGTAAAGCCAGTCCACCTGCAGTTTACGGCGACAAAATGAGCCATTAGCAACAGGGAAGGGAGCTATCGATCAAGGAGCACGGTCTCGGAGGGGGGAGGAGGAGATTCAGACCTTCTGACGGTAGTAGAATACGCGGATGATTATCGCCCACATGTCGGAGGTGAGAAGGGAGAGATTGAACAAGGTCGCGCCGCCCAACTGCGACCAAGCTTGTGAGCCTTTGTCAACGACGGTTTCCAGTCGGAAAATGTGCCGAGGGATGAGGAAGCGGAGGCTGACCTTGAGAACAAAAGGGACCACGCTGTAGAAAAGAGCTGACGCAATAGCAAACCCGGCGAACAGCGCTACCTGAAGAACAAAGAGTCTCGGTCGGATGGTTTCCACGCGATTCAATTAAAAACCTCCGTCGGCTCGTTTTGCTGAAATTTTAGAGCATTCCTTCCGTCCTGAACAAATCGAAACAGATGGACCTGTTCCGCTCCTTCACGGCATTCCTGGGTAGGAAACAAAGAGGAAGGATAGAAGAGATTCGTCAGCTATTTACCATAGTTGCAGACCACTTGACCGCCTCTAGATCCTTCCTCTCGAACACAGATCTGCGAGAGGGTCATGGAATATAGCACAGTCGATTGCCCGCCGCAGCACTGTGTTGATGAATACAGTTCCCGATCACAGTTTTAGCGGAATTATGTCTCTTGGCCCGATGATTTAATAGCTCAAGTATAGAGATCGAGCATGCCGTGGGAAGGACAGAGGAACCGGGCAGCTTGAGCATGCCTCTTCGGTGTTCGCTCAGAAAATTCAAAAGGATACATCTCGCCAACGCTGACGAGCGTGCCGAACAGACCGAGCATCGCCAGGACTTCCACCCGGTCTTTTTTCTTCACACAAAATTCCTGCATTTGTTTTTGGCAAAGAAGAGGGGAGCACGATTGGGAGTCAGTAACTAACTACCCACGCCTCGGTCAATCAGTCCTTGCCTAAACATCAGCAATATTTTTAGGAGGAAGAAAGATCGGAATAATGTTAAGTATGATATCTGTTGAAGTCCGAGTAACAGTCTTGATATCGAGAAAGAACAGAAGAAACGGAACCCAGACAAGGAAAGTCGTCTCTTTGACCTCTCCAACATTGCTGAATGCGTAAAAAAACGTCCCCGCGATGACCAGCATGTCGCCCAAGAGGGGTTTCTTCCCACCTGAGACAGACAAACAGACAGACACAGGGTCAACGACGAAGATTGTGCATGTCAAAAGAGAAAAAAAAAGCTGTTGTGACCCATGACAGGGAAGGAAGTCTGGGAGCCCCCGCGACGCTTCTGGACGCGGGTTGTGATTCTATTACAAGCATAAAATTCACTGCCCTGTCCATCATCCGAGCCACTTCGATCAAATAATCCATGTTTGATCCTTCTTCCCAAATAAAACCAAAAAAAAAAAGATGAAGAAGAGAAAAGAGAAGAGCTCACTCACCACCAGTGGAGTCCCACGCATCCGAGAGAAGCACCAGTCCCAGGCCCGCTACGCAGGTGGCCGCCCCCAGAAACTGAGCAATGGAGTATCGCGTTCCCAGAGCAAACCAGGTGAGGATGATGACCCATGGTATGGTCCAGCAATCCAAGAGCGTCGCACTGGTAATCGAAGTGTACTGGTAGGCCTTCACGACTGTGCGTCAGGGAGAGAGAAAGAGGGAGAGAAGAGTGAGAGAGGCAGTGTTTATATTCGCCATTCGCAGAACAAAGACGCCGCCCGCATAAAAACAGAGGACAATTCGTGAAAGACTGCGCGATAAATAAGGCAGCGGACGAAAACTCATCGAAGAAGTGGGAAACGAGAAGGACTGCAATCCCCCGTCGAGTGGGAGGACTTTTCAAAAGATGGGATCGGTCTCACAGAGGCTGATGCCAACGATAGTTCACATGGATTATCTGATTGTCGTGTCTGGTCTGCAATCGGAGTCCGAAGAACTTTGAGCTGTTAAAGCTCTCCCTCAGTTGCCCGCCAAAGGCGAGAGATCAGATTGATGGGGTAGCCAAGAGGACCGAGCTTTCTCGTTTATGGGGTAGAAATTGCTGCTCTAATGGAGAGGAGGACTCGCAGGGTGTGTTACGCGCCGTCGACAGCACAAAGGAGAAGAAGTTTCTTGATGGGTAGAGAATCACCGAGGTAGTTCCCTTGGACGTCGACGATCGCCAAGGCCAGGTACCAGTACCAAGGAACCTGCGAAAAAAGTTCCGAGCAGTGAGAGAGCTGTCAAATGCCAAATCCGATGCGGCCTCGCGCGTCCGATCTTGATCCGTAGATCACACACAGCCATCGATCTCGTCGTTTGAACGGATATATGTACATTCGTAACGAACGATCTATACCCGCGACGGAATGAAAAACTCTCTCTGGAAAAGGGGTAGAATCCGGTGTCGGTCATACCAGGAGCTTTTGGCGACGGAACAAGAAGACGGCGCCGTACACCAGAGTTAAGGAGACGTAGGTGAAAAAGGACTGGGTGAGCGGCGTGTCAACGCCTGCGTGGAGGAGATCAAATCTCAGATTTCAATCTCAGAAGATGTAGAAGAAGAAGAAGAGAAAGAAGGGGGGAGGAGACTCACCGCGTATGGCGATTAGGGAGGACGTGAAGCTCACCACCGCCAGGAGAAGGGAAACGAGCTGCCCCAGGAAGAGTACGAGCGCAGTCCTCCATACCTCCTTCCTGGCGACGGCCATCGACGAGATGGGGAGGGAGGAAAGGCGAGGGAGGCCGCAGAAGCCGTTGGAGATGGAGAGAGAGTGACGGACTGCGTTTTTAATATCGGTACCAACGGCCGCATCTTATTCGCCGCCGAAGCCGTCGTCTTTAGCCGCTCTGACGCGCCTCCGGCGAGTTGGTAGTTGGTTGGGTTGGGGGTGGAGAGCCGCACCTGATTCGGGGGTTACGTCTGCCCGCTGTGGTAGCTGCGAGCTACCGTGCCGGGCCCCACGAGAAGCCCCTTCATCACTACTTCACAGACCCCCCTTCCCCCGCATCGACGGCTGGGATCTCGCGCGTCTTCGATCGCCATGAGATTAATGGGCCCAACCAGTTTAAACGACTGGACGACCTTCTTCCTGTTCTTCATTACGGTGAGCTTGTGGCCCGGTCCATTTGACAGTGGTCCACCGGCCCACCTGCTGCTGGCACCACCGCCCACGAAGACCATGGAAAATCGAACGTTGACTTTGAGCATCGAGAAGGATAAACATGTAAGGCTGATATCATATTTTTCCCCTTTTGTAAAAATAGCCTTTTTTAAGCCGGGCACGTGACTCTCGGCTGTTGGGTTCCCCGCTCGAGGGCGGAAGCTTCGCGCCGCCAAATAAAAAGCCGGCTTTCCCACTTTTTTTCTTAGAATAAGGAGCACGAAAATTGGGGGATATTTTTTCCCTGCTACAGCGGAGAGCCGTAATTAATCTATTTATCCCATAATTATAATATTAGTATGAGAAGACAGGTGGGTTATCAGCGGCGGCGTCAACGGGCCGGGCCGTCCAAATCCGGGCCAAGCCATGTGGATAAGGCACAGGTAGGGGGCCTATCTACGGCAGGGGAGGAGGGACCACCCAAGGCGTTGGGCCCGGCTGAAGCTTATCGAGTAAGCGCATCCAGCGGTGCCCCCCGGATTCGGGCCTTCTCGCGCCGTCGAAGGCTCCCTCTCCCCCACCCGGTCGTGGCTGCTCGTGACGAAGCGGTCCGAGTCGGTGACTCGTCTCGGCGGGGTGGTCCCACGATCTCCATCATCCACACTCTCTGCGTCCGGCCGACACCGCTGCCTGTCGCCCGAGGCCGCGGACCGGCACGTGCCACGCCCGCGTGCGGATCCGACGGGCGTCGTGTCCAAGTCATCCCCTTGGCCCAGACCGGCGTCTTCTAGAGCCCCGCCTAGCTTACGTGTCGAGCTCTGGACCGCCGAGAGAGTCCCGCCCTCCGTCAACACGGGGGGCGGCCGGCCAAGTCACTCTCGCCCGTTGGGGTCGCCGGAGATAGCCCGGCCGCGCGTGAACGCTGCGGTGGGGGTGGCACCGCCACGTCACCAGGCCTCGGTGCATATTTTTTTTTCTGAAGAGATAGAAAGAGAGCGGACTTGGGGGGAAGGGGGGTAATCTCAATGGGGTCCACGATAAGCCCGACTGCGGCTCTCGAAAAACCGCCTCCGGGGCGGCCGATTCCACGTCTTCACGCCTTCCAGAATAGTAAATACATAAATAAATTAATAAAATTAAATAATGGCGTCCGCCTTTATATATGCGCCGACCCTTGCCCGTGTCAGCCTTGTCGCAGTTCCCAGTTTTCCAGGCTGTAAAAACCAGACCTTTTTAGGTCCAATCCTCCAGACCAGCCGCCCACTGCCGGCTCCCCCTTCCCTCTCCGATCTCGCTGCCCTCTCCTCCTCGTCCTCCTCGTGGCCCGGCCGATCTCCAGCGCAACCACGCCCGGCGGGGCTCGCTCCTCTCGCCTGGTAAGTCACTCGTCCTTCGGATCCAAGCCGCCCTTCGCCGCCCTCTCTCCTCTCTCCTCTTCCTATCGGAGTCGGATCGCTCAGATGGACGCTTCTCGCCTCGCTCCTTCCCGGTGACGGCCCGGCTACCCCCCGTGGGTGGGGGGTAGCATGTGGTTTCTGGTTTCCGATCGCTCTTCTCGTGATTTCTTCCTCTCTCTCTGATCGCGTCGGATTGTATTTTTTGGGTTTTTCCGGCCCCATCTTCGTCGTCCTCTGATTTTATTCACCGTGCGGCTATTTTTCTCGTTTTCCTTCGCCGTGTGTCCCTGTGACTTGGACGTCTAGGGGTCCTGTCTGTGTTCGGGGACGCTTTGACGTGTTCTTCGCGGTGATTCCAGGTCCTTCCCGGAAGATGCCCTCTGAGCTTATCTTCTTCGGCCCCATCCTCCCTCTCCTATGACGTGTTCTTCTTCTTCTTCGATCCTTCGATCCTTCGGCGGCCGACACCGTCTTATCCCCCCTTTTGATTCTCCCTAATTTGTGCAGCTCTGTCGAGGACCGACTCTTGCGAAGCTCTCCCGAGAAGGAGAAATGGCGGAAGAACATCGGTGCGAGGCTCAGGCAGAGGCCCCACGCCTCTGCGCCAACAACTGCGGCTTCTTCGGCAGCCCCGCGACCCTCGGCCTCTGCTCCAAGTGCTACCGGGACCATCGACTCAAGGAGGAGCAGGAGGCCTCCGCCAAGAAGGCCGTCGAGAAGTCCCTCTCCGCCGTCGCCGCCTCCTCCTCCTCCCCGCCGGTGGTCGCTCCTCCGTCTCCCATCGTCTCCATCTCCGTCGAGGCCGTGCCTCCGCTCTCTCTGAACCAGGAGGAGGCTCCCAGCTCACAGCTGGTCCTAGAGACCCCGTCCGCCGCAGCGCCGCCACCGGCGGTGCAGTCGGGTCGATGCACGGCGTGCCGGAAGAGGGTTGGGCTGACGGGTTTCAGGTGTCGATGCGGGGAGATGTTCTGCGGGTCTCACCGGTACCCTGAGCAGCACTGCTGCACGTTCGACTTCAAGTCAGCCGGCCGAGAGGCCATCGCCCGGGCTAATCCCGTCGTGAAGGCAGATAAGCTCGACAAAATATAAAGCCCCTCCCCTCCTCCATCCATCGGCCCGTCCGAGATGTCATGCCCTGTCCCTTGAAGAGTTCGCTGCTGCTGCGTCTCGTCGGTCGGAGAAGCTCCATTAGAGACCACCCCCCGCCCGCCGCCGCCGACCGGAGCATGCCGCCTTCGTCCCCGAATTTGTTCTCATGGATGCTTTCTGATCTCTGTGGAAGAAGAAGACCCCCTCCCCCGTGCTTTCCATTATCGGGGTCTGTTGTAGCCGGGTGCGACTGCATAGACGGATAATAGCCTATGCCACTTGCTTGCTTTTCCTCCCCCCCCCGGTTTTGCTCCGCCGCTTTGGCTCTGCTACGCACCCCCACCCGCATCTCCCGGGTCGCTGACGCGACGAACGGCGCTTCCCTCACGGCAACGGAGACGACGACGAGGAACAGGCTCCCGGGTTTCGGAGAATTAATTAATGCGTGACGTGCTTCGTGGAAACGCGCGGCGAGAGTCGGTCATCCATTCCAGCGAACTGTAGAGAGAGAGGGAGAGCTTGGACTCTGAAGAAGCTCATCCATCCACGACTCGGCGACGCTTCTCATCCACCAGAAACCCAATGGCCGTATTTTACGGAGTCACTATAATTACAGGCAAAAAATCATGGCACTGTTCAAGCACCGCACCGCCTCTAAACAGAAAGAGGAGGGCGGCCCAGAGAGTCAGAGAAAAAGCGCGTTTTATTTCCTTCGAAGGGCAGCGAGAGTCAGCCTCCCACGGGTAAGGACGCGCACTCAGCAGCCTCTTACTGCTCCATCTGCTTCTCCTCCTCGCCGTCAAGCTCCTGCTCTACTCCTCTAATCTGCCATCGAGCCGCGAGCAGAGGAGGCGACGAAGATTTGTTAAACACGTCAGAAAAATCGACGAGCTGACAACCATGAATCCTCAGCGAACGTACCTCAGGAATGTAGTGCATGAGCATGTTCTCGATGCCCGACTTGAGGGTCACGGAGGAGCTCGGGCAGCCGCTGCAAGCTCCCTGCATCCTCAGCTTCACTATCCCGGTCTCCCTGGAAGAGCGAAGCCAGAGGAAAACAGAACAGGGGTCAATAGCGTCCGCAGGCGAGGTCAGAACCATCATCCTGCATCCATATTAGGAGAGAAAAACCTACGGGTCGTATCCGCGGTATTCGATGTCCCCGCCGTCGTCCTGCACCGAGGGGCGGATACGCGTCTCCAGCAGCTCCTTGATCATCGCCACGACCTCTGAGTCGTCCTGGACGAGGACCAAGCAAGAAAGTCGAACACGGGCAATGCATAGAAAATCATGACCGCATGGTGACGAATGCCATGAAAGGAGACCTCGTGGATCGCGGTGTCCATGGATGCTGCGGCACTGGAGTCGAGGAAGAGCGGCTGCCCGGATGAATAGAAGTCCATGATCGCCGCAAAGATCTCGGGTTTGAGGAGATCCCACGAAGTGTCCTCGGATTTTGTCACCGTGACGAAATCCGATCCGAAGAACACCCTCGTTATCCCTGAAAATCACCCACCACTCACAAAATCACACATTCCTTCCTCTAAACAGGCACGAAAATGATGACTCAGGAAGACCCATCTCTGCGGGAAGGGAAGACTGGTTCTGAATGAGTCTGGAGTATCGACCCCAGAAAGGAAAGGAAGTAGATTCGTACCGTCAATACCGTACAGCGCCTTGGCAAGGGGGGAAGTCATCGCTGAGCGGGCGTTGGGGAAGTCTGCACTTCCGACTTCCATGACCGGCTTCCCGGGATGAAACATGAGAGATGATGGATTGGGCGTAGACTGCGTCTGAATGAACATGCTCCTCCTCTGTCCTGAGAAGACGAGCATCAGAAACTTTTAAAAATAAAATAAAATAAAATAATGGAAGTCTAGCAAGTGTGTGTCTCGAATACGCCGCAATTCAGAAGAATATCAAGGCAAACCCGAAAAAGAAAAAAAGGCTGTGAAGAAATCAATTCCAGCAATGATTCACACTGAAGATCAGATATTTGATAAAATCTACAAAAGAAAAAAAAAGGTGAATGCAACCCTGAGATGGCATGGCTCGAAATGCTGACAGAAAAAATACTCTAACTTCCTGTCCGCCATCATCGGTGGTCAGAATTGGCATCCAATTCATTCACAGTGTTTATGATTTTCAAGCGTTGAAGTCTGCACTCCAACGCTTGGACCTCCCCCATGCATTACAGATATGGCCATCATTCTTCCCTAGTTCGTCCAAGATTATATTCCACGAGGTGGTGCTTTATAGAGGTTGACTTCAATGGTGAAACTCGGGGTGGAAAATCTCATTCGAGATAATTCTGAGCTTTAGCTGATGAATCAGCACCTTCATTTCCGTAGAAAATTCTGTAACCTGCCACCCGGCAATCTCCCCCTTCCGCATAGATTTCAATATTCGGACGGATGAAACGAACTTTTTTTCCACTCGGAGATAATTCAGCTTTGTGAAGTTCTGTGATTTAAAGCCATTCGAAAATACGAGCCTCGAAGTGATGAAATGCGACGAACAATAGCTTAAAGCGCACGCTGGAGCAGATATAGAGCATATCTTATTCGAAAGGAGACCATGATCCAGTTTGAATCTCACAAAAAACACGGTGCATTTGAGCATCTCAAATGGCGCAGAGTCCGGGAGTCGCGCGATAAGAAACCGTGCAAGATCTCGAGCAGTGCTTCGAACAGAAAGTTTCGAGCGACGGAGAGGGGGTGGGAACGTAGTTCAATAGAAATTCAACAAGTTCTTTTGCCCCCTTTTCCACCCATCAAAACGTCGATTTATTGGGTGTAAGAGAGAAACAGATCGGAGAGGGCGGACCCACCAACCTTCGAGGCCGCTCCACAGACTTGTCGAACAAGACGGCACCACCCTGGCCAGAAATCGATGCTGCGTCGCAGTCGGCGGCAGGAACGGGAAGGAGGAGAAGAAATGGCGGCGCTGGAGGTGGAGGGACGGACCCTCGCCGTCCACGGCCGCCACGCGGTTCACATGGCGAAGAAGCCCAGCCAGAAGCAGCCGCCGGTGCTGCTTCCCCACGAGGGCCCCCCTCATCATCGCCCACGCCGCAGGGTCACACAGAGGAGGAGCTCCCCCTCGCCGCCGTTGCCGGTCTATGCGTCGGCGTCGGCCCTAGAAGCCGCCCACCGAGTCGGACGGTAGGGTTCTCCTCACGGACGGTCGGGATGCAATGGCTTTCGGTGAACCCATCGAACCACGACCACTCTAGGCGGTTTGCGAAATGGGCCGGGTCGATTCCCAGGGAAAGGTTTGACTTCTGAACTCACGGGAAAATAACAACAGTTGGGTGGATATTATTCAGTATTATTTCCTCCGCCTGAAAGATCCTTCCCTTTTTTCTTACAAACGCACGCATATATGAAGGCGAGAGCGCGGGCGGGGCGAGGCTCGTCGTCGTCTATCAGAGCTCGTCGCTCCACGCAGCAGCCGCCGACGGCGGCGACGGGCCACGCGGCGGGTTGCAGGAGGAGGACCTGCTGAGGCTCTCCACCCAGACGTCGTCCCTGAGGACGGAGAAGGAGTCGTCGTTTCGGTGCCACGACCAGCGCGCGTGCGTCCCGTTGACCACCCTCAACCGCCCGTGCCCAAAGCTGGCCTCCCTGAACTCCGAGAGCGGCGCCGTCTTGTGCTGCCTCTGGAAACTTCGCAAGAGCGCGGCCCAGCGTCAAAGGCGCCACAACACGAGTGGTACAACAGTACAGTAGAAGAGGAGCCTCTGAGAGCGGCTTGCTTACTTGTCGGCAAGACCTTCTCGGTTTCCTCCGTCGCCGATGGTCACGTGCAGAGGGCCGCATGGGTCGGCAGCGTTATCGTATATCCTCTTCTGCAACAGACGGCAGTGTGAGAAAGAGAGAGAGAGAGAGAGAGAGGAGGGAGGGAGGGAGGGGTGGCCCGTACGAAGCGCTCGTAGGCATGGACGTGGCCGGCGAAGACGATGTCGACGCGAGCCCTGTAGAGGAGTTCCTCAAGGGCCTTGCGCATCTCCTCGCCTTCCCCCTGATGAGCCGAGTTGGTGTTGTACCACGGGGCGTGGAGGAGCACGACGAGCCACGGCGTCCGGGAGCGGTCGACCTTGGCGAGGTCCGCCTCGAGCCAGCGCCGCTGGTCGGAGGAGGGGCCGAATTCGGCGTAGGAGCCCAGCATGAGGACGTGCACGCTGCCGCCGGCGACGTCGAAGGAGTAGTAGAGATTCGAGGAGGAGCTGCTCTCCCCGTACGGCATGCGCCACCGGGCGTCGTAGGCCAGGAAAGGGCGGGGGCCCACGACGGGGAGGGACTCGATCTCGTGGTTGCCCTCGGTGACCATCCACGCCCTGCGGCTGGCATAAGGCTCCACGAAGCGGCCGAAGCTGTCCCAGCGGGGCTGATGCATGTCGGCGTAGGGCAGGTCGCCGGGGAGTAGCAACATGTCGTAGTCGCTCCGGTTGACCTGGGCCAGCGTCGCCGCCGTCCACTCCGTCTGCCCCAGGTCCCCTGCGGGAGAAGCAAAGGAACAAACAGGATTACTCGACGGCCCGTTCGACCCGGTTCCATCCAGTGTTTGGTTGGTTAATCACCGATGACGACGAACTCGACGGGGAGAGCAGCCGGCGGCGTCTTAAAGCTGAACTCGTCGCCGGCGCCGCCGCAACGGTAATAGTAGACGGTGGTGGGCTCCAGCGGCCCGATCCTCACGTAGTGGATCTTGCCGGAACTGTAGAAGAAGAACTTGTAGGACGTTGACTCGCCGGTGGCCGAGTGGGAGTACTTTCCCGGGGCCCTGCCGTACTCGACCAGGGAGGGGACTGTCTTGTCCTCGGTGACGTACGAGATGGCCATTCCGTCCATCCCCACCGCCGATATGTGAACCTGCAAGCATCGTCGAAGATTACTGACCCCCCTTGATCAGCCTTAAGCTCAGTGCTTGGAATTCTTGGAGAATCGATAGGCAGCGACCGAGGCCGGCCCGTGTATTCGAATGATGTAGCATTCGACGGAATATTGTTCAAGAATTATCAGAATTATTCCGCCGGCGATTAGCTACTGGAGATTGGGGAGCTTATGCGAGGAGGACGGGGAGAGGTGTCAACGTTTATCCCTTGATTTCAACGTTTTATTTGGGACGCGTGGCCTGTGAAGAAAGGGGTTGTGGTGGGTGTTCTCGGGGTTCGTTCACGTTTTGGAAGGATAACTCGTGTGGGCAGACGATGCCGAGACCATTGTCGTCCTCGTCGCTGCCGCCTGATGTGGAGTCTACGGCGATCCACACCAGAGACAAAGCAGCCGCATCCTTGTGGGACTCCGGTCATCCCAAGAGAGTCGATTCTTTGACCTAACTTCGTTGGGGCGAAAAAGGAGCACCTCAGACAAAGAAAAGTTAAGAGAGAGGGAGAGAGAGACCTGCTGCGGGTGAGAGTCGGCCTTGCTGTGCAGCGTGGTGACGAGCGGCCGAGACGGCGGCCGGACGAACTTCGACGCGTCCGCCGCAGCGGTGCAGATGAGCAAGCCAAATGCGAGGACCAGCACAGGAGTCTGTCTCTTCGTCGCCATCCCCCTGTCTCTGAATCGACGGATGAAAAAACTGGAGGGGGAAGCGGACGACGGAGGAGCTGTGGCAGCAGCTCGAGGACTCGGAGGTAGAAGAACGGTGGTAGGATGGGCTCGAACAGAGTTTCCGTCGAGGAGTGCGAGTGATTTACAACTCTATCCATTGATCTGTCTGTCTATAAATCCATCTCTGCGTGCGTGGGACGGAGGAGCTTGGCCTTACGACAGGTGACTACGACAGCACCCAACGAGGACGACGATCGCTTCACTTCTGTGACAAGCGTTCATCGGGGCGAATATTCGGACACCTTGTTCTCGAAATATATTGATAATTGGCATGCAGGCCGAGTCTCGTCCTTCTTACGATTCCGTCCCCCCCCACGGAGCCGCAGAAGGGTTGGCGGAACAGAGGCGAACCTCCACGGCAGGGTTGAGTTATGCTTATTCGATCCGTCTCAACGCGAGCTCAGCTCTCCGATGACGTGGCCTCTAAACTCATCGTTTTCGTGTATCAGTCTACTGTGACGCCCTCACCGGCATACACGCAGGCTTCGCCCGACGTGCGGTGGGCCCCTTCGTCGCAACCCCATTACCGTAAGCCTGAGTTTGGCTGGTAGATTATTCAACCGTACGAAAGACCATCGGCGCCGCCTCCGGTTATACGGATATCTGAGGGACTAGTTGCTGGAAAGGCGCAGCTTGCGTGAAGGAGAGGGTGCGATCGAAGTGGAGTGTCCGATCGATCTATCTCTCCCGTCGGCCCCGCCGTGGCTCGCCGATACCCTGGCCTGCCCTGGCCGTCCGAAGAAATGCATTCGGTGTCGTCGTGCTCGTGAGAGTCGAAGGCACCGTCTTCTACGGATATCGCGCATGGAAGGTGGCTGACGCTCGCCGTTGCTTCTGGAGGGGTCGGAGGCAGAAGTCAACGAGATTTAGCCGTGGAGTGAAGGGGGGGGAACCGTCCGAGGGGATCGAATTTCAGCGTTGACGTTCCAGATAGCTGACTAGACGAGGAAAAAGGTGGCAATAGTAAAATATTATATCATATCAACGTACTTATGTCTGTATTAATATGATGATGGCCTCCAATATATGATGACTGTGGGTTCGTTTGGGCTGCTCCTTCCGGATGCCCGCCTCCCGTCTCCCAAGGAACCAGCTTTCGGCTTCTCAGCGGAGCCCCCCGTCCCGGAGGAGCCGGCTTCATGATAAGCCTGACGCGGGAGGAAGGGGGGAGGCTCTGTGCTCGGCGCAGGGGCCATCATTTGGATCTTGCTCCACGAGAGAGAGGGCAAGAGTCAGCGACGTTGCAGACGGGAGTCGCTGCAAAGATTGAAAAACAAACAAAAAAAATATATACTGAAGAACCTCGGAGGAGGATGCCGTACGGGAAGGAAGAGCTCAGGTCCACCGTCCAGAGGGGTTTCGGGCCGGCGCGAGAAAGGGGCCTCCTTTCTGTGCCACCCCCTAATTTCTCCCCGCTCATGATGGGTCAGCGTGTGGGGGTTCCAATTAAGTGACGTGATCTTCGTCCGCACAGGCCTCGCAGTCCTTCCCTCGTCATCTTCTTCTTCTTCCCCGACTCGCGTAAATCTTCCATTAACGCACCCCGTCTTTTCGTCAGAGCTCTGAAGGAGCGTGGCGTGGAAGCACTGTGCGGGAAAGGGGGGAGGGATCTTATCTTCGGATCCTTCACCCCGTCCCCTGTTTTTTCCCATCTTTGTCTATCTCTATCTCCTCTCGGGAGCTTCTCCGAAGGACAGAAGGAATGGAAGTTAAAACTGCTGTTCCGTTGGCAGTGACGTGAATGCCCTCCTCCCTTCTTCTGACATGCAACAGATGAGAGAGAGAGAGAGAGAAGAGAGGCGAGGGCTGCTGTTTTCTGACCGGCGGCTAGTTTCGGGAGGAGTGATGCGGGAACTTAGTCAAATTGGGATCCGCTTCCCTCGAAATGTTCTTCCACTGGGGTGGCCAAGGCATGCAAGTTCTCAGTAGAGAGAGAGAGAGAGAGGTGTATGAGCGTAACCTATGATGGCCATGTGAAGGATGGAAACGGGGCGGCGCAGACGATTATTGCGGAGGCAGCCGGCAAATTATAACGGGCAGGGGACGGCTTTCGCGCCGGGGAGAGAGTCGTTCATTATTGGGTATCTATCATCCTCCGGCGCAAGTGTAAGCTGCCGCATCATTCCTTCTCAGGCCCCGGAACAGCGTCGCTATCATTGTTTTCCATTGAAGACGCCTTCATTTATTCCCTCTGTTCCCCTCCCCCCGTTCATGTGACGCCGCTCATCATCGTTCTCAATAACCCATCTCAGAAGCCTGCCCTCCCTTCAACTCGAGAAGAGAGAGAGAAAGAAGGCGAGACAAAACCCATGAAGCACGGTCTCTCTTCCTCTCCATGCGATCAAGCGGTCTTGAGGAATTCCCGGTCTCACTCATGAAACAAGCCGCCTCATCGGAGGGGGGTGGGGGTGAGACGATGATTTTCTTCATTCATTCATCGTGTCTCTAACCTCCCAGAAGAGGAGAGAGGAACGGAACGCAACGAGGGCCGGCGGGGGGCTTGGAACGAGCCCCACGAGGCGGCCATCGGACCCCACTAGCTGGGCAGAGAGAGAGAGAGAGAGAGAGGGAGAGAGAGGGAGAGAGAGGGAGGAGGAAGACGACGCCCCTCCCAAGGCCTGATGGTTTCCCAAGAACAGCCCCCGCGATCCGTGGTGTCTCGTAGTAGCACAGCACACATCCCGGGCCCTGAGAGCCTTTCTCGAACGAGGCCCACGAGGTCGTGACGGCGGCGGCACGAGGTGCTGCCCCTCCGCTCACTCCCTTTTGCCCCTCCGAATTCCCATTCTGCGTGGGCGAGGACAAGGAGCGCCCCCAACGGCGTCTCCCCCCAGTCACACTGCCCGCAACTCCCTCACAGCGGTTGAGAGAGAGAGAGAGAGAGATTGGAGGGCGGTCCAAACCCCGTGGCAAGAGTCTCAGGGGACAACGCGGTTCCTCGAGCAGCCAAGGTCCCCATATATCCTCACCCATCATTACGTTCGCCTGGCTACAAGGTGCCGGCCACAAGGAGATCCCCTTCGCTCATCAATACGCGCGTCTTTCTTTATACACCGAGGGGGAAGAGAGGGAGAGAAAGGAGAGAGAGAACACCGGCATTATAGAAGACGGGGTGTAAAAACAAAAGAGCATCGATGGGGGTCGGGGGAGGGGGGGTGATGATGGGCCGACCGCGGCGCCATCATTGCGAATCTTGGGCCGACAAACCCATCATAACTCTCGACGGGCGTCGAAGTCCCCAGACTGCCCCCTCCCCCCACCGTCACGTGACGCCGCCGCGCCGTCCTCCCTTCGCCTCCCACTTCCTCATGCGACAAACAAGAGTCCATCAGACTACTCGCCCCCTACCTCTCTTCCCCGCCCCCTGCTTACACACGCATGATACCCATGCCAGATTCTGTGTTTGCGTGTACCCCGGCGAGTGTGCGTGTGCCCCCCTCTAGATAGAGAGAGAGAGAGAGAGAGAGAGAGAGAGAGAGAGCGTGTCTCCTGCCATGCACCCCTCTCTCTTCCTCGCCCTTTACACCTCCGTGAGCCCGTCGTCTTGCCGCTATATATTCGCCCCCTCCCACGCCCCGCACGCAAGCACCCGTCCCGTCGCCTCCCCCTCCTCCGCTCTTTTCCCTCTTCCGCCCCACTGCCGCCGTCGCTCCGCCAATCTCCGCCAAAAAACCCGGGCACAAGGGGCGACCGGTCGGCAGAAGGCACGCTTCCCCCTCTTCCACTCTCCTCTCCCCCGTCTCCCTGCAGAGTGAGTGGGGGCTTCCCTTCCAGTTAAGTTCCACCTACTTCACGGCGGCGTAGCCCGACCGCCGGCGACAGGGTATGCCCTCTGACCAGAGGTACTTGCTTGGACGAACGAACCCTTGCGCTTCTTGCTTCCTTTTCCTTCCCTTCCCTTCCCTTCCCCTACCTGCGCTGTCCTGCGTTCTGCGAGTCTCGGGGTCCGCACAGCACATTCCTTTTGCCCTGCATATAATATAATCTAGAGGCAGCTCTACTCCTCTCTCGGCCACCGCACTGTGGTTATTGATCCTAGTTTGTCGCGCCGCCCGTCTCTTTGTTCAGGGGGGCGTCGTCTCTATCGGCCATGGAGAGGCTCAATTCGAAGCTGTATCTGCAGAACTGCTACATCATGAAGGAGAACGAGAAGCTGAGGAAGAAGGCCGCCCTGCTCAACCAGGAGAACCAGGCCCTGCTCTCCGAGCTCAAGCAGCGCCTCGGCAAGGCCCAGGCCCAGCAGGCCCACACCGCCGCCACCAACAGCGCCACCCGGAGCCCCGCCATCCCCGACCTCAACAGCCCTCCCTCCGGAATCGACAAGCTCTGATCTTCCCACCACCCCCAGCCATGGACGAGCCCCATTCTTAGAGCACCGGCCCGGTTTCTCTTTCTAGCGGGTCATGCTCTTCCTGGGTCCCCGGGGTATGATCGACAGAACAGGGGGGGAGGCTATGTGGGTGCTTTTTTGGGGCAACACCAGCGTCTCACAGAGCTCTCACCCCCCCCTCCCTCTTCTTGTAGCAATCAATCTCTGCATCTCTTCAGCAGGTATGGAACAGAAGCATTCTCTTCTCCTTCCCACTGAGCCGACGAATGTCAAAGAATCCATACCTCGTCATCAACTAGAAATCCACCTTCAATCTCTGGTCGATACTGGAGAAGCTCTGGTAGAAGGCCATGAAGTGGTTGTAGGCGATGTCCACGTCCTCCTTTCCACAGATCTCACGCACACTGCATGCACATAAAGTGACTTCAGAGACAGGCTCTCCGTGTGATGAGAGAGAGCGAGAGAGAGAGAGAGAGAGAGAGTACATTCTTTTTACCAACACACGGCATATGGCCGCTGGATCTGAAAGGGGGGTCTCCCTTAGATTCCCACTCCCCCGGGGGGAGGCGTAACGTAGGGAGCGGGGAGATGGGGATGGATCAAAGGGGGGTGGGTGCCGTAGATTAGGACGTCAGGCTATCAGAAGAGGAGACGTCAGGGTTTGCTCAGCATTCAAAGCTGCACATCCTTTTTCAACTTGCTCCTTGGATTTCCTTCTGGATGAAGAAGAAAAGGCGAGGGCAGATGCGAGGTGCGATGGCGCCCTCGGCCTGAGCCCCCGCCGGAGGGCGAGGAACCAGCCGCCCGGAGCGTCATGTCACCATAGATGCGCCGCTGGCGGGTCCATCCGTACGGCAAGCAAGGCCTACGTCACAGACGAAAGAGATTCTAGTCTAGGAGGTCAACGGGGTTGCCGTCAGACGGAGCTGAGGGGGAACTGAGCGGCGGGCCCATTTCAGCACCAGGCCTATGGGCTTTCGATGGCCCGGAGGAGATCAGAAAAGGGGCGTCAGAGTTGACTCGGTGATCGGAGGATGGAAATGAACCTGTGCATGGACAGCTGAGGTATCCCGCAGTCAACGGCGCGAATGCCGACCCCTGAGGCCAGTATGGGCCCGATCGTGGATCCGCATCCCATGTCGTTCCTCACAACAAAGTCCTGCATCCATGGGTCGGGACTCCGTCAGCAGGTAGAAATATCCAAACTCAGAAATCTCTCTCTCTCTCTCTCTCCCCTTCTCCTGGAAGCTAAGCCATCATGCGCGCTTGCAAGGAAATATCCGCCGGGAGAAAGTCAAGGGGGCCAAGAAACTTCGGGCTGGTCAGTGATAACGAAATTGCACAACAGCAGCCATGGGCATCAGAGTTTCGGGGAGTACCTGAATAGGGATGTTGTGGATGGCTGCGACTTCCCTGAAGAGGAAGGCCGTCACCGAGCTTGTGGCATATCTTTGGTTAGCATTGTGCTTGATGACGAGCCCCCTCTGCAATTCTGGGCGGTGGTGGTCCTCGTGTTTTTCGGGGAAGTTTGGGTGTGTTCCATGGGCCATGTCCGCAGATACTGGACATCAGAAGAGAAGGGGGTTCACATTCGTTCATCACTTTCGCCACTAGATATAGCCTCATGCCGTGAAAAGAGCATCATTCAGCTCACAATCTGGGACGGATTGTACTCTTTCTCTCTTATCTTTTCTCTCTCTCTCTCTCTCTTCTCTTCTTTCTGGGCAGAGGGGATGGGAGGATATGAGCGTGCACCGCAGTCATGCAAAACCACAAATGCATGAAGAGGAACTGAGATCAAAACCCAGAGAATGCGACCAGATGCCAGAGACCATACCCAGAAAAGACTGGCGGATTGCTCGTTCGTAAGTGTTCTCAGAACTGCGCCCATTAGACAAGGAGTCCACTATTCTCCGAATAGCTTGAAACATTGTAGGCGCACCTGCTCCCTGTGCTGAATCCGACCCTACCTATCATAAGAGGAAGAGAACACGAAGACGCTTCAAATGGAAATCATAGAATTCATGGATATGAGCAACACATCAAAGGCCAAGGCCGACAGGAGAATACCACCGGTGTAGCTATCAAGCATATATATTCTCTATGGCTAAATGTTAGCATCTACGACAAGATATAAACCTCGGCACTGAAATGGATGGCAGATTGGCTAACAGTGAGGAAGAAAATACTACTAAAACGCACACGATTGAAAGCTGTCACATTCTTTACTAGAAAATATGCTGCGTGCATGAGTTTTTGGGAGAACTAATACCTCTTCATTATCAAATAAGGCGACCATTCTGATGGAACTTTCATCTTCCAAATCTCTAGAAGAAGTACACGAGTCTATAAGTGCTCTAAGTGCACAATAACTCGATGCCAGGTTGTCCAATCTGCCTGAGAAGATAAATTCATTATTTCCACCTCCAAGGCAGCTAGGCTGAACATCACATATATTTAGTTCAAGGCTTGCAATTTCATCTGCGCTGCACCCAAGCTCCTCAGACAAGACCTGGGAAGGAGAAAATAAACATGAGATTAAGATAACTAGGAGTCTCAGCTCTCTTGAGATTGTCTTCTCATAGTCAGAAGGCTAACGCAGAAACCCGTTTGAGTCCCAGCAACCTGTTCACTGGCACCATGCCTGCCTCATGAATTCATATCGAATAGGAAACCAAAAGGTGCGGGGGGGAGGGGAAAGTTTCCAGGGTAAACCTGCAGGAGCAGCGGATGATGTGCTCTTTTCTTATTTATCTGCTGCCTTTTATTATCTTCAGTCTTCACTGCTCTGTCCTCTGTTTTGATGGCAAGAAGTGGAACGAGGTGATTTTCCAGATTTGGTTTGAATCCTTCTGTGCTCACCGACCTGAAGAATATTCGTTAAATAGCTTTAGTACATAATTGAAATTAAAAACTACAGTGGGTGTTAGATGACAAAAAGAAGAAACATCGGTTCACTATTTGGCATATTTTAAATAGTGTTCGTGCGATGAGAAAATAAAACATAAATGGGACACTCTATTTCGCCAAAAAATTGCCTTAACTCGAAAAACTATGAGAATGCCCAGTACAACGAGTGAAAAACAACTAAAAAAATTTAAACAATCGTATCATGTATTCGAAGAGACGTTCACCCTTAACATAACAGGACGATCTGAGAGCCATATCCTTATACGTACTTACCAAAGGAGTAAGAACTCGTTTCTATTCACTAATGATATGTAAACGTGCCCAAGGATGAATTTTTCTCTATTATTATCATCCGGAGATCTTGTAAGACGGTGAAAAAAAAACCCTACATAAAAACTCTAGAGTTCCGCATTTCATCTAATTGCAAGAATCAAATAACAGTGGAAGTGAACTTGAAGAGCACTGCTACTAATCATCATAACTAGCCGACTAACTTGAATAATCACTACGCAGTAGATAGAGAATATTAAAAAATTGCCTCAAAGCACTCCATTATTGAAAGTGGATATGGATATATTTCTTATGCTATGTAATAAAATTCAATTTTCCAAAGTAATTATAGAATTATATCGCATCAAACGAATGGGCTATGAGTGTAGGTAGTAACCGGTCAAGATGAATGGCAAGAGTTGGCACTCGCAGCAATGGTCTTTTCACTTTAACAAGTTTATGCACGAAGGCCCCATCACCAGTTTTCAAGATGACTCTTCCTGCTACACTTAAATCTCTATCAAACCATGTATGCCACAAGCCGGCTCCATATGTTTGCACATTTACCATAAGAAATCCAGACTTTGTTGATGCCGAAACGGGTTTCAATTTCAGACACGGACTGTCTGTATGTGCTGCAATAATGTGAAACCCACTTTTGGTACTATATCTGTCAGAGAGAATAAAGCCTATGTTATATAATACCTTTCTAAGTAAAAAATCATAAAAGACCACCAAAGAATGCACACTGAAAACAAAAGAGATGATGAATTTCCAAAGAGCAAGGTAGGCCAATTGACATCTAGACAATCATACAAAACGTCTGGTCCCTCAAACCACAATAAAAGCCTCTTTATATCACAGTGTGGTAATGAGAATATGCTGTCATAAAATAATACAATCAATTTTCGTGTTACGTAGAAACTATGGCACCTTCCACTATGACAAGAATAGACGACCATATTATTATGTTGACACGCAATGTTCAACATCCTAAATTTATGGTGTTGAATGCGAATAATTAAAATCACCAAAACGTTTATGAACCTACAGAACTATTTTTATTTTTAAAATTTTAATTTTTACCTTGGATACAAACTGGGATTTCCCATGAAAAGGACATGGAGCTCAATATCTGCTCTTTAACTATAAATTCCAGCATTAAAAACTCCGAGTAACTTCACAACAAAAATCAAGATACCAAGATTTATGGTTATTTAAGGAAATAATTTGTTTTTGTGGTAGCCATGGCAAACTTTGTTGAGGAAAAAAGAGAAAGAGAAAGAGTTTTTCAGAAATCCATGAAATGGTTGTAATAAAACTTCTCATGAGAGAATTGATAACCCTGAATCGGAAAAATCGAAAAACATAATGCTGGAGCCTAGGCAAACTAATTTTCCCTGAGAAAACAGGGATGTATCCGTTAGTTTTCGAAAGGAAGCACCGAATTCGCATGCGACAGGACGTGACTACCCTAACTAAAAGTCCAATCAATAACTCCGACCAAGAGACAAAAACTCATCTTGAAGACACCTTACATTCCATGATGGCTCAGGACCTTCCAGCAGTCAAGCCTAAACTGCTTAAATCTAGTTCAGAAACAGAAAGAATCGGAATTTTATTGCTTTCACAGTACAGATAGAATTACATCTGAAGAAACATTACTCACTTTTCTCCAACAGCAAATGCAATCAAAGAGGACATGTTTCGCGTGAAGAAGTAACGCCCACCAGGCTTTAGGTCCCAATTCTCATTCTCGTTGAGCAAAATGAATCCAGATGCCAATAACTGCTTCTTTGCTTCAGCTAAAAGAGAAAACAATATACATTCTTTAACATCCGTAGGAAGGAATTTCTTGTGGATCAAAGATTTAGCTCTCCCCTCCCCTATCCGCACCACTCCCCCCTCAAAAAAGAGAAAAGAAAAAGAAAAAAGAAAACATGGGAGACATTTATCTTTAAGATTCTTGGCGTTTCACCACAAAACTCAGTTCTGTTTGTTCCTTTGTATTCGAATGTAACTGTTGAACGAAAAATACAACACTTTAACAGAAAATTAACGAAATGTGACTACGAAAAGAGTTGGATCCAGTTCAAGACAACTTAACAAGTAGATAGTTATGAAAGCGTTGAACTAAGCTAAAAAAAATATGGCAATTGGTTGTGAAAGCTCAACGATTAACTTCGATGGCCATCACAGTTAGATAGGAATGTAGAAATAAAGGAGATATAGAATCTCAACGAATGATGCTAAGCTCTGCCAAGTACCAGTGGCGTGGAATTGCGTCCAAGACTCGTTCAGGTAGTCGAGTAGATCTGTCACAATTGACGGTGAAGTCACGAATTCTGAGTCCTGCCACGGGCAGAAGCAAAAATGAAATCAGAAGGAAAATACAATGCATAGCACGAAGCATCGGCGATATAGTCATCCAATCGAAGCTGAATCTAGATCACGTGGCCGATACTATTCCCGTAGAAACGATAGCAATGCGGAGGATTGAATCCTGCTAGGGATACAATTAACGTGGCATCGTACCAGTGAAGGCTGACCAAGGGAAGACTTGGTGCAAAAGAGACGGAGCGAGGCCCAGCTCCGGTGACGGCCACTCTCGCGAAATGACAGAGGGTGGTAGGGCCTGACGGAATTTGCGAGGCGCCAGAAAGTTACGGACGGGACGGCAGCGGCGACGCCGGCATGGACCGCAGGGTGGCGAGAGATTAACTGCGCCCGATGGCTCATCAGCGCCATGGATAAAATCCCTCCGCGGCAGAAACCTCTCTCTACTTGCCCAAGTCAAAATTCCTCCTCGACTGAAAGAAACGTCAGCGCTCCGCCCCCGCTCCCCGCCCGCCTCCGCCGGGAGACACGGTCGGCGCAGAGCTACCGAGCAAGGCGCTAAGAGATAAAAAGGATATATACCCTCAATTTATAATCCTTTTACGATCGTACCACCCATCGGAAGCATCCTACGGTCCTGGAGGCGATACCGAGTCTGCTACTCGCTGGCAACCGTTGGATGCTCTATCTGGTATCGTCACATGGGCCTACCGGGCTAGTAGTACTTCGGGCCGTGGAGGATGAGCGGACCCAGCCCATTGAAAGCCCTGATTTATAGTGACTAAAAATCTCTTTTTTTCTGGGTCGACAAGAACCCAGATTATGAAGGACAACGGTCGTCCACGCCCTCTCTTCACGGCAGCCGAAGGAGGGGGGGGGGAAGCTAGGTTGACCGCAGGAGAAAGTACGGGAGCCGGCGTTAATGGCGGCCGCCTCCAGAAATGAGAGTGAGTCAATCTACTAAACTGCTTCCACCAACCCCCCCTGCGGGTAGGGTAGGCGAGAGGCTCCGTCAGAGCTTCTTTACAGCCAGCCCGAAGGGGGAGAAGATCTGTAGGGACGGCGCCCCCGGAGAGACGACGGACCTTTCGCGAGGAGGAAGGGGAGGTGAGGGGAGGAAGAGCTGCCGTCTTCCGCAGGGGTCAAATGGACTGTGCACGGGAGCCCGCGGAGGAGGAGGAGCGGATCCCGCCGCCGGGGGAGGCGTCCGGCGGTGACGAGGAGGAGCTGTTCGAGATCGACCTGGAGAAGGCGGTCCACCGAAAGCCGCCGGCGAGAAAGCAGCCCTTGGAGAGGGGAGGCGAACGCCACCATCGGGTATCCGGTCGGCCGGAGGGCGCCGCCCTTCTTGCGAACTGCATCCTCCCAGCCTCTTACATCTGCAGCGCCGTCCCGGTTGACAAGATCGACGTCGAACTCTTCTGGGAGAGGGAGTTCCCGAGGATGCGGTTCGTGGGGGTGACGCCGCCGACGTGATGTCGATGGAGAGAGGAAGAATCGGAGAAGAGGATGATTTCTTGCACTCCAGCCAATTATTCACAATTATCCCGAAAAATTGATCAATAGTTTCTTCCTCGTGCTACCTTGTATTCTTGGACATCACTTCCATCTGAACTCATTTGACCAATCTTCTCGGAAAGATACGATCCACAGGCATAATGTTCCGTCTAAAAGCGTATTTCATTCATTGATAGAGTTAGATCATCCCTATTTTTGCAAAGTTAATTAATAATCTTGTCTAAATTAACATTCTTGGTGAGCGCTTGGCGTCCACCATGCGCTGGCTGCTTCGTTTATCGCGACCGCTGCCTTCACCGCTGCCTTCACCACCTCACGCCGGCCATAGAAATCAACGGCGTCCTCCCCCACCCGATATAGAGAGAGAGAGAGAGAGAGAGAAAGATAACTATTTGGACTTCAATTCTTGCAACCACCAAGTTTTCAATTCTTTTCCTGTATTTCACTTCTTCAATAAGAAAGGATATATGTAGGCTGGCCGGGGAGCGTTGACCGTCCCCGTGATCAGCTAACAGTGGCCGTCGCTGTCGGCGAAGCTGACGGTGGCGGCCTCCGCAGGGCACAAGCCGGACGACCGGCAGGGTTGCGGTCTACAATCCGCGAGTCGGTACCCGATTCAGTCAAATCAGGTTGGACCAGAGTTTCAATTTTTTTTTATTAAGCACGCAACGAAACGTCTGCCTGCTTTCATCCATCACTTCGGGGTCTCAAACTTGGTCCTGAACATTTCGAGCTCCACGCCGCTGAGCCCGAAAGTCACTCCCAGGAGCTCCTCCCGAAGCATCAATTCGAAGAAGACATCTTCGGCTATTGAAGCAGACGAAGATGGTGGCCGGCAAGTCCCAAACGTTCATCTGGAAGTCACTGCCACCTCGCCCTTCCCCAATACCTCGGGAGCGAGGTCCGAGTAGACGAACGACATTTCCGGCTTGTTCAGGCCGGGGAAGGCGGCGGCGTTGACAGGGACGGCGGAGAGGGCGGTGTCGCTCCCAGATCCTGGAGAAGACGAAATCGTCGGCGGTGGCGGAGGTCGGGGTGGGAAGACACCCCTGTAGGGATGACGAGGAGGAGGACGGCGACCGCCCACTGCACCCCAGCGGCGGGGCGGCCCTGCTTCCCTTCCTCTCCATCTAAGCTTTCTTGGCGTGGCGCGCGGCAGGACTTGGGAGTCTATGGTGGAACCACCTTATACATTGACGCTCAATCCATCCCCTTTCATCCTATGGTGGAGCCCTAGTGCACCGGCGGGTGAGGCGCCCCATGTGAGGAGAGAAATCATTTCGAGTAGATACGCCCGAAAGCCTGTATTTTATTTAATAATAACGAGACGTTTCTATCGAAGGGCGTCTTTGTTCAGGGCTCCGAACGTGCGGGTGGCTGGGACACGCGCCAGAAGGGCCCTGACAGGCGTCATCGCGCACCCGGCGAGCCGGGGACGCCAAGCAGCATCAAATTCGGCTCCGCGGGCCGGCACACCTGGCTGCCTCTCCTGCCATCCCACCCCTCTCCAGGGGAAGCCGAGTGTTTACTGTCTCTCTCTCTCTCTCTCTCACTCTCTCTCTCATTCTCTTGTATATATGTATGAACATATGCAGCTTGTCCGAAAATCCAGACCCTTCTCCTCCTCCGGGGTAGCGTGCCCGCAGGGGTGAGGGCGAGGGGGCCGAGGGAAGATCCTTGACTGTTGTAGAAGTAGTTCAGGGGAGTCACACCTTCCTCCCTACCATTGGAGTCATCGAGCCGCCGTGCATACGACATCCGGAGATTCGGAGACACTCTCTGCTCCGGCACCAGCAGTTTCAGGTGCTCTCTCTCTCTCTCTCTCTCTCTCTGTCACGAGATCCTCGGCTACGGTGACGGAAGATAATACGCTTCACCCCATCGGGATTTTTAAGGTGTAGGATGGATGCACCTCCACTCTCCTCTTCCTCTTCTTTTTCCTCTCCTCCTCCGCCCGGAAGCTTCGGGGAGGGGTACTGTCTGTGTTTCGTCCAGGTGATCACCTCGACGTGAACGCCGTCTTCTGCATCTTCTTCTTCCTCGCAAGTTCCCTCATTAACGTTGAACAAAGGAGGCGGCGGGCTTCTCCTACCACGGGGCACAGATCAATGCACAATAACCGTTCCTCCGTCTCCCCGACGGGGGAAGGAAGGGGGGGATGCTTGCCGTCTGCTCTCCGTCTTCTCTCTCTCTCTCTCTAACTCCTCCGGGTGCGCGATCATTAAGTGCCACCGGATCGGGAGTTGGGACGATGGCAATCGCGGTCGATCAGTGCCGCTTTATTTACGCAGTTTGGCGTAGATTATTAATTATCAGGCTTCGGACATGGAAACGAGCTCGCCCTCCGTCCGTCTGGTCTTTCTTCCCGGCCATCTGCTACCGGCCCTCTCACCGCCGTGAACCCCGTGAATCTCCGCCGTCCCGCCGCCGGCGCCGCCATCGGTTCGGATTCCCTTATCGGGTTTTGCCCGAGAATCCGATCGATCGGCCAGAGGGAGGTACGGAAAAGTTCCGGCCAGAAACTGAGGGTTGCGTGGCACCCCAAGGCGCGCGTGCGCCCCGTGACGGCGAGGGCCGAGATTTTTGTCCAGTTCGGACCAGTTCACTTTTGTCCTTTTCCGTGAGGATCACGTGCGCCCCACGCGCCACCATTGCATCCTCCCGGAGCTGAACGGCTGGCTGGCGTGGAAGTAATGGCGGCGGAAGTGGTAGAGTCGTAAATATCCTTGCATCTTCGTTAGGGGGTATAATAGTCAGCAAGAAAGAGTCCGTCCCTACCGTCCCTTCTCATCTAATGCAACCGGAAACAAGAGATCTATCATTCAGCCCCTCTCTCTCTCTCTCTCTCTGATTAACCGACCTACTCTGTTTTTTCTTCGTGCCAGTTCTGGTTCCCCCGGAGTTGTATTGCAGTGCAACTGCACAACTGCATCTGAGGAAGGAGGGCGGCGATGACTCCGGCGATAGACGACGACGGGGCCGCGGGAGTGGGGGTGCGAGAGGACGGCGGAGAAACCCGGGATTCGGAAGCTCCGGCGACCGGCGGCGCCGAGGGCTTCCCCCTCGTTAGGCAGCAGTCCTTGCTCTCTCTCACTCTGGACGAGTTCCAGAACGCCGTCCGGGGGCCCGGGAAGAGCTTCGGGTCGATGAACATGGACGAGTTTCTGACGAACATTTGGACCACCGAGGAAGGGAGCGCCGGCGACGACGAGGAGGAGCCGGCGGCGCGCCAGAAGGACCTGCTGTCGGTCCCGGCGCCGCTCTCCCGGAAGACAGTGGAGGAGGTGTGGTCGGATATTCACTGGGACCGGCAGGAGCCGCCGCCGGCGATGGCGCCGCCGCCGCCGGGGAACCCCCAGGATATGGGGCGTTCTCAGCGCCAGCCGACCTTCGGGGAAATGACCCTCGAGGACTTTCTGGTCAAGGCGGGGGTCGTCCGGGAAGGAGGGCACCTCCCTTGCTCCTCCCCGCTGCCCCTCAAGCAGCTTCCTCTCCACTCCCAGCAGGTGCAGCAGCACCAGCAAAACGGTTACGGCTTGCCTGGCGGCTACCAGACGGCGAGCGGGCACCCAGATTACGGCCACGTGGCGGGCGAGGAAAACACGGTCGCTGCCGACAGATCCTACCGTAACTACCACCCGAGACAGGCGCTGGAACCAGGCGGCGCCGGGAACAGCTACGGCGGCGGCGGTGGGGAGAGGACGGGTAATGGGCACGCGGGGGCGGCCTCTCCGCTGAGCCCCGCCTCGTCCGAGAGCTTGGACAGAAGCAACGCGAAGAGCGGGCCGTGGGACACCGGCGGGCCGAGGAGAGGCGGCGGCGCCGCCGCTGCTCCGTGGGGGAGGAAGCGAGTGCTGGACGGGCCGACGGAGAAGGTGCTGGAGCGGCGGCAGCGGCGCATGATGAAGAACCGCGAGTCCGCCGCCCGCTCTCGCGCCCGCAAGCAGGTAGCTTGCTCCCCTCCCACGGCCCAGCGCTCATCCCTGGAGTCCCTGAAAGCGCTATTCTCTTCTCTTATCTTCTCTTCTTTCCCCAGGCCTACACCGTGGAGCTGGAGAAGGAGCTGAACTTCCTCAAGGAAGAGAACGCCCGCCTGAAAGACGAACAGGTTAGCTAAAATACACACACACTCTCTGTCTTCCTCCCTCCCTCTCCGGGGGTATTTGCTTGCTTCTCCCACGCCGTGGCTGAAGAACGAGCTTCTCCGCGTGGACAGAGAAAATTCGCGGAGCGGAGGCGGCAAACGGTACCTTCTCCTCCTCGGCCCTCTCTCATCCACCAGACCCTCTGCCCCGATGACCGATCCCATATCGTCGTGCAGCTCCTGGAGTCCATAGCGGAGCAGTCCAAGACGAACCTGAAGAGGGACGCCAAGTCCGGGAGGCCCGGCATCAGGCTCTGCCGGAGCTGCGTCTGGTGACTGAAACCCTCCGCCGCACCCGCCGGCGCGCCGCCGTCCCTTTCCGAAAGGGGGTAAAGCCGTGGCGACAATCGGGCCGTCCATGTACATGAACGATATTCGGCATACATGTATCATATACATATATATGAATGGCGGATCGCAGAGGAGCCTCCTACAACAGAAGTAAGCCATGGAAACAAACAGCATCGAGGGGGTTCTCGCGCGCGACTCTGCTGCCTGCGTCCGGCGGAGAGCTGACGCTCTTCGTCCAATGATCGGGATTATCACGGGATGACGGGGAATGGAAAATGCAGAGAATTCTCGGCCTCCCACGGGGGAAGAGATCCTCCCTCCGTCAGTAGCTGTCTTCCTCCGCCTCGGGCTTCCGGAGGTGGTAGCGGAGGCAGTTGGTCAACACCTGCAACGAGCGGAGGAGGAGGGAGTCAACGCGAAGATGCTGTGGCAGCAGGGGGGAGAGGATGGGGACGCCGACGGGCGACGAGTGAGTACCTGAGACAGGGAGCTGTTGAGGGCCGCGCCTCTGTAGCTGACGTGAAATTTATCCTTGGCGACCAGGCCCTGAAACGCCACGGGGAGGGAGGACAGCTCGATCAGCAGGTTAGTTAGATTTCTTTGGTTGATCGCAGGGAGAGGACGAACCACTGTGTCTATCTCCGCCGATTCGACGTCGATGCTGATATCCGCCATGATCTGGATGACCTCCAGCAGAAGGCCCGGCCGGTCGGCCGTCTCTATAGACAGCAAGCTGAAGAAGAGAGGTGGAGAGGGTCACGCCACCGGAGCCGGCCGACGACCACCGGGGGGGGAGGGGAGGAGAGGGATGGCAGGACGCACCTTCTCTTTGGCCCATCTTCCTGAACGTGGACGTGAGTGACGACGTCAACGTCGACCTGCATCGGAATCACGGAGAAAAAGCTATGGGCCTCAATAAAAAAGAGGGGAGGAAGATGAATATGGGTTGAAGCACCGGAGTGTTCTACGAGAGAGAGAGAGAGAGAGAGAGAGAGAGAGAGCAGAAACCTTGTTCTCCGGAGGTTTTATTCCAAAAGCCTCCCCCATTGCAAGCTTCACGCTGGATTCCTGAGGAAAACATACGGAGTCAAGGGGAAGAACGAGATCTAGTAGGAGCTTGGTGACATGTAAATGGTTGAATAAGCCATACCGGATGATATTTGAGCAGGTTGTTGATGATGGTCAGACGAATTTTCTCAAGCATGTCAGGATTCTCAACCTTGCGCCCTCTATAATGCTCACGAACACCATACAAGATAAACATGAATTTTCTTTCTTCTCTTTGACAGTTTAAACGCTACATGCAAGAAATCCTAGAGAAAAACTGCTAAAATGCCGATAGCTTATATTATAAGATGAGTACGCCAAAGGAACACCTATAGAGCGTTCAGCTCACTAACCAAAGCTAATTCATGTCGTCGCACCTGAGACTACAGAAATACCTCAAAAGAAACTTATCGATCGTTTATGGCAGTTGCATCACAAGCATCCAGCATCTTATTCTGACAAAGCATGGCATGTCGAGAGCACCGTGCATGCCTTTGTCCCAGCACTTTTTTCATATAAGAGGCATGCACAAATACAAATACTTGCACGGACGGGTACATCCAACTAATCGATGGATTGGTATGATTCACAATAAAGATAGGATTGACTCTCTACTCAACGAGTAGTGGCAATGGTTTCAGTGCAATCAACATGGATGACTGTAGGATCATAATGGGCATTATTATGGATACGACAGGCAGGCATGTTGTAGTAACAATTATTTTTTGTCCGTATATGGCTACGAAAAGTTCGTCAAAACAGTATTTCTTTTACTCTATGTAATTTAGGGCAGTCATTGGGCGGGGTTGTGCAGGGAACCTACAATCTTAAGATCTGTCAGCAATTTATTTATGAAAAACAGAGGATTGCAAGATGGTCAGCTTACGATCGTGCGATGAAAAACTTTGTCTGTTTAACTGAAGACTCGGTTGTTACAGTTCCCTTTGTCACATCCAAGCCCAGATCTTTCAGTGCTCTCATCTGGGTAAAAAAAAAAAAAAAAGCCATTGACCGACGATTAAAAAGTACTCAAATTATGCATAAAAACATGAGAGAGAGAGAAAAAGAAGAACTCTTGGATGGATGTGCTTTCTGCTATACTGCACTTTTCTACTGCATATTCATGTAACGGTCCGGATAGGCCAAGAAATGATCATGACATGATATCTACACTCACGTGGAGACGAGATATAATTTGACAGTCAATCTATCTTCTCGTCTGAAGGGAGTCATTCTGGTTAAGAGGAAGATTAATTGAAAAAAGATACAGCCAAGGTGTGTGTGTGTGTGAGAGAGAGAGAGAGATCATAAAAGTGATATTTGTGCAGTTAAGAAAAATATTGGAATGAAATGGACAGAACTTGTGTAATGTGCATTCTTTATCCCACGGCAAACTAATAAAAGTCGATGCGTAGTTTTTTTTTAATTTTATTTTATCTAGCACGGAAATCTTTCTCAATGGTTTCCATAAAAATAAAAATAATTATCTTCTAATGTTCATCGTCGTTGTGTCAAAATAAACAATAAAAATTGCATGTAAAGGAATATTTTCACAAGGCAGGTTCAGAGTCACTTTACAGTGTCAATGAGAGCACCCAGACGGTCACCAAAGCTCAATTGCACCAGGGTTGCATTTGGATCAGAGTCCTGGTCAATTAGCAATATAGGCATGGGAACTGAGCTCACGTCCGGATCAGATATCTGTCAAAGATGCCTTTTCCATGTTAGGGCTCCTCACACAATCAAGATGAAACACAACATGCATGTGTTCAGCGAGACATTGTCAATAAACTTATAGACCATTATAGTTCGGCCGATACACTTCAGGAATGAATCTAGCTGCCTAGCAAGTTACAGGAAAAACAGAATGAAAAAAACAACGCATCTCGATTTCATAAGCAAAACGAAAAACAAGCGAAACAAAGACGAGAACTTCCAAATTGTGCACCACCAAAGAAAACTTCTTTTCACCTGCCCAGGACTTTTAACTCATTTAAAACGGACATCTGTCAAAAATTGACGGCAGACGGACGTTTCTAACAAAAAGGAATAAAAAAAATGAGAAAGGGAAAGGTACAAACCGTGGGGGAAGATCCCAGAACATCTGCTGAATTAACAGAAGATAGAAATATGTTCCTACACCACAACCAGAGAAAGATACCAACCATTATAATCGTGGCAAACTCTCGATGAATACCAACCAAAAATAATTGTTTCTTCACTTTACACAGAACAAGTATGAACTGGAAGCCAGGGAATGATTTGAACTACCCATCCAGCAATCTAAAAGGCTAAGACGTCATGACGGGAAATGGATAATAAATCTGTATTCTCTTTCAACAAAAGCCACAGCCAGGAAGATTGCACTGAATCTTCTCCAAAAACTAGAATAAGGGATCAAATAAAAACACTGAGCTCAGGAAATAGAGAATATATCACCGCATGACCAAATTCGGAAACCAGAGCGATACAGTCAGAAGGAAATAGATGACGAAATCAGCTTCGATGATGATAGAGGACGCAGAGAGAAATTGAAAAACACTTGAGCAGAGGAGAAGCTGGAGTACCAACAAGCGTCCCATAAGTATGATCTCATCCATGACAGGGCACAGATTTGTCCGTTCATGCTACTGGTCTATCTGAGCACAGTGGAGAAATGAAAAATAACCTAAGGAGACTTGTCCGACGAGATCAAATAAGATTCGAGCAAGCGAAGTTCGGAAAAAGATACAAATCTCTCCTTGTCGCAGTCATCGCCAGTCCACCGAACAGACAAAGCACGCAAACTGAGGAATTGAGACACCGGAGAGCCCGAATCCGAGTAAAAAAACGTACGAAATTCTACCCCGACATCCTGGCTCACCTCTGCGGCTTCCCAGGAAGACCAATCCGCGGAGCGAGAGATACATGGCGGAGGAGAGGTCCTCTCCCGGCAATCTCAGCTGGCACGGACCTCCGCACTGGCCCTCCCTCTGGATGGCTCGCCCGGCGGACGGCAAGCGAGCAGGCGGAGGATCGGGAGGAGAGGAAGCTGTTGGCGGTCGCCATTGTCGCAGGCGAGCGAGTGGAGACCGCCGCCCCTATCGTGCGCGCTGGCCGCGTGAGAACAGGAATATGCGAGTGCGGATAAATCGAAGATGCGGCGTATTTATACTGCAAAAATCATCGCCGATTCACAACCGACGATCCCGGGTGGCGCCACGTCGGAAGCGGCATCATAGGATATTTATAACCGGCCAAAGTACCCGCGTCCTTTTGCTCCGAGATATTTCCGTCCTCGGGGATTCTTCTCTCTTGCCCCTCCCTCTCGGGGAGAAATAATAACTCTACCCCTAGAAGTTCCCTTTTGCGGGCGGATTAGTCTCCTAGGAGAGGGTACAGATGCTATTTTTAATTAAAAAGGATACCATCGCATGGTTTTTCGGGGACGCCGCAAGTGATGGGCCCCCACGCACACACAATATCCATCGCAGCCCGAGACGACTTTGCGGCCCAAACGGGGGCGCCGGCGACGGGAAGGACCGGAATCTATACGTCTCCGCCCAGGATCGGAATCTGCCGACCGCGACATGACGTGGACGGAGGCGGCCGACATGGCCGTCTCGATCTGACGTGCCATTTGGCCGGGAAATCGGAATTGAAAATAAAAATAAAAATAAAAATGGTGCAAGATCAACGGCCCAAGCTCATCGTATCATTTGCTCTGTATTATTTATCATCGCATCCCCATTACACCCCACCCAGGCGGGCCGTTGCTACGTCAGAAGCGGCCCGGCTGAGGGCAATGGGGGTGGAGCTGGTGGAAGTGGGACGTGGTGGGCCATCCGAGCGCGTCGTCTGGTGAGTTCCTGTCCGTCCACGTGGATTAATCGGTTAGTCGGCCGCCGATCGATTCAGATAGATATAAGGTGGCGATCGACTTACTCTGTCAGAGGGCGCGAGGCCCAGAGGGAGCCGAGGGAGCGCAGCCGGGCGTGGTACTCTCCGACGGCCAGGAAGCACCTCGCCGCCTGTCGAACGGTCAGGATCTTCCGCATCTGCTGCAGCGTCTGCTGCCGCAGGTTATCCGCCTGTAAGAGCAACAACATATAAATATCTCTCTAGATAGAGAGAGAGAGAGAGAGAGGGAAAGGGAGAGGGAGAGGGAGAGAGAGATAGAGCCGGGGGTGGGACATGGCCGTTGAGCAACGACAAAGGGAGGGGGAGGGGCATCAATTAGGGCAAAGGCTGTGGGGACCAGGATTGGTCCGATGGCGGGCGGTGGAGGAGTGGTCGAGCCGACACGTGGCGAGGGAGCCGTAGCCCTAGGACAAGCTGGGCGTTTAAAAAGGAGGGGAAGGAGGTTCCTGGGGCCCACAAGGCGGTGCGCAGACAGCTACGGCTGATGACAAAAAAATAATCAGGGGAGGCTTAGCCCATCCTGGCGACACGTGTTTAACAGACCGAACGCCGAGACAGAGAGGACGACGACGGCGGCTAGAGATGGGGGGGGGGGGGGCGAACGAACCTGGTGGACGAAGCCTTCGAGATTGTAGAGCTTCCCCAGAGCGAGGGTCATCTGTGCCATGTAATCGCCGACGTTGGCACCGTCGTTGAGCGGGCCGCTGGCGACGGTGTCGGTCAGCGACTGCTGGAGCTGCTCGAGGCCCTGCGAGAGCGCCTCCTCCGCCTGCTGCGACGACTCCTGTAGGCTGCATATCCACGCCAGCTGCTGCTCCGTCAGGGGGTCCAGCTGGGGGATCAGCATCTGTTCAATCCGCCAAGAAAATTATATATCTGGGATTAAATCTAGTATATAATACCCTCCCACATCTTCAAACTGCTACTACTCTCATTACATAGATAGATAGATGGATTGATTGCTTGACTGATTATCATCCGAATCCTCCGCGCGGCCTAGAAAACTCCGAGGGAAGAGGTAAGACCTTGAGGATCTCGGAGGGGCGGAAGCCGCCCATCCAGAGGAAGCACCTCTCCGCCGGCGACGCCCACATGCCGGTGATGATGTGGAAGACGTCCGAGCTCGCGGCGGCGGCCTTGAGCTGGAAGATCTCGTCGTGGTGGGCGAGGCACTCGTCAACGACGACTCGCAGGTCGTCGTCCGCTAATTGACCGCGCAGCCCCGTCCCCAGCTCCGACATGAGCTTCCTGTCCTCGTCCAGCCACCGGGCGTACTCCATGTCGAAGATCGCCGCGCCTGCAGAGGAGAAACCGGCGCCATTACAGTCGCGGCGAGTAGTGGCGATCTTGACGGGTTTCGTTGGGTTCCAATTACCTGGGCTGACGCCGGATCCGGAGAAGAGACCCTGGAGAGCAACCGGCATGAGATAAGGATCAGAAAGGCGGCGAGGAAATCCACACACACACACAGACAGCTGCCCTCCCTGTGAGAGGTGGCTATGGCGGAACCTGCGAGCGTGCTCTCTGTAGGTCTTGCTCCATCTGGGCGAGCTTCAGTCTGCATGTCTCTAGCTGCCGGACGTAGGCCTGACGTAGAGGCGTATAATATTAGTCCTCTGGTTTCGTTGGAACCTGAGATATGGACAGGGAGGAAGGGACGACGAGCTCTTGCTGGTTTAGGGCTGCCGCCTAGTCAGTTAGTACCTTCTTCCTCAGCCGGCTCTTCCTCGCGGCCTCCCTATTCTGAGCCAGGCGCCTCAACGTCTGAGGTTGATGAACAACATCTAGGTTTCAGCGAAAGTTTCCAACTTCGGAGAGCCAAGCTCGTGGTCTCCATGCAGATACGCGTGCCATCACATGCACGGTCCTCGTGGACGTGAGTAGGGAGATGATAGATAAATAGATAGACACATAGATAGGGAGATAGAAAGATAGATGGATAGAGATTTGATCGATAGATTAGACATTCAGAGATAAATAGATAGATAGATAGATTGATAGAGGGCAATAGAGAGAGAGATAGATAGAGGGGAATAGAGAGAGATAGATAGAGGGCCAGAGAGAGAGAGAGAGAGAGAAACCTTTGCGTCCAGCGGCTTGCCGTCATTGTTGATGAAGTTTCTCTGCAACATTTAGAAACGAAAACTGGGTCATTGGCGTTATTTCTGTTATTTGCGAAGAAGAGAGTAGGGGTCTATTGCATCCGGGGGAAGACAAGGAAGACAGAGAGAACCTCAAGAAGCGTCATGGAAATTCTCTGCCAGGCAGTTCTAAGAAGTGCCTCTCCTCCTCCGAAGAGGACTAAAAGCGGGATGCTCTAAATACTGGTAAAAGATCATTAAAATGCCATTTTTTAAAAGAGGTCGCGTGGGGAAGGAGAGTCCACTGTACACCCCCTGGCGAACAGATTGAAAGCTGCTCCTCGGAGGGACTTTGGTACCTTGGTTGACATTAGAAATCGACCCCCTCAAAGCTGCAACTGTGTACCTTCTTGGGTCTTGCTTCACGGGCGTCACGAGCCCATGGAGAGAGAGCGAGAGAGAGAGAGAGACAGAGAGAGAGAGAGAGATAGAGGATAGCGAACCTTTTCTTGGGGCCTCTGCTGACGACTCTCCCCCCCAGGAGCTGCTCTTGAAGGATCGCCGGCCATCTCTCGCCCGTTCTGCTCAGGTATCTGCCATGAAGATGCCTTCCTACTGGCCGGAGAGCCCGACGCCAGATGAGCAGTAGAGACTTTCTGCGCAGATCCTGACTCATTGCTCTCTGCCGACTGCGGACTCCCCTGGTGTCATTTTTAGAACAAGGAACACGGTTAAGACCCCGACGTTGCTCTCGACAGTGGCCAGATATCGTCTCCATTAAATTTCTCTGGCTTGGAACCAGAGTCAGGAGGGGGAGAGGAGGGCCGTACCCAGCTCGGCTGCGGAAGCCTCATTGGCCAGGAGGGAAAGATTTCCAGGGTCGGTGGAGGAGGAGCTGGCCTTGCTGTGAAGAAGGCTGCGACGAGCAACAAACGCAGAGATCAACAGAAGATCTCAGGCGACAAGAAAGGAGAGGAAGTCCAACGAGCCGGTTTCAAAACGAGCTCCTCCGCTTTCCTCTCGGGTAGAGAACAGAGCGAGGAAGGTAGAACAGGAGAGTTTAGCTTTCTATCTTTCCGTGATCAGACAGCTCCTGCTTCCCCCTTCCTCTTCTGTATATCATCCCACATCAAATTTCTGGGCATCTGTATATTTAGAGAGAGAAAGAGAAGGCACCAGCAGATAGGTGGATCGATAGAGAGAGAGAGAGAGAGAGAGAGAGAGGGAGAGAGAGATAGAAAGATGAAAGAAGGGGGAGGGATTATAGAAGATAGAGCTAATGGAAGGGGTTAAGCACGAGCGGTAATGCCTACGCTTTCCGTCCGCGTCAGGTCTCATGGGCACAACGCCTTGAATGAAATCCTCGTCCAGTTCTCCAAAGCAATCAGATCCATCTGGTGCACCGCTGGAACCACCAAAAACGGCACCATTGAGCAGCTACAAATACTATATACAATTAGATCGATGAACTGGTGGCGGACAAAGCAGGCGGACAGGTTAGTTGGGGAGAAGAAAAGGCAAAGAGAAAGGAAACGACCCGCCGATGGATCGGATAGGAACTCTTCTCCGCAATTGGGGAGAGAGGTGTAATCCCATTAAGGACTTGATGGGGGTGGAAAGAGCGGTAAGTGTCTTGTGATCTAGCGATAGAGAGAGAAAGATAGAGAGAGAGAGAGAGAGAGAGGGAAAGGAACAGTACAAGAAATGAGATGAAGTAGTGATTCCATTAGAGAGAAGAGCGTGACTTAAAGGCGCTGGTTCAGGGAGGCCGGCGTCTCCCAGTTGATGATGATTTGCCATCCAGTAGGCGACCACCTCTCTCGCTACTCTTCTCCGCTTCTATGGAGGAACTGCCATTGGCGGGATCCCTTCGAACTCTCTGGTTGGGCCGAAATATTGCTCGGCTCGTCTGGATTGAATGAAGAGAGGGATGCGGAAAGAAGACGGAAGGATCTGGACGAGCTAAGATGAGCAGACACTCAGATGATTCGTGTCGAGGAGAGAAAGAGACGAGCAAACAACCGGCGGAACTGCGACGCAGAAGAATAATATCGTCTACATGCAGGCCTACCGAGGGAGAGAGAGAGAGGGAGAGAGAGAGAGAGAGAGAGCCACGGGTTGGCTTCTTTTTCTGGCGGAGAGGAGGATCACTGTGAAGCCTGATTCGATCCTTGACTATTCATCCAGTTCTCTACTTACGAAACTAGGGTACAGTAATAGCAGCCGCGGCATTCATGCATTTGCGATAGAGTCGATCTTGTCCACGGGGCAGAGAAAGAGAGGATGCAGAAAGAGAGAGAGAGAGAGAGAGAGAGAGAGGTGGGGTCTCCTAGGGCATAAACCGAATGGAACGGATGACTCCTATTCCACTCCTGGCGACCGACTGAGCGTCCCCACCGCCTCCCTCCCATCTGTTTTCTTCGGAGATTTTTAAAACAATAGACGAAAGTAGAGGAACGGGCCGGTCTGGAGTAAGCTCTCAGAACCCAGGAAGCCTCCCGCCGCAGAACAAGAAAGTAGCCGCCGCCATCGAAGCCCCCTCTCCCCCCGGCCATAGGATCTTCTCAGGTCTCCCCGCACCAGACCATCACCGCCTTCCTCAGCAGTTATCGACAAGGAAGAAGAAGGAGAGGAAGGAGGGGAGGAAGAGGAAGAAGAAGAACAAGAGGAAGGAGGGAGGAGAGAAAGTCTTCCGGACATCTGGCGGCGCCGGCGGGTGGGACGTCTCCACGGCGGCGTTCCTGGTGGGACCCGACTGGCTGGGCCGCGGATGCTCGGGGTTTATTAAAATCAGATGCCGTGGGCTAAATCGGCGGCCGGTGATAATTAATTAATCCAGCCGCCCGGTGGGCTCCGCCGCAGGAACAGTCTAAACTCTGTTAGTCACCCACCCCCCGCGGTCAGCCACAGGCTATAAGATATTTGATGAAATCATGATGTCGACACCTTCCACCGCTGGCCGATTAGCATCCCCCCAAAAAAGGCCTCCATGACGGCCCATTAGAGGCCCTCCCCTAGAAAGGCCGATCCGGCCCAGTAAGGATCGCCTTCATCGAACGGCCGGGATTGACCCGATGTATGGTCGCCTCATCAGGTTTATGGAAGGAGGGGGAGCGGACTCTGCGGCGAGCGGGAGCTACGACGGCGGGAGATGGCGCAGCTTCTCAACGCGCACCCGTGCTTCGTCGTCGGCGGCCGCCCTCTGGCGGCGGCGGCGGCGGCTTCGCCTCCGTGGCGGAATTACGCCGCTGCCTTGCTGAAGGTCAACCCCCCTAGCAGCTCGGAGTGGGCGGCGCTGCGGAGGAAGGTCGGCAGAGGCGGCCGGCACTCGTGCTTCTTCAGCGACGGGCGGAAGCAGGTAACCGGGGGATTTGTGGGCTTATGATTTTCTGTCCTTCGATCTCCATCTCTGCGCCATACATATTTCGGTTGCGATTTCTGTCGTCCGGGGAAATCCTCGGGAAACAGTGGATAGAAGAGGGGAGGCGTTCGTGAAGTTCTCTGCCGATTTAGGGTAGTAGCACGAGCTTGAAGGTCCCTTTTTTTTATTTTTATGTCAGAGATGCTGCTCGCGGCGGCCTCCAAGGGATAACGCGTCGGTCTCCCTCTAACCCGGTCTCTTGTGCCTCCTGATTGATTCATGAATCAGGACCAAGCTAAGAAAGCCCTGGAGAGCGCACTCGGGGGGAAGAAGACGGAGTTCGAGAAATGGAACAAGGAGATCGAGAAGAGGGAGAGCGGCGGCAGCGGCGCTTCGGGGCGGGGGGGATGGTTCGGCGGCGGCGGCGGATGGTTCGGCTGGTCCAACGACGAGCACTTCTGGGACGAGGCCAAGCAGGCGGGCATCACCCTGGGGGCCCTTCTCTCCCTGGTACGCTTCTCCCCTTTCCCCTCCTTCTCATGCTCGTCGTCATCATAATATTTCCTCTGGGAGAGGCCACTGAAATCCATCCCCTGCGGCTTGTCTCCCTCCCCGCAGTATCTGCTGCTCACCAAGGGCAGCGTGATGTTCGCCGTGGTCTTCAACTCCCTGCTGTTCGTCCTACGAGGAATACGAACCCGGGCGGAGTTCGTCGTGTCCCGCGTCTCCGGCAAGGCCCCGGCGAGCAGGTCGCAGGTCGCTAGGACGACCCCGGTCTCCTCTGCCAAGGAAAGAATCGCGAGCAAGTGGGGATCCGACTGACGCTCCTCTTCCGCGATCGACTGACTCAGAAGCCCGAATCTCTTCGATGAGGAAATGGGTCGGAGGAGCCCGGAGATCCTCTCCCCCACCCGTCGCCATGTCTCGAATGAATGAATGTAGCGGTGGGACTCTTCCATATTGCCTTGGTTCGGACGGACGGCGCTCGCCTGGCCTGCGGGGCAAGTCGCCGAGCCTGCTCCTCCATGGATTTTTTTGCTGCTGCTGCTGCTGCTGCTTCTTGACGGGGAAGACCGAGTTCACTGCCCCGGCAATTCTTTCCGTGGATCCTCTTATCTGAAAGCCGGCTTCTTTGTCGTCCGAGTAGCCGTCCTCTGCCGCGGCGTCCCACCCCCGGAACGCGACGGCGCCACCAGCCGGGGCGATGGAGGGCCCTTGGGCGAGCGTAGGTCGACCATCGTCCTGGCGGGCACATGGCGGCGGGAATGGCCTCGCCAGGAGAGAGAGCAGGGTGGGTGGATGGGCACACGGCTTTATGATTTTTTGTGATTTCAGCATGGGTCACGCATAAGTTCGGTTATTTGCGGAAACCCCCCAGTCATAAGGGTACGCGCGCCGGTCGTCAAGAGTTGTCGAGCATTTTAGGGGGGTATTTATATATATGACTTATTCAGGGGGGTTTGTACGTTGTTGTCTGCTTTTAGCGGGTAGGGTATTGAGAGAAGAAGATAGCGCAACTCTATCCGATAAACACAGCGTAGAAGAATTACGAGAAGGAGCAGAAATCATCCTCAGCCCCCTCCCGCAACCCCTCGGAATCCCTTCCGCCCACGCGACCCTAGCGTTCGTTCTCGATGGATCGGCCGTTTTGATGCCCTCCCTCGGGCTGCCCATTCCTCGATTGCGAGTGGTTTCATCCGCCGGCAGGAGATAGAGGGAGAGGCGTCTCGTACCAGGAGCTATCCCTAGAGTCGGCAATCTGGTCCTCATTCGGGGAGTCCAGCCTTCCTGTGCCTCCAGAGTCTCTCGAGGGCGCGGGCTTCCGCGGGCCCGCGGCGGTCTCTCGCCTGGCCGCGATCGTCATGACGGGGAGGTCAACCAGATGGGAGACGGATCCGCTGTTCTCGGCCGCCGAGGTTGTGCAGGACTCCGCCGACAGGTTGGTAATCTACCTGCGTCTCTGCAGTGGTCGCTCTCGGTGATCTTCGTCTTCCTCGGCCGCATTCCTCCGTCGATTGCGACGCTCCTCCTCCGCGTAGATGACGACAATGGTTTTCATTTTGACCAACGCAGGATGGAGTCGCTCTATCGGTTGCTCATGCACGAGTTGGATCTCGTCCATGGAGACCGCCGGATGCCCAGCCCCTTGCAGTTTCACAAGCGCAATCTTGTGACCGCTGTCGAAACGGCAAAATGGCAGGTAGTTCTTTTACAGAGTATTAAGGTGATGTGAGACAGGCTGAGCTTACTTGGTGTTTCGCTTCCTTTCCTTGCTAGCTGGAGGACTTTGAGAGGGCAGTGCATGCCATATCTGATGAGACCGGCTCGAGGGAGCACGCAATACATGGGCACAAGCAGTTCATCGATGCCATAAGAGATCAAGTTCTCTCGGTGCAGAGAACCTTGGAGGAGATATCTGTTGGAGATTCTGGCACAAGTACGCAGTGGACGAGCCCGAATGAACCAGACACCCTCGGGTTGGCATTATTCCTTTCTGGTGAAAATTCTCGGGATCACCATTTACCTGATAACTCTCAGAATAACATCGGGAAGAAGTTTCTTGATTCAAATGGGACGACTGATGAGATTATAGAGATCGAACCTGATGAGAATGTGCACTTGGAGCTGAACGATACGAGGCATCTGAATCATGCTTCCAGTTCCTTACAGGGCGACGGGATGTGGAAGTTTGGGTCGAACAACTCCGAGTCTTCGTTTTTTCCAGAGCAAGGTAATCTGGAAAATGGGTACAGAACCGCGGAGGATGCTGCGAATTGCAACCCTGAAGCTGGTAAATTGACCACACGGTACCTGTTGTTTTCCAATAACGGGGCAGTCAGGTGTCTATGGGAATTCGTCAATAAATTTTGGCGTTGGGACAGATATAGGCATTCAAGGACATTTACGAAGAAGAGAAAAGATGGAGATATAACGGACGACACTTCAGCGGATATGGATTTACGCAGAAAGAAGGCATTCTACTCTCTTGATATGTCCTCAGCTGGGCAGGTACGCGAGCACCGTCGCCAATTGTCTTCTCTAGATCACCAATATATTCTTTTTTCTTCTTCTTACCTTTAAGTATGAGATTTTTCATACCTGATGGAGTGCCATATTTATTTATTTAATTTGTACAGAGTAAGCAATCCGGTTTTGGGATCTTTCCGAGACCAAATATTCGTGAACTGAGGCCTGCTGTGCATGTTGCCAAATTGTTAGAACCTCTTTCTAGAAGATTTGAAAGACTCCAGGGGGGCTTCTCTCAGCAGCGGTTACCAGTTATGGCATTGATCGCAGTGACTCTAATAGGTGAGCTTGTCTTCTTGGTATCTTTGTCTTGCAAAGTTGGGATTATACTGGGCCGAGAGAAAACTGGAAAATATCTTCGAGAAATTCACAACATGATGAGAAGCATTCAGGCAATGTGAAGTTTGACATACCTGACTGAGCACACACACAGTGTGGGCCTTCAGATTCATATAGATGAAGCCAGTAATCATCACCAATGCGCGCGTGGGCATTCATGCTGAAATATCCTCCATCTCTCACAGTAAAACCTGAATAACAAAAAAGCACATGATTTTACCTGTAAATCTTTTGATGATCTAACAAAGAATGGAGGAGACCGACCTTGTTGATGTCCGCCTTTCTGATGCAGGTGTTCTGCGTTTCGGATGGCTGATGTGGTAGGGCACAGAATTATGCTTTCCTCTTTTGATGTTGTGGATTTGCTGCACTTGAGTTCTTGGGAATCTCGCCTCAGATGAAGCGTGCATGGAACCCGGGGAAGGAAAAGATTATCATTGTATACATGTACACTTTGTGGAAAGGGAATAAAATTGAAATGCCCATTTTTTTCTATTCATGGATTCGGACTCGTTTGATAATGGTTCATTTCTAAAATTATCCCCGGAGACCTCACTTCGAAACTGTCAAATTGATTAAAAGAAGGGAATTTGAGAATTTCAAAAAAAAAAAAAAAAGGACAGAAAAATCGAAAGCAGCTGCGTGTTTAGTCGAAGACTGACTGGCGCAACGAATGGGAATATCCTATTAATGGCGACAAATGCATGCTGATTCAGGCTAGTCGCTACGTCCTCCCTGGGTAAATGGAGAAGATGGTGCCATAAATGGCTGTTAATTAAGCAATAGGGTACCGAGTTAAGGGGATACGATTTGTAATTAATAGGAAAGTGAGGGGGGGAGGCTCAAATGATTTTTAATTAACAGCGGATTGATTTCTAGTTGGGCCGGTAATGGGAAATGGGTACTGACTGGAGTGGGCTGGGTTCCCCGATTCCTGGACCCCTTGAGGCCAGCCTGTGGAGTTGGGGTGGGCCCAATCACCCGGCCCACCATGACCAGCTCGTCGTCTCTCGCGCGATTAAATCGGATTTAGAACCAGTGTAGTCTGCCCTGGCTGTCGGAAACGAAGAAGAGAGAGAAAAGGAAGAGGAAGCAGAGAGAGGACAGCCAGAGCGCTGATGGCGTCTGCTTGGGAGGGGGATGGATCTACCCTGGCTGCTCTCTCCGATCCTCGCTCCATGAGGAAAAATATCTGTGCAGCAAGAGAGAGAGAGAGTGACGCATTGGTCTTCTTCCGTCAGAGGGAAGCGGGGCCGGAGTTCTGCCAGTCCCGAGTCCGTTCCAATTCCATCAGCGACCCCAGGGAGCGCCGCACGAGGATCCCCTGGCCCTTCTGCTGAGGCAATGGCCCCGATCTTGCCACCGCACGTTCAGGCTGCGTCTCCACCTCACCGCTCCGCGACGCCGGGTTACTACCCGACGGGAAGCTGTTCACGTGGCGCAGTCCAGGTGGCGGGGCGGCCGGCAGGCTTTCCCCTGATTCCATGATCTTGTCAGTGGACGATCGCGTTGGCTCCTCGCCGACGAGCGCCGCTGCCTGTCGCCGGCGGCAGCAGGGCAGCGCCAAAACGCGCGACCAGAAGGAGTCTGTTGTAGCTGCCGAAGATGACTCGGGGGATACACCGGGTCTAGTGATCCGACTGGCCTTGCTTCGTCGGTTCCTGTCCCGATCGGAGAGAACTCTCCCGATGCACGATACCTTCGGGGACATCGGTTCCAGCACCGGCGACTTCCCATCCCCGTCCAACTGAGCACCTAATTTCTTCGGGAAGAACCGGCCGCTGGCGGTGTGCCGGCGCGAGCTGCGGTTGAGGTAGCCAGAGTCCCCGAGCCTGTTCGGCAGGGCGATGATGGGGCCGTTGCGCTTGGCGTAGTAGCCCCGGGAAGCCCCGTGGAGCAGCTTGGGGTTTCCGCGGCGGATCGCCGCCGCGCTTCGTTCAGAGATCCCCCTGGCGGATCCGTCGCGATCGTAACCGGCGACGGCGATGCGGTCAATCCAGCCGATCACGTCTTCCTCTGACAGACGGAAGGACTCCGCCGGAATTTCATCGTCTCCAGGCGGCGGCGAAGCGTTCAGAGAGAGGTCCCCCGGTCTCCGGCCTCTGACCTGGTCGACGAGCGTCTCGCAGACCACCTTCCCTTCCTTGCCACCTCCTAACCCTGCGATCTCCGCCTCCGCCACCTGTGGCATCTGATATAACGAACACTCTTCGGAGCGAGAAAGCAGGAGATGGAGAGAGAGCGCTCAGAGAGGGAGAGAGATGAGGTCTCGAGGAGGAAGGAGGGAGGGACTGCTGACAGGGGGTCCCATTTTAAAGGAGATGAAGATGAAAGGACAAAAAGCGCGAATGAGCGGGGGATATTTACGTCACCTCGCAGAGCTCACAACGACCTGTGGACCGGTGGGTGTGGCGTCGGGAGTTTTGGCAGACGCGTCCGCCGAGCACGAACAAAGCGTGAACCCCCATAACGCCGAAGATCTCTTCTCCGCCGTTCGATTTCCGTGATCCCACTCCCTCATCATCGTCCATCGCGCTGGGCCTAGATCGTATATCCGTCGTGGGCCCTCATCACTAATGGGCCTTTGTGCGGAGTCCACCTCCCCGAGGCGGGGCCCAGTAAGCCTTTGACCCATGACGGCCGATCGTCTGCTCGCCGTCCATCTCCCTCTCCCAATATTTTGTATAAAAAATCACAGCCGTCGATTTGCATCACCATTGGAGACGGGCTAGGGGGTCTTGGTGGGTTGGTGGGGTGTCCCCTAGTGTTAGTCTGGAGAAGAGGCTTTCATAGGGACGAAGAAAAACCGTCAGGTCACTACCTCTCTTGTCTAAGACAATAATATTATATTGGTTTTGGACGATATTATAATAAATAATGCAAAAATGTAAGCTTGGTTTGGGCATGTGGTTGACTAAGATGGCGTTGTTGTTGATTAAAAAAAAAATGGAGCAAGTTGAATCGACCCACTTCTTCAGTGTTATAACTGGTTATTAAAAAATTAAAAAAAAATAATAATAAAAAAAAACAGTGGCTTGTAGATTGTCCACAAATGTTAGATCCTAGTAGGATGACCAGTATAAACAAGCTTTCTATAGATTCTCAATTCAAGATTTCAAACCCCTTCTTATGGCACACCTAAATACATGGACGATATAATGCTTTTAATGAGGCATCAAAACTTTATTTCAATTTTTTATTTATCTTTTAGACCATCATGAGTCACATACTTTTAGCCATTTAATCATCATTTGGTGTTTAGAAATTTGAGACATGTTAACTAAACTTGCTAGTTTCAAGTGGCATGAATTGGTTATCTCATTAAAACAAAAAAAATGCCTTGAACTTCATCATCGTTGGAATCCTCAAGGTCTCCATCTGTCAGAGGAGTAATTCCTCGATGATTGAAGTAGAAGACCATCCCGTGTCATAGATTCTGGCGGTACGCTTCCGCAACTTACTATCTATCAATTGGTATCAAAGCTCATGGTCGTCGATGAAATTCTTTTTCCGTTTCATTGTGCTTTCCAACGCTTGAATTCGCTGCATTTTTTGCCGTCTTCGACGTCCTTACGTCGTCGGAAATGGCCACGCAATGGTGCGGGGAGGCCTGACGGTGTCGTCGGAGGCTGCACAACTCGCAACGTGGCTTTGCGGCCTCTGGAGGTCATGCACCATCGCGGTGTCGCCTTAGGGTGTTGCGGCGCCTGTCGTTTCAGACGATTTTCGGATCGCACTTGGGCGTCGCCGCGCAGCGCCTCATGGCGTCTGTTGGACCCCGATCCTGGGTGCTCACTAGCGCGGCCCACTGGGTCCGCCCAGCGATATGAGCTCAGGCCTGGCAGCGGCCAACTAGGCCGCTCGGCCTGTGTGCGAGCTGGCCCCTTTTTTTTGGTGCGGCCCACTAGGGCCACCGGGCCAGGCACAGCCCACTAGGTCTACCGCGCCAGGCACAGCCCACTAGGTCTACCGCGCCAGGCACAGCCCACTAGGTCTACCGCGCCAGGCACAGCCCACATGGCCGCCCTGCCAAGTCCAACCCAACATGGGTTTTAAAGGGCATTTTTTGCCTATTTTAATATTCTCTCATTATTATTTTAGTAATTTAATTTATTCATTCACTTTATTACCAATTCATTTAATATTTTTCTTGGATTTTTTTGAGCAATTCTCAACATTTTAATTCAATTAAATTGTGCCATGATAGTACATTATTAAGATAAAATATGACATTATATTGATTCATATGTCATAAAATCATATACATTAAATTCATGTGAATATTTATTGGCCTAAGGGAAAATAAATGTTTGGTCGAATTTAATGTATGCATGGCAATTCAAACATATATATTGGTCAAACATTTTGTTTTAAATAGACTTTAGTAATCAATATATTGATATATCAACCTCTATTGTTAAAAGTGTCCATTTCAAAAATATTATGATGACAATATGATATTATTTACGTGAACACTTGTTGACCCAGAAGAAAATACATATTTGACCAAATAATAATCACATCAATACTAGTAAACTTTACAATTATTGATTTAGATGAAAAGAAACACTAAGTTGGCCCAAAGGAAGACTTATTATTTGTCATCTTTTATTGCTTAACCGTTTTGGCTAGCATGCCAAGATGATCACTTAAAAATTAATATATCATCCAAAGATGAGTATTAATGTTGTGCTGAATCTCTTAAGCTAAAAAAATATAATTATTTAAATTTTTACTTTAGAATTTTACCCATGTGAGTTATTTATTCTTTGCATAGGCTTGAAAAAGGTTTTAGATATCTACATAAATTTAAATTCCATTCTAATGTTAAGTTGTACAAACTTTAAAAAATGAAAAACAATTGTATCACTATACTTAGGTGTTTCAGATCTTGACTATGTCTTGCAGAATGATCAACCTGAGGCCATTAAGAATTCTTTTTTCATCAAGGAAAAGAAGGCCTATAAGAATTGGGGGAGATCAAACTTCTCCAAAAAATTGAGAAGAAGTATCATAAAGAGCATAAAGTTAGGACTAGTACTCTCATGTATCGTCTTACTAACATGAAGTATAAAGGAAAAGGGCATATAAGAGAGTATATAATGAAATTGTCTTACATTCGTTTCAGATTAAAGATATTAAACTTGGAACTTTTGGAAGAGTCCATTATTTACATGGCTTTGAACTCTCTTTATGCACAATTCAATCAGTTTAAGGTGAGCTATAACTGTCAAAAAGATCCTTGGTCCCTTAATGAGCTTATTTCACATTGTGTGCAAGAGGAGGAGAGGTTAAAATCAGAACAATGTGAAAGTGCTCATTTCACTCTATCCTCATCGGAAAAGGTAGAGGGTAAAGGAAAATACAAGGGCAAACAATTTTCTGGTGGTCCACCTAAGAAGAAGTAATAAAAGGAAGTATGTTATTTCTTTTGTAAGAAAGGTGGACACTTAAAGAAAGATTGTACTAAATGTATTGAATGGTTCAAAAAGAAAGGTACATTTCTCTCTCTTGTTTGTTCAAAAATTAATCTACCTTCTATACTAAGATATACATGGTGGGTAGATTTCGGCCCTATTACTCATGTGAGTGTATCAATGTAGGATTGTCTCAACCATCGCAAGCCAAATGAAGATGAACGATTCATCCATCAAGGAGACGACAATGCGAGAATGATTGAGGTAGTTGGTCTTTTTAAAGTTATCATGAAACCGACTATCATTTGTATTTGAATAGGACATTTGTCGTACCATCTTTTGGGCACAACTTGATTTCTATTTTCATTTTGGACAAATCTGATTATCATTGTTCATTTGGATATGAAAAATTCATTCTTTTTAAAAATTCAATACTTATCGACATTAGAAGTCTTGATGCTTATGATAGCCTATATTTAGTTGACACTAAAGTCTTTTCACAATAATCCTTCTAAATAAATTCTATTGGTACAAAATAGAAATTATGAAATGAAAATTCATCCTCTTTATGGCACAAAAGGTTATGCCACATTTCTCAAAAGAAAATTGAAAGGCTAGTGTTAGAAGAAATTCTTGATTCCCTTGATTTTAAAGACTTTGACACATGTGTCAAATACATTAAAGGAAAACGAACAAACATAAAGAAAACATGTTCCAATCGAGCTTCACAATTCTTGGAATTGATTCTTATGAATACTTGCGGACCATTCTCTACGACATCTTTGAATGGGCAATGATATTTTATCACTTTCATTGATGATTATTCTTCATATGAATACTTGTATCTTATTCATGAGAAATCTCAAGCCTCATATATGTTCAAAAACTATATGACCGAAGTTGAAAATCAACTCAACATAAGGTTCTTGAAGAGTGCGAGATTGGGTGAATACTATAGTAGAAAAAATGACAGATTGGGTGAACAACGTCAATGACCTTTTGCTAAGTTTCTTGAAGAGTGCAAGATTATTCCTCAATACACTATACAAGGATCTCCTAGCATGAATGATGTTGCAAAGAGATAAAACCGAACACTCAAAGACACAGCAAGAAGTATAATCAATCAAACTTTTTTACCTGAATCTCTTTGGGGTGAAGCATTACAAATATCAACTTATTTGCTCAATAGAGTACCAACAAAAGCAATGTTGAAAATCTTTTATGAGCTGTGGATAGATAGAAAACATAATTTAAGACATTTACGGGTTTGAGATTGTCCTGTAGAAGTAAGACCTTATAGGCATAATAAAAGGAAACTTGACTCTAGGACATTGAGTTGTCACTTTGTTGATTACTTCGAACGATCTAAAAGGTATAAATTTTATGATACTATTACTAAAACTATTTTTGAAATATGTAATGCTATATTTTTTGAGGATGATAAGTTTGTGAGGGGAGATAAAGTTAGAGATATTACCTTTGAAGATGATTATTTAGTCAATGTCTCTTATTATTTCTAAAAATGTTCAAGATAAAGTTCAATCACTTGACATTGTTAAAATAATAACTCATGAACAATGTAATACTCAAGAACTTTCTACTCTGGAAGTTCGAACTCAACAACTTTAAGAATCAATGCTATTAAGAAGATCTATTAGGGAGAGAAGTAATGTAATTCTAGATGACTACTTTGTGTATCTTCAAGAACATGAAGTAGACTTGGGCATTAAAGAAGAGAATCAATGCTATTAAGAAGATCTATTAGAGAGAGAAGTAATGTAATTCTTGATGACTACTTTGTGTATCTTCAAGAACATGAAGTAGACTTGGGCATTAAAGAAGATAATCTAATTAACTTCTATCAAGCTATGGAAAGTTCTGATTCTTAAAAGTAGATCATAGCCATGAATGAAGAAATCAAATCCATGAAGGATAATAATGTTTGGGATCTTGTCTTGTTACTTAAATGTGTGAAATCTATTGGTCGTCAATAAATATTTAAAATCAAAAGGAATTCAAAAGGTAACAATGAGAGATACAAACCTCATTTTATTGCTAAAGGGTTTACTCAATGGGAAAGCATTGATTATAAAGAGACTTTTGCTCCAATTTTAATAAAAGACTCTTTTTTAATAATAATGGTACTACTTGCGTATTACGATCTTGAGCTTCATCAAATGGATGTAAAGACGGCTTTTTTTAATAGAGACATGGAGAAAATCATATATATGATACAACTTGAAGAGTTTGAATCTAAAGACTCAAAAGAATTATTTTACAAATTAAAGAAATTCATATATAGACTCAAGTAAGCTTCTCGTCAGTAGTATCACAAATTTCATCAAGTTGTCACTTCATATGACTTTGAAATGAATAAAGTTAATGATTGTATATACCATAAGTTCAATGGGAGTAAGTACATATTATTGATTTTGTATGTGGATGACATCTTACTTGTATATAATGATTTGGTCTTATTAAGTGAAACCAAATCATTTTTGTCAAATAACTTTGAGATAAAAGATCTTAGTGAGACCTCATTTATTTTAGGTATACAAATACATTGAGATCGTATTCAAAATATTGTAAGATTGTCACAAGAAATCCTCAAAAGGTTTGGCATACAAAATTATAAATTAGGAAACACCCCCATAGTTAGAGGAGACAAATTTTATCTTAGTCAATATCCTAAAAATAATCATGAAGCAAAAGAAATATATAACATTTCTTATGCATCAATTATAGGATGTATGATGTATGCCTAAGTTTGTACGTGTCTAAATATAGTGTATATTATTAAGATATTAAGTAGATACTTCAGTAATTTAGAAATGGATCACTAAATAGCATCAAAGAGAGCCATCTGTTATTTATAAGAAACTAAAGATCACATGTTCACATATAAGAAGTCAGATCAAATAGAGATCATCAGTTACACCGATTCTAACTTTGTTAGATGTCAAGATTCAAGAAGATATACATTAAGTTATATATTTTTGCTAGCTAGTGGAGCTATTTCATGGAAGAGTGCGAAACAATCACTCTAGCCTCCTCCACAATGATAATCAAGTATTATAATTGAAGAACTTTGTCACTGGGCTTCAAATCATGAGTAGTATTTAGAAACCTCTTAAGATATATTGTGACAATAAATTAATTATGTTATTTTCCAATAATAATAGGAGTTTGACAAAGTCTAAGTATATAAACATCAAGTACTTAGTTGTCAAAAAAAAAATTCAAAATGAAAGAATATCTACATAACATAATAGTATAAACACAATAATTGCAAATTTGCTTGCCAAAAATTTGTTCTCTAAGATCTTTTTAGATCATGTCACTCACATGGTTGTTCTTCCTTGAGAAGAATTATAATTTGAGTGAAAATTTATGTTTAGTATTCTTCGTTGTGAACTTGTAAAATATTTTTGTAAAAATAAATTTTAATTTTGTTTTTAATTTGTTTTAAATATTAATCTCCATAAAGAAGGATTCATCAGAAATGTTCAAATTAAATTTTATTTAAAATTTTCACTATCCATACTTAATCTATGTCATTTATCATGAGAACATAAGTGATTGATATAACTTAGTTGTATGAAATCATAATGAAAGTTCTTGCAGTCCATGTTTAAATGTTGATGGACGAAACTGATGTATTTTACCTTATGTGATAATCTCATAAAGATTAAAAATATACAAATGATTGGATAATCATAATATGCAACCCCCAAGTGAGTGATTGTTGAATATTTTCATTGAGTAGGCTGCACATACCATTATTGTGTATGTAGGTTATTGTAATGTCCGCTTTTGAGGCATTATGGAATAGGGTATGGAGAAAGATCGTGTAGAAACCGATCGACAGTTTCAATCCTTTGATGGAAGGGATTGAGATCATCGAGCCTCTTTTCGAGGTTATAAATCTAAGGATTTGGTCCCTACTTCATCATCGTTGGAATCCTCAAGGTCCCCCATCTGTCTGAGGAGTAATTCCCCGGTCATTGAAGTAGAAGACCATCCCGTGTCATGGATTCTGGTGGTACGCTTCCGCAACTTAATATCTATCACACACTGGTTCATGAGGAGAGAGAGCTGGTGTCACACAGGCAGGAGACGATGCCATCACTTTACATGAATGTACACACAAACGATCTTCGGTGAGGTTGCTGGGATTCTCTCCAGTCTCCGTCAAGCGTGGTGAGCACCTCCGGTGTTCTAGCAATGAGGAAGAAGCCGGGATGTTAGAACTACTGGCAGAAAGGACCGCCGAATCCTGAACCGAGCAGAAAATCTAAAATCGATAGAAAAGCCGAACAGGAGATCAGGGGGAGGAAATTTGACCGATATTCTTTTGTGAGAATCGGCCTTATCATTCTCAGTTGATGCAAGACGGAGATTGGTGAGAATAAAATTCCGGGGACAGCGGGTGATGGGGAGAAAGACGATGATCTTCTGCGTAGTCATCATTGGAAGACTAAATGTTTTCTGCATATATTTACTCATTCGTCTTTTCTAGATTGAAAAACTTGGCATCGATCCGGAACATCAACTTGCAGGACGAGGAATATCAGAGTCGACTAACATTTCTAGCATGCCTGTTGACCCTCTGCGAATCGAAGCATAGCAGATGAGCGACAGCCACCTTGAGTTCAGAAAGCGCGAAATTCAAACGATCAATAAACGTCAAGGAAACACGCTAATGATCCGATACCTCTGCGGGCGACGGCTTTCCTGTCAACTTCTCTGCCTCCGCCTTCTCCCTCTCCACCTTCCTCTTCAGCTTCTCCATCCTCTCCCTCTCCATTTTCTACATCCACGAATTACAGAGAGTCAACAATGATCAAATCGGGGCTCAGTGGTCGGAAGTGCAGATCGAAGAGAGGACAGAAATATAAGGATTCGAGAGAATGAGACACCCGAGGACAAGACGATTCTGCCGCGGAAGCGGAAAACGAACCTTAATGTAAACATTCTCTTTCGCCATCTCTTCCTCGCTTAGGATCTTCCCCTGTCCGCCGCTGAGCCATCTCCGAGCACTCGCCAAGACCCCCGAGGAAGACGACGGAGGCCGACGGATAACCCTCCCGATCGCGCATCTCATCGCCATCTCTCTCACTCTCTCTCTAGAACTCTGGAGAATTCCTCGCACTGACCAACACCGCACATTGTACTAGAAGGTGTTGTCCCGGGGATTTATAGCAGAAGAGAGAAACCGGATAACGACGAGGCAAAACCAGGGCGGGCGGTGGGGGGGGGGAGGGTTGGGGGGTTTTCCTGGGGGACGTGGGAAGCGGTTTCGAGAAAGCACAGCGGGGGGCGGTTTCGGATCGAAGGGTCTTGGTGGTCCGGACTGTGTCCGAGTCGGTAATCTAATGGGGTCTCGGTACGCTCCCGGCTGTGGATGAGCGGCCCGATAAATAATCCGGAAGCCCAAATTCGAACATGGGCCCATTAAGCAGGCCTCGGTATTATGGGCCCAACCCATTGGCATCCCTTTTTTTTCAACTCTCGCGATTCACGGCGAGAGCCCAATATTACGTGGTTAATCAGATTTTAATATAAATCTGTCATCGGGTTCGTGAGGAAAATGAGGGAAACACGCCAGCGTTCGATAGAGCGAGAGAGAGCGAGAGAGAGGAAACTTGGTGACGAAGGAGGTAAGTGGATTAGGGCTTCGAATCTGCAAACTCTGCTTCGGTCGCCGCTCCTCTTTGCTCTCATCCGGATCCAGATGTCGCGTAATGGTTCATGCTTAGCTTACGATTCGATCTACTTCGTCTAAGATCTCTCCTGGATTCTCAACAGATTTGGCCTGGCATTTTCTGCATGTTTCTGATTTCAAGAATTTTCTCTTGGGTTGAATCGATTGCCGATAAGTTATTTCCTGTGCGTACTTCCGCGTCCGGAAGGGGTTATTCTCTACCTGAGCCTTGTGCCCGTCTTCGCGTGATGATGATTTTCTAGTTGTCTGCTGCTCCAAATTAGACATCTCCGTTTTTTCCTGAAGCAATCGTTTAGTCTGTGTCACTCTTGAATTTTTCAGCATCAGTCATCTCGTTTATGGTGAAATTTTGTACCATTAATTGATGTAACCAGTCAAATCTAGTCGCTCTCATCAGTAGCTTTGTGATACCTTCCATTGTGGCGTATGATCTAACAAAAAAAATCAATCTCATGCATCTAGAGATATGAACGAATGTTCAAAACATACAACGTTCGTCTGTATTCTCCTGTGCTTGACCTAAGGATTGGCTTTGGGGTTGGATGATCTGGAATGGCTCAGTTATCTACGGAGCTCACTACCACGCATTGTCGAATGGGTCAAAAGTAATTGTTTGCTCTAGTTTATGTAGGAAGGCCCTGCATCCTTCTCTCATGGAATAGTTTTTCTAGATATCTTTGACATCCTTGCATTCTTCCGAGAAAAAATTGCGCCCTGAATGATTTCCGTGACTTTTGTTTGTCTATGCTCTTCAGGTTCCTTGTTACAAGTGATTTTTTTGCTGCTACTGGGTCTACTTATGTGAAATTGACAAATTTTCCATTTGAGCAGATTTGTGAAGAACTCCAGCAGCTTTGATCTTAGAAAACAGCCATGAGTAGACAACCACTTGTATATAGCTTTGTTGCGAAGGGAAAAATTGTGCTTGCAGAGCACACATCATTTTCTGGGAATTTCAGCACGCTTGCTGTCCAATGCCTTCAGAGATTACCATCAAACAGCAACAAATTTACATACTCTTGTGATGGTCACACTTTCAACTTTCTCGTGGACAGTGGATTTGGTATACATTCTTTATCATTTGTAATTCATTACATACGGTTTGTTTGAGGATTTTTTTTTTCCCTCGTTCTTATATTTTTTTCCTCTGTATCTGTAGTTTTCTTGGTTGTGGCTGATGAGTCAACTGGGAGGAGCGTACCCTTTGTGTTTCTAGAGAGAGTCAAGGATGACTTTATGCAGTGTTACGGGGCGAGTATCAATGCAGGGGAATCTCACCCGCTTGCAGATGAAGACGATGACGATCTGTTCGAAGATAGATTCAGTATTGCTTATAACCTTGATAGGGAATTCGGGTATGTAGTGTTGATGCTGTTCTGGTCATTATAGAAATAGGATAATACTTATTTTGGCAATGAGATGGTAATCACCTGAAAAATAATACATTCCCAATCTTCTAGATTTTCTTCATCAATATATATTGTATGCCGACCATTTTTTTCCTTAAGATGTTACCTTATAATGGTAATAAGACACTTTGGACTTTATGGAACAGACCAAGGCTGAAGGAGCACATGAATTATTGCATCACTCACCCTGAAGAAATGAGTAAACTATCTAAATTGAAAGCTCAGATTACGGAGGTGAAAGGGATCATGATGGACAATATAGAGAAGGTGAACATGTTTTGCCTTGCACAAGAGAACAAGTGCATTTTTTATTCTCATTTTTTTTTCAGATGTAAAATCTTTTTGTTTCACGATGCAATGCTCTATTACTCTTTTGTGTTACCTTCATCTGGAGCTACCTACTGATAGAAAGAGGCACCTCATTTTACTTTTATGTGCGTAGCGTAATTGTAGTCCAGATTATCCTTGGTTTGGTTATTTATCATCTAATGCCACCATCTGGTGCTCTTATGCTTGTATGCTTTGTGCAGTTTTTTTGTTGGAATCGACGCCATAAACTGATAATGTATTTCAGGAAACACGTTTGCTTTGATTAGTATTTCTCTCTCTGCACTCTCACAACCTATTAAATGTTTAGCAATTTTAGTTTTTACCAGTTATGCACAGTTGGGAAACTAAACAAAATTAATTCGAAAATATAGAATTGTTCTGTATGTTTCGTTTTCTGTTTTTCACTGGCATTTATCTGACATAACAATGATTCTAAACCGTGACATAATCATGAGGATGTATCTATCAGAATCGTATCAATCAGACTATTGAAACTATTGATTCGATTTTGCTCTGTTATTTGACCAATGGCTAGTTCAGATCATCCGTAGACCAGAAATGGTCATGGTTTCTGAATTCTCGAGAGGATAGATTTGTCTAGTGAGATGGTCAGAGGATGAATAAGGGGCGCTAGAGGTAATGGGATGTTAGAGGCCTTAAACAATCATTTCGTGCTGTTGAAATCAGCATCAAGCTTGCAGGTTTCCTCCTGAAATTATCCCCAAGATGGTACTTGTGGGGACTGGAAAGGATGTTAAGGTCGGTGGGCACAAAGCATCAGCGGGCTCTGGTGAGGATAACTTGTATAACTGGGGAAGGAGTGACCTGCAGTTGCTATTCTCAGTGGGGAGATGGTTGATATGCATCAATTGGAGATGCCTTTGGCAAGGTAGATATGGATAGGACCTTAGCAGTTACAATGTCGTCGGGCAAAACTGTGCAAATCTCATTCCACCCTCCATCCCCTGTTTCTTATCCCTTGCTTTTCATCCAAAAAAGCAAAAATAAATCTTTTTTTATGACACGCCAGACGAGGAAGAAAGATGTCTCCAGTAATTTTGTGGGAGACCGCCGACCCTGACAGGAACTCATTTGCAGGTTCTTGATCGAGGGGAGAAGATAGAACTCCTGGTGGATAAGACCGAGAGCCTACAGTTCCAGGTTTTTTGCATTGCTTTATTATTATTATTATTATTATTATTATTATTATTATTATTATTATTATTATTATTATTATTATTATTATTATTATTATTTTTGCGCCAAGTTGATTAGATGTGGGAACCCACCCTCCTCTGAAAAGATCCTAAAGCGTCGGTCGTGTTCTCATTGATCCTCTGGGCAGGCGGACAGCTTCCAGCGGCAGGGTAGGCAACTCCGGCGGAAGATGTGGCTGCAGAATCTCCGAATGAAGCTCATGGTTGGGGGAGCCATTCTCGCTCTGGTGATCATCGTGTGGCTGATGGTCTGCAGAGGGTTCAAGTGTTGACGTTTAAACGGAACAACAAGGTCGCTCTTGCTCTTGTGACTTTATTCGCTTCACGTGTATGTACATAGAAGATAATATATATATGCTTTGCTGTGTTGGGGAGATTCATTCATGTCGAGCTAGTTCTCTTCTAAGGAAGGCCCTCACGAACTCGGATCGACTCTCTCTTCCCTTCGCCAGCTTCACTTTGAGTTTGGGGAAGAAGAAGAAGAAGAAACAAAAGACAGAATAAATAGCCTCCTCATGAGAAGAAGAAATATAGCGACGGATTTGGCTTCTCCCTGCCAGATGATCGAATCGGCAGCATTGTGTGTTATTTATTTATTACAGAGTCGAAAGAAATACGAATCGAGTCTTCTTCTTCTTCTTCTTCTTCTTCGACGGCAGTTCACGGCATTGCAGCTGGGCGAGAATCGAAGGGGGAGCATTTCGAGGGTGGGCGTTCTGATCAGAGAATCAGATGAAGTTCCGGATGTCCAGAGACTTGGCGTCGACCATCTGCTCGTCCTTGAACTCCTCCCTGAGGCGGTGCCGGTGGCGGGCAACAGATGAACCAGGTGAGAGACAAACAAGCATTTCGGTGGAACTGCTGTGTACAGATATCTGCTCTCTATTGTGATTGCAGACTATAATCAATAGAAAACACGATAGAGAAGATCACCTCTTGAGCTGAGTCTCCATGGCTTCGACGGCATCCTTCTTCAGTTCCTGCAGCTGTTCTTTTGCGATTTTAAGCTCCAGTTCTTCATCGTACTTGGCTATGTTCTCTTTCGATATGCCCAGCCTAGTTTCACATTTTTCATATGTAGACACAGGGGTCAGCCTCATTAAACACCTTATAAACAAAAAAACACTGAATCGAACATTAGGTTTTCTTTAAATTTATATTTAAAATTTTGTGACAAGAGCTTGAACTGCATGAGGCACTTGAATATTAGGTTTTCTTAAAATTAAAAAAAAAAGAAAAATAAAATCTGACTGTAGACGACGAAACACCAAGTTCCAAAATTTCTTTCAGCACAAAAAAAAAGAAAAAAGAAAAAAAAAAGTAACGTTAGCATCTTAACTTACTTCTTGTTGACCTTGTCAAATTCGGCCAAGAGAAGGGACATTCCCTTCTTATCAGACCTCAGAAGCGGCTTCTTGATCTCTTTCTCCACTTTCTCCAAGGCTTCCATCATCAGAGCCTCGGCGCCAAGATCATCTGTGAGTCCCCTCCTACAGCAAAAATATGTAAGTTGCCGGAGCCTCCAGTGACAACGGTACAAAAGGAATTGCTCCACCACCAGATAGAGGGCTTGATTTACCGCACATCGACAGGAATAACACGCGATGAAAGCAGGAAAAGAATAAAATAAAATAAAATAAATGGCATTAAAAGAAAAGTTTTGCATACGTATCTATCACAATAACCCTGCTGTAGATGACCTTTTCGCTGAAACAGATTATGGGTTTGAAATTGTTGATGTTTTTGAGTAACTTCATTATATTCTTAGTTACATGGTATGTATGAATGTATCTGCATTCTGTTTCAAATCGGTGATCCTCTGGATCACATATCATCTAGGGCAGGAAGTCCACTACGTTTTCCTTTTTACATATATTTTTCACACCTTAAAAATCATTTCGCACACATCTCTTCACAGAATGATGGTGGGTGGTTTAATTCGCCAGCGTTCATGTTTTAACTACCATTGGATTACATAAATTAGTATCCGAGTGCATGAAAGAGATGCACTAGCAATGTACGCTAAATTTTGAGTTTTGCAACTGCTGGGAGCAAGAATATACTGCGTCACTATGGTTATCAAGAAAGAGAATGGCCACTTGTTCGTAGTGCTTTTACTTTGATGAAAAAATCATTACGCTGATGTGCCAAAGATATTTAACAGTAATTTTATACCTGACTCTAATCTCCTTCAGAGTCAACAAATAGGTACGTGCATCCTGAATTCCTTGAGTCCGCTCCTCAATGGTGTACTTTATCCTCTCAGATTCTGAGAATAAGCCCGCTCTGCACAGCACATACAGGACAGGTCAGAGCCATCAGTGTTTCGATATGGATTTATAGTTAAAAAAGGGCTATGATCCACCAGTCTAAAATGTAAACCTCAATGTTCAGAGAGTAGAACAGATCTGTAAGCTATAGACAATTATTTTTCTTCCTTCAGAAAGTAGGACAGAAGAGGTTTTCCCCACGTAAATTAATTTTCTTTTCACAAATAGAATCAAGTAAAAGCATTTTCGTAGCGTTGGCTAGTCAACTCTCAACACTTATGGATTCAATAATTATTGCATTGGGGAATGTTAGAATAGCCTGGTATTTTTTCCCTCCACAATGATAAAATATATCAGAGTTTGACAACAACTAAAAACACGGATGTCAAAAATATGCACCTTTGTGTTGATTAAGACAGTACTGCCGGCTACTCCAATAAAAACACCCTCCACAACAGTTTTGGCAAAAAGTTACACAGACGACAAGGATCATCATTGGTATCAAGGTCAAAACTGGGATAATCTATGCAAAGTCAAGCAATAACAGAATCTATGCCTGGATTCCCGTAAAATTTAGCCAAATAATAAAATTATGCAAGAGAATAAAAAAATAACATACTTCTCTCTCACAGTCTTCATAACCTTTGCGTACTGACTGACTGCAGCGGGATCCTCTGGATCAATAGTAATCTTTTCCTGCCTTAGAATTCCAAGAGCTACTTCGAATTTCTTTTTAACATCCAGAAAGATGTTCTTCAGCATCTCTTCAAGAATAAGATATGTATCAATGACGGAATTGGATGTATTACCGTACAGAATATTTTGAAGCAATTCTAGCAAAAGCCATTATAATGATTAAATACTGAGTCAAAGATACAACAAAGAGGTTGTTCGGTAGAATTTAGATGTTCCAAGTCCTGAACACCTTCCCTCGAAAGGTCCCTGACCGGAGAAAAATTTCGATTCCAATGCATTAGTTTTAAAGAAGATTCTATCTAGTTCATTTTCTTTAATTGCCGCAGCGTTTCAAGTTCTTAGGGAAGAGAATTTCATGCGCAACCATCTGTGGCATTAGGCCGGGTCGTTAGCTTACCACAGACATGGCTCCACCTATCTTTGTTCAGAAAAGCGAACAATTACATGGAAAGATATTTCTCATTAGATTCATAAGACAAAAGAACCCAATAAAGTCAACCAAAAGACGACTGCGTTGCATAAAGAAAGCAGCCGCTTTGCACTTTTATCGTCCATCGCAAAACCAGATCCAATCAAGCTGGGTAATGCTAGGATCTTCGATAACGGATCCTTAAAATTTGAAGCAATGACTGAGATGACCAGGTAGCTTCCGCCAGTTCAAAGGTAGGCATTCTAATCATTTATTTTTCAGTTAGTTAAAAACTTTACTGAATAAAATTCACAAGAATTTTCATGAATAAGGATGTAAGGTTGAACATCAAAATGATACCAATTCGGTGCACTCAAAGGGAATTTATACAATGCAACGAGGACGTGCACAAAAGTTCCATGCCAATGAAAATTCAATTGATGAGTGACACTATTGTTGGAAAATTCAATTGGGTTGTTTAGATACCAGGAAAACAATCAAACACTATGTAGTATCTATCTGAAGAACAGAAAGACCAAGATCTTTCTGTATGAATTAGTTAGAGAGAAAAGAAAGCAGGAGAAAGTTGGTAGCAAAATTTAGCAGAAAGATGACACAAACATACATCCATAAGACAGACAGTGCATCAACATAAAATATACGGTCAATCAAGATTCATAGAACATATATCAACAAGCTTACCGTCTCCCTTCAGAGGAGGCAGGCTACTCGGGGAAGAATCTTTTGCATATGAACGGACTGGTACAGCATGCTCATGTTGAAGAATAACTTGACTAGAACGTAGCTGTAATAGTTAACCACGATAAGGAAACAAAAGGATAATTACAAATTAATATAAAACACGCATTCCTCCAAAAACTTGATAGCATTCTGTCATGCCACTGGAGAAGACCAAATAACTGAGCTACGATGAATCAAATGAACCATTCATACAGAAATGACTTGTTTTTCGAGGCAATCTGTGGTTTACTATCATGAATGTAGAGACATGACTGGCATTGCAGAGCATTTTTCAAATTCGGCCTCACCTTCACATTCATTACAACCATGCTTCGTTATTACCTCGTTATCGCACAGTATTTAGTTTAAATATGGAGTGGTCTATACTGGCATTTATCCAGCAGAAAGCATTTACACTCATGTTCACACCACTAGGTATGGACGTCAAAATTCAACATTACGTCATGTCCACCAATGAAGAATTATTCTGTCCCTTGACATTTCATCAAACATGAATTTATTGGTCTTGAACTAGTGTAATTAACTGCGCGTATTGCACACCTGTCAATAGGTAATGTAAACTATAGGAGAAATAAATTTTTTTTCCAAAGAAGTTAATCAGGAGGACATTTTTTAAAAAGCCGGTATTCACGGAAAATTTGATGTGTAAGTTTCTATCTCTCGTCCAAAGAACTTTGACAGGAACAAGATACATAGTTTTCACTTTTTGTTTCCCTAGTAAGCTAATTACACCTATCATACCCAACCAAAATCCACGTCATACAGAAGTGTTGGTGACCCATGCTTCAATCAACAGGAAAAATTAGGTGAATAAGTAATATAGTTGAATGTATAAAGCATTGGACTGAAGCAATAATGTATGCATACATGAGGAGGAAGAATACCTGATTGTTGCAGACGGAAGTCTTCAGATGCGAACAGAACCTATGAAAGGAAATGCGTATGTAGGTAACGTTTCAACAAAATGCTTAAGAATCGGAAACCATAAATCTCAGTTGATCCAGCAGAGGATACTAGTTGCAGGATAAAAACACCTGAATACATTCTGTCAAAAAATTTTAGATTGACTTTGATAATAAACTTAAGTTCCATCTCCAAGAGACATGATTTTATAAAATAAAACGAAAGAGCTCACAGGATTCAGTCATTGACACCAGGAATCCACCAGAATGATTTGGAATGGGACCATAGTAGAAAGAAGAAACAAAGGGAAGAAATACTCGTCTGAATAATTAGAGTACAAAAAGCTTAAGAGAAAGAAAGAGGCGGCGCCGGGGAGATGCTTACCTCCGGGAGATCATCCCTCCTCTCAGCCTCAGCACTAGATGCAGAGTCGATTCTGTCAATAACACAACGGTATTCAGTCTCGCAAAATAGAATGGCTCCTAACCGTCAAACAGAATCAAATGAAAGGGAGGAAACAGTTTCGATGGTGGCTCAAATCACGGGAAGCGGATGGTGAAGCAATGGACCTTTCTGGATATTGTAGTCCGCAAGGGTACGCCCGTCCTCGAGTTGCTTGCCAGCGAATATCAGACGCTGCTGGTCAGGGGGAATCCCTGGAACGTTCAGAGAAGACCGTCAGCACTAGTTCATTACACGATCACCGTAACGAGGCCGCCGAAATCCGCCAACAAATGGAAGAGGAGATCGAAGAGAAAACGGAGACGAAAAAGAAGGGAACCGCAATGGCTCGCACGGGGATCCCAAGGAATGGAACCACCACAGACCTTCCTTGTCCTGAATCTTGGCCTTGACGTTGTCGATGGTGTCGTTACTCTCCACCTCGAGAGTGATGGTCTTCCCGGTCAGCGTCTTCACGAAGATCTGCATTGTTCCCGATCGCCGGCGGCTCCCGCCTCCCTCCTCTCTCCGCTCCCCTTTTTCCCCGCTGGAGGATCCTCCCTGCGGCAGATGTGGGGTGTTCGTTCCCTTCTACAATGATCTGTGACCGTTGGATCTGCACTGATCTGACGGTTATTCTTGTGAGTTACCCATATACGAGGCCCAAGCCCAATTCGAGTTTTGGATACGGGCTTGAAATTAAGGCCCATAAAAAGTTGAGTTCGGACGGGCCCATTTATCTCTTCTTTCTCTGGATGGTGCGGTGTCCCGCGGATTCGGTTAAGCCTTCCGAGGTCTCGTTTTGGCGGGAAGTGGGAGACCAGGTTCACCGTCTCCCTCGCGTCGGCTTTCGTAGCGATTCCTGCCGGAGTGTCGGCAGCGCTTTGTCCGGTGATGGCGTCGGCGGGGGCCCTGCCCAGATGGGCGTCGGAGCCCTGCATCATGGGAATCGACGAGGCCGGACGAGGCCCTGTTCTAGGTGTATTTCTAGTCTCTACCAACTTTTGTTGGATCTTAATTGCTCGCCGATTTCTGAGCCACTGGTTTCGCCAGGTCCCATGGTCTATGGATGCCTCTACTGCGCCCGCTCCTACCAGAAGGCACTCGCCGCTTTAAACTTCGCAGGTCTGGATACCGTTGACGTATCGTCTTGCGAGTTCTCGACTTGTTTTTGGTTCTAAACCGATCGAATAATCTAGTCTGCGCATTTGAATGACATGCGAGATTGAGAAACGTTTACGTATCAGTATGCATTCGTATACATGTCTCTCTAGTGCGGATTTATTTTGTGATTCAAAATGAAGTTTCTTTGGTTAGCTTCATGACCGTTTGGATAATATCGATGAATTTTATATCACTCTGAGTTAGTGAGAAACTAGAGGTTTTCATTAAATTAAGAAAGATAAGATTTAACGATTTATTTGAGAGTTTCCAGTTACTGGGATCATTCGATTTGATATTTTGATCCAGTTCTGCATCCACGGTATGAACAAAAAAGCACCATTGAAATATCCGGCGCATGGTCATAGTCTCCCTAGTTATTACGGATATAATGTGTAGGAGGTCTATTAATTGCGTTTACTATCAATCTTGCCACAGGTGGTGTGAAAAGATTGATGTTGTGGCTATTTCATCGCTATCTGATTCAGTGTGAGCCAATATCATCAATTGTTCTATCACATTTCTAGTCATGTAACTCAATGCTTCATGTGGAAAGTTTCCCCTTCACAGCCTAAATAGGAGAAGTGCAGTGCATCTTGCACAATGGGCCCTCTCATCTGGACTGTTCCCATTGAAAGGGGTGCACCTCCTCCCCCTCCCCCTTCTGTATCCCTCTCCATTTAGGAGACGCAGAACGATCGGTTTTGAATCAGGTAATTGATGTGAACTAAGTGACCATTCAAAAGTAGGGCATGACTAGTCATCAGCTAGATTGGATGGGTCACAGGGGGCCCAAACAAGCTCAACTGGCTCATCAGTTCCATCCTGGTGGTGAGGACATGGTCTTCACAAGAACAGGGAAGCAATATTTCTAAGAAGCATCAAACCACAAAATCGACTGAAATGAATAAGGACATTTTAAAATAGAATTACATGGCAAATGAAGAAGGACATTTTTTTGAAGTATTTTCCAAATGTTTGATTATATTCCCAAAATTAAAACGCGATTGAACAATCGACTGAAACATTTTTATGTCCGAAAATTCACAATAAACTAAGTCTTGGATAAGAAGATTGCATTCCTCGGCCATCTTTATGGTATGGGAATTCTTTGGCATTTCTACCGATGGTCTGGCCTTCCAATCCTATAGTCAGCTGAAAGATTGGAGCATCTTTGCTTCTTCCCTAAAAAAATACTTCTAAATGACTGAAATTGTTCGAAAACCTATGAGAATTGTATTTACTTTAGAAGATATATGACTCATGAAAGTAGTTGAGAAAGCACGCCTTTTGGTGTATTTCAAAAATGAGTGTGGTTGAATCAGCCATAACTCGATTATAAATGTCTTTGTGCAAGTTGGAAAAAACGAAGGAAAACTGTAATGCAAAATTGATCAAGATAGGTAAAAAAGCTTATTTGGGTGTGAGTTTGTGGCAGATTTGAGATGTCGTCATACAGCCTCCGCTCCTTTAACTGTGATTCACAGAATTGCGTTTGATGAAAGTTAATCTAGATTTTATTGAAGAGCCTGATATGAGATTCTTGCTCAAATTACGAAGATATTAGCTCTGATGAAATACTCAAGGATCATGTTCCAGATCGCATTGATGTGGCTGAACGTGCTCTGTAAAATTGGTTAGTCGAACCAGTTGATGTGAAATAACGTTGCGGTAAAACAACATCTACCACTTCGTTGTTTTTGGCCCTCTCAAAAATCAAAGAGGTCTTTGACTCGTGATTCAGCGACTTCCACTGCAGAGATTTGCCTTGATTTGACTACTTGTATAATATCTATCTCATATCCCGCCTTCCCTGGAAGCAACCTCCCTAGTAATTGTATTTTTCTGATCAATCAAATAATGAATGTGACAATAATTAAATAATCCCGAAGTATCCTTCTTATTCTTTTTTTTCCACCGTATAAAGTTTACATGACGCTTAGGCCTGAGGATTTACCTCTGCACTTCTTTTATTGGCATTTGAAGATCATTATTTATAATCATTTACGCAGATGAGAAAAGTCTGTGTTACCACGAAGCTGCGCATAGATCAAACTAATATGACGCCGAGAATTGATATTTTATTACGTCTTTCATTATTTTTTTGCAATTGAATGACCATTTTCGTTCTTTTTTTCCTTTTTTATCCGTCATTTTTTGATTCTTGACACCCCAACACCAACAAATATTTGTCATTGACAATGTCAAGATATGGTCACAGTGGAAACATCCCATTATGCAATGATTTCATCTAAAATACGTCTTGTTGTGCTGAAGCCAGGAAACACTTCTCAATTGTAACAATTGAGTTCTCTTGTTGGCTACTATCCATCACTGGCTGGTGAAAAGTGATTGATAGTAGTAGTGACTAGTTTCAATGGAAGGATCAGAAAACATGTGTGAATGCATCATTTGCACGTTAGCATTTTTCGGAGTTAATGATTGGCTACCCAATCCGAAGCAGGAACAATTTCCATATTTATTGAGAAAATAATCCCATCTCTTTGTGCCTGTTATCACAAGATGACTTATTGATTTCTTTAATTGAAGATGCTTATTTTGATTGTGATCTCATGGTTAACTGTGGACAGATTCAAAGACTTTGAAAGAGGAGAAAAGAGAGGAATTATTTGAGAATCTAAAGACCGATGGTTCAATTGGATGGGATGTTGATGTTATTGATCCAAGGGAGCTTTCGGCAAAAATGCTAAAGAAGTTTGTACAAGGTTATATCTCTGTCCATTGTTTAACACACATCTCTCAACTGATGCTTCGCTGTTGATTTATGGCAGAACAAAAATCAACCTGAATGAAATATCACACAGCTCTGCTATTGGTCTTGTCAAGAGGGTCCTTGGCTTGGGATTCTTACTAACTGAGGTGATTATTGACTACTATCATCTTACTCTTTTTATCTCCTTTTTTTCCCCCTTCAGCTCGTCCTAACCTTGCAAAAAAATCATCTTTATTATATTTCCATCAAGGTTTATGTGGATACTGTTGGGGATGCGGAGAAGTATAGAATCAAGTTGTCGGAGATATTTCCAGGCATCAAGTTTGTGGTCGCGAAAAAGGCCGACAGCCTTTTTCCAGTTGTCAGCGGGGCAAGCATAGTCGCAAAGGTGATTATTCCAGTACTGTGAAGCTTTCAAACAAATGCATGTGCAAACTTCTTTTTCATGAAACGAGGACAGGTCGACATCTGTTATCTATGCATTTTAATTAACCAATATGACGCCAGATGGGTTTTTTTTCATGAATTGATCTTTCTACGGCACTTATAGGACTAGTGGAACGATCTCAGAGGAGGGCCCATGCTGAAAATTTAGGTTTTTATTCTAGTTCACGTCTAAATATTAGTGATTTTTTTAGAGAAAAACTAGATGCTCGAGTACCTGAGCCTGCCTCAGGATCTGATGCAGATTGATTGAATTGATGCAAATCTAGTCTCTGTGCTTTTTTATAGGCTATATGATGCTGTATCGATGTGCTTGATTGCTTCGAACTTTCTAACCCTTGCAGCACTAGTAGGCTAGTGGAATGCTGGGCTTGGAACCTACAACTTACTTTTCTCAAGAAAAATTAGATCTTTAAACACCCCGAGTGTGTCTCAAGGTCTGACACAAATGGACGAAGCCCCATTATGGGTTCTTTTGTCCGTAGCCTCCCCCCCAAAAGCCCCCCAAAGTCAAAATATATTGTTGCAGCGACTGAATAGAGTTCACCTTGACAATTCAACCCCGTCTTCTCTCATCCTTCTCTGGTCCTAAAACGTTAGATTCCACTGACCTGAATCCCGTCCATTGTTCATTGTATGATGCCGTTTCCTGTGTAGGTCACCAGAGATCGCGCACTGCGGGACTGGGAGCTCGATGAGACTGCTGATAATATGCACAGGAACTTTGGGTCCGGATATCCGGGAGGTAAGTGATGAATTTGCTGTATTGATATTCCCAATCACAGCACACCTGTCACCTGGGAACTCTCCGGTTCAAAGTCATCGATGGTTGACTAAAGCTTCTGTTCAGACCCAGAGACGAAAGCGTGGCTCGAGCATCACAAGCATCCCGTCTTCGGGTTCCCATCGCTGGTGAGATTCAGCTGGGGGACTTGCGCGCCTTTTTTCAAGGAGGGGGTCGAGGTCGTTTGGTGAGGCTCTCTCATTGCACCCACTTCATCTCTGTTGATTGCATGGCTTCTACCTACCCTGAGCTCTCCCAATCCTTGCATACTGCGAGATAAATCCAGGGAATCCGACAGAGCGGAGGAGGATGGCTCCAGCTCCAGTGGCGGCCGTGGGAGGGGCCAAATGAAGCTCGCCAGCGTGGGCGTCACCGGAATCAAGAGGAAAGCGGAGGAGGTGGAATCCAGCGGCAGGGGCCGTTGTAAGTTCTTCCAGGCCCGCAGGCTCGAGCTCCTTTCCTCGTTCTAAAGGGCGAGTCACTCTCTTGAACAGGGTCGGATTAGTTTTGATTTGGAAACATCCGTTCGTTCTTCTGTCGTACATTTGAAGACCGCCGGGGTTGCGTGGGTGGCTTATTTCATCTGTGGATGGGTTTCAAGAAGCTTAGCTCACACCAGATGGGGGTGGATTGCGGCGGCTCAGGTGAGCAGGAGCTGAGTCTCCGAGCGGCTCTCCTCCTCGATGACGTCGAGGTGGATGGGGTCAACGACGACATGGCTCTCGACGTGGACGCTGAAGGGGTGAACCCAGAAGAGGACCCTCGCCGTGCCGACGATGTCGACGGTGGCGCGGAGCGTCATCTCCCGGCGGACGGCGGCGGCGAGCAGCGCCTTGGCGTGGTGGGCGAGCTCGAGGCCGGGGAGGCGCGCGGGGAGGCGGAGGACGCGGCACGAGGAGGGGTCCAGCGCGCCGGGCAGGACCTCGGCGGTGCCGAGGAGGGCGCCGTCGTAGAAGATGGAGAGGGTCGCCGCGGAGTGGCGGATGGGGGCGGCGTTGGGGTTGGTGACATGGACGGTGAGGACGAGCTCCACGTCCAGCAGAGGGAGATTGAGCTTGAAGGAGGAGAGCTCGATGGAGATCAGGTGAAAGGTGGGGTCTCTGGGTCTGCCGTGGATCACGGCGGCGATGGCGGTCGCCGCCGCCGCGCCGACCGCGGCAGAGGCCCAGCTCCAGGTCGCCATTTGCTACTATCCTGTGGTCGGAGGGCCTGAGCGAGCGCAGCGCCGCTCCAAATATAAGAAAAGACGTTTTGCTGCCGCGTGTCGCCGTTAAAACGAGGCAGATTTAATATCTCGGAAAATGGCGGAAAGGAATAGTATATCAATCTGGACGATAATATATATAAAATATATAAATATATATATAAATATAGGTGTCATTGACTACAGTAGCCTGAAGATCATGGGCGGCGCTGGAGGAGCAGAGGGAATGGGGAGGAAGAAAAAGAGGGTCTGGATGGGAACTGATGAAGAAGATGGCGAACTACTACACGTCTCAGATGTGCATTTATACCACCCACACACAACAACAAAAAAGGGTCTTTGGAAAGAGGAGCTGAGCTGAGAGTGGTTTCTGCCGGATCACGGAGGAGCCAGAAGAACCGCCGGGGGAGCAATGCAGAGGCCTACTTGATCTTCTTCTTCGGCCTCAGCTGCGTACAGAAGAAAACTCGACGTGAGAGGAGAATTTCGGGGAGAAGAACTGTCCACGTTCAGTGCCTACTTCATTTAGTAGCGAGAGATCCAACGAACTATATAAAATAAATAAAAGCTATTCAACTCTCTTTCTCTCTCTCTCTCTCTCTCTAAAAAATTAAAAAAAAACCCAGAGTTATTCAACTAGTAGTAACAGGATGGTACCCAAGAGAACAGAGACTAAGAGGTGCATAGCTTCAGGGGAGCCACAGGTCAAGTAAAAGAAAAAGGCCCTATGTTATAATTCAAGTAATTGATAGGAGGTGAAACTAAATAAACCAACAAAATAAAATACCAAGGGGAAGAAGTACCTGGTTGCAGTGGCCGCATTTTTTCTTCCTACAATTCACAGCCCTTGGGTGAAGTCGGGCGTAGCATCTGAAACGACAGAATAAAATTTTGGATATCTTTCAGATATCATCATACAAAGGCAAACCAGTAAACTGAAGAAATGATAAATCACAAATACAAATTGCATGGACCCAAAAAAAATAAAATGTAAGGCATTCAAGGCTATTGATTGTTCATATCGCTTGGCAGTGGACTTTATGAAATAGCTTCCACCATACCTCTCACTTAGTGGAGGATAGAAATCATCAGCAAGAAAATAAATATGACATATATCAAAAAATAAAACACTTCTTGAGGTAGGTCAGGGACTTGTCTGCCTCAGAAATTCGGCTAATATGGAAAGGGAGACCCAAATGTTTCTGACCTAATATGGACATAAGAGCTCACCGAGCCCTCGCATTCGTAAGTCTCGTGCAAAGCACTAATTGATTCGTCAAAGGCTTACAATTTGTCTATACATGGGTCCTCACCAAGTGTAAGTAAGATACTCAAAATTAAAACGTTAGCTTTGCATGATTATCCTTTCGTCCACAAGATAATTTGATACCGTACAGAAAAAATGTCAAGATCCAATTTCTGACAAGCAACCAGAGCCCAGGTTTCATATATGCAACTGAATTATAAAATCTATACTAGTCAACAGCCAATAGACAACAAAAAAGGGTTTCTCCGTGAGCAGGATCTTATTTTATCAAAAACATGCTAGAAAAAGGAAACTAGTTGCGTGTGATGTGGTGCTTCCAGATAGGTGAAGGCAGCCTTTTGGTGGATGTAAAGTCCTTCAAGTGTTCGTGAAAACAAAACATGGAAAATATGGAATCAAAGGTGGCATAACTAAAAAAATAACACCCACTAAGAACATTGATGAACGGTTAGATACGCCCGTTGTAGACACAGACAAGCTAGCGTAGATCAGCCGGCTGAGGGAACCGCTGAAAACAGGGCTAATTGTGTGGAAACAAAGACAGCGCCAAAATCACATTCTAGTCCCCTGAGATTCGAAAAATTACTAAAAGTGTAACAACGTTGCTGCCGAACTTGCAGACAGCGAGAATCTTCATTGATTCAATAAAAGGAGAGTATTTATGCGTTAATGAGAATGAACTTAACGGATAAACAGTAGGCAGTATGCTCTAGAATCCAAACTGAGACAAGGAAACAGAGTGATGATGCCTAACATGGTTAAACTCGCAGTAATGTATCCTTAATCAAATGATAAAATTCGGTGAAAAAAAAAAAGTGCAGCAAGAAATCGAGAAACACTTACTTTCGGCAGATCATCTTGTCCTGGTTGTACTTCCTGGCCAGGGCCATGAGCGAAGGCTCAATTATTCCTCCCCTCAACCGCAACACAAGATGCAGGGTTGACTCTGGTTTCGCATTTGCACAGAGTGAAATTGAAAAATCAGTATTGCATAAATATCAGGTATAGATGAAAAAAAAAAAATCAGACAAAAAAAAGAACACGCTGAAGAGGAGATTTTGGGAAGCTAACCTTTCTGGATGTTATAGTCCGCGAGGGTGCGCCCGTCCTCGAGCTGCTTCCCGGCGAAGATGAGGCGTTGCTGATCCGGCGGGATACCTGCCGTTGCAACCAAAAGAGCGCGTAAGCACAATCATCCTAGGGTAGCGTCTCCGAGGAAGTCTCGGCCTGGCTGCCCCAATCCGCACCTTCTTTGTCCTGGATCTTGGCCTTGACGTTGTCGATCGTGTCGCTGCTCTCGACTTCAAGGGTGATGGTCTTCCCCGTCAGGGTCTTCACGAAGATCTGCATGGTGCCCATCCCTCGCCCTCCAACGACCCCTTCGCCTCCGCTTGGCCTCGTCCAGGTGGAAGCTCAGATGATGATGGCAAAGGCCTATTACATATATACTCGCCCATCTCCGAGATGATGTCTTCTCACGACACTTAGGGCTCCATGGTCTTCCTCCAAAGATTACCTTAATACCCTCGTGTCTCCTCCTCTCCTCCACACCACCTTCTACGCACGTCCCTAGGCAATGAACCAAGCACCGGGCCCACAACCCCTTAGCTTTTGGGCCCTATAGCCCGGCCCACTGGACCATTCACGAAGTCGAACGAAGAGTGGGATAACGGTATTCTGGGATTTACTCGGCACGCGTTTGCGAGAGAGAGAGAGAGAGAGAGAGAGAGCGGGGATGGTGATGGGCCGGGCTCATTGGGCCCGTTAAAGAGGAACACATAAATAATAAAGTCAAAGGAGAGAGAAACTAGTGTATGAACACAACGAGGAGCACAAAATTGTTCCCAACAAAGGAAAGCTGAGTAGTCTACGGGACTGCTGCGAGGGGGGGACTCGAGGGAAAATAAAACCAGGAGATTCTAAGGACCCAAGAAGGGGGGGGGAACAGCTCCACCATCTGCTCCGGCAGGAACACGGCCCCCGATGCAGAGGTTGCTTCTTCTACAGCCTCCTTCCCCTTCTCCCTCCCTTCCGGCGGGTGCTGTCCGTGGGGATCGGAGTCACATCCTCTGCAGCCGAGTTTTTGTTAGTCAGAGAGGTGAAGCAAAGTCAGCGCACGAGCACAACGATGGCTCGAATCAGGAGAGAGAGCAAGAGAAGTCAACGTTTATTTATAGTACGATTATAGAAAAAAAAAATTATCAGGTAAGCTGAAGAAGCGGGTGATTAAATTACCGATTCGGCCAATTTTCATCCCCGAACGGGCGAGGGCCCTGAGGGCAGACTGGGCACCGGGGCCTGGAGTCTTGGTCTTGTTTCCGCCTGTCGCACGGAGCTTGATGTGTAGTGCTGTGATGCCAAGCTCCTGCAATAATAAGACCCACTGAGCAGCAGATGAAGGGAAGGAAGTAGGAGGGCCAGCAGAAATCGGCTCGGCACCCCATTAGAGCACGCTAAGTGTAGTAGACTAGGAGAGGGAAGGCCAAACCTTGCATCGCTGGGCGACATCCTGGGCGGCAAGCATGGCTGCATAGGGAGAGGATTCATCTCTGTCGGCTTTGACCTTCATCCCACCTGCACGAGGAAATGGAAAGGAAAATCGAAGTCAACACAAGGATCGTCGTTTATTTCGGAGACGGTCGTGGTCTTCTGGGTACTTCAGTGTGAAGAATACTTGTAAGAAAATAAAGAAAAATGGTAACTTGAAACGTTGCAACCAACTAGCATTACGAGTAGAGCCGAAGAAGAATCACATCAATGGTGGATCCGTTTCCTGAGATCTGACCGGGTAGAATTTATGAAGGTGCGAAACTACAACATTCAATGGTTCCAACCTTAAAGATTCACGAATCATCGAAAACTCAGGAAATATGGAAGATCATATTTCCACCGAAGGATGGACAGGCAACACATCATTGACTCAGATTTTTTGGACCATCTGGCACAGGAAAACAACAGGTCCAGCTCTCTATTTCTAGATGAAATCCCTAGGGAAGAAAGCTTTTCCATTCTTATATTTTCCATAGTAAATTGCAAAATAAATGAAGACAAATGCAAGCGCAGCAGAATGCATGGGAAATGTGTAAAACTATGGCAATCAAATGAATCCAGACGTCCTTGTTATACATCGCCGAAAGGTAAAATTTATAGTTGGCACGGACAATGCGAAAAGTCCAGACGTTCTCCTTCAGGAACGCAACAAATCTTTCAAAACACGCCCGCTCCTTCAAATAAAATACCAGTACAAAAAACCTAAGTTACCTCGTTGAATATTCCCTAATCCCATTGTGAAATTCATTGGCCAAACGTACAGGGACAGTAGCCCCAATCACAAATTCATGCTTAGAGAAGCATCTTAAAGTATTTTTCCAAATCATCACTCTGTCGAAAGAAGATAAAGCCCCCAAATCAAGTACGGATCTCTAACATAAAATGGGCGAGTCACTTTATTCAACTTTAATTCTTTCCTTAACCACGTTAAATTCCATCAGACGAAAGGTGTTATCCATCTGCTATTAAACGAATCTGCGCATGGAATGATGAACAATTAATAAACATAGGATGACTACGGTACATACCGGTGATACGCACGAGAGTTTCCCTTCCGGACAAATCAGTGACGTGCTGCAAGGTAGGAAACCATGCCAGTCAACACGGATCTAAAAACATCAACGGCGTCTAGAACTGAAACACAGACAGAGGCAGATGAGTAGAATCTAACAATGAAGGTATCGTTGAATGAGGCGAAGACGTGTGCGACACCGAATACGTGCTCCCCGTCGCGCACAGCCGGTCCGAGCGTCACATTCTCCTCCTTTGGCTCCCTGGTCTTCCTCCTCGACTGCGACATACAAGTGCGAAAAAATCAGGACTCGCATTAACGGACACCACTCGATACACGTCAGTAAACGCCACTGGATTCCGGAAAGGAGGCCGAGCAAAAGGAAGAAGAAGAAGAAGAATCAAGTATCGTTACGTAGGCCTCGCTCAAACTTGCCGATCTAAAACTATCCAACAGAGAGAGAGACACCATAAGGATAGAGAGGGCAGAGAGAGAGAGAGAGAGGAATCACCATGGCTGCTGCTCGCCGAGAGCGCGTGCAACAAGGGCTCGATCCTCCGACGAAACTCCCGCTGCAGAGGACGAGCGGCGGCGCGTATTCCTGCAAAGCGAGCAGGCCAACGGTATATATACTACTAGGGTTTGGGGCTTCGGGGCTTACAGGGCGAACCATTCACGTGGGCCCATTGTCCGATGATGGACTCAGAGAATTCCTGGACCCTCGGTTATTAGCCCATAAGGCCCAATCCCCCCCCCCCGCCTTTATTTTCCGTATTTGAGAAAAAACCCCCATACGGCTTTTCCTTTACTGAAAAGACCTTCCGGCATTTTTAAAATTACTAACCATTATTAATATCATACTGTTAAATAAATGTTTCACAGTGACGTCATAAATACATGCACTTGCTATGGTCCACTGCGCCACCATCTCACCGCGGACTAATGGACCGCCTTTAAAGAGCACTCGGCCAAATAAAAGTATGTGAAAAATAAATAAACGAGCGAAATTTGCTGCATTCCTATCAAACACCAAATCGTCAGAAGCACTGAGCGTCAGGCGCAGGCCGTGATTTTATTTTTTATTATTTTTTATTATTTTTTTCCCTTTTTTATTTTCAGTCACTTGGCTCTGAGAGTGGCGCAGGAGTCCAGCTTGGGGAGGACGGTGCGCCAGGCGTCGGCCACGTCCTTGGCGAGCTTGGCCTGGCCCTTGGCGAACTCGTGGAAGGCGAGGCCCATGTCGGCGGTCTTCTGCTCCTGGAACCTGGCCATCTCCTCGCCCATCAGCCTCACGATCGTCTCGAACTTCTTGGTCGCCTCCTCGCTCTCCGCCTTGAGCTGCAACGGGGAAGGTGAGCGGTCGGTCGATCGTCTTACTCAGAGAACACGAATGGGCAGGCACAGATTAGACACAGACCTCTCTGTACTCGAGCTCCGCCTCGGGGACCTTGTCGGAGCGTATTAGGATCAGCTTGTCCCTGCGAAGAACACAGATGGGCATCACTTGCTCAGAAGGGAAATGATCTTGGACTGACCAGTCCAGGTCAACGGGAATCAAATCAGGTTTGGCGATGTCAACGGCAACTCTGCAATTTTCTGATGCTCAGTTCTTCCCAACAGGAATCATACTGGCCATCGGGCAAACATTGCACATACGAAATGAATAATAATAAATGAATGGAATCACATACAGGTTAATCTCTTTTAGCTTCGTTGCTTCGGCCAACTCGCATTGCTGCCTGAAGGCGTTGGCTCTCTCTCCCATTGTAGCCTGCCCACAGAGTTGGTAGGAGATATTATTGGCAGAAGATGGTCAAAACTATGCACGTATTTCATGGTAAACTAATGTCCAGGTTTCGATACTCCCTGTTGCAGTTCAGCTGAAAAATCATAGGACTAAGGAAAGCAGACAAGAGTCAACCTTTATGGACTGCACAGCACGCACATAATCCTTCAGTGGCTCCTCAAAATTCGTTAATAGGTTATGAGCCTGCATCAAAGTCAAAGGTGTATGGTCGTAGATAGTATGGAAAACTGCTGGGTTCAGAGAAGAAACGCAGAGGCTGTGTGGACGGCTGACCTCCTTCTGTAGTTTAATGGACAGCAGCTCTGACTTGGACCCGAGCTCCGAGAACGCCTTGCCGAGAGGATCTCCCTCACAAGCACCCAGAAGCTTTATCGCCTTTCCAAAATCAGACAACGACTGCCCCAGCTCTGGAGATGGTTTTGACCAAATAAAACACCTCAGAGTCAAACCCAGCATAAAGATGATGGTCAAGAACTGAAAGGCGTGCTGTAATTATTTAGAAAGCCGGGTCAACTCCACTCATAGCTCATTTGGCTCGGTGTGAGTTGGCCTGCCAACTCTAATATTGGTTATTTTTACTAGAATAAGCATATTATCGGCCCCAACTAGATTATGAGCCCGCTGGACCAATAACTCTAACAATCATAAAGCGGGAAACAAAACATTTGAAAGGATCACATTAACCACATACTCACCTCTGTGTCTCTTCACAAGTCGGAAGGCATGTTTCTGCGCCTCTGAAAGGTGGTCTTCCAACTCGAATACGTAATGCTTTAGCTTCTCGTATTCAGGAGTAGTCTCTTCAACTGGCTTTTCTTTTCCTAGAACGACATCACTTACCTTTGATTGAACATCCTACAGAGAAATCACAGCAAAATCCATCATGGCCTGTTCTTCAGAATAGAAGACCACACATCCGGGTGGCCTGCAATCACACGCTACCTTGAAAATCTGCATCAATTCTGATGGCTTCTTCTTGAAGATTCCGGTTTCATGTGACCTCGTTCTCTCCATAGCCTGAAGCCAAGGTAAAAAATTAGGAATGGCCTCTCGGAAAACTCAGGACTGAACAAAGATCTGGGGTTTTCATGGTCGTCTGAATCAAATAGGTGGCTGTTAACCCCAAATCAAGACACATAAACTCAGCTCTTCATGGTCGAATCCTCTAAAAACAAATTGGAAAACAGGTGCGACTGTATCCCAGACAATGATTGCCAAGGGCAAAGTTACCTCTTCGTCTTCCTGCAGAAATGTTCGTAGTTCCTCACTTTTCTGTAATTCAGGATGTGAAGCTATTCGATTAATAAATATGTCCAATGCCTGACGCCTTAATTCAATGAACTCGGCACTAAACCTGAACTTCTCTGGAAACATTAAAAAAGTAAACCATCAGAGTGTACATAGGAAGGCATATGCAGGAACAATGAGCAAGAAAATATTGGCGTCTCTCATATGACATCATGCTGGTATGAAATTATTCGCAAGTGTACTTGCATCAACCTGGCATTACTCAACAAAAATCACGTTCTATATAAGATAAACCGGGAGACTAAGTGGGCTTCCCTTGCTCATCAACACCAAAATTTCGATGATAGTTTTTCTAGACGTTGAGAGAGGAATCATGTAAGGTCATAATTTATTCGAGTTACCTCCCAACGAATATGTTTTGCAAGATGTGAGAGATCTCTAGAATACAAACAAACTACATAGCGTTTAAACTTTGACAAGAGACATAAGTCGCTGTTAAAATAATAACAATTTGCAGTGATCGTTTTTTTCAAAAGGAAGAAGCTTCAGGCTTTGGGCTTTTCACTGAAAAGCACTAAACATGATTTTTCTCCGGCTACAGATTTTTAAGTATCAATGTAACCACTAGATGAAATAGAAACCATACCATTACACAGGTGAAAGTGAAAAATCAATTTCAGCTGCGTGAGCTACGCGTTGAACATATGGTTTAAATGTCCAATCCAAAGTCATGACCTAAGCTTCATAGTCAAGTTTCACTCAGAAATTATAAATCCAAAATAATGGACTGTTCAGCTTATAGTCTTGTGGACTTTATGCATAGATCCGAGAAACCAATGCTAATGTACAGCAACTTTTCTGTGATTTTGACTGGCAGAGAAAGATTCTGTGTTTAAAATCAATGTTATGGACAACAAATGTTATTGCTAAACACGAGGTCGAGAATTTCCAATGAGAATGGAGAAGAATTCCAAGATAATTACCTATTAGTGACTTTCTAGTATACTCCATCACAGAACTTAACAAAAAAGCATTTAACTTGAAGATAAGCAGCTCCATAAACAACTAAATCTTTAAAGATGTTCATACAAAGACAATAGCATGTCCTTCATGCCCACTGGAAAAAACACTAGGTAAGGTTTCTTCAAGGAAAACAAAATTAACTAGTTCCTCAATTGTCAGGTAGTAAAATACTATTATGCATAAAGTCGTGATGCATCGAAGCAAATCCCAGAAAAGAGGCCTAGGAACAGAAGACAATGAAACTCAAACATAATATAAGAAGGCACCAAAAAGTAAAAGACTGAAACTCGACCCTAATGATTTTATGGCATCCAAGTAAAAGACTGAGTCTCATCTTCTCATTTATTTATCATTAAAAAAACTGGAACTCTTGTTCAAAATCTAAATCACATTAGTTTCCTTTATGCTTGCAAGAGCGCACAGTTCTTTAATACGCTCATTGATCAATGGTATGCCTCATCCTGAATGAAGGATTAATCAATATACTTCTTCTCCTAGTGTGGCACTGTGACTTTTTAACAAGACAACCATGAAAAAAAAATTAGTATATGGGTTCCAATGCATAAAGAGGAGTAACTTTATGATAAGACAATCGCAGCTTCATGCGAATTCCCTAGCTTCAATATTTATTGTAGCGTCATGTCAGCGAAATTAGAAAGAATAATAGTGTTTAATAAGGACAAAATGATCAGAAAGCTAACCTACAGCACTCTTCTCAGGGAGAGGAGGAATGAAAATTCCTTTGTACTTCTCACAAAGCCGGTCCCGCAGCCATGAAAAATCACTAAAACGCCGAATAACAATTTTCTCTTGTCCCTGATACTCTGGTAAATTTGTCTGCCCAGAAAAAGTCGTACGAAAAAAATTAAAGGAAACGAAACTAATATGGTGATAAGAGAACAGGAAAAACATGAGATAATGAAAAATTAATGTTCTAAAAATAAATTTAGAAATTTTACGTCATGATAATATAATATATACTAAAACACTATCATATGAGAAGCATCCACAAAATCTCCACAATCTAAATAGTTTACAACACAATCTGGGCAATAAACCTGTTTGATCACGTTACTATCCTTAAGATCTAGCAAACACATCATGGGCCTCTGTATGGAAAAGACATCTGTTGATCACTTGGTGTACATGCCCACCCATTAGAAAAACTAGAAAGAAAGGCTTCCTGGATGAGCAAACTTGAAGTAATTAATGTATCTTCCTAAACCTTCCACATATGTGAAAAGCTGGTCCACTCTCAATCAGTCAAAAGCACCAATTATTGCGGTTTCTCCAGCAAGCACATCACGGGGCAATGAGAGACAGCATTTTTTCCACACTGTTACACTAGCGGACTGAAGTCAACATTTGTGCATGAGCATACTAAGTAATTGGGGTGGGAATATGGTCTGCCTCTTTTGGGGAGCATTCATTCTTCATCATCAATGACAAATCGTAAGCAGGGCAATAAGAGGAAGAAACAGAAGATTTAATGTTAACCTTATTCATTCATCATCTATCTTCTCAATTTTAACTAGAAAATTGACAGCAACCAACAAGTTGCATCTTTTATACCTTCAACAGAGCAGCGGTCTAATGGCCAGTGACCTTTCAGTATAAATCTACTCGTAGCCCATAAAGTACACAAAACTTGCAAAATGATATTCTCGTAAACGTTATTTTCGGCTATCGTATTTGCTTTCACTTTCTGTCTTATTAAAATTAGACTTACTTTAGACATCTCACTTCGTTATCTAGGTAGGTCTCAAAATGGGAACGGTAATAGATCGTACTACAATATGGATATATAAGTCAGTTCAGCAAAGAAAAACTCAAGGGAGGTGGAATGTAATCTTAAAAATAACTAAACTCTTGTGAGCTTGATCCACAAACTTAAAACACAGACCGTTCAATAGATACAAAGACGCCTTAACTAAGGATACTCCAATAAGTTGAACCTTAGATTACAAGATCATATTTTTTTGAACAATATTGATAGCTGTGGCGGTTAATCAATGTGATTGTTGGCGCGATAAGAGACATGCGACATTTTTCTCTACATCGCAAGCGTCGACTAGAGAAATAATTTCCACGAAAAAATCAAACGAATTTTTAATTTGTGCACACAGGTTTTGAGTTCGCGCGATCTGAGTTCTAAATCTAATCCAGAGTTTATTCCACGCTAGGAGCTAGGGTAAATAACAAAAATGTCGGCACGGGTTCATAGTGGCAGAAAATGAAAAAATTGTCAAAAAAATTACATTCCCTTGTAAAACATGCAACCCCGAAGAGGGAATGGCCAGGAATTGAGAAAATTCAACAGGAAAATAAAAGCGCATAGATGTTCGTGAGTAGAAACAAGGGACCTGGGTGATGACGCGATAAGAGACATAGGCCTGAACCCCATTCCCGAGCTTGACGGGCTCGGTGACGGAAACAGAGAGAAACGGCTTCGCCGATGGGGATCTAGGGCTCTGCGCGGACGATCCCGAGTTGCTCTGCAGAAAGCGGAGAAATCAAATCAACACAGACGGAGAAATTTCCCCCAAGTCGCACAGTGAATCCACGACCTGCTAGAATCAAGATGTAGCAGGGAGGAGCTCCGCACTTACCACGGGAATCATGGTCTTCGGGCCTCAAAACGGTCCCGAGGGAGAGGAGAACGAAGACTCAGAGACCGCTGCGGATGGAAGAGAGGGCGGCTGGCTCCTCCCAGTGATCGATGAAGATCGACGAAGACGTTGGAGGTCTGCCCCGGTCAGTACCCGGAGGAATCACGCTCATTCTAACGAACATACACCCCCAGCGCAAGATAGCATCTTCCCATTTCTTACCCTCGTTGAAATTATTCGAATAATACTGAAAATAAAACTCTTCTCTCTCTCTCTCTCTCTCTCTTCTGTGTGGGACCCAGGGACCAGCGAAACACGTGTTCCGCATCAACTCGCTGGGCCTTAATGATGATCTTCGGCCCCCCTCCATCTCTCAAGACACGTGCCGCCCCCAACACTCTATCTCTCTCTCTTTCTCTCTCCTGTATCGTTAGCCGACCGCTCGCATGTACGGTAAGTGAAGATCCCGCCCACGTGTTAAGGGGAGGGGGGTCAGGTGGACCGGCCAGGACCGATCCAAATCGTTCGCAAAGAATAACTCGCCAGTTATTCCTCCCCCCTTTTCCGCCGCCACCGTTCGCCGGAGAGTTAGGCGGCGCCGCCGTTGCACTGCAAGGGTGGGTAGGGGCCTCGTTATTGGAAGGAACTGGGATCAAGAAAGCCGGATAATCCCGCCACCGTCCAGGTGCGGTGAACGCCGCTCCAGGCATAGCCTCCGTCAACCATGGTCAAAGCTGGCGGGCCCTCCCTGTCCAACGCCCCCGTGAGCTTTCTTATTTAATTTCCATGGCGGTCGCTTCCTCATCCCTAACCTGGAACTTTCCTCCTCTGTCTCTCCCTCTCCGTCTTTCTCCACCTGTCTATCCGAAGCAGCGGAAGAGTCGCCGGAGCACCTATACGGGCACCTTGAATACGGCAACGGGTCTCTGCGAGGGGGATGGACACTTTCCGCCGGCACAGAATCTCACCGCCGTCGGAGCGCTTCCTCGGCCTGTTCTCGAGCCCGTCGGGAACCCTTACCGGCGCCGGGGCCGGCGTCGAGCTGCACGAGGACGAGGTGTTCTGGGCCGGGACGGACTTCTCTGCCAGTAGCAGCAGCAGCCCACAGGTGGCGGCGGCTGGGGACTCGAAGCCGGCGATGCGGCTGTCCCCTTCTTCCCCTTCGTCGCCGAGGACCTTCAGAGGGCTCGCCGAGAAGAACTTCGGGATACTCGCCGCCCTCCCGGCGGAGGAACGGAACCAGTACCTGAGAAAGTCCAGCTCCCTCAAGCCCAACCCTTCCTCCATCGCCTCCACTTCCTCGTCCCCTTCCTCCTCCTCCACCACCGCCGCCGCCGCCGCCCGGATGATCCCGGCTGTCCCGAAGCCGAAGCTGGCGGATATCCCGCTCCTCCACCAGTCGGCCCCTGTGAACGTCCCCGTCGTCCCTAGGCGGCGGCTGCAGCAGACAGATGGGGGCGACGATTACGAGGAGGACGAGATGCTGCCGCCCCACGAGATGGTGGCCAAGAAGCACACGCCGGCGACGACCTTCTCGGTGCTGGAGGGCGCCGGAAGAACGCTCAAGGGAAGGGACCTCCGGCGGGTGCGGAATGCCGTCTGGCGGCAGACGGGTTTCATGGATTGAACCCATCCATGTATGCAGATCTAATCACTCTCGTCGGCGAAAAATCAGTTCTTGTATGTAGATTCATCTGGGTTTTTGGGCGATGGGGACGGACGGTCCTCCGAACCTCCCCCCATTGCAGAAAAGGTCCGTCCCAACCTCCCCCCATTGCAGAAAATCCAAGTCCTGGTCCCTCGGAAACCTTACGAGGAAGTCCTTTCTTCTCGGATTCATGGCGTCGATGCGCCTAGTCTGGTTCTGCAAGACGACCTGCGCCCCGACCTGCATGAGAAACCCTAGATAACCCATCCCCATCCCCACCCCCTTTCCCCCCACTTCATTACGACCTTTTGCTCAACAATGGCTACTTTGACTCGTTCGAGGAGCAGCCGCCATGTGAGACGTTGGGCATGCTCCGAGCGAAGGATGACGTGGTGCGTAAGTCAACTGTCACGCCTCCAACAGGCTGGCGATCAAGAGAAAGAAGTTTCCTGCACAGTTCCAGGCGTGAGGAAGCTCTTCGGCCACCTGGGAGGGCTCTGATGCCTCTCGAGAGACTATTGCTCTAGGGTTTTTATGTGGGCGGCACAAGATGGAGGGTCTCCACGGAGCTCTTTTGTCAATCACACTGCACCAACCTTCTTCTTCACAGAATCGCTTTTATGATGATATGATCAAGCAATTGCAAGCTCTGGATGAGATTAACCTTCTGGCTGCCTTCAAAGAGAGAGAGAGAGAGAGAGAGAGAGAGAGAGAGAGATTCATGACCCCAAATAGCGTGTTTAAATGACGTTTCAGAAAGCATATTAGAGAAAGGTTTTCACAGCTCCTTTGTTGTATGATGCTCGAGAATCTTGTAGTATTAGTTTCCTAAAATACTCATAAATTTATATCGAGAAGAATTTACTGACCCGATCTTGATGATTTTTATTATTCCAAGTTTGACCTAAGATTATCATCATCAAACCCACCTCGAAATCCTTTGAACCCTTTTGTGCGTCCCAAGTGGATCACAATGGGAACCAAGATGTTTGTCGTTTTTCAATAATTCCTTCGCTAACAACGAGTCAACCCGATATTTGACTTCTACCCGCAAAAATAGGAAACTTTGCAACCATCCGATAGTCAACTATTCCGTACCTACCATTTTAAGAATACTTGAATGAATCCAGCTCACGACTTTGAAGCCCAATCTTAGACATAAAAACTCGGAACTTCTTGGTAGACTCACACTGCTAGAATTCAAACGGTTGCCGAAGAATCTCAAAAAGTTGACGAATAAGTGTGTGGAGCTGACTTATTTCTTATAGGGATGATTCCTACCGATCGAAGAATTTCCTATAATTGCTCAATGGCTCGTTGGATTGTACTAAGAAACTATAGTGAAAAGTCGTCGATGCTATTAGTGCAGCTCCAAGTACGATAATGCGAGCGTATTTTAAATAATTTTTGAGATTGTAACGCCGACCATAAGATATTCACATGATAATCACAAATATAATTCGATAACAATAGAAATTGCACAAAAAAGAGATATATTTTTTGTGCATGGGTTAAAGCCTATGTTATTGAGTTAGTATGATGCTATGAACTCTCTCGCATTAAATTATTTATTTATTTTTCCACCGCTTGACAAATTAAAGAGTTGACTTATGGGGTAGTTTTGAAAAAAATAATCCCAATAATGAAGGGTACGATTATTTCTATCTCTTTCACCAATGTTTTAAATGATCCTACGAATATCATGCAAAATAGCAGCATATTATTATTTATCTTCTAGATAATATTTTCTCCTTAGACTTCGCATCATCTTTCTATACATACAGCCAAACTCCACCTTATGGTTTAATAATTATTTGATATGATTAATTCGATGCGTTGTCGTGGCCTGGCTCATTTATTTTATTCCCTGGATTCCAGAGAGCGCCGCCGGATGCGGCGACGGAAAACCACGGCGCGGGTTACCGACGCCTCCCGCAAAAGCCCAAACCTCACCCGATCGTGACTGACGGAAACGTAGGCGGCGCGCCGCCCCCCACTGCCTACGCTTCGCCGCGTCTGGCCACTTGCCCCTTCGAGCATATCCGCCGCCGCGCTAGGGCTGTTGACTCCCCGTACCCATGGCCCCACCCGCTTCTATTCTCTCCCCACTCACGAACCATACTCATTTAAGGCTGATTTGGAGTCTCTTAGCATGCATGGCTCCGAGTCCATCGAGTGTCGGACCTGTCGACGGATCAAACGGTTCGTTGACTTCTTCAAAGCTCTTCGGACAGACGGAGGATTGTCGGTGGCGGCGGTGTTGACGAGCTCGGGTCCATTTCTCAAGTGGGTACGGTTTCGTTGGTGATCCAGGGACTGGGATCAGTCGGTTAAACGAACACCAGGATCTGGCGCGGGTCAGCCAATTGGCGGCCCGGAAGAATCGTGAGCATGATAATTAATCAATTAATTAATTAATTACTGTCCCTAAGATGATATGATTATCCCCCCGCACCAAAGCATCCTTGTATTTTTTGCTTGAAAAATAAATTAAAATAAACGTCATAACCAAGATGGTAGGTGATCTGTTGGGTAAGTCAACTCCTCTTCCTCCTATCAGCGGGCACGCCCTGTTTCACTAGCGACCTGCTAAACCTACCCGTTTATATTGGGCCTATCTGGGCCGGTTCAGAGTTTGCAGAGAATAATGGGCCTGTTAATGCTGCCTCTTTTCTTTAAGAGATAACAATAAATGGTAGTACATATTTCGGGGAATGGCAGCGGCGGCAGCAGCGGCGGCGAGGGCCCGGGCGAGCTGGCATCTCGGGAATTGCGGCGCCGCCGGACAAGACGCTGCTTCGCGAGAAACCGCCTACGGGCTTCGCCGCCAGCGAGGCCAACGGCATGAACAGTCAAACCTCTCCCGTCAACGCCAGAGGGAAGTGGGTCTAGTCTTCTGCGTCCATGGGGCCCACTCAAAGCCTTATCCGCTCTGCGAAAACAGACGAGGAGGACAGAAATGTTAGACCTGTTCCTCTCTGGTGGTATTTTTTAAAAAGACCCTTGAAAGAGAAGAGTCGTCGTAGGAACGCCCTCAGCCGTGTCGCCCCGTGCCAACAACACCCACTACGCCGCCATTACTCCCGACCTTCTCTTTCTGGTGAAATTTGTAGCGAGGCCCCTCTGCGGTGGTGTAATGGTCGCCTCGGCTGATAACGATAGGGGAAGTCAACGTTCTTAGGGGTTGATAAGTATATAAATTATATTCAGGGTTGACGAGAGAAAGTCCCCCCATTTCTATCCTCCCCTCCTAATCTCTCTTTATAAGCGTTTCTCATTCCTTGTCCCCGACGCCTCCTCTCTCTCGCTCTGTCTCCCTCTCTCTGTCTTTCTTTCTCTCTCTCTTTACACAGCTGTAAACCAAGGAGCTGTCAAGCGAGAGAAGCTATGGCCATGTTCGGAGGAGAAGGCGGCGGTGGGTTCTCGGCGGGGTACCCAGCGACGGGGTACCCCCCGCTGGCGCCGTACGCGGCGGCGGCTACTCGGTGCCCGGGGGCGCCGCCGCCTATGCAGGCGGGGTGGAGCGGGGAGGAGAACAGGATCTTCGAGGGGGCGCTAGTCGAGTTCGGGGAGGGGAGGGCCGATCGGTGGCAGCGGATTGCGGAGCGGATTCCGGGGAAGAGTCCGTGGGAGGTGGAGCAGCAGTACCGCCGCCTGGAGAAGGACGTCCTCGACATCGAGGCCGGCATCATCGATCCCCCTCTCTACGCCGACGACTGCCAGGACTTCGCCGGCGCCGGCGACCCAGAGCAGGGTCGCATCTCCTTCTCTCGGCCGAGGGCCAAACCCGAGGAGCGCAAGAAGGGGGTCCCCTGGACGGAGGACGAGCACAAGTGAGCCCGATTCATTGATCCATTTATCCATTCTCTCTTTCTCTCTCTCTCTCTTCCCCCCCGATTCATTCATCTATTTATCCATTCTCTCTTTCTCTCTCTCTCTCTCTTCCTCGTGTAAATTCCTCCCTTTCTCATCGCAGGCGATTCCTGGAAGGACTGGAGAAGTACGGGAAAGGGGACTGGAGGAGCATCTCCAGGAACTCCGTCGTGACGCGGACGCCGACCCAGGTGGCCAGTCACGCTCAGAAGTACTTCCTCCGCCTGAACACCGAGGGCAAGAAGGAGCGGCGGCGCAGCAGCATCCACGACGTCACCAGAACCTGAGCCAACTACCCTCTCTCTCTCTCCAGGATGGAGACGGACGGAAGGGTAGAGAGAGAAAGGGAGAGGATCGCAATTAGGACGTTTACCCCTGACCAAACCCGGCCGGCCGGCCACCTATATATCCATCATTCATGCTGCACCGGCGCGAGTGGTGGCGCTTCCGAGAGGAACTGCGCGACCGTCCGGATAGGTGTAACCACTCTCACCACGTACTGTAAAACAACCATTCTTTCTCCCCCCCAGCCACTGATGCCCAATAATAGTAATAACCAGGTCTTCTTCACTGACCCACACATCCATCCTCCAGCCTCCTCCTCCCCCTCGTACCCCCTGCCCTGGTGTAGGAGCACTGGAGCATGCTAAGAACATGTATATTTACGTACGACCAGCATCTAGAGAGAGAAAAATTACAGGCCACCATCTAACATCATCTGGTCGACGAGTCCGCCAAGCCCAGCCCAGCCCAGCCATTGTAGCAGCATGCATACTTAGCCAACCCTCTACACCGCCCGCCGCCGCAGCAGCAACAGCGGCAGCACCACCACCACCACCACCAGGTGTTCAAAAAAGGGAAAACAAAGGACGCCGTTCGGAAGGACGATCATCACCATCATCATGCGCCGTTCGGAAGGACGCCTCCATTTTCTCTGAGCTCGGGGAAGCCGGCGGCGGCGGCGCATGGAGGGGAGCCGCAGCCGTTCTCGACAGGCTTTGTGGGTATTCCGGCGGGGGGATCCTCTGAGGCGGCGGCGGCGGCGGCGGGGTTCTGCTGCTCGAGGAGCTTCTCCTCCAAGTTTCTGAGAGACGGCGGAGGGTCGCCGCTGCAGTACCTCCGCCAGAGGCGGCGGTAGGTGGCCTCCAGGCCGGAGGTGAACTTGGCCCCGTCGCAGACTGGGGACTTAAGCATGAGCTCCCGGAGACCCATCCGCAGTTCGGAGAGGGACGCGACGTCTGATGCCGTCCGGACGGCGATCTGGACGTACTCATCCTCCGTCTTGGCCACCAACTTCTCCAACCCTGAAAACCAGAGGTTTCATACACAGATGCAGGAGTGGGGACATGATCTCCGTTGAAGAAAAAGTCAAAGGGTAGAAGAAACGAGCTGGGGGTACAGAAAATCAGTCTCGGTGAATCATCCTCGTGCTCGGGGATCGTCGCCGTCGTTAAGAGGAATAATGAGAGAGAAACTCACCGATTTTGGTGAGGAGGCTGACCCCTACATTGTGTGCGTGCACTGAGCCCGCCATGGTCACGCAGGGGACTCCCATGTAGAGCGATTCACATGTGGTGGTCGTTCCCGCATACGGAAATGTGTCCAGGCTGCAAGAACGAGCAAGAGAGAGAGAGACAGAGCCCAGATCAGTCGATGTCACATTATATGATGCATGCATGCATGCACCTCATACAAGGCATGGCAGAAGTTCTGGGCACAGTAGATTGCATACGCAGATTGAGCAATAAATAATGGTCAATGAAATCTATCACCCTTTGAAGAAATCAATAGAACCCGTTCATCCCCCCTCCCCTCTGCTCCATCAATAGAACCCCCATCCATCACCATTTACGGGGAAGACGGACACATCACGGAATCCAGAGGTTTCATTCCACAGACTTACACAAGATCTCCCCTTTACAGAACAGACTGAGTGGTCATCATTTAACCAGAACAGGGTCCAAAGCGAGAGAGAGAGAGAGAGAGAGAGAGTATATAAACGAATGGGCTGTGACTGAGATGAGATGGGCGATGGAGGGAGATCATCCTGAGGGATATATTGGAAAAGAACGGTGGCACTTTAAAAGAAAGAAAGAGAGAGAGAGAGAGAGAGAGAGAGAGAGAGAGAGAGAGAGACCCAAGCAGAACAGGTACGGTGAGATTATCTGTTCATGAAAGGTCAGACTTCTTACCTGATATCCATGAGCGAATACGCCTGCATGTGGTCGTGGTTGAGGAGAATCAAAGGCAGAAGATCCACGCGCAGGGGCTCCAGTCCCAGCTTCTCGAGCGTTGAGAGAAACCTCTGCCTCACACTATCGCAACAGAAGGGCTTACACTTGACCATGAGCCGGGAATTCGGAACCGCATCTAATATCCTAGCCCAGACACGCAGTACCTTGGGCGTTATCTGCCATTGCAACCAAATGTTCAGAGCCAAGCTTACCCGGCGTGAAGTCGGGGAACAAGTGAAAGTGTCACCCTGTACCTTTGCTAGATTGTTAAAACTACCAAAGGTAACGAAACCGTTTGCAATGGCGGGCGTCGCTGAAACTGGACCAGCTTCAGGGGAAGGTGAATAGCACAGGAAGCATTCGGGAAGGCGAACCAACTCTTCAACATGCCTGCAAAAAGATACACGCAACAGAGGAACTAGTTGGAACAGACACACCCCTTCCCCCAGCAACTGAAGAAAATAACAAAGAACTCAGCCCACTTTTGCTTTGTGTCGGGAGGATCGGCCAGCGAGTCTGTAAATCTGTAATCTATACTTGGCAAACCAGTTGTGTTCGGGTATCCAATCCAGGTTGCCTACTCAATCGATGCACAAATTAGACTTCAACAAATTGTATTAAACTGATAAATTCAATGGAAATTATGATGAGCAGAGAGTATGATAGAAAGATAACTATTTATCATTCAATAAGTATATATTATAAATATTCAAAGGATCATCTTTGCGGCAACAAAGAAATTGTAATCTGAATCATAGAAGATCGACATTCATGCCGAATAACAAACCACAAACATACCTCACAGAGAAAAACCAATTACACCCAATTTTATGCATACCACACAATCAATTGGTTCGACACATCACACAACATACCATTTTTCTATATAAACGGGTGCAAGGAAGAAACAATCTTCAAAAGCATTAGAGAAAAGGAAGTTATTTTTTATGTCTCTATTGTGCTAGATATTTAAAAACAGGCACCATTTAAACCCGGTAAATCAGATTCAGAAAAATAAAAAGGTTAGACCCATCAAATAATCTTATCTTATGCAAAAATTCACCAGTACCATGTTACTACAGACATGAAAAATCCATCCTAATGCATCTGTCAGAAAACCTCATAGAATACGCATCCAATAGGCCAATCATGTTAATGTGCAGTTGCTAATTTAGAAGACCGGGCATGGGCCCCTTGGGCCTATATCAGGTAATTTGAAGGGGGGAGGGGACTACGGCTTAGTGAATCAAACTTCCCCTACATATTTCTGACATCATCATTCATCAGCTGCTCTCATGTGCTCATCAGACGCGACTCTACTTTAGAGAGTCCTTATTCACTCGATACATAGAATTTCGAATCTCATGAAAATTCAAATTAAGAACAGTTAGCCAAAGAAGATACATTCCCGAAAGATAAACTCAACAAACGAACCTGTGAAATGGTATATGGGTTACACCGTTTTATCTCGTGGCATTACAATTCTCACTCGATATTTTTGAAGATGCAACATGTAATCACAAAAACAGTAAACCCTATCGCAGTCTATACTCCCAACCTGCCAGCTCAAACTTGACATCCTCACAGTATACAAAACTGTGACCCATTCGGCTTTACCTTAACTAACAAATATCATTTTGTCCTTTGCAACCTTCTTCCAAGAAAAAGTTAACTGTTAAGTACCATCATTTGCAAATCCGCATAATCCAACAAGCAACTCTCAAACAAACAAAAGAGTGGGCTACTGTCCAAATTCATAAAGATCGGAAAAGCAAAAAATAGAATGCAGAATGGCACAATCAATGCAGTTTTGAAATACACAAAGGAGATATGAAAGTCGCATCTATAGATCAAAAAACCTGATGAAAACTGAAAAAAAATAATCTAGTTAGACAAATATTTTCTCAAAAGTCTTAGACCTTTCCAAACAGATTATCAAGGATAGAGAAAATTTAAATCCACAATGAATTATACCTCACCAGATAATAAAAAACACACAATCTCGTCCAAAAGTACCTGAATGGGGGCTGGTCTGCAAGCCATCATTCCCAACTTATTGTTGGCGGTGTGTCCGGTAAGTTCCACAAGTATGTCGATTTCATCCTCTCTAACCATCTCAGCAACCTTCTTCTCATCAATCCCATATATATCTCTCCAGGTTCCTCCTTTTTTCAGGACCCTATCTCTGAATTTCAAGGTTTTGGCATCAGCCTAGAAAAGCAAATTGGCAGTGAGTAGAAAAATATAAGGAAAGATTATGAATTTCCATATCAGCTCTTATAGGAAAAATTATTTATGTAAAAGTTACATCATAGAAATATAAAACAAGAAAACAAGCATTGTAAAGGTTACATTATATTTTAGAATGAAATACAAATGGAGAAAGAACAGCTGTTATGAGTGAGCCTCACAAGACTAGATAGAAAGAAAAAAATATATTGTACGTATCAATTATCGAACAAAGAGCTATTAAGTACAGAAAAAATGTAAGCAAACAAAAAAAGGAAAACGGAAACTAGGTAATGTACCTTCACAACAGCTGAGTAAACAACAACTTTGTAATTTGCATAATCATGGTAAACAAGAGGCGCCTCTATGAAATATGACACTGAGTGAGTAAAATAATCTGGTGACACATATCCAATAACAAGTGGACGATCGATTTCTTTTTTATTATCCCAGCTTGTATACTGTGGATATAACTTCATAAAACGTTTACCCCATTCCCTGAAAACAACATAAAATTTCAGCAGATGGTAACTTAACAACTGTTATAAGCGTTTTAATCAGCCATGTGACAATCAGACATCAATGGAAAGCTAACTTCGAACTCTATACACTTAAATCAATCTATAAGCGGCATAAGCAACATGCAAAACATGAATGGTAAAACAACATTACGGGTAAAGATCTGTGACTACAAAATAACTAATTTTGAAAAGACAATGTAAACCATATTTGCTGTATGCGAAGCAGATCTTAAGGGCCTATAGAGAAACTAAGAATATTTATTAATATTCTGAAAAGACTGGTATGCTGGTGTCGAATCAACTAAGGTTCTGGTATGCTGGTGAATGATAATCTGGGCAAACCCACAGTGGAATTATGGAGCTGGTTTCAGGGTAGAAGGGATAATTTGTGAAAGAAAATATAAGAAGATTGAATAAAAAGAGGAAAAAAGAAGAGTGCATGAACAAGGAGGTAGACAACATAAAAGGGTAAGAAAAGACAAAGTTAGGGGGTAAAGCCATAAAAGGGAAAAGATTGGGGATCAATAGGAAGTGGAAAAAAGGAACTTTGCAGAAGAAGGTGATGAGGCAACCACAGGCTAAGAGTTAAAAGGAAGCAGCTGGCCCACCTCTTCCTCTGCCTCTTTCATCCTTTCCTCTACATCTAGTTTTTTTTGTTGCAGGGAACAGCAGTGGGCATTTGGACCTTTTCATGCCTTCTCTTCTTCTCACATGATTTCTCCTCTCCTAGATTAAGAACCCGAAGCCGTTGGAATAGGCTTCCCACGAGAGTGTAGCCATATCCTCAACAATTTCTAAAATGAATGGTGTGCCCTTCAGTACTATGGCCTTGTTTGCCTCGCAGTAGAATCTCCCATCATCCCCCCAACGTACAGTAAAATGTCCCCACAAAAAAATCACTGTATTTATCTTCAAATGACTGTTAAAGCTATTTAGGATATTCCCATCGTACACCTCTAACAGACCAGGACCAAGGGTGTTCAAGCAGTAGACGTACAAAAATCTTATTCAGTCCTACATGATCTTATTCTAGTCCCATTATGAGATCCCATTTATACTGATTTTTTTTTGGGATTCATACGTGGAGAATTCCATGCCTGGTTATGCGACCTTTTGATAGCAAGCCAAAACCGCCAGGAAAAAACTCATCGTCATGACGCACATTCCATTCAAAATAACTATCAAAACAGGCGATTTAAGGGCTACTCTTACTTGTGGGCCTCGTAAAGCGTATCATCTTCACCCTCATTTATATAGTTCATTGCTAGCAAACGATTCTGCAAAGTCATGGGGAAACCGAAGTCCATTAACAAAAATGTAAAAGATACATGCACAGAGAAGAAACCTGACATTCAAGCCAAAATGTCTTTCAGAATGCCACAAGAAAGTAGATTGCTCGGTAATAGTCAGTTCCATCAATTTTATAATAAAAGAACAATATTTCATGTCAACAAACAGCAAAATACCTCGTACATATGACATAAAGAAGTAACCAAAACTGAGTTAAGATGAAGCCTTGTTCATAAAAATTAACCAACATTGACTCAGCCGGAGATAATTCTCATCCAATTCCCTGATATTAAGGCTGACCGAGAAATCCAAAGATTTAAAAATATTCATTGTGACCCCTTACCGTTCTTATACAGAAAACAGTTCGAGTGTAATTTACAACTCTAATTTATTTATTCCCTGAGTACTCTTCAACCCATCATAAGTCACCCCGGGGGTCCCTTTCTTTACATTTTTCCCTTTTTCCCCTTATAGTTGGGATGGAATGGACGTGGATACCGAACACATTATTGATCAAAATGGGAACATGCTAAACCAGCTCTAACTGCATGCCTGATTTAAATTTAACGTCATTCGAATTCACGATGCATCCACAGGTGCATTTGAAAATGAATTATCTTGATACCAATTCGCTTCATCTCCATATCGACTATAAAGGGAGGAAGTATAGCACGTGTAAGCTTCGACATGCTTGTTTAAGTTCAACGAACTGATAGATAAAGACAGACGGAAGTTTAGTAAATAAACCTATTTGCCTCTGTTTTAAGATACAACAGTCTTCCTGCTGCAGCGATGAAATTCCGATGGAAAAGTTTTCTGACTTGGATGTGATAACTAAAAGTTGTATGTGCAAAATAACTTGGCAATCTCATTCACAATATCCACCTTCATAAAGAAGCTAAAGAATCCAACAACCGGACAAAAGCATCCACAGTCACTTCAACGGCATATTATAAAGGATTTACATTCTACAATGGATATATTAGTTTCATAACATTTGCTTTCATGATCTATCTTCTATAATATTCATTAAATTCCATGTAGTGTCCTTACTCAATAGATAAATATTACAAACATTATAAAAATCGGTTTGTCATAAACAATTTGAAATGTTTAGTCTCAACTATAATAACCATTTTGTAAACAAATTTATTGTACTTCTAAAATCTTCATTGAAAAGAAAAGCCAAACAAAAAACTAACGGAACATAAATAATTAGGTAGTTATGAAGCAAATTATGCCTGTTCAAGCCAGTAACGTATCTATAGAATTAGCAGAATAATCAATGTGGTCAATATTCGTTGATTGTGGGCAACGTAAAAATGATAGGAAGGAAACAATACTACAACAATACCTGACCAGCATTACGAGAATCAGGATCTATCTGAAGGCACCTCTCATATGCCTCAATAGCCAGAGTAATATTCCCTGCATCTCTATACAAAACTCCTGAATGTCCAGAAACACGAGAGTTAGCATAGGGTAAAAAGTAGGAATGGGTAAATGCTCTCGTAAAAACAATTTGAACACAAAAGATCGAGACTCAATCTTACGAGCAAAATATTACTATTTTTTCTTTTATTTATACATCTTCACTTTGACTATTGTAGAGAAAGTTGTAGGGAGACAGCAAGTATGGATAGCAATAGTGACATGAGACTGCACGATTCATTACTCACATCACAGACATTCTGTGTTTCGAAAGAATTTCAGTGGCACAGTCATCACAAGAAGCACAATCAATATCCGCATAGCTCAAGTAAAACGGCACAGATATGAAGACTAATATGAAGCCATTACCGACACAACTTCAAAATATAACGATAATACTGCGGTTACTTAGTCCTCCCATTTATTGTAATTGGGACAACTCGAGGATGCCACATTCACCAAGCATGCGCACATTAAACTAATTTAGATATGTTATGCACATAAATTCGGTATGCTAGGCACATCAAATGCAGTTGAGCATGTAAAGTAGCAGGTGCTTCGAAAGCGTGAAGAGGACCCAAATGAACTAAGATAAAACCAGGTATAGCTACATCTTAAACCATAAAAGATTACAAACAAGATCACGTTATGTGCAATTTATCATGAAAGTTGTATTATGAAGATGTGGCATTTCATACAGAATTATAACACATCGCCTCTGGTCAGAAATATATTCATCTTAATACAAGGTGGAAAGGGCGACTAACTCCAAAGTCGTACCCAAGAGATCCAGGCCTGGCAATTACATTGCAGCTGTAGGTTAGAATGCATAAACATCCTGAATAAATTATCAGACAGTCATTAGACTTATGTCATAACCATACTACCAGTGACCTCCTCAGCGCCAAAAAATACAGACACTAAGGCAGACTTTTGTCTGAACCACATTTACACAGGGCCAGTGTCCCTAAATGCACAACTCCCCCAAATGAGGACAATGTGAGTAGGATGAGGAAGCAACTGGAGACATTGCTTATGACAGTGCTTGAGAAAGTGTGTCAACCACTGGCCCCACAATGAAGCAATGCACACTGATGAAGATCATGTCGTGATGACACGCTTCTTTACGGAGACATTCACCAGAGAAGCCTTAAAAACCTCGATTTCGGCATTTTGATAAACGACCAAAATGCTCACACATGCTGGTAAAATGAATGTAGATGCTGAGAACATGCTAGACTTTATCCCTACAAAAAGAAGAGTGCAGGTAAAAGACTATCCAGAAGGAACTCTGGCTTGTCACTGACGAAGTTGTTTTCACTTAGCTGGTATAAACTGTCCAATTTGCAGAATGGAAAACGATGTTCATAAGGATATATCAAATCAACTTTTAAAGCACAGAATAAATTTATAGTGAAACAATGAAATACAGTAGTGACAAAAGCAAGTAACAATGAAGGGAAAAAAAATACACTGACATCCAAGGGTAAGGAAACTTTCAATTGCTTAAATCTTATCCAAAAATAGGATCTATGTATGAAACTTGAGAGAAAGTATAGGGGAAATACTCGGAAAAATAATGCTTAGGAGAGAACCAGACAAGACAACTGTTACCTAAGTTATTATAAGCCTCGGCATATGTAGGATTTGCGAGAATTGCCTTCTCAATCATGCATGCTGCTGCGTCCATTTTTCCCTGGCAGATAAATACATAGACGAATTCAAGCTCAGACAAAGGCATAAAATTACACACGAGGTAATGAGGGGCTCTCGGGGGGTAGGTCGGGGTGGGTATACCTGAACAGTGTACACAACGCCAAGATTATTAAGAGACTGAGAAAAGTTCGGCTTGATAGACAGAGCCATCTAAACGCGTGCATTTTGAAAAAGCACATCAACAGAATGGTGGTCATTAAAAAGAAGAAATCTAACAAGAAAAAAATTGAACCACAGGCATGTTGACACTGATGTAATAGAAACACACCTGATAGCACTCAACAGCTTTGTCAAGGTTATCCCTATCCTTGTATATCACTCCTAAATTGTTACAGGCTTCCGCGCAATGAGGATTGAAGTGTAGAGCAAGCTCATAAAACACAATAGCCTTAAAAAAAAAATCACAAATTTCGAATTATTTTGAAAGTAGATCATCAGAAAGCTCAAAAAGACTACTTCCCAGAAAATAGCGAACTATTTTGACGCTTTCAGAGGCGGGGGGGACAGACAAAATCCATTACGCCTTAGCACTCACTATACATACCATGTCAAACTTCAGCATCTCCCCATAGGCAACACCAAGATTATACATAGCATCGGCATAGCGCCAGTTGTAATACAAAGCTTTCTTATAGTACACAATCCCTTGATTGATATCTCCCTCCAATTTGACCTGCATAGATTATTCACAAAGACAAGTGATTGCCAAATGGCTACTAATTACAAATTAATTCCACTAAGAAGAAGAGTTTTCCTTCGATACCCCCCCCCTCCCCCAAAGAAAAAAAAAAGTGGAAAACACAACACCAGTGCATTCACTTATGGGAGAGAGACAAGAATCAGAAGTCATTATTTAATCCTGGTATCACTTGCCAAAAAAAAGGAAATCGATGGGCATAATCTTCCCCACTCTTAAACCCTTGCAAGGACGTAGATAATGGATAATACGCACTTTTCGGATGAAAAAATGACGCAAACAAAATCAAAAGAGAAGCAATGTACCTTTGTTCCTAAGTCCGTCAAAGCTATTGCCATATTATTCTTGGCAATTTCAAAGTTGGGTGATATAGCCAGACATCTGTCAAATTTCAAAGTTCAGTAGTAATTGGTATCTGTAGATGCAGAATTTAGAAGTTGCATTCAATGAAAATATGACAGGTAAATATACAACATGGAACCTCTCATAACAAGCAATGGCCACTTCCAACTCCCCACGATTTTTGTAAATGACACCCATGTTGCAGTATGCTTCAGCATACATTGGCCTCTCTATAGCTGCCTTCTCGTAGCAGCTAAGGGCCATATCATATTGCATCATCTCAGAATAGACAACCCCAAGATTGTAATATGCCGGCTGCATTAACAAGAATGATAAAGTTTTAGAAATTGTAATGAACAAGTAAAAAACTCCATCAGAACATGATTACAACCGAGAATTACAGCATAATGACTATCTATCTTCAAAGCTTCCAAGTATTTCTGGATTCCTTCCTGGGTGTTACCAGCGAGTTTTAGGCTTGTCCCAATATCTGTCAACACAACTGCCAGGGATTCAGCAGCAGGCTTATAGGAGGGATCTGCCTTCAGAGCCTTCTGGTACGACTGCACCACATTAATTCAAAAAGAACTCAGAATTGGCCGTAGATAGTTGAAGACAGGTAATACGTGAGAAAGGCAAAACTGAACATCAATATTTGTGTTGAAAAGAAGTAAACATATGCAGGACCACGTGCAACTTCATCACCAAAAGCATGTTGAGAAGAAAACCCAAAAAGTCAACCTCTCACTGAATAAGAATTCCCCTCCCATGTGAACTATCTAGCACTAGGCCTATGGAAAATACTGGAAATCACAATAAGGATAGGACGCCGTGCTGATAACCCACAAAACATACTCATGTTCTGCAGATCACTATCATTGTTGCTGCTCTTGTTGTTGAAATTTGTGCAACTGATTACAACTGCTAAGAAAGAATAGCATATTTCCAGCACATTATTCCCCATCTCATATTGTTTTTTACCTTTTTTGTCATTTTTCAGGTCTTTATACTCCTATATTTTTACAGGTATCATTTCCAATCCTTCTAATGATATCCACCAGTATCACTGTATCAGAGCTGCCTCTTCACTTCTCATCTGCCAACTCGGATTATTTCAACAAGTTGCGGAATCACCTTTGCTTAAGGCCAGCATGAGGAGTGGCCCTATTCCTTCGTGCTTCCCTCATGTAACATTTCTACTGTGGAAAGGAACTTGCTATCACCACCTTCAACAGCTGCCTTGCATAGGTTTTCCTCATTTCAACCTCTGTTATTTGTGCATTTAAGGCAGAGCATGCCATCACTTCTATTCATCTCACCAATATCATGCACACCTTTGTTTTTATTGGGTGCTCCCCTCATAAGCAGCTTCACGCTTCTCCTCACAACTGTCCTCATAGACACATCTTCAGTTCTTCCTCCTTTATTCACCTTCCACCCCATGCGCTTCTCTCCTAAAGCAGCTAAATGCATTTTCCTCGAATATTGCCCAATGTATCATGAGAGTCGCTGCCATAGTCCAGTAGTTCACCATCTTCATGTCTCCATCAAGTCACCATTGGCGAGGATCCCCCTTATTTACATCCTTGTCCCAGGATCTTTCCTCCTCTTTGGTCACGATCCTTCACCTCCACCACCAATTATCCCAGATTTTTCTCTCACCTAGCCTTTCTTCACTCCTGGTCATTACCAGCTGAAGACGCTTCTAAGCCTCTAGCGGAAGATATTCCTGACTTCAGTGGACAAGAATGTTCCCATCCTGCTCCTGCTCTCTCTCACAGATCTTCTAGGATTCCAAGCTATCATAAGTGCATTGGCGTTCTCCATGCTTGACCGTTCATTGTTTGGCAATCGCTCATATTATCCACATCAATCTTAAATTAATTTCCCAGCTCCAATCTCAGTCCATTTTACTGCCCCAAAATGTGATCATAGCCAACCATGTCCCCACCCCTGGCAGCTAATTTGTATCTAATGAAGGAGCAAGAATCATATTGTTTGTCTCGAGTTCCAGCACTAATCTCGAGGACCACGTTACACTAGTGCAACTAAAAAAAAAGTCTGGCTTCCATGAGTGGACCAAATATATAGAGGTTAATTTTCATCCATCCCCCAACAATACCTACCTAGCACATGATCTCTTTATGATATTTCTTTATTCAACAGCATAGCTGGAGAGAGCTCGTCCATAAACTCTAGATCCAGGATCCCCAGTGAGGTGATCAGAGTTCAGAAAGGATAATACATTCCCTACAAATCTTGCCCTATTTTACGTTTCTCTCCTTCTACAAATCTTGCCCTATCTTTAAATATAGGCAGAACAGCTGTAGAAAATGAAAGGCATGCTCTGTAGTTCCACCCATTTTATCAATTTGTAACAATAACCGTTTACAGATTAACAAGCATACATTTCTACCTCTATTTAACAAATTCCGTCCTCAAAAACCTCCATGTATTATGAAACCTGTGGTTAGATAAATCAAATATACCAGGTCAGATTCCTACTAACTGTTTCCTCATATAATCAATGACTTCTTCGTCTAACACCTAATACCATCTACCTTCACAAAAAGCAGCAAGGTTGATACAAATTAAACAGGAAAACAAATCCACATGTCGGGATATTAATTAACGAACAGACCAGCTAGGCTATGATCAAAACCATGCCATGTATTTATGCAAAGGAAAAAAACGACAGAAAATAACAGCCAGCAAGTAATATATGGACCTTATGAAAGTAGATAAGTTCACCACATCAAATACGTCATCATTCTCACCACAGGATTAGGTGTATGATATCTTTTTGAAAGTGTTTTTCGTTATAAAGCTCACCATAAAAGATTCATACATCGCAGAATAAGTTTTCACCAATTCCACGGAAAAAAATTGTCCTCCCAAACTCTAAATAACTGGCGTTGGTGCATGGGTTTTATTCTGCCAATTCAACTTCACAGTACTGCACAATTCCAAATCGTATACAAGATTTTTCATCGACATAACTGATTCCAAACTTATTTTTATTGCCTCTATCGATCTTATTTTTTTCTCTCTCTCATGTTCCGAAACACCCTGACAATTAGGTTCTATCTTGAAGGAAATAATAATGTGTCTCCTCTTCGTCAGGTCAAAGGCACCATAAGTGGCTTTCACCGGATTTCTGACCTCTTTTTAACTATTATTTACATAGTCATCTTATAAAGACACTACTCCTTTATGTATGAGCAATCAGTCATTGATTTTGGTGCTTCAAAACAATGCTAAAGCCTACACCCAATAGTGCACCGATCATTGATACGCAGAACCATTGTCCAACTCCATTAAAACCATTTTTCCCTTGTTTTCTCGTCCATTTTAATCGTCAACCTTTCGTTCATGTTCACAAAGCTATACCTTCACTCAAAGATGCACGAAAAACCATGCTGATTGTTCTCTACACGAATTAAAAGGTAAAAGAAACAAGCCTGAACTCAAAGTCAAAACAAAAGACAAAATTAAGTGCAGTGAGAAAGAGTGACGTCTATCTCAATAATTTTCTCAAAAAAAAAAAAAACAGCACAACTCCAACAAGGGAAGATTCCTATGTAGCTTTCAATTTGGGGATATTCGTTCGTGCATGATGTATGCCATGCGGGGTGTTTCATACTAGATGGAGGTACCTCGGCAGCCTCTCCAAGGTGTCCTTCATCCTTGTACAAAACGCCAAGATGAGTGAGAGCGCATGCATTTTCTGGGTCCAACTTAACAGCTTCCGTGAAACACTCGAAGGCTTGACGCGATGAGTTCTGCATTTGAAGACAGATTCCCTTCCCTATGTAGGCTTCAACATTTCCGTTGTCCTTGGCAATAACAGTCTCATACAACACGAGAGCATCCACAAACTTATTCCGAGTCCGGAGGATGTTGGCATAAGATAGTACATCGTTCACTTCCAAACTCTTCTGCACAGGTACTTGAACTGCAAGTGCACCGCCATCAGAAGATCTCAAAGCCTTCAAGCTATCGTTTTCAGTAGCAGCAAATTCATCATCCCTCTCCTTTCTCACATCAGTTTCGGTCCAGGCCATTCGGTAGCTGGTCCTCTAACAAGCTCTCTGAAAGCAAGAGAAAAAGGCTGAATGAAACATGGGTTAATCTATCATCAGAAACTTTTCCTCCAATCAAGAACCCTGCATCAATTCCACGATACTTTATAAAGGAAATGAGGGTGCGGGCATATACATTTACGGCCTGCGACACAGAAGATCGGCCAGAAAGTGATTTGATATTTCAAAATATTAAGTCGACGTCCCAAAAAAAAAAAAGAGGAAACAAAACTGGATCAGTCGATAGAGATTACTGAAAGTTCGTAAATAGAAGAACAATATTAGATCGCAGTGAAAAGGGTTTGAAAGGAGAAAGAAGGCGAAGAAGAAGAAGGGACAAAGTAATATAAAAAAGAAGAAGGCAGCAGATGGAGAGAAGGAAAAAGACGAATCATAGCGAGCCTGGGCCAGAATAAAATAAAACAAGGGAACTATAGACCGCTTGCGATAATCGGCAAGGGCTGGAGAAGATTAAGCAAGCCCAAACACAGGCTGACATGAGCAATAACAGCATGCCGAGAGTCGGTACACAAGAAGAAACTAAGCAACGGTGAAGAGCAGGACAAATATAGTAGAGAGAGAGATAGATAAGAGCCAGCACGGGGAGCATGGTATCCCCACGAAAACGCTACTTGAATGACGGCGGGGATTAGAGATTTCGGGCCTTACATTGGAGACGAAGCTGCGCACAGCAGACCATGGCAACGCTGCGGTCCGGCGCAAGGGTTTCCGCCCCGAATCCTACGGACACGAAGGGGAAGCCCGCCTCAGCGAAATAGCCGGACCGAAGGGAAGGTAAACCCCACGGGAGACCCCAGGGAGCTGGGTAAACACTATTGGGGACGAAGGTAGAGAGAGAGAGAAAGAGAGAGGGAGACGCCTGAGGAGCGAGAGAGTGAGAGAGGAGAGAGAGGGACTTCCGCTCCCCCGCCTGGCTCCTCGCTGCCTCCCTCCCCCCCGCCTCCGACAAGCCCCCGACCCCTTTTTGACCCCTCACCTCCTCCTTCCCTCCCCCCACCTACAGCACCCTCTCTCTTTCTCTCTCTAGGCGGGTCTCTCCTTCCGTCGTCACGTAAACAGAAAACCCTCTGAACCATGACTGCCTCCGGCTCGCCTTCCCCCACTGAAATCGACCCCACCTGAGAGGACGAGGTCCAGTTGTGGGCCCCACAACGTGCCGGGCCTGCTGATCGACTCTTACTGGACCTGGGCTCGACAAAAAGCCCGCGAAATAAGTAAGTAAATGCTTCCGAAGCGATAATAAAATGATAATACTAAAAAATGCGAGATAATCATTTATTAAATATCTTATTAAATAATATTTTTTCAATATTTGGAAAACGTTTAATTGCCGCCCGTTCTCAGAAAAGCTTTGAAGGGGGGTTGCGAATAATTAAATGATAATTGAAAATTACTAATATTAAAAAAATGATTCAAATTATTTTATTTTGATTTTAGTGTCCGCGGAGCGGCCGGGGATCGAGGCGGAACGGTGTTGACCCTCTGGTGAGTTTCTGGGGGACGAGGGAGGGCGGAGCTGAGGAAGAGACGACGCCCCGGTGAGTCTCTCTCTCTCTCTCTCGCCGGGGCCATGGCGATCCTCTATGCGTTGGTGGCCAGGGGGACGGTGGTCCTCGCGGAGTTCAGCGCAGTCACCGGGAACACGGGGGCGGTGGCTCGGCGGATCCTGGAGAAACTGCCGCCGGACGCCGACTCGAGGCTCTGTTTCTCGCAGGAGCGGTACATCTTTCACGTGCTCAGATTGGACGGGATCACGTTTCTCTGCATGGCCAATGATACCTTCGGGAGTGAGTCTTGAATTCCTTACCTCGAGGAATTTTCTTTTTTTTTTCTTATTTTAGCTGATCGATTAGGGATTCTTTCAGGCCCCCTTCATTGTTTTTTTATATTTATTTTTTTCGAACCAGGTTTTGATTTTTTTGCCGAAGACATTAATCTGGGGCACGAGGGATTCCGTTTCTCTCCGTTGGATTCTCCCTTGTGATCTATAAGGAGTCAATTTATCCTATTCTGAGTGGCTCAAAGTGTTGCTTGATGAACTGTATGGATCTAGATTTTCGCTCCAATGAGATTTATGGGAGTTTTATTTAACCAAATTTAAAAGGGATGAGTGATAATAGTATTTTTTAGCTTCTTCCCGTGGAAACAGGGACTGAAGTTATGCATGCTGCTCTTAAAGTCTTTGGCTAAATACATATGCCTCTCTGATTATGACGGGGAGACCAAGGTTTCCTGGGGAATTGTCACTAGATGAACGCTCTTACTATGTGAAAACTTACTACACAAGAATGGAGCTCTCAACTACGGAGTAAAAACGCCACTGGCAAAGAAAATAAAGAATGATGAATGCACAGTATCCAGACATGAAATTGTAGTTAGCTTTTTTTCCTGATGGAAAAAGGAGAAGGTGTAGATTGATGGCTGGAACATTTCTTCTGACATTCTTTCAGCTTTCTCCGAATTACAGATGTCAAAGTGACACTGCTTTGGCCACCATTCCGAATCATAAATACTTGATGGTCATTTTCTCCATTGTGAAGACGAACGTGAGTGATGCCTAATCAAACGGCTGTTTTGAGGATTGCTTTTCCTTGCCGCTATTGTTTCGATTATGTTCGAACTATGGAATGGGAAATTATATAAACTTGGGATGCAGGTGAGTTGTAGATATAGATGTAATTGGACTAGGGACATGGATCGCCTCAATTTCTTTCATTTTATCCAGTGACTGAGAGATTTATTCTTTTCCCTGAAGCTTGTGCTTTTACTCTGTTTTCTCTCCCTCGTGGTGCTTTCTCAGATGAAATCTACAATAACTATTTTCTCAGAAGTAATTATTTGATGTAACCATGTTCTCACCTTGAATATTCTTAATGCAGACCTTATTTATCGCATTGCATATTTCTAATGAGGTCGCATCTCTATCCATATGCTGAACAGTAAATATTTCAATCCAACCTCATTAGTTTCTTAATTGGAGCTTCCTCTGTTTCGTCAGTGTCCTCATCTTGGATGCATCATGATTTATGGGTTAATTTACATGGAAGTTGGTGCGTGCTTACCATCATGTGGTGGTTTGGTTTGTATTTGCCTCGCATTTCGTTGGCTATGCCTTCTTTTTATTGAAGTCATATTTTTCTTCGTTACCATGTTCTTCCAGGAAGAGTTCCCTTCTCGTACCTGGAGGAGATTCATATGAGATTTATGAAAAACTATGGGAGAGTCGCTCATTCTGCGTTAGCCTATGCAATGAATGATGAATTCTCGAGAGTATTGCATCAGCAGATGGAGTATTTCTCCAGTAATCCCAGTGCAGATACACTTAACCGTGTCAGAAATGAAGTCAGTGAGGCAAGTGATCCTAATTCACTCCAGTTATTGTTGTAAAATATGCTAATTTTAGAAAATATAGTGTTATTATTTGATCATCGAATCGACATTATTTTTGTCTTTATTAGTTTCACATTTGAGATACTAAAGTCTGATTTTTATTTTTATTTTACTTTAATCCCACCCTATACTCTGACAATGGCATAACCATTTACCATACTTCCCCTAAGGGATCAATATCTCAATGATCAACTTATTAATTTGAGGATAGATGTTGTTATTTCTTGAAGGAGGCCTTTACATGATTCCGTTTGTGGGCTTCTCTTATTCTCCTGAGATCAAATGATTCTTAGTGCGATCGTTCTACTCTTTTCCATATCTGGAAATTTATATGTTTCTAAAGAGGCGTGTTTTGATGTTTACGACAAAATATGTGCAATGCTTTTGAGTACCGTCTGATTCTTTCTTGGAAAACCTGCTGTTCGGGATGCGGACATTTGTTCTAGGTTGGGTTGTTTTTTTTTTTTCCATCAAAATAATTTTTCAAACATACGATTTGTATTGTTTTGTCACTGTATTGGTCCATCCAACGTACCTTCTCACGTACAATCTAATACCTTTTAGGTTCGACCACATTGACCAATAGGTGTACGGTCCAGGGGGTATAACCATCCATTCTGATATCGAGTTTGATTAGTTTGTGAGATCTACCTATCTGCCCCATGCCTTTCTTTTTTTTTTCTTCTTGCGATGCCAGACTTTTCTTAGTGATTTATAACTCACGTATCATTTTTCTCCTGCATATATTAGAATTATGTATTTTTTCTTTTATATGGCTAAAATCGTAAGCTTTAATGTCTTCTGTTCCTTACATGCATGGTTAGCCCAGCCTTTCTTATCCAGGACTTATCTGATGGCTTGTCCACTTTTCCTGCCCGTATTTGGTAAAGCCCATGGTTAAATGGATGAGTAAACTTATTTGTCGTGCCCATTCTTTTCTTTTTTTTTCTTTGTTCCTCTGAGTTGTTAGCTGTAGAACAACATGAACATTATGTCCTTTGGCACGTAGTTTTTGCGTAAGAAGATTTGTGCTCTGCAGATACGAACAATCATGGTGGAAAATGTTGACAAGATATTAGCCAGAGGAGAGCGGATTGAACTTCTTGTCGACAAGACTGCTACAATGCAAGACAATTCTTTCCATTTCAGAAAACAGTCTAGACGCCTCCATCGAGCTCTTTGGATGAAGAACGCCAAACTTTTGTGAGTGATTACATAAAGCATTCGAATATATATATTTCAGCCACGCCGCCAATATAATCTTCAACCTTTAGGAGCGAGTAATAAACTCGAATCTAAAGAAGGTCAATCCCAAAACTCTGTTGCCCTACCACATGGCAGCAGATTACTATAGTCTAACATGCTGATCTTATATCCGATCTCCAACTTACATGCCAGGTTTGTTCTGAGAGATTTATTTGAATATTCGGTGTTTTTTTTTTTTTTTTTTTTTCATGTTTTCGTTACCCAAAAAGGGTCGAATTGAGTTGACAAGTTTTCAGGTTGACGAGCTCTCACTTTCCTCTATGGACGTTGACCTGGCCTCTCTCACTGTAGGGCTTTGTTGACGTGCGCCATAGTCTTGCTCCTGTACATAATAATCGCCGCCTGCTGCGGAGGGATCACCCTTCCTTCGTGCCGCTCCTGATCCAACCCCCGCCTCCTGAATGTCCTGCGACGACCATGGAGGAGAAGGCCGCTATGCATGGATCTACCTGTAGATTATCCCGGAAGCTTGGAATACCTTCGTTTGGTCTTATTTCATTTATGTAGATGTTGGGTGTGCTGCCAAGTGGTCCCGTATTTAAATAACTGGCTGCTTGTTACGCATCAAGACGGTTGAATTCATTTTGCGTTGACTTTTCATTCATCTGGGCATTTGGTCTAGTGGTATGATTCTCGCTTAGGGTGCGAGAGGTCCCGAGTTCAATTCTCGGAATGCCCCCCTGGATGATCCCTCTCTGCGAGAGGTTTCCAATTTTTTTGGATTGGATTTGTTTGGTCAACGTATGTTTTCAACGCCGGCTTCTGGGTTGAGCCCTTCTTGTTCGTCAGACCCTTGCCCGAGTCAAAGCCCGCCAAGTTAGATCCCGGGCTCTGCTTCCTTTTTTTTTCGTTTTAAATCGCCGTAAAATAAATCTTTTTATCCACAACCTTCCCCCACGCTCTTTGATCTGATCTGACCAGGCTCAAACTCAGAGGAGGGTTCATGCTGTAGTTCATGGATCAAATATAACCATAATTCGGATATTAAAGAAAAATGGCAGGTATGCTCCGGATATTTCGACTCAATTCGCGGACCCAGTTGAGATATGCGGCGGATTATCTGTAATGATTTATGAATTTCGAGAATCGAAATACCCTCTTTTTCTTTTCATGAATTTTGGATGCAGTTCGGCCCCCAATTTCGTCCTAAATCATGGATCAAATAGAAGATTTTTTTTTTATTATTCTGCTAGAGTTTACGGACGGAGTTGAAATGTGTAGCAGACCAAGCCCACACTTTTTTTTTTTTTTTTTGAAGGTGAAAAATATTTTAAGAGGTCAACTGTGGACCTGTTCATCGAACCCCTCCTCCTGTATGTTGTTGCGATGGAAAGTATTGACTTCGGTGGATGATCAGTGAAAAATTACCATTTTTATAGCTACTCCTAATGGCAGCGGCCCACCCGACACCGACGTTCTAGAAAAACCTCGGAGAACTTCTCTCTCTCTCTCTCTCTCTCTCTCTCTCTCTCTCGCTCGCGGCTGCCATCGGTCCCGGGTAGCAGAAGTAGTGGGAATTGAAGCGGAAGGGAGAGGAGGAAGGGCGAGGGAGAGGCATGGCGACCGCCGGAGGAGAGGAGGACGTCTTCTTGGATCGGACTTCCCGATCGACTAGAGGAAAGAGGTACTTCCAGTCACTGTTTCGGTCTCTGTTCTCTTCCCCATCCTCTGCCTGGCTCGCCGTGAACCCTACGACCTGATAGGGAATCGATAATGAGCCCGTGTTTTTGAGCGTGTAGCTGCTCTCCGGGCGCCTTCGTCGTCCGGAGGGCAGCCTCCTCGCCGAATCGCTCGTCGTCGGCGGTAGTTCTGCTCTCGCCTCGGCTGCATGATCTCAAACATACGAGCCCGATAACTGTCCCCATCGGGGTTTTATGACCGGAAATTCTCGCCTATCGGAGATTCTTGTTTTGGGTGTGGAGTTGGAATTAATAGGGTTTTCTTCTTCTTCTTCTTCTTCTTCTTTCTTATCAAGAATGACCAAGTTGCTAGACGAGGAGGTTGAAGACGACGAGCAGTTTTGGAATCAGGATGCCCTGAAAGAGGTATTCCATTTAATTTGAAAAGTTTCTCACGGCAGTTTTTCTCTCCGCCCCGGGCACAACATGATTCCAGAATCATCGCTGATACATTTAGGGCTCCAGAATCATCTCTGATGCACGCATCACCGTTCCTATGACCTCTTGATCGTCAATAAAATGAGCCGCCTGAACATGTTTCCATGACTCACAAATGCCAAGCATGAGGAAATAACGAAGAGAAAGCTTGCTTTCATCTTTTTTTTTCTTTTTTTTCTTTTTTTAATCACATTCTCTCAAAGTGGCTGCGCCGCCATTGCAAGATTTATCTGCTCCACTGACGTATAGTTGACTAATTCTCACGCGTTTTTGTTGGGGTCGTAAAAGAGTCGCCTGTTTGAGTGACCCAGATGAACTTCTGGCGCCTGTAAGAAGTATTTTAAATTTACCTGGAGATCCTCGTGCAAACTAAATAGATCGTCATTCAAATTATCAGTTTTCTTGTCGATGTGGCTAGAATAATGTCTGATAAACTACTCGGATTAGACCGTTATCCGCCATTTGAACTCTTATTCCATCGTTGCCCATGACGATTGTGAGTACATGGGAAACGGCATGCGATGACATATTCAGCGGATTGGGTGGTTTTTTTTTTTTTTTTTTTTCGTTACCTGATATCTACGCTTGCTTTTTGTTTGGGTTGACTTTCTCCATGACAGTACTGATGAACTCTGCTGCTCCTTTGCCCGTTGATGTGTTGTTCAGGAAGAGAACGATGATAGCTACGAAGAAGAGGCGGAGGCTGTCGATGAATATGACAGCGATTTCGACGATGATGTGGGAACCCCATTTACCGCACAGTGTTTTATTTATTCTTAGAAAGTAAAGAAAACTCAGAATTCTTTCCATATATTTTTTTTTAGAAAAAAATTATTTATGTTAAGTTTTCTGAGAGCAAGATAAGTCCTATTCATGAATACTGTTCTCTTGTTCAGGAACCCGAACCAGATGAGGAAGTGGAAGATGAGGGGAATGAGAGGTGCGATTGATTAGCTGCAGGATGAAATGGATAGAAAACGAGCTCGATTTTCTTGATTTGTTGTTGATAAATTTTCTGCAGGGTGAAGACGAAGAAGAAGTTGACATTTCCGGGGAAACAAGCTACGAAGAAGAAAAGTGAAAGGAAGGCAATCCCCAAGGTAGAACGGCTCCCTAGAGATGAGAATTCTCTGCAAGCCGAGAAGACTGACGAGCCCGCGCAGCAAGAGATAACTGATGGAGCCCAAGGAGACAGAATCGTGAGGAAATCTACCAGAACCTCTGTTATTGTGCGGCAGGCAGAGAGAGATGCAATCCGTGCTGCGCTACAGGCAACCATGAAGGTTAGTTTTGCTTCTCACAGTCATTCTCAGTGTTAGGCTGACCGGAAAATTTTGCCATTTTTGGATATTTTTTGTGCTGTTGTTTTCCTGTCATCTGAATTTTGCTAGAATTTGTGGTAATTATAAATCCTCTGCATTGCTCCCCAAAGGAACATCAATTTCCTGGATACTTTACCAAATCTAGCCCAGCATATGCGCAGAAAAAAAAGAGTTTTTTGGGTTGTCCTGGCAGCCTCGATTTTCAGGATCCTGTGATCTGCCGATTCTCATGGCTGACTATTGGCTCATCCCGAAGTCATTTTCGCTTGCATACAATGGCTGCATGTTTAACCTAGGGTTGCATGGACAGATGTAGGCCGAGATGTAAGTGGCTCTGCAATATCTCCGAGCTTCCTGTGTCCCATATGTCTGAGGCCTTGGTTTTCCCAACACAAGCTTGGTCGATTGGGTCCTGAAAGAAGCTTCAACAGCTCTGTGAACATCGGGGTTATTCTGTTGATAATATCTTCCCTTGCCATCTCTCATGGTTTTTTCTTTTGTTGATTCTACCTGGGGTCTGCTCGACAGCCGATTAAGAGGAAGAAGGAGGGGGAAGAGAAGAAGATGACCCAGGAAGAGATGCTCTTGGAAGCAGCCCAGACAGGTTCTTGTTTATTTCACAGCTGCAGTGGATATTTCTCGTAGGTCATGGAGTGAATGACACAGTTCACCAACTGCTGCAGAAATCCGAAACCTGAGAAATTTGGAGCGCGTACTGGCAAGGGAGGAGGAAGTAAAGAAGAAAGCGGTTGTTCATAAAGAGGTCTACACCGGCCCTCAGATAAGATATGTCTCCAGAGATGGCAAGTACTCGCTCCTTCCATTTCCTCTCTTCATTTTTTCCTCCAGATCGGGCGTTGACTTTTTCTTCCCCTGGGATGCCTGCCCCTTGCCGTGCTCATTGCAGAGCTGTTATGGCTGATGTGGTATCACTTGCATGCGGGTTATTTATTTTAAATAATTTACATTTTCAGAAAAATAATCCAGGTAGTTTTGGTCGTCTCTTGAGCAATGTTTTCACCTGATGGCTCTTGTTATTCTGGTATCATTTGCAGTCTTATAAGGAAGGCGAAGTGTTTTTATTTTTATTTTTATTTTTTTTATTTTATTTTATTTTAAAAAAAAGGAGTTAAGAGGATGCTCTCTCCCCCGCTGTATTTCTTCTGGATGATTGCATTCTGATCAAATTGCGGCCATTGCAGACAAAACATTCCTGGAGTTCAGCAAAGGGTTGTCCTTCCAGTCAGAGATCTGCACTACCGCAGCTCCATGTAGGTGCATGCTCTGTCTCTGATTTTCTCGAGATCATCTGCAAGCCTAGTTTTTATCCTTGTATGGCTGATGGGCATCACGGGTTTCGTTGCAGATCCTGAGAATATTATACATAGAGAGAGAGAGAGAGAGAGAGAGAGAGAGATACACACATCTGTAGGCCTAGTTTTTGTCCTTGCATGACTGATGGCATCACGGGTTTCATTGCAGATCCTGAGAATATATATACATAGAGAGAGAGAGAGATACATACATCTGTAGGCCTAGTTTTTGTCCTTGGATGGCTGATGGGATCACGGGTTTGGTGCAGATCCTGAGAAGGCTGTGTGTGCCGTCACCGGACTCCCCGCCAAGTACGCCGTCTTCCCTCCTCCCCGCAAGTTATAATATTGCAGTTCGAATCATCCATGCTGCTAATCTTGGATGAGAGAAACCCGCGGCGTGGGCCTCGGGAGCATCCTCCTCACTGGGCCCTTCACATCCTCCGGTCCCGGACGGAAGTTGCAGAGCCATTTATCATAGCTTCAATCCTATCCTCGAGGCTACTGTGTCTAACGAGATCGCAGCCGCGCAGGTACCGTGATCCGAAGACTGGGCTGCCTTACACGACGCTGGACGCCTTCAAGACCATCCGCGAGCGGTGAGAAGATCCTCGTCGTTGTTGTGATCGCCGCCGCCGCCGCCGCCGTCGTCGTCATCGTGAGTGGCGGTGCTCACAGTCGTCGTTTTCCTTCTCTTTCCGCAGATCTCGGAGGGGACGTGGTGGAGGGGAAGGCGGAGCGGGCGGGGAGGAGAATGAGGAGCAGGGCCCCCTCTTCGCCCTGGTCAACGGGCGGGGTTTCTCCGGCAAGTCGAGGAGGTCGGGGCCTCGGAAGGTCCTCACGTCGTCGAGGGCGGGCCCCCCACGAAGAAGGGTGGCGGCGGCGATTCTACCAGAGGATTAAAGCCTACCCGCCGCCTGCAATTCACTTCGAGAAAACGTGGCTGCATGGATTGACGTATTTATTTTACTTTCTCTACGGGCGAAGTGAAAAATGGGCCCCGTCCAGTTGACCTGTAACTGCGGGGTTTTTTCTTCTTCTTACAACAGTTGCACGTGTGGCAATTGACTCTGGTGCGGTGACGGTCAAGATCTTTTCCTTATTTCTTTCTTACACAAAGGTCATGAGGGAGAGGGAGAGGGAGATGAAGAGGAAGGCGGCGGCGGAGGCGACGCAGCGGAGCTCGAGCAGGCCGCCGCCGTGCTCGATCCTCCGCTCCTTCCTCGCGGTGCCCCTCTTCGCGTATTCCCTGTACTGCCTGCGGGACTCCGCCTCCCCCGCCGCGCCGCCGCGCTGCCGGCCGCCGTCCAGCGCTGCCGCTAGCACGGCGAGGCTCTCCCTCCCATTGAGGAGCATCCCGTCGGCGTCCTCCACCGTCAGCCTCACCTCCCGCGGCTGCATCGTCTCCTCCTCGCAGGCCACCACCGCGATGGCGGCGGCGCCGCCGCCGTCCAGCACCACCGCGAACCGCACCAGGATCTCCCCTGTGTACCATTGCCGCTCCACTGAGACGGGACTCCGGCTCGACAGGTTCACCGCCCCCCCGCTGGCGGGATCGATCAGGATCCAGCTCAGCGTCATCCCCTCCGTTGAGACGCCGGCGGGCACCGGGGGAGTGGCGCCGCCATCCTCGGTGGGCTCGAGCGCGTCGACTCTGAACGGCGAGCAGGAGAACCACCGGCCCTTCGCGTTCGTCTGCACCACCCTGGAGAAGACGGGCCTCCCCTCGTGGAGCAGGTCCACCGCCGAGATCAGCAGTGCCGGCGGTTCGCCGGAGCGCCGCCCGCCGTCGGGGGAGGGGAAGGTGTAGACGTCGGAGAAGAAGGAGCGGTGGGATCGTCTCGGCAGCGGCGGCAGGAGCCGGAGCGATGGCCAGGTGGACAGGCAGAGCTCCTCCCACAGGTGCTGGGCCCCCGCGACGGCGCAGAGGTGGGAGGTGGCGCAGCTGGTGGCAGCCAAGGAGGGCCCGTCCAGGCGGCGGAGGACCTCTGTCAGCACGTCCGTGTGGAGTTCCTCGACGGCGGCGGCAGCGGCGGCCATGGAATCGGAATCTCCGGTGGTAGAGTACGGTGGAATCGCCGGTCTGACGGAGGCGCTACCGGGGGTAGAGTGGGGGGTCTTCTTATACAGGGCGACGCTAGGGGGGGGGGGTTCAGCCGTCCCGTGTGGTCGGATGCCACCGTGGCACACGGCAGCCCTCCCGCGTCGGCGGCTCTTCGCGCATGTGCTAAGTGTGAGCAGATACCGACGCCACGTGGCCTATTCAACGCGCAAACGGTCAAATACGACACGCCATAGCCGTAGGCGGCGGGGGAGCTGGTGCGGGCCCCCACATCACGGGCCTCACTCATATGGGCCTAACCATTGGTAGCCCACTTACGAGCAGCCCCGGGGGTTCTTTCGCTTTCGCCCATTAAATAGGATCACGATTGAATTCTTAAAAAAACCCCAACAGGATTAATCGACTATGTTAATTGTGTACCCCGACCCTGAGTGGGCGGCGCTCGTCGCTAGGAAGCGTGGTGGCGATAAGGTCAACTCCACGCGCCGTCCATTGACATTTATTTCTCTCGTCCCTCCTTCACTATACCCCTGATAGTGATCCGGCACCTAACTTGCCCGGGAACTAATTGCTCGCCCTCATCTAGAGAGAGAGAGAGAGAGAGAGAGGCCAACTCGCCCGGTCAAACCACGTCGATTAACCGCGTGGTCGGGTCCGGCTCCGGCCAGGAGCTGGCCACGTCGATTAATCGTTGACATTTCTAAGGGAAGAAGCTGCACGATGAGCTCGCTCGCGTAGATTCCCGGGTGGCGGGATCCGCTGGAGTAAACGTAGAGGGACAAAAAGGAGATTTTGACGCCTCGGCCACAACGGCTATTCCCGGATCTTCGTCCAAATGAATACGTTATAGAAGAAGAACTTACCGAGGACGAGTAAACGAAGTCGGGCACGTGCGAATGATGTGATCTCAGCCGGTTAATGGGCCCGGACCATTCTTCGCCCGTCAATAGGGATCGGTCGGTATACGTCGCTATAATCTCCCACGTCGCCGCCAGTCTAGCCCCGTAGCCCCCGTGGACCCTCCTCCTCTCTCTCTCTCTCTCTCTATCGATCCCTTTCTCTCTCATGACCGGGTTGGGGAAAGTTGGACATTTATTTGCCCGAAAGGGACATGAAACGGAGGAATGTGGCGTGGTTGAGCCCTCGGTTAGTTGGCTCCGGCGGGTCCGAGAGAGGAAACTGGATGGATCCCAAATAAGACCCGGTTGACCCCCCGTGGGTCCGAGAATGGCTTCCGTTCCTGGGTCGCGGTCAGTCCGAGCCCCGAGCGACCGCGTCGACTGGTGAGTCACCGCGAAGACTTTTTGGTGGAGACGTGCGGTCTACTGTTGGCCTAGGCCCATTCGAATGGTCGGCGTCGGGCGAGGTTTACGCGATCGGAATGACGGGTGTCCGATTTTAACGGGTCCACGACGCTCCCGTTCTCACGGCAGCGATCCCGATTCGCCGTAGCTGCTGCAACCCGATCGGTCGATGGAAACTCCTCCACCCTTCTTCTTCGTCATCATCGTCAACATCTTCTTCTTCTTCTTCTTCTTCTTCTTCCTCAACGTCCCTTAGCTAGTCCTCCGCCATGATCCCTCCGGCGGTGGAGCCTCCTTCCGCCAGCTCTCCCAGGAGGGCAACGGAAGGACTCTTCTCACTCTTCTCCCAGTTGTCCTCTCATAGGCTAGTGGGCCAGCCGTGGGCCATCTCCTCCTTCTTACTCCTCTGCCTCCTGATATTCCTGAAAATCCCTCCGTATTTCCCCGCCGGCGGAGTCCGCCGGCCGCCGGTAAGCGCATGCGACTACTCCTACGGGAGGTGGGTCGTGGACAAGAGCCGCCCTCTGAGGACCTACACGGAGGACTGCCCGTTCCTCGACCCGGGCTTCCGGTGCCGGAGGAACGGCCGGAGAGATGACGACTACGTCAAGTGGAGGTGGCAGCCCGACCGCTGCGATCTCCCAAGGTGCGCACGTTCGTCACAAATCCAACCGTCCCCCGCCCAGTTCTCACCGACCCTCCCGCCTTAGAAGACGTAGCATTAATTGAGAATACGGGCGCTGTTCTATGAGATGATGTGAATAAGTTTACGAGTTTAACCACAGATTCAACGCGAGCGACGTGATGGAGAGGATCAGGAACGGGAGAATCGTTTTTGCCGGAGATTCCATAGGGAGGAACCACTGGGAATCCCTGGTTTGTCTGCTGGCGAGGGCGGTGGGGAACCAGTCGAGCATCTACGAGGAGAACGGGAACCCGATAACCAAGCACAAGGGCTACCTCTCCATCCGGTTCTCCGGCCATAATCTCACTGTCGAGTACTATCGGACCCCTTTCCTGGTGACCGTCGGCCGGCCGCCAGCGGACTCGCCTCCCGGCGTGAGGAAGACGGTGCGGGTTGACCGGCTGCACTGGCGGTCACGGCAGTGGGTCGGTGCCGACCTCCTCGTCTTCAACGCGGGTCACTGGTGGAACCGAGACAAAATATTCAAGATGTGAGTGCTTACTTCCTCTGTGGGGCTGCTCCACCACACCGATCAATGCGATATTATTCAAAGTAATTCCACCGATTAACGATAAATGAAGCAGGCACAACGGACTCGATTAAGGTCTAACACCAACCATATATATATATATATATACAGATATGGTTGGTATTGGTATATATATATATATATATATATATATTTATTTATTTTTCTGATATGAGGATAGCGGCTGATGCAGGGGTGTGTGTGCGTGTCTTTCAGGGGATGCTACTTTCAAGAAGGGGACCACGTAAACACCACAATGGATGTGAGGGAAGCATTCAGGAGGTCACTGCAGACGTGGAAACGGTGGGTTCTGCGAAAGGTTGACCAGCGGAGGAGCTACGTGTTCTTCAGGAGCTTCTCTCCGGTGCATTTCAGGTGAGAATCTCACATGTTTCAGAAAGTAAAGTATCCTTGGAGATATCGTATTTTGCCGGTCGTCGTCATGCTGCCGTGATACAATAGAAATTAATCTACGATAAAACGATGGTTTTCTCACATGATTATTCTACGCTTTACTTTATAGTTTTTTTAAATAATAATAATAAAAAAGGGTTTAGTGACAAGTGATGGATGCAGAAGGGCCAAGTAGGGCCGGACTTCATGGATGGCAGCCGTGGGCCATCTTTGAGAACCCCAAGCTCAGCAAGATCTGGCCGCTAGCAGCCATATTTCTATAGAAGATCGATCTTCTTTGAGCATATCACTTTTATCTCGCATTACTTCCCGAGAAGACCCTCCAAATAGTTCTTCTGTAGGTATCCCTATAGCTATGCATTTATTTATTTGTTGTGCAGTGGGGGGACATGGGACAAGGGCGGCCATTGCAACCTCAGCAAGGTCCCGGACACCAACTTGACGGCGACAGAACAGCCCGAACCGTGGACCAACCGGGCCATCCTGAAGGCCGTCGAGCAGGTGGGCGCAGGAAATGGTCGTGCCACGTTTCTCAATATTACCTACCTGACATGGCTGAGGAAAGACGGCCACCCCTCGAACCACAGGGAGCCCGGCACGCCCGTTCCCTTCCCTCAGGACTGTAGCCACTGGTGCCTTCCCGGAGTCCCCGACGCCTGGAACGAGCTCCTCTACGCCCATCTCCTCCTCATGGGCAGGCAGTAGAGAGCCGTTCCCTCTGGTTTCCTGTGTCCTCTCCCCGGCGACTGGAGTTCTCTTGGAGCAGGAGAGCGAATCTCACAGAATTGATTGATGATCGTGGGCTTCTACGTGGGTAACGGGCTTGGTGGATGAGTGGCCCACCCGTCAATGAATCCACTGCCGACGGCCGCTTCCACTTTAGGGTTTCACCGATTTTTCGGAGAGATGGATTGTGATGCGTCAAATCAAAGACTCGAAGCGTATCCGACTGACTCTGATTGAATAATGATTAGAGGGAGTGAGGAAAGTACAACGAGGTCAAACTACAAGGAATTAGATCTTATATCCGACGGATGATTGGAGAATGTTGACCAGGGTCGGCGATAATTAGTCGCGTGGGTGGCAGTTTTTTTATCAATTTTGACCTCACTTTAGATGAATGAGCATAAAGAACGCGCTTTGGAAATAAATTATCGGGATCAAGACCATTTGATCAGTCAACACCTGGGCTTCGGTTTCCGTGAGTCACCCATCTAAAGATCAATTATAGAAAGAAAAAAAAAACGACTTTTTAGAGAACCCATCTTATTGGACGACGGCTAGTTAACTATACCAGACGGAGACTCCACCACGCTGACTTGATCGTCGCTTTATGAGATTGTGTTTCCGGTTTGGTCACATCAGGCCGTGCATGGCCGTCTACATAATTGGTAGGACAATAAGTTGAAAAGCTATAAGCCCATGATTAGGCCGAGCCAAGGGAAGTAATTTCAAAACGGGCAGTAGGAGGTGCGTGAGACTGCTACGTGGTAAATTGGGAAAATCGCTTCAAGCTGGGAACCGAATCTACATAAAATCGAGCTGGATGGAAATAGTTGGCGTGCAGGATTACTCCCACCGTTGTGAAGTCACCATGCTTAAAAGATGAGAGAGAGGGAGAGGGAGAGAGTGTGGGGAGAGCGAACCTTAGAATGTGGAGCTTGGAGGAGGAGGGGAGGGAATAAGTTGACTTAAGATTCGGCTGTCTCAGTTTGGAGGATTGCCGAAACGACGCCGTGTCCGAGAATGGGCTTCAGCGAGTCAGTGCCAGAGAAGAGAACACGTCTCGCAGAGGGTACTGTAATCATAGGAATGAACCTGCGAAGTAGCAGTGCCTGTGGAATCTTGGCGCCCACGGGTTGGTTCTCTGTGTTCAAACTGTGGTGAGTCTCCTGGGCTTGTCCGGACTGGACAGCACCTTGAGGCCTTGGGAATCTGCGTAGATTGAATCCGGATCAAGATAAGACCGGATAAAGCGTGGGCGGCTCGGGCCGAGTTGTCTCGAAGAGTGGATAAGACCACTGAGACAACGGGCGCCTCACAGCCCCCGTGCTTATCCTTCTCCCCTCGGTTAAACTTGGCCTCTCTCTCTCTCAGAGTAGAAATTACCACAGGCATCGAGGCGGGTGACTCCTCTAATGACAACATGATTCACCGACGATTTCTCGCTTCTCCTCCTCTCCCCGCTTCAACGAGGCCTCGAACTTACGCCCTAGTTGCAACCCTCTCAGTTTAGAGAGACTGTTTTTGGTCGTTGTGGAGGCTCGTGAAAAAGCAGAGTAGACCTTTGGCCCCCCGGCCATCAGGGCGGATGGGACCCGTGTTACAGCGAGGACAGGTGGCGATCGGGCGGTCCGCCGGCATCAGGGTTGCTATCAGGTCGCCCCTTCTGCCGGGGCCGATTTTCTTCGACTCGCCCGCCTGCCGCGGTAGGGTTGAGAGGCCTAGAACTGGTGTTGAGCAGTGTAGTCTGTCTCGGAAAAGGTTTCTACTTTCCGCCCCCACATAGCCTTCCGCTGCGCCATCCGCATCTGGGTCTGTGGGTCGGCGGGGCCTCCCGCCTCCGACGAAACGAAACCCCAGTGGTCGTCGTCCCAGAAGATATCTAATGTGCGGCTTCTATTCCCCCTTCTCTCCTCTCGTAGCTCCGCCGCCTGTCTGTCTCCGTCGCTATCTCTGTCCGGGGAAAGAGTGATCTCCGTCGGCCGATATCACTGGACGTGGGGGAGTAGGCCCTCAACAAAGGCTATAGTTTGATATAATCTGGATTCTGAAAGATGGGAATTCAAAATGTAGGGAGCCACTGTGCTCGACGGTACCCGTGAGGTGATCGGCCGGGCAGCCGAAAGGTCCCCGAGAGCTGCTAAGCCCACTGCGCTGGTCGGCCGCCGTCGCTGTTTTGGGCAGCCCAAATTGTGCGAGGTTGTGACGAAAATCTCAGCCGGGAAGAAATGAAAGGGACGATAGAAAGGAGAGGCCATGATAAGGAAGAAGCGTCTTCTCCGTTACTTTTCTTCCCCCGCTCCCTCCCCACTACCAAGTCTCTCTAACCATCCGTCCCATGGTGCCCCACCCTTATTCTCTCTCTTCCTCTCTGCCTCTCTCTATTGTATTATCAGGATCTTTGCAGCGTCTAGGCTTTGTCTATTTTATCATAGATATTTAATCTTTCTATCTTCTTCTGAATCTGCTGAGTCTCGCGGGATACTCGAGCTCGCTGAGGGACGGGGGGGTGTAGAATAGGAGTGTGAAGTGCTGCCGAATTCGTTTCATAATCCTGGAGCCCCCTGATTTCGAACTCTGCGAGTCGGAGCTCTTCGGCTATATCTAGGGCATCCGTTTCGCCTCCCCCGCCCACCCTTTATCCTTGTACGACCATAATTCACTCCCGACTGGTCAGTAGTGAACCCTGAGAGAGAGATATAGAGAGATGGAGAATCAGGATAGCTCCTCCTTCAGCAGCCTTCGGGCTTATGGGCAGGCTCTGGCGCAGACCACGGGGCGGCTGCGGAGGCGAGCCATGTCGGTGACGACGACCTACGAGGAGATGAGCAGAGTCAGGGCGAGGTCGGGGGCGGACATGCAGAGCACCCTCAGATGGCCCTCCCTCGTGGGCCTCGGCATCGGCGGCATGGTCGGCGCCGGCATCTTCGTCACCACCGGCCACGCAGCCAGGTCCTACGCTGGCCCTGCCGTCGTACTGTCCTACGCCATTGCCGGTCTCTGTGCTCTCCTCTCCGCTTTCTGCTACACCGAGTTTGCCGTAGAAATGCCAGTCGCCGGTGGGGCCTTCAGCTACCTCCGAGTCACCTTCGGTAAGCCCGTTCCTCCTAGGAAGCTTATACCGGCGCTGCTCCCCTGTCTCACCGTCGTCTCTAACCTATCTAGAATTTAATTCATCTTCCGCAGGGGAATTCGCCGCCTTCATGACCGGCGCCAATCTGGTCACGGAGTACGTCCTGTCGAACGCCGCCGTGGCGAGAAGCTTCACTGCCTACCTGGGCACCGCCCTGGGGATCGACACGACCACCAGGTGGAGAATCGCCGTCGCCGGCCTGCCGGAGGGCTTCGACGAACTGGACTTCCTCGCCGTGGGCGTCGTTCTGGCTATCTCTCTCTGCATCTGCCACAGCACCAAGGAGAGCTCCGTCCTGAACATGGTGCTCACTGGGATTCATCTTGTGTTCATCCTGTTCATCATCGTGGTGGGGTTCTGGCGAGGAGACGCCGGCAACTTCACCCACCCCGCCGAGCCGGCGATCCATCCGGGAGGGTTCCTTCCTTACGGCATCGGCGGGGTCTTCAACGGCGCCGCCATGGTCTACCTCAGCTACATCGGCTACGACGCCGTCGCCACCATGGCGGAGGAGGTGGAGACCCCCACCCGCGACATCCCCATCGGTGTCTCCGGTTCCGTCGCCATCGTTACCCTCCTCTACTGCCTCGTGGCCAGCTCCCTCTCCATGCTAGTCCCCTACGACGCGGTAATCTCCACCACTCCCTCCCTCCTCCAGTCCACCTAGAGAGAGAGATTAGAGAGAGAGAGAGTTAGAGAGTTAGAGAGTAAGAGAGAGGGGGGGGGGGGTTACTAGGTTCAAGACGCACGTTGGGTTTTAAATGGGCTAAACCAAAGCTGTGAAGTACAGCTTCGGCTGGCTGGCTGGCCCGCCGGCTCAATTATTTGGACAGAAAAAAAGGACTCCCTACTAGGACTATCGGGTTAGAGCCTTGATTTGGCGGCGGCCGGCAAGATCTTCTCCCCCGTTCAGAATATTTTTTTATACTAATTATGGTGTTTGACTTGTTGTGTGTCAGATCGATGAGGAGTCACCGTTCTCGGCAGCCTTTGAATCATCGGACGGCTGGCGGTGGGCCTCGAACGTCATCGGAGCCGGCGCTTGCTTCGGAATCCTCACGTCCCTGATGGTCGCCATGTTGGGTCAAGCGCGGTATCTCTGCGTCATCGGGCGGTCCAACGTCGTCCCTAGCTGGTTCGCCCAAGTCCACCCAGCTACCTTCACCCCAGTCAACGCCTCCGCCTTCCTCGGTATGTTCATATCCCCCCGAAGTCTCCCCCCTCCGACAGTCGAATTAACTGATCGATGGCCCAAAATCATCCCGGATCTTGCCTGTCTCTCACCGGGCCCCCCATGGGGGCCACAATCTAGTTAACTTTTCTCAGCGCTTAGAGCCATATATCTCTCATTTTGGCGTGTTTCTCGTGGTCCACCGACTCTCTCTCTCTCTCTCTCTCGCTCGATTTGTCTCTCTGTACAGCCTTATGCTGATCACGACTCGTGATTCGTCCGATGCAGGAGTTTTAACGGCGGCCATTGCCCTCTTCACGGACCTCAGCGTGCTCCTTAACCTGGTCTCCATCGGGACCCTCTTCGTGTTCTACATGGTGGCCAATGCCGTGGTGTACCGGCGGTACGTCACCGCCGGCACGACGAGCCCTCGACCGACAGCGGCCTTCCTCTCCACCTTCTCCTCGGTGGCTCTCCTCTTCACCCTCGTATGGCGATTCGCGTCCCCGGGCCGAGCCAAATCGGCCCTGCTCTGCGGCTGCGCCGCAGCGGCGCTGCTGGCGGTGCAGGTTTTCCAGTTCTCCGTCCCGCAGACGCGGAAACCTGAGTTCTGGGGGGTGCCACTGATGCCGTGGCTCCCCGCCCTCTCCATCTTCCTTAACGTCTTCCTTCTCGGCTCCCTCGACGGGCCCTCGTACCTCCGCTTCGGCTTCTTCTCAGCGCTCGCCATGGCGGTCTACGTCTTCTACAGCGTGCACGCCAGCTTTGACGCCGAGGAGAACGGCCGCCTGGCGGCGAAGGAAGGCGGCCAGCATCCCCACTCGCCGGCCGCTCCCGAAGATTGCGGCCTAAGGGTGTAGAAGAAAGAAAGAAAGAAAAAGAAAACGAGAAAAACCTAAATTGACGTATTCTCTGTAAGTTTCAATCAGGGAAGCTTTCACCGGCGGCAGAAGAAAAGAAAACATCCGAAACACGAATAATCCCTCAATAAAAGAGAGAGGTTGATGAGCTTGTGAATTCCTCCTCCTCATTAGTGGACTGGATTAAAATCCCGTCGCTAACTAAATCGTCTGGGTCTACTCCTCGGTGCTATCGACTCTTCGAACTATGGGCTCCACCCACCATCTTCTGTCTCCCCCAATCATGAGGCAGACGCCGACTGTGGTGCCGAGTCGCAGGCGAATAACTGTGGGTGGCGCCGCCCGGAAAAACGCCACCGTCTCGGACAAACGAACTGCGCGCGCCGCCGAGCGGGGCACCAAACCGCCGTCGGTGGGCTAGGCGGCGCCGCCTCCGCTGGCTTCCTCTCAAGGAAAATTCGCCCCCATGCAGTGTCGAGCGAAGGTATCGCATCCGCTCGATGTACTGCAGTGCTTTCTTCGACTTCATTATCGTGGGTCTGTACTTTCCGCATATATCCCTTTCAAAGCATCCTCATTCCCGATCTCCCCTCTCATTCTCTTCTCTATTTTTCTCTGCCGGCATGCTCAGGAGATGGATCCAAGCCACCTTTATTCCCCTTATCCGCTTTACAAACCACCGGAATGGCGTCTGGGGGAGTCGCCCCCGCAGAGGGCTCTGGTCCACATCGCTGGCGACCAGACCAGAAACAAGTGGCGCGTAGAGAACCTGAGCCTGTGGTCTGGGTTTCTATGCCTCATCCTCACCCTGCCCTCCCCATGTTATCTCTGTCTCTCTCCCCCCCCGCCCCCCTCCCCTGTCTCTCTCTACCTCTGTCTGTGTCTCCTCGAGGAAGCTTGGGTAACTACGACGGAGAAGGAACTGTTGTTGGACCGCGCTAAACGGGGTAATCAAAATGGGCCCATTAAATATCGTGTAATGGTCTTATACACATTATTCTGTCATAAATGGCCCATTAAAAGCCCCGTTCTGCTTCCCACATGGACTTTGTGCTCCTTGCCTTCTTCCTCGGGTTTGCCCTGGTTGGGTCTTGTTTCGCAGTTCGCCCATCATCTGTTCGACACATTAGAGGTTCCAAACCAAACCCCCCCCCCCTTTCCTTTTCCGTTGAGAATCTCGATTCTTTGCCCTCGTTGACTCCTTCTGGCTTCCCCGATGAAGCTGCGGGTCGTCGGCAGGAAGCTGTACGACTACGTGCGGTACGATCTCAAGGAAATCGCCTTCCCTTCCTCGCTGCCGGACCCCCCCCACATCCGCAAGCGGAAGAAGCTGACTTGGAAGGAGCGATACTATGTGTGCCTCCTGACTTTTTTATTCCATTCAACCATCATTTCTCGTCTGCATCGTTGATCATTCGTAGGTATGAGGTCTACGGAGTGGGGTGATCTTACCCTCCTTGTTGTAGGTTCTGAGGGAAGCGTCGAGGCTGTATGCTGCCAGCTGGGTTCGGGACATTGGCCCTGACCTTCGCCCTAACGACTACAAGCGGAAGGTAGGTGATGGCGAAAGGAAGCCCCGAGAAGAGAAGGGCACGACGACTGGCGGCGGAGAAACCTCCACCTTGGAGGACCTTGGTGAGCAGCTGGGGTACCTGTAGATGTTCTTATGACGTCGTTAATGTCGGTGTTCTGAAATGCGCCGTCGTTTTTCGGCAGCGGTGGCGGCAAGGGGCGGGTTGGAGACCTTGAGGCCGGCCCTGCAGCGGCTGTATATGATGCGGGCGTCGGCGTATAAGGATGCCCTTAAGAGCTTCATCCAGGGGTACCAGGAGGGGGTACAACAGGTCCGGGAGAAGAGGGCGGACACAGGGCCCCCGCAGCAGGGCGAGGCTTCCGGGAAGTCAACGGGGTCGCCGTCTTGAGGCGACTGGCGGCGCCGGGAAACCCGTGGACTTGTCTACAGGCGATCAGCTGGGGCAGCCGGAAGGCCTGTAACGTGGGGGTTTAGTTTTTCGCCTGTCGGGTTCGCGCCAAGTCCTTGCTTGAATGGCCCCTAGAATTCCTCTCTGCGTGTTAAGCTACCTGTTCAGCTAGTTGCTGAGATAAATGTACTCAGGGGAGAGAGTGAATACTGGTGTTCTGTTCACCCAGCTTCAGGAGAGAGAGAAAGTGGAGAGAATCCTATCAAGTGCTTGATGAAATGCTCATTATAATTTATCCATCTTGCACTCTAATAAGCTGGCTCCAATGATATATTTGCCGAGCAGCGAGGTAAATCAGTAGAGTGAATGAGCGAGAGAGAGAGCGTTATATTGAACGTTTTGGTGAAATGCTAAGAAAACCGGTAAATATTTGAGATATGGAGGGATTCATGAGGAAAAAGGGAAACTTTGATTATTACAGAGGGCGTGTTCATGAGGTCTTCATCCAAAACATGGGGTTGAATCTGTCGTGTCACTCGTTGAGACATTTGAAAACGACGTTTTTACCGAGGGCGTGTTCCTCACGGGCTATAAGACTCGATCGGGTGGGACGTGCCCGCCCGTGGGAACGCGGGCCGGCGGGGTTTCCCGGAAATCTGGGGATGAAGAGCGACCAACGGGGAGAAGAAGACGATGCGATCGGTGGCCCCCTGCGGTGGCGGCGTTGAGAGAGAAGATTAGCAGATCGGACTTTGTGCCGACTTGGATCCGGGCGACATGGCCTCCAGATCTCCCCCGCCGCCCGCACGGCCTCCCCCCCTCCGCTCTCTCTTTCTCTCCCACTCTACCTCTCTGTCTGTCTGACTCTCCATCTCTCTATCTCTATCTCTATCTCTCTCGTCACCTGCCGTCACTCTCGAAGGCGGCAGGGGAGGCAGGAGCTCTGAGAGGACATCTGGCAGCGCCGTCGCAAGACGCAGCTGCCAGATGAGGACGTTCACTCGTCACACACCTCCCCCTTGCCTCACCTTCACCCGACAATCTCTATCCATGGGCATATGCATATATACAGATATACATCAACATATTGATTCATCAACTTCTTCCATGAGTCTATATTAAGGTGGAAATCGATGAAATAATAGATACATAAGCCCTCTGAACGTCGGAATCCGTTCGGGTTTCACACCTCGGGATTGGCCTTCCGCGGCATGCAGCGTTCTGGCAGATGGATCGTCCTCCAGCACCCCCCCGAGGTTGGCTTCTACTGTTCGATGGGTCCGCAGCGCAGATTCACGCCGAACAGCCTCAGCATCCTCGAGCTGCCCTCTGCCGCCGGGGAAGGGAGACGGGGGTCTCCTTCTGTCAACGGGCACGGCGGAGACGGTGTAGCAGCAGGGTTGTACGTTTGGCCCAGCCGGGTCGCGACGTGGGCCTCCAGGTGGCCTCGCTTCCCCGCGCGGCGCTTCCAGCCAATGAAGATCCTGTCACCGGCGTAGCAGCGGCGCCGCTGGAAGAGCACGACGTCGCCGGCGTGGAGCCTCTTCTCGCGGATGAAGCGGCTCCATCCCTTGGTCAGCACGTAGCTCTGGCTGCTGGTCCAGTACGAGTAGCGGAACTGCCATAGTTTCCCCAACTCGTCCTCGAAGCTCAGAAGCAGCCCCGAGTCGCCGTCGAGAGGGAAGTACTTCTCGGCGTACTGCTTCGGTATCACCAGCCTGTTGAGCTTCCCCACATCGCTCGGAGTCAAGGGTTTCTCGAAGAGGAGCTCCCTCCCGCGGCCCCCCTCCGGCGTGGGCGGCGGCGGCGGCGGCGGCGGTTGTCTCAGCGAGAACTCACCCGCGTGTGGTTCCACCGGAAGCTTCCACGGCCAGGCCGCCGGCAGCTCGAATGGCAGGTGGTTGACGGACATGGCGGACCTCCCTCTCTGTGCGAGAAGAGGTTAGAGAGGTATGGCGACGGAGAGGGCGATGTAGGGTTTCAGAGGCTCCTACAAATAATGCCCACGCTCCAAATACCTGTCACGTCGATGGGAGACGGTACGCGTTTGTTAATATATTATGCAGTCCGTGCATGTAATGCACATATAGGTCACGGAGAATTGTGATCGAGACTTCAGGGAAATGCCACTCCCGAGTTACTTTAAATGGGTGGTTTTGGGGGGTGGGAGGTGGGGTCTTCTGTACGTTTATTACTGGAAATAGTTATTGATGGGTTCCAACTCAATGAATAAATAATCTGAAATATTTAATAGAAAGTCCGATCAAGCAATGCCAGATGATCTCTGAACGCCTCAACTTCTGAGCCCGTCCTCGCTTGAATCCATGACGGGTCTGGACAGCCAGTGAGATCCGCGGGTTTTATCGCCGTGTATCAATCACTAAGTTGACTCCCGACTTTATTAGAGAACTTTGGGTGACGTTGCATAATCGAGAGAGGCCAGGTATCACCATTCCACAGTCCCGTCGGCGGGGGGGTTTGACGATCGAGGAGGGATTAGATTGGCGATCCCCCATGCAGCCTCGGAGTTGCGCCGCCTTGTCTGTTCATTAGTTGACTTACTGAGACTGACGCCCAAACATGGGGGATTCCACAGGGAAGGGACGATGCCCATCCTTCTTCTTTTGGGTTACTATTTGTGCTCTCTCTTTCTCTCTTTTATATTTTAATGGAGAGGTGAATGAGCCCTTTCCCAACGAGGCGAGAGAGCATCTGCGTAGTGTTTCCATCCAAGCCGCTGTCGTCTTGCACCGTTCTTCATCGCCATCGCCTCCTTCTCTTTTGGTATTTACTTCACCTCTCTCACCACCGCCACCAACGGCCATCTTGTCATTGGCTCATTTCATCCAACGTCTTCTGGGTAGCGGAACATCGCTGAGGTGCTTTACGAGAGAGATAGACTGAAAGGTGTATACAATAAGGGCGTAAATCCAAGGGCCTCCGGGCCTTCTTGAATCGAGATCTAAAGCGATTTCGCGGTTTTGTTTTGTTAGGCGAGAGGACGAGGGCTGCGGGTGATCACGGAGGAGGAAGGGGAGAGGGGGAGTACGTGCATCATTGGAATCCCCCCCACCCAAAGGTCAAACCCCTGTCTGACATCTGCTTGACTGCCACCCATCTACCTCATTTCGGTGGTAAATCCAGTCTTCCAATCAGATATCATGGGGGGCCATCAGACGATAAGCGGAGCAGTCCCATGCATTCGTGGATCTCATTTCTTCCCACAAATCCAGGGCCATCCGCATCCTTGCGAGCATTGATATTATAGTTCGGCCATTCACCAAAGTTGCCTCCATTAATATCAATGATAAGTCTTGGATCGTGTGCTTCTTCTCCGGGTAAAGTGGATGGTTATCCTCCTCGGCCCATGTTTCCGAACACCATAGCTGAACAATCCATATATTTATGAGCACATGTAATATTTTTTGTCAATTTTCCAAAGTTTGTCTTCATTGATGTCGATATCTCTAGGGCCGCAGACACCCCCTCACCCACATCTGCCCTTAGGTTGGCAGGAAGCCGCGCGTCTTAAATACGTAGCACAGGCCTTCCATGCAGTAGGGCACTTCGTGAACAGTTCCAGCTGGGACATCAGACAAATTGCACCATAAATAGCAGCTTCATAGCTTGCTCTACCCATGGCTCTCTCCCCCCCTCCCAAGCCTGTCCCACACTGGAAGCCCCCGCGTTGACCGCTTCACCCCTCTTCTCTGATACACCGTCATCCATGCTCAGCCCGATTATGCCGTAACGCGCAGTATGCCGTTCTCGAGAGACTAGAACCGGCAGGCGCCTTGCCCAGAAGAAGAAGAAAGCAGGCGCTGTGGCCTCGAAAGCCCAAGCCTAGACCCATAGTCAGCACCTTGTTAGAGAGAGAACATACTCGGGGATTCTAGCACCTTATTAGAGAGAGAGAGAGAGAGAGAGAGAGAGAGAGAGGGGCAAGGTAATGATTTACCAGGGGATTACTCTGGAGAAAAGCTCGAATATATTTTATAAAAAAGACATATATATTTTAATGGGTACCGCCGAGTCTTATTAGGGAAGACAGCCAGGCTCAAGTCAAGTAAATCTGCTTTCTATGACCGAGTTTTTTTAGTAAAAAATAATGTATTTTTGGAAATTAGCACCTTCTCCCGGTATCCCGTGTGGATGTCCAGCAGGACAGCCAACGTGGCACGGCCACGGCCACGTCGAGGTTAATCAATACGCCTGAGGGAGGTATTGATTAGCCCCTGATGCGACCCTGTTCTGGGCTTTTTTTTGACAGCCCAGGCTCGGGCCGCTTCTCTCGAAGAGGCCCAATTACGTATTACTGGGCTACGTTCACGCCTTGGAACTTGGGCCTACCCCCCGAAGTGGCATGTAGGCCCAGTAAAAGAGTAGCCTGCTGAGGCCCATGATTCGCAATGACTATAAATACTTCCATTCCACGCATCGTCTCCTCTTCGAGGTGCCGGCGGGAGTCCTAACCCTAAATCTACAGGCGAGCTAGGGAGCAGGAAGGCAGGGGGAGGGAGACCGGAAGAAGATGGGTCGTGTGCGCACGAAGACGGTGAAGAAGTCGTCGCGGCAGGTGATCGAGAGGTACTACTCGCGGATGACCCTTGACTTCCACACCAACAAGAAGATCCTGGAGGAGGTCGCCATCATTCCCTCCAAGCGGCTCCGCAACAAGATCGCCGGGTTCTCCACCCACTTGATGAAGCGCATCCAGCGCGGGCCGGTGCGGGGCATCTCTCTCAAGCTGCAGGAGGAGGAGCGCGAGCGCCGCATGGACTTCGTGCCCGATGTGTCCGCCATCAAGACGGAGGGGATCGAGGTTGACAAGGAGACTATCGAGATGCTCGCTGCGCTGGGGATGGGAGACCTTCCGGGCGTCGTCAAGCAGGTGGAGTCGTCTCAGGGCCCGTTCGGTGGCTACGGTGGCCGCGGCGGGCCTGCTGGCCGCGGTAGGTACTAGGGAAATTTTGGCCTGGTAGAGTAGGTCTCCCCCCCCGGAGGTAGGTGCTGTCCAATTCCATGAAATTTCCATTCTCATGGTCACTTTCGAGGACATTTTCTCTTTGCATGTAAATCTTCCCCAGCACATTTGGAAATTTATCTCCTCATCTCGTGTAATTCGATCTCCTACCGTCTTTTCCGACACTTTAGCCGATTCTTTCAAGTATTATTATTGGATGCTGTACGGTGCTGCCTCTCTAGCATTATTGGATGCTGTACGGTTCTGTCATTCTTCTAGTCGTCGCATTCCGATGATCCCGAAACTTTTGGTTTGATGAACTCGTGTGTGGATTGTGGAATATCTTCTTCGTCGTAGACACAGTACGAATCATCATTCTATTGATACTGGCGACGTTTGAATTCCTAGTAAATACAGCTTGCAGATAGTTCCGTCAGCTTAGAATTCTTTCCCATACCATTCCGACTGCATGTTGAGGTAGAAGTAAAATGCGTAGATCAGGAAATCTATGTTGTTCCATCAGTTTTTTTGCTTTCGGGATGTAGATTCCCAACCCACAAACAAGAGATGTCAAAAGTTCTTACTGACCATCGTCTTGAACATGATGAAGAACGCCAATCAGGGACCCATAAACATGGTTTTGTCTTAACTCTTCAAAAATTCTTAAGACCCAGGAGATTCTCCTTGTCTGACCATACGTTGGGAAGCGCCAGTTTCTCGCTGCTAGAAGATGTTAACATCCTAGGAAGGGTCAGTTGCGTTGCCGATCCTAAGTGATGGCCTGGACCGGTGATTTTATGAGGCGCAGTTAGTGATTAGTGAGCATAACATGCCTGTGATGTTTGGGAATGTCTATTGGGGTAAAAACTTGATCTCGATTACAAGAATCCCTTTTCCATCAAGAGATCCTCTGCTCGTAGCTTCTTCACCATTTTCTCAGGTAAAAATTTTTAGGCTCAGCCCCTCTCAGATTTTAGAGCCTAGAAGCTGACAACTGATTGAAGAGAAGAAGTGATGCCATTCGAAATCACAATACCAACGGAACCTAACCTAGCCAAGTCTCCTGGGTTCTCATGAGAACAGCAACAGAAATTCCCGAAATGACTCCATTTTCAGCAGGGCTTCATGCTACCTCTCCCTCGACAGACAATCTCCCGATTTCTCATAATCTGATAGAAGCCCATGCCCAGACGCGTCCTGTCCTCTTTACCCACAGAAGTAAAGAACCATACAAACTTGAGAGAAGTACGGGTCGACTGCCTTTAGACACTTCGAAGGGATGAGCGGTAACACAACCTTGAAGTTAGAAACAAAAGACAGCTAGTTCATATTTGCTGCTGAGACTGACTGATGCCCATGTAGACTGCCGACAGTAATCATTCCTGCTTGTGGCCGAAGGAAGGTGCTAGAATTCTGGAACCATATTTCCCTATCTCTTGAAGCCATCCGATGAGTGAATGCTCCATGACCTCCTCCTCCACGCTGGGTAGGGTTCTTTAGGGGTTTGGCCTGACGTGAATAGTATAAGAGACCCATCGTCATCGTCATATGGAAGTAATCAAGGGACCCGGCAAGCTTTAGTAATCTAAATCTCCAGCCGTTCCATGATCATGGGAAGTGATATTCTTTTTCATGTTATTTGAGTTTATTATATATGTATATATATTTATTTTTGGTTCTAATATCTGGAAAACGACCTATTTACCCAGACCTATGTGCACTGATATTTAATCCATGTTTATTTTCGATTTAATGAAGAAAAATAATTTGACTAATATAATGGCTTTCTTCCCAGAAGAAAAGCATCTTTTTTAAGCAGAAGGGTAATAAATATTCCAAGCAGATCCGCCCCGTTACTAGTAGGATTGGCTGGTTTACGTAGAATTACGTATTAAATTGAAGTAAATAGAGGTGTTGATAAATACCGCGGACCAATAACCACGCAAGTCCCAAGCTAAGAACCAGACGTATTGAACAGCGTTGAGAACCTAAAAGTATCAAGGTATGTATAACGTGAGCCAACTTCAGTGGAATCTTTGTCGACAAAAGCTAACAGGATGGGGTTCTTAGATTCTCATCTCATCGAGAAAGTCAACGGGAAGTCCTATTCAACTTGTATGCCACCACCATGAACTTAAAAGTCTCGAGGTATGAATAACGTGATTCATTTCAAGCAAGAGAAAACCCACTCCAGTGGAATCTTTGTCGGCAAAAGATAACAAGCTGGGGTTCTTAGATTCTCATCTCATCGAGCAAACTAAGAAAGTCAACAGGAAGGGACAGAATACCGTTACCCTTCATTCAGTCGCTGGAGCCAGCCAGCCCGACCAGTTTAAGCATGTTGCGGTCCTCCTTGAACCTCTCCAAGATTGTGCCCTTTGCCGGTTCGGGATTCTCGCCGAGGGCTCCTCCGGGCACAATCCCCCAACACTCAATCACGTCGGGCAGGATCAGAGAGGCCTTGGAGAGGCAGGGGCTGTCGAAGGTGGAGCAGGGGAAGGTGTGACCCTGGTCAAAACTCGAGGAGAGGAAGAGCCCGAAGTGGTTCGCGCGCCCTCCGAACCCAACGCCGTTGGGGATTCCGTCCGAGCTGAAGTTCACAGCACACTGCGGAATGCGTAATATAGAGATGAGGGCTAGATTTGAATGAATACATATGTTGTTGTAAATCTCAGGCTGATTGTTTAATGGGCGAGAATGAATGATATTGGGATCACAGAAATGAGTGTTCTTGTTGGATAATCTTCATTCATACTCTGACTCGGCTCTTATCAACCAAGTTGGAAAAAGAAAGACAAAACGTTCCGATTCATGGGATGTGAGGTCTACAAATATGTTATTCTAAGTTATAAGTTATTATAACACCCATAAATATTCAAGTTAGATAATATTTACATGCGACTCAAACTACTGTCACCAAGATGAAAGGAGGAAAAGTATAATGTTCCGAATTCAGAAATCCGACTCCATTATCGACATACAGGAATAATTTTTAAGAAAAATCTTGTTACTATGTAATATTCAAATGACACAGATAAATACACGTCAGAGAACCCAGTTTTAAAGAAAAGTTGAAGTAAACCAAGTAAAAAGTAATCTCTTTTACGGGATGTAGCTGGGTGAGGCATAGGTTTCATTCAATAAATAAATAGACAGATGTAGGTAATTGTGTAGCATGAGTTAATTACTGAACTCGGAACCTTCCATACCCAGATGATTACTGGAAAAATCTGAAATGACAGCCGCCAGGATCAGTAACCAAGAGCCCATTTAGAGGATTTAATAAGATAGACAAAAGGAAGATCATGCGATATATTAACAAATATTCAATGAGAAACTTACCCATTGCAGGTTAGCATTTGCCCCGGTGGGCCTGAATATTGATGCCTTTGGAAAGAGCTGAAAGAGGAAGGACTTCATGTCTCCATAGAAGCTGCTGTGCTTCTCCCATGGCTGAGAGCCGTAGCCTCCGTATATGTAACCTTCTTTGTCTCTGATTACTAGGATAGTTGGGCCGCCAGCATCCCTGCAGAAGGAAGAGCACAATGGAGTGTCAGATTTCTTGCCACAGAAACGAAGTGGACACATTTTACCTCTCCAATTTCACTTTTAAATAAATCGAATTATGCAATCGAGCAATCCAATTGTTCACAACAAAATCTGTTTTTGCATTCTGAGCACGTTCAATCTAATTGACGTGGGCAAGGGAGAGAAGATTAATCACTGCCAGGCCCAGGAGACCTTGATGCCAAGGGCGCTCAACCTCCAGGAAGAATGCCAACAGTGGAACCCAGTTACATTCATCTTCGTGGAGGTCAACGTTACAAGGCTCTTCAAAATCTCGAGGCAACAACGGGCGCAGAACAATGATTTGAGAACTCTGGGCACTTACGATAAACTGCCCAAAAAGGTGTTGAAACTCTGGCCATTGAGAGCGCTGTGATACAGGAGCCTCCATTCCTCCAGCTCATCCGGGCTGAGAAGACCACCAACATGCCAGGCATACTCCCTGGTCATAAGAAGCATGTCCGACCTTAAAGTTTTCGGATATTGCAGTCTAGGAACTTGACGGCCCACCCCACCTAAATGATGGACGAGGAAGAAAATTAGAGTGCCATAAAAAAAATAAATCGAAAGAGTTAAGTTTAAACAGGAAATACAAAAATTGTTATTAACAAGAGTCAAACAGACCGAGAAGTCAACCGAGGAGTCAACCCAGAATCTATATAGCTGGGTGGCAAAACGATTACATAAATCGTGATACATCTTTTTCCTTTTTAAGGACTCAGTTACTAAGAATACCTGGTTCAGAAGGCGTCAGAAGGCCTCGAAGAAATTTCCTCACACATGGCACGGCGTTACACCAAACCCTGAAGTCTGTGGCAGACATGACATTTTCATTTGAATCTCCAAGTCTTTCCGAAAAAGAGGCAGCGTTGACAAATATACTAACGAAGTCCTGATGTGGGCTCAAACCATGCTCAGTGTTCTTCGTAGAAAAGACAGTATCCTGTATTGATTTTAAAACAGCTTCTAGATCAGACCTGGGATGAAAATTTAGTAAGTCTAGGCAACCCTTCAAAATATCTGCCAAATAAGATCACGCTTTCAACATTGGGATAAACCTTATGATCACACCCATAAAATCTGCATGATGAATCTTGATCAGCCAATTTTGACTAAGCTTTTTATACATACCAGATGCTCCAACGAGCGATCAAGACTATTTTGATCGATTTCATAATTGATTGAGTTTCGTAGGTGATATAGATGGGAATGTGCAGCTACTATTTTTTGGGTCATTCCCAAGTCGGCCGAGATAGAACGAAAAAAGGAAGCGTGCGAATCTTCCATGTGTTCTTCGCATGTCTATGCAGTTTCTTTTTGTTTCAAGGATTTTTTTCTTAATCAATTTGTCCCGAAATTTCTGATTTTTTCTTCATAAAATCATCAAAAGATCCTCTTAATACTTGGGGATGCGTGTTTTCTTCTTCTTCTTCTTTATCAGTTAAGTTTGATTCTTGGCACACGGCGTCTCATTTTCTCTCACTGCAGCAGCATGCTTTTAAGAAATGCTTACTCTGAGGAGGAAGAAAAGAATATGAACTGTTATGAAACTAGTTAAGGAATATTAAAGAATAATATATGAATGTTATAATCCCATAACCCACAGAGGAAGAAGTCAACATATAAAAGCAAAGACCATTACTATTCTACGGGGTTCAACAAAGTTTTGACTTAAAGTAGCTCGAGAGATGATAATCACCACTTCCGAATACAGAAAGAAGACAAAGGTCAGAGCTACCTTCTCAGGAGGCCATCTCCAGAAACATCGCAGAGCTGGTAGATGAACTCCTCAATTTCCTGCGGAGTTCCCTTCTCATACACGGCCTGCGTGATGGAAACGCAGGAAAACAGGAGAAAATGAGCATTAACATCCATAAGAAGCAAGGCATCTCGTGATCAATGTTGGCTGACTTAATATCAAGTCGGTCATCGCCTAGGGCAGATGCCCACGAGAACGTCAGCTCTCTAAATGAATGAAGAACACGAATGAGGGGAGAAATGGCTACGGTTTTCAGTCCCAGCGAACAATTAAATCAATCTAGTCTCTCACAGGCGCGTATTCCTCACATCTTTTGGTCTATGAAATCAGCGGAATGGTCAGTGGAAGCAGAGATCAGCAGGAGGGAGGGAAAAGGGAAAGGAGGTTGGAGAAGGGCGGTAGACATGCTTTGGCGACGACCAGATCCTCGAAAGTGAGCATGCCGTCTCCTCGGCGCTGAGTTACCAAGTTGAACATCCTCTCGCACAGTGCGCCATTGATTCCGTAGTATGCCTACGGGGAGAATCGGCTCAGTCCAGAAAAATTGTGGGAAGATACAATTCACATATTCCAAGGGCAGAGAAAGATTGAGAAGGGGGAAGAGATGTAGATAGATAGATAGATAGATAGATAGAGATAGAGAGAGGGAGAGAACCTGGAAGACAGAGGGAGAAACGAACCGGGAGTCGCTCTGCGACTGGGCGGAGAGTGACACAAAGAGCGCTCGGAGCTCGTCAAGTTCCTGCTTAGTAAAAGCCCTACAAACAAAGCTTCCACCGTTGGACCTTTCCCCATGTGAATCAGATTTAGAGAGAGAGAGAGAGAGAGTCACCTGCTCGCCAGGACGAAGAGGGGATCGGCGGGCGGCGATTGCGAGTTCCCCATGGCCCCCCTTTTTCTTCTCGTCTCGGGCTTGGGCGAGAGGGAGAGAGAGAGAGAGAGTCACCTGCTCGCCAGGGCGAAGCGGGGATCGGTGGGCAGCGATTGCGAGTTCCCCATGCCCCCTTCTCTTCTCGTCTGGGACTTGGGCGAAAACTCTCGTGGGTGGAGACCGCCTAGGGTCTTGTTTAGGAGCCACGTTGGCCCCTACCATCAGCCACGTGGTCAATATGTGGCAGGAGCGACCACCTTCTCCTGGCTGCCCTCCTCTGCAAGCCAATGTCAAAATAAAACTGACACACAGCCCAAGATGAGAGTTTTCACTCACCAGTTGCCCTCGCAATTCCGTCCGGAGAGAGAGAGAGAAAAGGATAAAGAGAGGGATAGAGAGAGGTAGAGAGGGAGATAGAGAGAGGTGGAGAGAGAGTGAGAGAGAGGGAGAGGAAGAGGGGTGGGTGGGTGGGCGGGTGTGCAGCTTTCTTGACCAACGGGTGAAGTGCTGATGAACTGAGTGAAGGGATTGAGGGATTGGCGTTGCTGGTTTGACCTGGTTCGAGCGTGGATCGAAGGCCGTCATCTGCTGGAGCGGGCAGCATGTGAGTTTCCTCGTCGTTTCCGTTGAGATCCCCTAATATTTTCCAATCATGAAGGGGGAATAGGGTTCTTAACTGTCTCAGAACTTTTCCAATGGGGAAACTAGGGTTAGGGGATTGGGCACATTCTCTGGTGGGGGCCTATCCCGCCTCCCCATATCATCCATACATTTGTAGCAATTCGCCTCCAACAGTAAATCAAACAGCTCGTACGAGTACATATTCCTGATTCTGGAGCATCCTCCTGTTTTCCCCCAATTTTATTGCAATCTGGGTTACGTCCGAACCTCATTGAAGCGAGGATTCACCGCCCCCGCACCACCTCGGCTCGAGTTCATCAGAGGGTCAGGGGTTCTTTTTCTTCGATGGATGGGGGAAGCAGCCTTCCACGAAAAGTTGATGCATCTTCGACGTTATTTCCGCCATTTTCTTTCTCTCCGTCTCCTCTCGTCCCCCCAACTCGTCTCATATCCTATGCTTCCGCAATTTATGCAGAATGAAAGTCTGCGCCTGATATGTTACGATGGGTTCTTGGACAGCGCCGCATCCGGAATCGGAGGAACCAGGGATTTGATCTCTGCGTCTGCTTGTGAGTACCAAAGACTCTAATCCCCATCTCCGGATGCGAGGAACTTCTCTTCAACTGCCGCTTCTTCTCCAGTCGAAATGTGATGATCTTCTCTTTAGAGTCCTGGAAAACCTTCGATTCTGACCATTTTTACCTCTTTTTTTTTCTCCTAGATTCTGTGAGGGCTAGCTGCTCGCAGTAATGTCGAGGCCGGTGGTGCTCGTCTTTCTCCTGTTGACTTTCATAGTCACATCGCAGTTCGAGTGGAGGCGCCAGCTCATGGAGGAGCTGGACCCAGGCCTCGGTGCTGCAGAGAAGCAGCAGCACCCCGTGAAGGACGAGGAGGCTGCCAGAGAAAAAGTAAGTCCTCTCGAGAATCCCCACCCACCCTCTTCTATTACAGAATCCTTTCTGCCGTTCTGAATGATGCTACCCATCTCCTGGTTTCTATTGCGGAAGGCTTTTCATCAATCCTAGTTTCAAAGTTCAGAAGTGCCGGGTGTTGATGTCGGCCTTAGGCAGGGATGATCATAACTTCACCTACCCGTTTGACCCCGCTGCCGTTGACTTCCAAAAAACATGGGCGTTGAACTTGTCTGATAGGTCTCATCCACTGGGCAGATCTTAGAAGTAGCCCAAGGTCTTCCAGTGATGCATGCTGCCCTTGGCGGAGAGAGGAGGGGGGGATGGGATTTCACTAAGGTTATAGTCAGCCCACTCTTGTTCTTCATCTGGGCTCTCCATCTCCCAATCTGGATCGTTCGGTGCAGTCTGGCAGTTGCTGTTTTCTGCCGAACAGAGGTCACATATGTAGGCAACCCGATCCACTGTAGATTTGTCCCGGGAGGTGGGAGTCCCTCGTATTACTCTGGTCGACGGCCACTCCCAGCACAATATGGATGGGTTCTTCTTCTTCTTCTTCTTCTAAATTAGAGATCGAGGCTGACATCTGAGTCAGAAGTCATCTCCATGCAGTGATTCAGAACATGAGTGCCTTCCTCTGCTTCTTTCAGATAATCTTGCTGCAGGAGAAGAGCATCCAACGCCTCACACTGCTCGCTCAGAGCCTTCGACAGCAGCTTCTGCAATGCCGAGCCGCCAACGGAAGCGGCCCCGACGCTGCCGCCGGTGATCCGCTGGCGAAAAGGCCTTCCCAGATCGAAGAAGATGGCGTTCCTCAAGAGATCCTCTAGTGTCGGCAGCACGCCCAAGGCCGTTGACCTGCCTGTTCTGCGTTTGAGCTCGCCTTTATATTAATGGGAGCAATTTGGATGGTATCGGTTTGTGGGCCGCCCTCTTCTCTGCAGCTGAGCCCTTTGTTAGCCAACGGCCCACAGGGGATAGTGACATTGGGCCCTAAGCTCCTCTACCCGAGGACCTTGCCAGTCCCCATCTCGTCTTCTGTAGGAACAGAGCGATGGAAGTTTCCTTGGAAGCTCGCAGGAATCAGAAACGGCGCCGCCGGCTTTGACCTGATAAGGAGAGAGATGGCCGAGGTCAAGCCAGTGAGCGTCGGTTTACGCGGATACCAGAGACTCGGTCTCTCTCTCTCCCGTTTGGCGGCGGGCCTCGGGTTTGGTGAATATTAAACATAACGGACGCACGAGAAGACGGGCGTTGACCATGAAACTTTCCGTTTCCCAAGTACTTGTACGCTCCTCTTCGGCCAACTCAAAGTCTCCCTCTCTTCTCTCTCCTGGTCTCTCTCGTTGTCGGTCACTCTGGCGGCATATCCTTGTTTTCAATTATTCCTGGACTGGTAAATATACATGTTTCTCAAATTAAATGCAAAAAAAAGGAGAATTTCGTAAATAAATTAAATAAACGTTTTAAATATAACATTTTTTTTTGCAAGGTGATCAAAAGCCTAAACTTCGTTGTGAGGTTACAAAACCCTTAAAATCTGGGTTTTTATGATTCGCTCACACTCATAGCATAGCTCAATAATTTTTACAGAAAAACCCAGAAGAAAATTGAAATCTTGAGACAAAAATACGTGGTCATGCATTGGGAAAATGATGAAAATAATAATGGTGTAACTGTCCTCTTTTCTTTTCTTTTTGGCGTGGAAAATGATGCCCGTAAAATATCTTTAGGTCAATTTAGAAGACCAGGGACTTTCTCTTAAAAAATTGAAGGCTGCAGGGTATATATATTCTTCTGTCAGTATCCATGATATCCTGTGTAGTAATACCGGGGATTGCGCGGTAGACCAGCTGGCAAGCAGCACGGGGCCGGAACACGTTTTCCTTTGGGCCCACTAAGCGTGGATAATGTTGACCCGTTCCATGATCGGAGCCAGCGGCTGAGTCAGCGCGTCCATCCCGGGTCGTAGGGAGACTGCGCTCGCCGTCCTCCTAAGTGAGCCGCCGACGAGTAACTGCCCCGCACCGACGCGTTTTTCACTACACACGTGGAGAACGCCGGTCGGCGCGGCACTCGCGTAGCACGTGGAATCCGAACTGTACCTGACGGCGCAGCCGCCAGAGTAAGATGGCGGCGCCACAAGAACTGGTCAAGGTACGCCTCCCCGCGACAAGTCCTGAAATGGCGAGTCCACTGCCCGATTGGCCGTGCCATGTCACTGCGTGGTCGCCCTCGGAGCGGAGCGGAGCCGAGCTGAGCCGGGTCAGCCCCGGCGCCGCCTCCTCGAAGGCGACGTTTTCCCGACGGGCCGAGCCGGAGGAGGAAGCCGGAGAGCCGCCCATGGGAAGGCGCAAGCCTGCCGTCTCTTCCACGCTGACAACTCTTCCCCTTCATTTTCCCCTCCGGCGGGGGGCCAGCGGTCCTGTATAAAGCCCCGCCTGCGGCCAGAGCACATTCTCACCACAGAACCCTAGAAAATTCTCGCCGGAGAAGACGACGACAACGACGACACCCAGCAGCAGCAACACCACCACCGCCACCAAGACGAGGAAGACCGCGGCTAGCGATGCCCGAATACTACGCGAAGAAGCCCTCCGCCGGTCATGAGCAGGTCCGGGTGGTGCCCCCCCGGCACAGGCACAGGCAGCGGCGGCAGGCGGCGCCGGCGCCGGGGAAGAAAGGCGGCGGCGTGCAGATCCGGTCGGTCTGGGCTTGGAATCTGGAATCAGAGTTCAAGCTGATCGAGAGCCTGATCCGGCGGTACCCCTACGTGGCCATGGACACGGAGTTCCCCGGAGTGGTTTACCAGCCGCCGGTGAACCCCTTCCTGGCGACGCCGGAGGAGCGGTACCGCTGCCTCAAGGCCAACGTCGACGCCCTGAAGCTGATCCAGGTGGGGCTCACCCTCTCCGACGCCGGCGGGAACTTGCCGGACCTGGGACTCGGCGGCGGCAGCGGGTTCATCTGGGAGTTCAACTTCCGGGACTTCGACCCTGCTAGGGATGACCACGCGCATGAGTCCATCGAACTGCTACGGCGGAACGGCATCGACTTCGAGCGGAACCGCCGGAACGGCGCGGACAGCTCGAGGTTCGCGGAGCTGCTGCTTGGGTCGGGGCTGCTCCACGCCGGCGGCGCCGTCAGCTGGGTGACCTTCCACAGCGCCTACGACTTCGCGTACCTAATCAAGGTGCTCACGGCGGCGCCGCTGCCGGAGCGGCTGGGGGAGTTCCTCGCGCTCCACCGGCGGTTCTTCGGGCGGCGGGTGTTCGACGTGAAGCACATGGCGCGGTTCTGCGACCGCCTCTATGGCGGGCTCGAGAGGGTGGCCGGAGAGTTGCAGGTGGAGCGGGCGGTGGGAAAGTGCCACCAGGCCGGCTCCGACAGCCTCCTCACCTGGCACGCGTTCCTACGCCTGCGCGAGCGCTTCTTCCTCCTCGACGGCGGCGAAAGGCTCGCCGGCGTGCTGTACGGCCTCGAAGTCTGCTGATCAAAAAGAAATAAAACAAATTCATTATTATTCTTTTACTACCCCTCTTCGCCTCGCCTCCTCTTTCATTTTTCATCTCCTTCCACAGGAAGAGCCATGGCTAGGCCAGACGGATGGGCATCGACCATCACAGCAGAGAATTCATCATCCGAGGTTGACTTTTTTTATAGGGTCGCAGGAGATTCATCATCGCCGCTGACCTCTCCCCCCCTTCTTCGTAGCTTGAAGAAGGTCAAAGATTGAGGATGCTGGAAAATATTCCTTCCCAGAAGCTCCTAGATTACAAAAAAAACACGGGAGATTCGGAAGTGATAGCGGGATTTGGAGTTCCTATTCTCCAAGGATTCTGGACCAGTCAGCAGGGAAAGGAGGGTTTGCCGGAGATTTATCATCCCCGCTGACCTCCCCCCCGCTCTTCTTCGTAGCTTGAAGCAGGTCAAAGATTGAGGATGCTGGAAAATATTCCTTCCCAGAGGCTCCTAGATTACGAAAACAACACGGGAGATTCGGAAGTGATGGCGGGATTTGGAGTTCCTATTCTCCAAGGATTCTGGATCAATCAGCAGAAGATCTTCGTTAAATCCAAAATCTTCACATTTGTCCCCACAAATGCCGATCAATTCATCAGCGCTGCCCCCCTACATTAAAGGTATCCAACGACTGCGTCTCCTCCAAAATATCTACGTCGCCTGATTCTTTGTAAAGAACCTCAGAATTATCGATCAAAATCTAAACAGGTTTAACTCCATGAGATCATTGTGACCAACAGATTATTTCCAAAAAGACGACATAAAGACGACATATCTTTTTCTATCAAGGCAAAAAATTATTCAGCAATCAAAGGAATCTACGCATTCTACTACGAATGAAACACCAGACTGAAAGCACAAAAGTGAAGCAGGATGAACCTCAAAGGAAAGAAGAGGAACAAAAGTATGACTCCCGCCGCAAGATTATAGCCACATTCTGCTATTCTCATAATGATTATCAATTATATCACCTAAACACGCCTAGTGCAGTCCGACATCAATCCATTAATTTGCAATTTCCTCTTTTTCGACTGCGTAGATTCATCTTTCAGATGCCTCGAATGATATTCACGACACATCAGTCTTAACAATGCCTGGAAATGGGAAGTTTTAGTGTACCATCAGTCAGAAATTCGGAAAGATTAGACGATTTGCCGACACCAATTCGAATGGATAAGCCTTTTGTACTGAATGGAGTACGAAATCCCAACCACAATTTAGCTTCCGAGCTTGACTTTGAATTTTTCACGCTGCTTTAGTCCAAAATATCCCAAAAGTCTGACAGCGAGTGAAGAACCATCAGCAGGTACCAGCATTCAGAAGTAAACTAAAAACCAGGTCATCTCCGGATTGCTTCATCTGTATGTTTCCCCAATGTCGCGTAGAACATAAGTATTCGACAATCAGGTGCATCAAGTTTTCCCGTAATAAACGCCCGTCTATCATTTTCTAGGGTAGGTTGTTGAGGGGACTTCGAAGCAATCTATCTTCACATCAACGTGGAATCCAAACCACTCTACTTCGCTGGAAACACCGATTCAAAAGAGCAACATTCGAGAGAGATAATCGATCCATGACCTGTTCACACAGGGAAGGATACCAACCATTTGCTAGATTTTCTAACGCCGAATGAGGGATAATTGAGTGAGTAAAGATTATACACTGTAGAAAGAGGAGGCGACGAGGACAATACGACCCGGGGTGGGGGGAGCACTTCTCGAACGACTGCTCTATGATGAATGAGGAACAGGGAAGAACAACTTGCCTGAGAGATTTGGAGATGGGGATGGACATGTCGAAACAGAAGCCCTTCCGACGCGAGAATCTCTCTCTCTCTCTCTCTCTCTTCTGCAACCGATCGGCTTGGAGGGAGACGTCGGTTACAGTAGTGGTTGTAAGGCAGGGCGTTATCGGCTCCCCGGAATTATTTTTGGGCCGAGTGTTAGAATCGGGCTTTAGAAAGTGACCTGATGTTTTTGGGCGGCCCAAAAGTGAGACGACTTGACCCAGTAAAAAGGGATCCCCTGAAGAACCGCACGGAATCCAGTTTTCCAAATCTCCCTGTTTGGAGGTGACGGATCAAGGGAAACACGATTCTATTGAGACGTGACTGGGGTAACGGTCACCAGTGGCCGGTTCGGGGTTGCACCGGCAACGGCATTCCGGGTCGGCTCGGGTCGGGACCCACTCCTGTATTTACTGCCCGGCAGCGAGGGGCCCGTGGTTTTCAGCGAAGAAGCGGCGGTGTTAATTCCTGGGCCTCCTCACGGGAGCTCTCTTAATTATCTGTATTTAATATATAAGAAAATTAACCGAAACCAGGGAAATCGGATAATTCAGTACCCAGCGTCTCCCTCAATCATGGGCGTGACCGTTGCCCCGAGGAAGAAGAGAGAGGAAGACTGTACAGTGTAGAGAGAGAGAGAGAGGAGAGAGTGTGTGTGCATGTACAGAGAGGAGGCCAAAGACGTCACCCTCGAATTTTCTGTAGTGGAGCACTATTCCCCGGGTGTATTGAATGGCATTGAAGACCTTCAACCTGTAATAAATGGCCACATGAGCCTGCCCATAAAGAACTCTTCCATTAATGTTCCTCCGGAGCTCCCACACACGCCGCGAGCCCTCCCTGATCTCTTCCCCTCTGCAACAAAGCTGTCACTTTAATCGGAGAGATAGAGAGAGAGTGAGTGAGGGAGGGAGAGAAAGTGAGAGAGATGGGTGGTAGGAAGATGGGGATCCAGTATCTGTTGGGGAAGACATGGTGGGCTTCTCCTCCTTCATCGTACTATTCTTCTCCGTGGCCGTGGGCTTCCTGCAGGCACCCGAGAACGCTGTCCTTCCGAGTCTGCGGCGGCACGGAGGAGATCTGCGAGGCGGTGGTGTCGAGGGAGTCCTGGTTTGGCGACTCGTCGGAGGTTCTCGACTCGGACGGTGAGTTCTCCGCCGCTGCGGCGGCGGGGGTGGCGGGGGCGGCGGCGGAGGAGGCGGTGATCCGGGCGCTGCAGTCGGAGCCCGCCGAGCGCCGCCTCTTCTTCGAGCCCGGCGAGGGGAGCTCCATCTTGGAGGGCCTCGGTCAACGAGGGCTCCCCTTCGAGGAGAGCGTGGCGATGGCCGTTGACTCCGAAGATCCCTACTCGGACTTCCGGGTGTCCATGGAGGAGATGGTGGCGGCGCACGGGCAGAGGAGGGACTGGGCCTGGCTGGAGGAGCTCCTCGAGTGGTACCTCCAGGTCAACGGGAAGACCACCCATCGCTTCATTGTTGGGGCCTTCGTTGACCTCTTGCTGGACCTCTCCTACCCCTCCTCTGCCTCCTCAGTCTCCTCCTCCACCACCTCCTCCTCCTCTTCCCCTTCTCGTTCCATTTCTTTCGACGTTGACGAGGAGGAGGATGCTTACGATCAGCAGGAGGAGACGACGAGTCTCCACCGTTGAGGGCGAAGCCCTCGATTGTTTTGGGCCATATCTCAGCCGTCGATGTCTCTGTATCATACCAGCCGACAAATCATGGCCGCCCACTCAGTTCTGGATCTCTCTCTCGCTCTCTCTCTCTCTCCAGACTTCTCTGTCTTCTGCACTTGAATCATGTGGCAGGTGGTCCGATCATGGCTGTGAGGAGCGGGAATCCGATTTCTTTAAGGGGGTTCGGCCCGCGTGGGAGGAATTCGAGGCACGTGCCGTCTGCTGGCACTTGGATTCGCTCTCCTCCGGTAACGCCGATTCGACAGGGGCAGACAATGACGTGGCCGTCAACTCGGCACGTGGGCCCGACATGCCGAAAAAAAGAGTACATGGCGAAGCCTCTACGCCTCATTCGTCTCGACTGCACGCCACGTAAAGCGGCCGCATTAGAGATAGAGAGAGAGAGGACTGAGTCTAGGCGCTGCGAATCGGAGATGACTTGGTTACCGGGGGGCCGTCAGATGAACTCTGGAAGGTGAGGTGAGGTGAGGTGATGGACGGTGGGGATGTCGAGATGGGAATTTACAAAAAGCAATGCGACGGCCCGCTGGAAGGCCTTTATTAGGGGATGACGGCCCAAACTGTGTGGGTTGTCGGCCCATGTAGACGTCGTGGGAACGGGTTATGTCCAGTCACGATGATTATGTCTATTAATATTCTCTTTTTTCCGAGTCAAAAAAAGGTTGATTTAGTCTATCGTCGACAGCAGGATTCGAACCTGCGCGGGAGATCCCAACTGATTTCGAGTCAGTCTCCTTAACCACTCGGACATATCGACGGACTTAATAATAAGTTTTCATAAATTTAATGATATATAACTTTTATATATGATTATTTCCTTTACACCCCTGTAAGAGAACAAAAATAGTTTGGCCCCCATCGTCCGGGCTCTTTCCATCTCGCCATACACATTTTCGCGGGCTAGGAGTCGTTGGGAGGAAGCAACCACTTCCTTCTTCCCTCTTCCCTCTTCCGTCAACTGCTCTTCGCTCTCACTCCCCCCAAATTTCCCCGCAATGTGAGCGATCACTCTTCTGATGATTCCTCTCGGCGGATCTGGAATGTGGTTCACGGGCTGAAGAGAATAATCTCTTTTCGTCGCAAATTCGAGGTTTCCCCTCCCTTTCATTCCGCGGTTTGCAGGATCCCCGTCCGGCAGATTCGGGAGGTGATCATGTTGGGGGAATTCGTGACCTGGAGCCTGGTGTATGTCTCCGTTCTTCCCCTCAATCATCTTTCATCCTTCTTGGTCGCCGTTTACATTGATCAATCGATGTGCTATTTCTTCGATGTGACGGCAGGCTGCTGCTCGGATATGTGTACCCTGCATTCGAATGTTTTAGAGCCATCGAGCGAAAGGAACCCAAGGTGGAGCAGCTCCTGTTCTGGTGTCGATATTGGTAAGCCCGCCGAATTCCCACCTGTTTCATAGCTCTGAGCGACTGCGAATAGATATTTCTCGGTTGCATGAAGTCAATGCTTCGATCCGGATTCCACTCCGACGGAGCAGATCAGTTCCATTGGCCTCTGGTCAGGAAACTCCGGAATAATCCAGTTAATCTAATATTACCTGATTATTTTCAAATTGTTCATAAATTTATTATTATTTTCCGATTGACCGATCGCAGGGTCATAATGGGGCTCTTAACCGCTCTGGAGAGATTCGGAGACATGTTTGTTTCATGGTGATCGCTGAATTTCCTCTTCCGTTTGGCGATGTTCTTTGGCTAATACCAGTCACTGATCGTCAGGCTGCCGATGTACGGTGAAGTGAAGCTCGCCTTTGTAATCTACCTGTGGCATCCGAAGACGGAGGTGAGCTTCTTCTGCCATAAAGCTCCGAATCGAGATCCCTGAAAACATTTTACCGAATTTTGGGGGCTGTGGATGGTCTGTGTGTAGGGTGCACGGCACATCTACAGGGAGTTCTTCTTCCCCTGGCTGGCCAAGCACGAGCCTCACATCAACCGGAAATTGCAGGAAGCTAGGGCCAAATCTGGGGATCTGATTCTGTTTTACGTGAAGAACTTCACAGAGAAAGGGCAATCTCTGGCCTTCGATGCCTTGCAGTATGTCATCCGGCGCGCGTCGGGGGCTTCCCACTCTCAGGTATCCTCCTTCCTATTGCAGAAATGATCAATCACATCGATTCTTCGATTCTCCTCTGAATTCCTTTCTCTCGGTATGCTTGCTCATATAGCTGTCACGAGAAAATGAGGCCCCTCCGCCACCTCTGCCGGATCAGGGACAGGGAGCACGGAGCGGAGAGGGAAGCATGGCGATGGAACGGATTCTCAGAGACGCGCCGATCAATTTCCTCTGGGGCGGCCGCCGCCGGCGACGAGACTGAGAGCAGGCGAGCATCTCACCTTTTCCCTCTTTCTCCTGTATATTGAATCCCAATCTCCCATCTCCCCCTTCATAATCAGCCAAAACCAGATCCTGCCATCGATCGTTACAGAAAGAAGTCGAAACCCAGAAGAAACGTTTCTTCCAAATAATCTCCCAGCTTCCACCCCCCCTCCCCCTCCAAAAGTCAACGCCCTCTCTTCTCCCGGCGGCGATTCAGGCGGTCAAATGCCTCCCTGGACCGCCGGCGGCGGAGAACTCAGCTCTCGTTTACGGTGAATTGTAATACAAGTAAATAAAGTTTTGTGATTTTCGTACTGCTACGTGTCGTCTCGCAAGAACGTGGCTTGATGAAACCGCCACCATAATATCTGATCTGGGATTCGTAAACCAGGCTCGATGAATCGCTTCGTTTAACCGGCTGGGTTTGCGCCACGTAGACAGAATATGGGCCTCGCGGTGGAGAACGGCCCATGTAGCCCACTATTTCCTCCATTATCCTGTCAGAGGCTGTCGCTGCTCGCAGTTTGCCGGTGGGAGGGAAGAGCACAGAGAATGGCGGCGGCGGCGGCGATCCTCTCCTCCTCCGCCTTGCTTCCCGTCCAAAGCAGGGCGCTCCTCCGCCCCGTTCGCGGCCAGGGGGAACCGATCCGCCGCCTTCTTGAGTCCTCTATATCTGCAGAACACCGCCGTGGGGGCATCGTCTCCGTCCGCGCCGTCCAGGAAACCAAGGAATCCAGGGGGGCTTCTTCTTCCTCCTCCTCGCCCCCCTCCTCATCGTCGCCGCTCTCTTCGCCGGCGGAAGAGGCGACAGAGAATTTCGGGCTCGAATTCGGCCTGTGGAAGGTAATCCTCCTCCTCATCTCATCTTCCCCTCTCCGATTTTCTATTCCGTGGGGATTTCACGGAAGAGGAGAGAAACCCTGGGATTAAGCTCAGATCTCCATTACCGACGGCTTTCTCTCTCTCTTTCTCCATTGTTTTTTATGCCAATCAACTCGTTCGTGCCTTTGATCTTGAACAGATATTCAGCTCGAAAGAGGGAGAGGAGGGGGAGTCGAAGACGAAGACGGACCAGGCCAAGGAGCTGCTCGCCAAGTACGGCGGCGCTTACCTGGCGACCTCCATCACCTTATCTCTGATCTCCTTCTCCCTCTGTTACCTCCTCGTCAACGCCGGAATCGACGTCCAGTCGCTGCTTCAGAAGGTCACCTCTCTGCGATGCCGGCTGTTATTACTTCCATGGGGCCTTCATGACCCTCCCCCTTACCATCTGCTGGAAGGGGAAGGGGTGGCTTCTCACCACGAACCAGATGGGAATCTCAGTTCGATGTTCGACCTCTGCAATCTCTGTCGCAGGTGGGCATCTCGGCGGATGCGACGGGGGAGAAGGTGGGAACATTCGCCCTCGCGTACGCCGCGCACAAGGCCGCGTCCCCCATCAGGTTCCCTCCCACCGTCGCCCTAACCCCCATCGTCGCCAGCTGGATCGGCAACAAGAAGACCAAGGACGGGGAGTGATGCCGGCCAGGAGACGGTCGTCGACTGTGCAAGCTCTGCGGGGAGCTGCCCCCTCGTCCTCCTCCGGCTTCTCCCTGACTGGCGCTGTGCGCATCCTTTGGGGATTCATGTCGCAGTTTTTTGTGCCACAGATGTCAATCACAGCCACAATTATATATATAGCATCCTCTATCTCGATTACTCGGCCAATTTTTAGAAAAAAATTGATCTTGAATCCTACAAAGATATCTACAGAGAGCGAGAGAAAGAGAGGAAAAGTGAGTACCAAGGTTGGAGCTCACTAGCGGGTGGTGTAGTGGGCTTTTGACGTTTTACTGTCGGCTTTTAAGCCCAGAACGAAGGTTCCGAACGTCTGAGCATCGTGGGCGCCGGGCGGCGGCGGGGAACTCGCCGTGGTCCGCCGTACAACGGGCAGAATCGCAGCAGCTGGCGCTGTGGCGCCGCATTAACGTCTGTCACGAGACTGCGTTCTATAGGAATAAATGGATTCTCTCAGAGCTCGCTGATGGTGAATTTCTTCGTCGCTTCACGTTATCCTTCCTAGGAGGAAGGGGGAAGTCGCCGCCTTAGAGGGGTCTCCTCAATATATACGAGCTTCTCCTGCGAGACAAGGCCAGGTGTGGGCTCTTCGGCGTTCAGAAGCTCATCCATGGCCGCTTCTGCTCCCTTCTTCCTCTTCCTCTTCCTCTCAGCCACCGCTAGCGCCGCCGCCACCTCTTCTTCCTCCCCCCAGACCGCCGCGATTCACCTCCCGCTCCGCCACATCAACGCCGTTTCCTCCGACGGTGGCGGCCTCTCCGGGGCCCAGAGATTGGCAGGGCTCGTCTCGGCCTCCCTCTTCCGCGCGCGCCACATGAAGGATCCCGAGAAGATCGTCGGCACAGATGCCGGAGCGCCATCGGCGGTTCCTGTGTCGAGGAATCCGCTCTTCTCTCACTCCTACGGCGGCTACACGATCTCTCTCGGCTTCGGCACGCCGCCGCAGAGAATCCCCCTCGTGGTGGACACCGGCAGCGACCTCGTGTGGGTCCCCTGCACCCGCTCCTACGTCTGCAACAACTGCTCCTTTCCGAGGCCTGGCGTCGGCGTAGCCCCCCCTCCGCTAGTCTTCTCCCCCAAATCCTCCTCCTCCGCCAAGCTCGTTGGCTGCCGGAACCCCAAGTGCAGCTGGATCCATTCGCCGGACCTTATCACGCGCTGTCGAGACTGCCCGGTGAATGGCAGCGCCTCCGCCTGCTCCCCGGTCTGCCCGCCCTACATGGTTGTCTACGGTTCCGGGTCCACCGGAGGCCTGCTGCTCTCCGAGAAGCTCGAGCTCTCCCCGGCGGCGGCGGGACCCATCGCCGACTTCGCCGTCGGTTGCTCCCTCTTCTCCGCCCGCCAGCCCCCCGCCGGCGTAGTCGGCTTTGGGAGGGGCCCCGCATCGCTGCCCTCTCAGCTGGGCCTACCCCGCTTTTCCTACTGCCTCGTCTCCCGCCGCTTCGACGACGCCTCCGGCGAGAGCGGCTCCATTATCCTGGGTGGCGCCTCCTTCTCCTCCTCCTCTTCCTCCGGCGGCATCTCCTTCACTCCCTTCCTCAAGAACCCCTCCGCGGGCTCCCCATTCTCCATTTACTACTACCTGGCTCTGCACAGGATCACGGTGGACGGCCGGAAGGTGAAGATACCCCGCGCGGCGCTGGCTCCCCGCGCCGGCGGCGACGGCGGCACGGTCATAGACTCTGGCACCACCTTCACCTACATGGAACCCGACGTCTTCGCTCCGCTGGAGCGCGCCGTGGAGGCCCGGGTGGCGGGCCGATACAACCGCTCCGCCGCCGCCGAAACGACGACGGGACTCCGGCCGTGTTTCTCGCCGGCGTCACCGTCGGAGAAGCTGCAGCTCCCGCAGCTGTCCTTCCACTTCAAGGGTGGCGCGGAGATGAGGCTCCCGCTGGCGAACTACTTCGCCTTCGCCGGCGGCTCCGGGGCGGTCTGCCTGACGATCATCACCGACGCCGGCGGCGCCGGCGGCGCCGCCGACGGAGGGCCGTCGGTGATCCTGGGGAGCTTCCAGCAGCAGAACTACCACGTGGTATACGATCTGGAGAGGGAGAGGCTGGGCTTCCGCCGGCAGTCTTGCCTCGAGAAGCAGAGCTGAAAGAGCCGCCAAGCCCGTTCTTCGCCGGGAGGTTGCAAGCATTCAACGGCGGAGATTTGATGGGAGGTAAAAAGGATGGCATCCAGAGGCGAAGAAATGTCCCCTGCTCTCCCCCCGAGGACGTGTCAGTCTCCGGACACGTGGCACCAGACCTAAATGCCACTGGACGACATACGTTTTAAGCTCGTAGTTGTCGTGTTTACCTAGATTTTCGCAAGTCTTTCTGTTAATCACGTTGGCGCGATGCACGTGATGTTCACCTTCTGGCGTGGAATTACACACGTGTGAGTCGATCTTTCGTGCAGTTTTATGGGTTTTTTTTAAATATTCCTTTTTATCATATAAATAGATAATGTCGATCGAGTTTTACTTGGAACCAAGTTAAACAATCCCAAATGGGCCCAGAAGCCCATGGTTCGAGGTAGGAATGGGGGAGAGAGAGAGAGAGAGATCCCTATTAGTCCTTTGGGACGTTCAACCTCTCTCTATTCCTTCCCGTAACCCGGCTTTCAGTTTCGGTTCTATATTGTAGGTAAGATCATCAAACGCCAGTCGAACGCGGCTTCCAGTTTCAGTTTCAGTTTCGGGTTTGGGACGTTATCCTCCAGACTATTACAGTTAGATGAGCTGTATGACGAATCTAGAAGCGAGGGTAGAGAGAGCTTTGGAGACGGGCCATAGTGGCCTCTGATTCACGATCCAGGGGAGGAGCGGCTGGATTTTCTCGCCATAGCTCAGTGAGGTTCCACCTTCCATGGGATACGTCTCGCCATTGCTCATCTGTTGATGATGATGCAAAACGCGGAAGATGACGGCTGGATAATGCAGCCACCTCTGACTCAGGGGTATGACGCAGGGGTGGAGACTTCATCGGGTCAGACCTGCCAAGTGGGGCGGCCATTTCAGCTTCGCCTCCCCCTTGCAAAACATTTTTCTCTTCCGTTGAGTGTATGGTATCGAGTCGTTTTTTATTTTAGGGGTATCAGCTCTCCACGAGCGCTGTTCTAATCCTCTCCCCTTCGGCAATTCAACACTTTGGCTCTTGAGATTTCACTCGAAAATGGTCATTGCTTAGTTATTCTTTTTTTTACTCTTCTCTCTCTCTCTCTTTCTCTCTCTCTCTCTCTCTCTCTCTCTCTCTCTCTCTCTCTCTCTCTCTCCCTGCGTCTCTGCTGGATCAACTGCGGAGAAGAGGCCTCTTGGGAGAGTAGAACTCCATGTGCAGTTTGTCTCAAAAGCATCACTGGTATTCAGAGAGAACTCCGTATTTGTCCTAGATTCAGCCTCTCTTGCTATCCATGTAACCCTAACCCTAACCCTAACCCTAACCCTAACCCCAACCCTAGTCCTGTTTTCACGAACACACTGAACCAATTCAAGGAGCTTAACCCCGAGAGCCTGAAGATCTAGTGCAACGGATCGGAAAAGACGGGCACGTTGGAGAAGGATATCATCCTTGAGATTGACAGTGGAGAATAGACCAAAGAAACACCAATTAAACTCCAGGAACAAGGAATACACGTGGCTGTTCTTATAGGGTGCAGACGTCCGTGGCAAAGGAAGCATTGCCTCGCCAGAGCTGACCACCCTCATCTTCGGGTCAACCCAGGCTTCGTCAAAGTAGACCTTCTAGGAAAATAAGAATGTAAAACGTGGAGAGAATAGATAGTTTGAGGGGAGAGAATGGTCAAGGAGTTTCGCACACACCTCTATTAAACGAGGAGATAGAGATTATTTAAAGGTTACATTTGTGTCTTAGGTGGGCCATCGCCCTTTTGGTCTAATAAAGACAAAATAATAATAAAAATAATAAATAATAAATACTATGTCTTTTTTCATTAAATGACAACATTCCCCTTAATACAAAATGATTAATGCCAAGCGACTCTCAAAATTTAATAAACTTAGTGTTACTCAATGTCTTTGTACAGCCATTTACCACTTGATCTAATGTTGAGCAAAAAATTTATTAAATTATTTACAACAGCTAACAATCAAAAATTGATGACGAATTTCAATATACTTTGTTGTTTTTTGATGTACTGATCCTTTGTCTTAGGTATTGTTGATATGTTGTTATAATAGGTTATCATTGATATGTTGTTATAATAGATTATGTTGAGATTGATTATAAAAACTTAACATCTTCTAAGATCTTTTGTACCCATGTTGCTTGTTGTACAATTGTTGATGCAATGATATGTTCAACTTTTGATGATGATAATGCTATAAATTCTTATATTTTTTAAGTCTATGAAGTTACACTTGAACTAAAATTAAAAATAAAACTAGTGTATTTTCTATTACCAATATAATCTACCCAGTCACTATTAGAATAACTTTAAATTTTAAATTAAAAAGTATGTTGATATAAAATTTCGTAATTGATATTGCCTTGAATATATCACAATATCTATTTTGCTACTCCAAGATGATGAACTAATGGAGAATGTATGAATCTTGAAATCATGCTAATTGAAAATAAAATAATATAAATCATGCTAATCCACAAGCCAAACTTCTATAAAAATATTTATTTATTTTTATAATCTCATCATTAAGATAAAATTTGTCATTAGTATTCATAAAAGGTGAACATATCTTGTAATTGAACATATTAAATTTATTGACCAAATTAGATGTGTAGATCTTTTGTGAAATAAATATACCATAATCATTATGAATAATCTATAGTTTAAGAAAATAATAAAGTAATCCCAAAATTTTCATATTAAATTCAATTATCATAGAAATATTGAATTCTAAAATTATAGACGAGGATGATCTTGATATAAATAATATCATCAACATTGACACATACAATAATAATATTTTTTTATTAAATCTTGACAAAAAGTGTTCACTCACTATCACATATAAGGACATTATGCTTTTGAAAATATGAATCTAGTATAGTATGTCATGCTCCAAGTGATTGCTTTAGACCATAGAGTAATTTATTTAATTTGTAAATTAATACATTGTTGTTGTGCATATATCCCTTCGCTACAAATTTTACCTCATATTTTAAAATTTTTTCATCGGGTTTTATATTTGACTCATTTTTACCTTGTGTCTCCTCATAACTAGATGGTTATATAGTTATAAGAGTGAAAATGCATGATTTATAAATTTCACTTAAAAATATCATTTTTCTTGGAGTACGTAATGAATATGAAGGTGAGACATTGTGGTCATTAAAACTATTAGAATTACTTACATACTCTCTCTCTAAGATGAACAAAATGATGTAGGAGCTTCATATGTTGAATCTTGTTTGAATTCCAAAAAATTATGTCCAATTTCATAAGAAATAATTAATAAATTATTTTTTAATTTAATTTTAGCAATTTTTATATAAAATATAACATAATGATGAATTAATATTTTTTACTTTTAATGTTATATATATTTTTTAGTTTTTATAAACAATAATCCTACTTTCATAACTTTAGACAAGAAAAATGTATGTCTCATTTTTTTGATTTATTTTTTTGTAAATATCTGCATCAAATGAATACTTGTGAAACAAAAGTATAATTTTTTTAATCACCAAAATTTGATTAAGATGATATCATGCTTCATAAGGAGTCATAAAAATAATCAAAAGATAAGTAAATGTTACCCCTACTTCAACTTAAAAATCATTTGGTAGATGCTTATCACAAAACACACCTTGGGTCATCTCTATTATTATTTTATTTTTTATTTCATTGATTGCATTATTTTATGAAGTTTTTCTAATAGTTATCTTTGAATGCCATGTTCCTTCAAAAATAACTCAAACTCAAGAGATATAAACTCTCTCTTTATTCATTCGAAGGGTTTTTTATATCATATTTATGTTTCAACAAAATTTTAAATTGATTATATTTTTCAAATGCTTAAAACTTTTGAGCAAGAAAATATGCTCAATTCATGTGTGTAAATTTATTAATACTTAATAGAAGATACATGTTATTGTTCAAAGATAGGGTCATCTTTGGATCACATATATTGGCATGTAATAACTTGAGGAAATCTTACCCTCTAAGATTTTTTTAGTATAAAAATAATAATTATTGTTTAGAATAAGTGCATATGTTACACACTTCATTTTTTGTTGAAATAGATGATGCATTAGAGATCATTTTGTCTAAAATTTAATAATTTTAGTACATGGAAGTATACATATTCATATCACAAATACCAAAGCATACAATGATCATAATCTTTAGTAATCATTCCAAATTTGATGTTTGAAAATATAAAAAGGAAGCATTACTTTTCCAACCTTGGGAATCAACATAATAGGTATGTCATTATTCTTATGCTTGATAATACATATATCTTCAAAATAAATGACATAAGCACACTCTAACAATGGATCCACACTAAGTAAATTGTGTGTTAATTTTGGAACAAAATATACAACATGAATCAAATTATTTGCATTTGATTTTGTATAAATATGGATGGTACCAATGCCTTTCATTTGTGCACTATTCCATCACATATTTTAACATCATATTTCATAGATGTATCGATATTCTGAAATAAATTATTTTCTCCTATCATATGATTGTTGCAACCATTATCAGATCTTCATTTATTTGAATATATAAAAGTACCAAAAAATATTTAAATCATTTTTAAATAATATTTACTTGCTCCTTTTCTTATTATAAAAATTAATTTAATATCTAAATATTTATTTCAAAAATTACATAGTAGTTGAGAACTCCCTTTTCTAATAATTTTCATATTATTTTTATTTGTCCCAATAATATGCTTCAATATGTTCATATTTCTTAAAAAATCAGCACTACATTATTCTATAGTTTTCTTTTTTATTTTTATTCTTTCTATCATCATGTCTATTCATAGTTTCTTCAATGTGTCAATAAGGATCACATTAATTTATTTTTGTGTAAATAGATAAATTATCATATTCTTCAATAACACTAGTAACATAATCAAATTTAGATGGAAAACTTCTAAAAATAACTAAATATTTTTTT